TTAATATGTTACACCAATGGTACACTGGAACAGATGGAAATGGATCAGTTATTAGAACAATTCTTTTCGATTATCGGAAAGCCTTTGATTTCATAGACCATTCAATCCTGATCAAAAAAGTGTCACAATTAGATATTCCCCACAGTGTCGTAAATTGGATTATGGATTTTCTTACCGATAGATTCCAGAGAATTAAGCTGGGAAATTCCTGCTTTTCGTCGTGGGACTCTGTTCCATCAGGCGTCCCTCAGGGCACAAAATTAGGTCCCTGGTTGTTTATTATTTTAATAAACGACTTACATATATCTCAAGGGGATCTATGGAAGTATGTTGACTCAACAACATCTGAGATAGTCGGGAAAACGGCATTAGTAAAGCTCAGAGCCTAGTAAACGAAATGTCTTGCTGGTCTGAAAAAAACAGGATGCAACTAAACTCAGAGAAATGCAAAGAACTGCGCATTACGTTTTCCGCAAATCCCATTGATATGGATCCCTTGGTTCTTAATGGTAAAGAATTAGAAGTCGTGGAAAGTATAAAGCTGTTGGGTCTCACTATAAACAGTAAATTGGAATGGAATGAGCACATCGCGGTTGTGGTTAAGAAAGTGAATAAAAGATTATACTTTCTCTCACAATTAAAACGTGCCAAAGTGAAATCGAAAGATTTAGCATTGTTTTACACTTCATGTATCAGATCTGTTGTTGATTATGCAATACCACTATTTTATCACTCATTACCACAATATTTAAAGAATGATCTGATACGGTTGGAGAAAAGGGCAATTGCGATAATTATGCCCGATACGCATTACCTTGATGCTCTCAGATTGTTAAACTTTAAATCCATGGAAAATCATCACGAATATTTATGTGACACTTTGTTCCAATCTGTAATGTCCGATGAAAATCACAAGATTCGTCATTTATTGCCTGGAAGATACGATCCAGGCTATCTTTTAAGGAATGTAAATAATTTTAACTTGCCTCTAATTAAAACTGAAAGGACCAAAAACTCTTTTATCTTTGCTATGTGCAACAGATTCAATAATAAAATTAAATAGGTTTAGGTCTACCTGACTTTTAGATTTTAACTGAATTTTATTCTGCTTTTTAAACTTTTTGATGTAAGTAATATCAGTAGTATCATAATTAATTTTAATACAAAGGTTGTAATCATTACGTAATTCAGCTTTTGCTGCAAAGTAATTTGAATAAACCTCTATTCTATTCTATTCTATTCTATTACCCCTCCCCCCCCGTTCGCTACCCACCCCCTTCTTGTGCCCCTCCACTCCGTATAAGATAATCATTTAACGAATGACCAATATGTCAACCCTACCGGTGTTTTTTCATCCTAATCGGTTCACAAATCAGCGCTAAAACGCCTAGTTGCAATTTAGTCACGAGTAAGTTCTCCCTGCTAATGATTCGCCCAAAAAACAGAATCGCCATTGACTTCGCAATAGCCCTCTCTCCTCCGCAGAGGCTTCGAATACAAATGCGCTAGATTTTTAAAGATGACCGCTGCTGAAATTAGAAACGCGGGCGAGGGTCACAGCAGCACTAGTCGTATTCCTGTCCGTGTTCGCCATTTTAAAAGTTTCAAGGTTGGAAAAAGCTGGCAACACGCTGAATGCAGTCAGGAAATCGTCGCAGAAAGATAGAAAGAAAAACAAGGAGGAATTCGTTTTAAACTAAACAATATATTTGTTTACAATTTTAGGCGAAGCCAATCAGAATCCCTAAATTTTTAATACTTTCGTGTAAAATGGTATATATTGTACTTTTTATCAAAATTAATGCATTCTGATTGGGTTACCGAAAATTTAAATAAACTTGCTGATTTAAATTCCTCCTTTTGTGAAGTGTTCTAATCTACATTCCTGATGTTTTCCTTTTTTACGTACGTTTCTGATGTGAGTCTGGGTGGAGTTTACGACTTGAATTTTTGAATCTCTTCAAACCCTTCTTAGGCTTCGGCCAGATCCAAACCATTTACAATTCACTTGCACACAACGTGCTCTCATGTAAGGTCCGGCGTAAAGCTTTAAAGTACTATCTAAGAGAGCTCTTCAATTTCGCATCGGAAGATAAATAGATTGCACTTAAGATAAATTTGTAAATAAAGTTGTCTAAACAAAAATGAAAAACAAAACAATTGTATTCTTGTTGTTACTTCTCGCATCTTCTGGTCACGAGGCGAAGACACAGCCGATACACATGATTGCATTTTACAAAAGTGTTGGTTTTAAATGTGTCGTTATGTCACTGAAGTAAGGCTCGACTTGATAAATACCGCAGGAGATGTTCTCGTGATCGATTCTTGTCCCGACAAGTTCTTGTAAATTAACAGAAGCTGCTTCTATGAATTGCACTGGATTGTTCTCAACTCGTGACTTTAACAAATAAATACCGCCTGTGAAGAAGCTTCAGATACGGTTTTTGAACTTCAGACACGATTTATCTTCTGCCTTAAAAACCTGAACTGCATGAATGAAAAAAGACAATCGTAGTTGTTTCCAGAAATTCGGGTGTAATTGTTTAACAAGAATAATATATAATTATACATATTATGTAGTTTAAATAAGGAAATAGTTTGGATCAAATTAAACGTGTAAAAACACCAACAGTATATGTATGTCTGAAAAATTTCTCTGAAGGAGAACGTATACAAGAATACTGTTTCATAGTATTCTGATATGCCTCTCGCCATTTTCACATTTCATTTTCACAGAATGCCCGCTGTTTTTTTATATTGGGTCATAGTTTGGTCTCGAGACCCCAACAAACGCTTCCATATTTATGCCATTTTTATCGCGCTTAACTCGACATGACGTATTTTTCACTATCATTGCGCATAGTCCAACACAGCAGGTCACAAGCTTGTTTGTTTGGAAAAAAGAACCTTGCTAAGGTCAATACCAGACTATATTTGAATGTGTGTGCAATTGAGTGTTTGGCACTAGAAATGCCAGAAATCTCAACTTCTCGTTCAACTGGTGCTCAGGCAAAGAAGAAACAAGGCGTTATCGTGGTAAGTTATTAGCCATGATAGGTGAAGCATCGAGAAATCCTCGGATTTAAGCGGACATATCTAACAGTGTTTTGCCACGGGGTTTTATAATCGTTCGTTCTCGGCATCTGGTAAAATGCTTCGCAATTCGTTGTTGCACGGCAAAAGTGAAACGTGTAGTTTATACTAAACCCACAGCATTGCCTGTGGATCCTCAGAAATGACATAAAAACCAACACATCAGATTTATCAAAGAAGAAATCTAAAGGTGTTCCTAATGATTACAATAATAGTGTTTTCAATTACACAGTGTAGTAGGTAGAATTAAGTTTAATAGTTTATAACAAGTATGACAATGCTAGCTAGTGTTATGTATTTTTTGGTTGTCTACCATTTAAGCTAATTAAAGTGGGCTTACAACCGGCCCTTGCCCAAAGGCATCAATAGGAAAACAAAGAAAAAGACAACGGAACTCGTTACAAATTTCGGTTGTTACGGCATAGAACGGCAGACGACGAAGACGTTACGAGCGGATCCGATACTGTGTAGACGGAACCAACATACAGTTTCTTGTGCGAAAAAATATTGTATTCATTGATCCACTTGCGTGAACATTGTGACAAATACCTTTCTTTCCCACCAGCTGGATAATAAAGCTTATAATAAAGCTTCTTTGTCGTATGCAGGATAATATAGCATTTCTACGAACTTGATTTTATCTCTTATTGACAAAGATTGTTTAAGTCGTTCATGCAATACCTTTACATCTTATTTTGTATATCATACCCTTCTCTTTAGCTTTGCTAACAAAATGGCAACAAAGCCAAAGGCAAATGTTTTGAACGTTCGAGACTTGCAATTAACAAAATTAAAAAATTCAGCAAAAATCAACGAGGTGTATAGGCGACGCGTCTTCCTTTTTTTTTTTAGTATAAAGCACCTAGCGTTGTTTATATGTTATGTAATTCTGAAGTCTAGAGTAGAGTAAGGTAGAGCGCTTAGTCTGTGATGCAGGCTAAAGGGGATTTCACTGCAAAATTCGTATTCTGATAAATATTTCGTATTCAGACAACGTGTTGCCGTACTTCATATAATTACCAACTGGAATTTTCCTTCTTAAATGGACCAGCTTTTTCCGTTCAAATCTCCGCGTCTACACGCCAGACTACTATATTTAAGATCACAAAATGGCAACACTGATAAGGGATGAAAGGCACGTAACGTATTCATTAAATCGAAGCTCGAATCTATGCAGTGTTCGTTCAGAAATGTTGATAGACACGATTCCCAACATTCGTAAGAAAGATTGAATTGACCAATAATAACCTTAATCACAGCTAATAAGTTGGCTAGTGTCTATTGCTTGTACCGAAGTGACACTGACTATATGTGTTTTCTTTTAGATCGATGAGGGAGTGTACAAATCTCGTTTAAACTGCTCTATGAAGTAGCCCATGACGATCAACAAATGTCTAAAAAGGCTTGCTGTGTTATACTTGCCACTTCCCTATGCAGTTATTTCTTTGTCTTACGTGTGTACAATCAATACGTATGGAGCCCTACGTGGCGAAACAGATGTTATCATCCACCTTATTCCGAACGACATAAAAATCTTAGCGGGGAAGTGCAATTTGAAGGTTTGGTTCTGGTCGCTGTTATGACACATTTCGGAACGATCTCTACTCGCGCGGTCGCAATTCACAAAACCTGGGGACAAGACGTTCCAGGCAAGGTGATATTTTTCGTGGGGAATACGGGGAACAAGACGGAAGTAGATTTACCATTGGTTGTACTTTCAGTCCCCGACGATGTTTATCCTCCTCAAGAGAAAGCGTTTTTGATGCTTAAGTATGTCTACGAGCATCATGGCGATAGTTTCCGATGGTTCATACGAGCGGACGACGATGTTTACATCAACAATGACAACTTGGGTGCCCTGTTAATAAGTTTGCCTGGACGCGATGACGTATGCGGACATCCGGGTTATCGGTACGAACAGGAAAAAGGAAAACTGGGGCTAGCAGACCAGAGTAATTTTTGCATTGGTGGAACGGGAATTATAATGAGTAAGTCGGTATTGAGGAAAGTCTATCCCCAATTAGACTATTGTATCAAGCATACAGCCACGGAGCATGAGGATAGTGAAGTAGGCCGCTGCCTAAGGAAGTTCGTGGGCGTGCAATGTCCATGGGGATACGAGGTGGGTTTAGTTTGTTTGCTTTTATTTATATTTAATTACGTCATCCCTGTAACTGCAGAGGAGAGGGGAGGAGAGGGAAGGGGAGGAGAGGGGAAGAGAGGGGAGGAGAGGAAAGGGGAGGAGAGGGGAGGAGAGGGAGGGAGGGGAGGAGAGGAGAGGGGAAAGGAAGGGAAGAGGAGGGAGAGGGAGGAGAGAGGGAAGGAAGGAGAGGGGGAGAGGGGAGACCGGGAGGCATAGCGAGACCTATCTATGGATGGGTTCTTAAACATCCTTGCCAGAAGTCTTGAAGTTCGTTTTATACAATGCAATAATCAAATTCAAAGCTAAGGATGGTTTGAATGAAAGCAACTGGGAATGTGTCCGAAGAGGAATGTCAGGGGTAGAGCCTAAACTACACAGAAACTGCATAGAAATTTACCGAATAAAATTACGTAGCGAACCCGGAACCGTAGGGTATCCGGTATTCGATATACTCTAATAACAGCAAGTCTATCCTGAATAGTAGCCTCTACTAATAGTACATCTCCAAAAGCAATCTTTATTTACATTCCAGGCAAGTGAAATTTTTTATCAAGACTACGGTGATGACCAACAGGCTTACCACGGAAACCTTGACTTGATACCTCTTGAGAAAGCCGTGAGTTTACATCCTGTCAAAGACGCCCGCTACCTTTATCGTCTTCATTATCATTTTTTAAGTATGAGGCATCAAAAGAAGCAAGGTCGAGCAGGAAGACTTAAAGAACAACTGGAAAATACAGAAAAAATACTAACTCTATCGAAAGGCGACGATAGTTTCTTTAGGAAATCTGCCGAGTATTTTTGCCACAACAGGCATTGCGACGAGTTTCATTCGATGGGAAAACTTACCCATGATGAACGCCTTCCGCCAAAAACGTGGGCCATGTTTCAAGAGCTAGGCTTTCAAAGTTTTGGCGTACGGCAATTTTCAAGTCCGGTTGAAGCTATTATAAGCTCGAAGGCAAAGATTCTGAGACAGGTGACGGAGAAAGCGAAACAAGACATAATGCAGGAGGAAAGATCCGAACTGTATCATGGCTTCTACTTTGGTGAATATACCGTCGGTTATACCAGAGAGAGTCCGACTGGTGGTAACTTATATGAAGTACACTATACGGTACGAATGAAACGCCATATCGGAGGGCAGGAAATAAAGAGTGTTCGAGAACCGAGGCGAGTTAAGTTTAAAAACTCATACGGTAGTTTGATTTTTCGATCACAAGAGACAAAACCGAAGAAAGAGCTGATTAACATTGTAGTTCCCGCCAAGGGATCTGTATCAAGATTAGAAAACTTCCTCAAAGGTGCTCACCAATTGTTGGTGAATTTGAAGGAGTCGTTTCGCATTTTCGTTGTATTTTTTCGCCGCAGCGTGTTTTCCGTTAAAACGTTTAAGAACATTCGTGAAAACTACAGAAAAAAATTCGGAGATTCTAAGTTCGTCTGGCTCGAGGTAGACGGGAAATTTAAGCAACAGGGTGTCTTCAATGCAACTCTAAAACATTTTCCCAAAAGTCAACTTCTGCTATTCACTGAAGCGAACTTTACAATCAACGCGGATTTTCTCGCTCGTTGCCGTCAAAATACCGACAAAGGGCGTATTTATTTTCCCTTAGCGTTAAAGACACGAGACAAAAAGAACGCTTACCGAAAAGGTCTATGGGAATTTGAAAACTATTTAACATTTTGCGCGCACAGCGCTGACGTCAAGTCGTTGATAGACATGCATCCGTTTGTGAATGCGAGTTCAGAGAGTAGCTCTATGGTGGATCTTTTTATCACACATGAACAACGTGCGTTTGATGTGTTCAGAGCGCATGACCCAGGTCTCTTGCTTCTAGACACCGCGCGGCCGGCGTGTTTGGCAAACGATACCACAAGTTACGAAGCCTGCACGGACAGGTTTGACTCGAGGAAAGCGCTGATTGATTATATGTTTAGAAAGGATTATCTTAGGGATTTTCTCTGAAACATTCGCCCAGAACATTGCCTGTTGTAGCTTTTATATGCAACATGTTTGCAAGACCATCAAATCGAATGAAAAACTACGGATGCCTTCTAAGAAGTTTGTTTCTAAATAAAACCGACACAGCACTGCAACTAAATGTTCTAACCTAGAGCATATTAATTTGTATAAGCCATGCAGTCCTCGACAATCTAATGTAATCTTCACAAGGGCAACCTCATAGAATTATAATATATACATTAAAAATTAACTATATATAAAAGTTCTTGCGCTAGTGGCAATGTCAGTCTACTCTAGTACAACCGTTAGAAACCTAATTTGATCATTTAACAATGATGAATGATCCAACCCGAAGTTAATGTGGACACAGAACATTGACTGGAATGATGACGTTTCTTTTAGCGATGAATACACTGACATTGTCTATAACTGACATTGTATAATGAATACACTGACATTGTCTTTGTGCTTGGAAACATGCACGCATGCAAATATTTAAGCATTCTGTCGGCCATGGAAAATATATGACCAACAAAGACTTGCCAGATTCAATTACTTAGCTTGTACAAACAAAATAGCTCGGAAGGCAAAAACAAGGTTTTTTAGCTCTGGTAAAATAAATATATTTCATACTCAGGGCTATTCACAGGTTATTCATGCCTTATTTAACACCGAGACACCGATACAGACCACTGAAATTCTTTGAAACGCGTGGACATTGAAGAGAAATTCTTACGTCAATATTTGCTGTTGTTCACCAGATACTAAAGTCGTCCCATAAAGTGCAAAAAATCCGGTAACCAAATTATAAATTCCTTCGAAACACCTTATTAAGGAATAATTTGAAAGAAAGAGTTGAGAAATGTTTCAAAATATATATAAACTTTAATCACCTTATGAATGTATCTAAAAACCAATTAAGCTTAATGCGAATTCAAATGAATCAAGAATAAACACAATGCTCAAAACGCCAAAAACGGATTACTAGGGGCAACCAAAAATTGACATGAAAATTACAATATTTATTCAGCGTGGGTATCAGATATATTCATTTAAATCGATTCAATGTTTTGTCAACTCTTTCGCTTGAAACACTGCCTTTAAGTGGCAAGGACTTGCTTGACAAAGATGCCGGTTTAAGAAACTGACCAAAATGTCCCGTGTCTTAATCTGGATAAGCGTGGATATTGTAGACAAGGTGTTCAAGGCTGTTTATGAGAGGTTTTAACCATGAATTCACAACGAAATGTGTAAGTTTTTTATCACTGTGTCACATACACAATCATGAAGACGAAATTTTTTGTAACGTTACGAGCATGGACGTTTCTGGTCAGCGTTTCACTGAGTTTTACCATCGGAGTTTGGTGGTGTCGCTATATTCTCCCTTCACCAACAACTCTGAGCAGCAGAATTTGCGAGCAACTTCGAAGCATCAAAAAGCCTACGAAACCACAACATATGAAAGATGAACTCGGTGCAAGAGATCTTTTATTTATCGGTGTTATTACATCACAGAAATTCCTAACAACTCGCGCAAAAGGAGTATTCGACACTTGGGGAAATAATCTACCGGGAAAGTTGGTATTTTTCGCCGGCAAGGGGCACAAAACCCCCAAGGTAGACTTTCCGGTCGTGTATCTTACCGTACCGGATAATGTGCACCCGCCGCAGCGAAAATCTTTAGCGATGCTAAAATATATTCACGATAATTTCATCGAGAGATTCAAATGGTTTATTCGCGCGGACGACGATGTTTATATAAGAACAGGAAAGCTTGTGGCGTACTTGAGCAAAATAGACAGTTCTGAAGCGTTGTTACTCGGGCAGGCTGGTCAGGGAAAGAGACACGAGAGAGGGAAACTGGGCCTTAGAGAGGGAGATAATTTCTGCATAGGTGGCCCAAGTATTATCATGTCTCGAAGAGTATTGGAAATGGTCAATCCTCATTTGGAATACTGTTCAAACAACACCGCTACGGCTCATGAGGATACAGAAGTCGGGAGATGTTTGCGAAATTTTGCTGGAGTCATGTGTCCTTGGGCATATCAGGTCAGTTCTATCAAGGTTTTGAGAAAAATTATAGTCGTATCGATGACAAAATTTCGCGACTTTCGTCCTTTGTAGTTTTTTTGAAAAGATAGTACCCTCCCCTTGTTTAACACCTGACTATGCACGAGCATTCTTCGGTTTAAAACCACAAGTTTCATTTCTAGATTTGCGATCACAAAGAACCAGACGAACTTTCATTTGATAAAAACAATCAGTTAACTGAAATTATCGTTGTTAATAATGCTTTTAGCTCACGTTAAGCGCTATGTTTCAAACCGTCTTTCCAACAACCGCCCAAGAGTATGTGATTTCACTCATCGAACTAAGCCATTAATTGTCAGTGGCAATTTAATTTTTATATATATACCGCCTTATATATATTTTCTTTTCGTTAGGGGCGGGAGTTATTTCACCACACGTACACCAATCAAGACAAAGCCTACCACGGTGACCTCAATACACCTGAAATGTCTAGCGCAATCACGCTGCATCCAATCAAGGACCCAGCCTACATGAGACGTCTTCACGTCCATTACGTCACGATTGCATCACAACAACTATACCACAAGGCTTGGCTGCTGAATCATCGACTTGAAAACTCCCGCCAGGCCGTCACGAAGAAGGAAGCAAACTCCTCAAAAGTTATTTCACCAAAAAGAACGAACTTTTTCGGTGCGATGTATCAAAATAGCACCCTCCCTTGGGAACAATTCAACACAAAGAAAGTTTTCTCTGCCAGTGAAAAAGCTCCGTTGCGCTGGATCCATGATTCTTTGCGAGACGCACTACTTAAAGTGGTCCGTAAAGGGAAAAAACTGGTTCAAGATGGAGACGAGATGATTGGTAGTCATGCAATTCGCTTTGGTAAAGACATCATAGGGTATACGCGTTATCATCCCGTACTGGGCCTGCAGTCAATAATTCGCTTGAACAGCGTCAAACTTATTCAACATTTTGCGCGGGAAAAACAAAGACGGTTCATCAGCAAAAACTTGTTCCAATTCCAACAGCCTTATACGCCGCTACATTTCCGCACAATTTCACATCATGCCACGGAAACCGTACATTTTGTCGTCCCGCTTGCCGGAAGGTTGAACAATTTTCGCCGCTTTCTTTCTAGTTTCGAAAACGCCTTTCTCCGTCGCGACAAAAAGGTCAAATTATTAGTGGTGTATTTTCCGAAGCTCAAAGATCCCCAAAAGCACCAGCAGATCATGAGCATGTACAAAAAGAAATATCCGCATGATGTGTTTCACTGGCTCAATCTGGACGCGACTGTGTTTCAACGAGGACTGGCCCTAAACAAGGGTTCAGAGTATTTTGGCAAAGGGGCACTTCTGTCATTTTCAGATGTTGATTTAGTTTTTGACACGGATTACTTATATCGCTGTCGGATAAACACAATTCCAGGGAGACAAATCTACTTTCCTATAATGTTTAGTAAATTTCATCCAAACATTACAAGAGCGAGGAAAACGAAGGAGGGAAACGTTTTCACGTTCAAAAAGGACGCAGGTCTGTGGCGCATTTTTAGTTACGGACCAGTGTGTATCTTTAGTGATGACGTCACTACTGTCCGCGGATTCAATACGACGATAAGAGGTTGGGGACTAGAGGACGTTGAGTTTTTTGAAAAGTTTGTTAGAGGTGGAAGGTTTGAGGTGTTCAGAGCGCCCGACCGCGGGTTAGTGCACGTGTTTCATAAGCATGCGCCTTGCTCCCCGAGGTCGACATTTAAACAACAGAAGATGTGTCGTGATGCTACAGCGGCGTATCTCAGTTCAGCTTCGTCCGCGCTGGATGAACTTTTTAGAAAACAGATCTTGAAATACAACGATTACTTTTAGCATTCTTATTGAAATTAAACATACAACTGGCGACAATAATATAACATATCCCAGTACGTCCCTCGCACTGAACTGAATTTCGAGGGAGCGTTATGGAATTATTGACGTAATCTATGAAAACGAAATGTAATATATTTCCAAGTATATGTAACTATTTCTACGTAGTTCATGCAATTTATGTAATGTGTAAAAATCGTGCAAGTTAAATCAAATCTACATTTACATATGCTAATGTCGTTCAAGAAATTGTCATAAAGCTTCGAATTGGTTCATATTCAGTAACAACGCCACAACGCTACTAATCTTCATGCAAGAGCAGTCCTACATGTACGACATAATATTTTATGAAAGGCTATTAAATTACGTTATTTGATAAGGTTATATTAAATGATGAGGTAATGTTAGCTCAAACTTATTTTACTTATAAAAAGAAAACCATATCTTAGATATACTTCCTTAGCGTAGGTCGATATCTTCTTCATCATCCTCCTCGTTTTTCGTGCTTTTGCCGTCGGCTTCATCTAGCGAGACCAACGCGAGCTCCTTAGAAAGGGGAAGGTCATTTGAAGGCTTAACGAGTTTTGAAGTGTTGTCGAGGTACTCGGAAAATATTTTTATAGCTTCCTCTGCGCTGAGACGATTTTCTGGATTACGCTTTACAAGATCGTTCATTAAACTGTGAAGGAGTTCATTGTTGTGACACAGAACATCCCTGTTCACCGTTTCTTTTCTTCTGACATCCTCAAAGGCCTCTTTTCTCTTTCCGCTTTTAAAAAGGGAACACAGAAGATAAAGAATAAGCCCCGCGCTGTACATATCAACTTTGCAATCATAGGGACCAGATGTATTGATTTCGGGTGCTCGGTATTCAGGGTGTCCGATTTCGTGGGATAAAGCGGAGTCAACTTGATCGGAATGATCAGACTCTTCCAAAGAATTGTGGTTTGGAAGCTTTCTGGCCAACCCAAAATCAGTAAGTTTAGCAACCCAGTAACTAATATCTTCCTCGGAGGGAATTTTCAAGAGGATATTTCGGGGATGCATATCTCGATGTACCCAATTTTTGTCGTGAAGATACTTTAGGGCTTCCAGAATATGTTTGAAAACACGTTTGTGAAAATCCTTCTTGTCGACAATTTGTGGGTTTTCTTTTAAAACATCGGCAAGGTTTTTGTGACAGAGTTCCAGTCTAATGCAAAATATTGGTTGTTTCCCTTCGATTCGCAGTTCCCACGAGTTGTAGTATCTCACGATATTTTCATGCATATTGAGAGAATCTGCTTGACTACTGAGAATGGTCAGTTCACGATTTTTATACTTTTCCGGATTCTCCGGAGAACTGCAAATAATTTTCACCGCGTACAGTTTATTATCTCCTTTATGCTTCACAGAAACCACTCTTCCAAAAGACCCCTTCCCAAGTGAATCATTCACCAACTCTAAATCATCTTTGGCGGCTGCTATGGCATCTTGGACAAGCATCGTATTCTTGTTTTTGTTGTGTCCAGAAAGCTCGGGTTGACAAGGAAGTTGGCACAATACTTGTTTAGCACTTGGTCGACATTCAGGATCACCATGCAAAAGGCTGTTTTCCGTCGAGAAAAGTAGTTCGTGCAGTACCGGGTTGTCATGACACAAGTGTGTGCGGTTACGAAACCCTTCTCTGAGAGCGCGAATCTCATCATCTGGCCATGACTTTCGATCTTCTGGGTCTGAAACCAACAGATACAACACGATACCTGCGCTGTAAAGGTCTGCTTTCTCACTGTGTTTTTTATCAGCCGACAATTCTGGAGCTTGATAAAGTAGTCTTTCTGGATTTGGCCATTGCTGTTCCAGTGTTGCTTGATCAGACATATCGTCATGTTTGCTGTCTGTTGGCAGGCGTCTGGCTAACATAAAACCTCCGATCGCAACTTTTATTTCTCGAATTGATTTTGGATTGGGGAGTTTCACGAGAATATTTGTCAGATTTATATCGCGGTGAACCCATCCCATCGAGTGGATTGCATCAAGGCCGTTCAATATCTGAGGAAAGACTACTTTATAAAAGTCTTCGTCCTTCACAATCGACGGGAACTTTATTTTCATGTAATAATTAAGATCGTTTAGACACAGTTCCATCTTAAAACAAAGGTATTCCGTACCTTCAAACTCGCTTAGCCATTCATGAAGGTGCCTTATGACGTTGTGATCGGACAAGTCTTTGGTTAAAACGGATAGCTCCCGAATTCGGTATAGGGCTTGTTTTTTCGAGTTCCACTCAACGAGCTTAACAGCATGATAATTTCCCGTAATACCCCCTCGCGCTCGAAAAACGCCAAGACTGAAGTTTCCTCCGCCAAGAAATTTATCAACAGCCCATTGGTGACCTAAAATTTTTGTTGCTTTTTCAATCTTCTCCGTGTTATCCATAACAAAAGCGACGATTAGCTTGAAAGAAATTAGAACCGACTTGCAAATATTATTCTGCCGCGTCGTTTACATTCCTGTTTACAATGATGCGTCAGTAATAGCGAGGTTCAGATTTCACTACTGAACATTTTTTTAAGTTCAGATTTTTTAAGTTCAGATTTACGACGCTTGTCTCTGGGACGTTTTCGTGAATAAACATGGCGGTAGTGAAATCTGAACCTCGCTAATATAAACAGTGAGACGTCGTGCATAGTTCCGCATCTATTTTAGACCCAACCGCGTATTGGAGGAAATATACAACAAAACGATTATACCAATAGTAACATATGGAATATTAGTATGGGGTACATGCTCGCCGTCACAATTACAAGATTTCGAACAGTACCACGCAAGAGCTGCGAGGATAATATTTAATATAACGCAAGGCGACTTGTCACCAGAGCAGATATTACAAGATGCATGACGTATACCACGATAAGGCACCGCACGATTTGCAAAACCTATTTGCAAAGCGAAATTCAAGGCCAGGGAAAAGGAACTTAAATTTCGATATTGTTAGATGTAGAACTGAGAAAGGCAGAACCTCGTTGAGGTGTAGAGGTCCGATAATATGGAACCAACTTCCCGAGGACATTAAAATAATAATTAGCAAGGATAATTTTAAATCGAAACTCAAGAAAATAGAATTTAGTAATATAAACTTCCTGAAGGAAGCTGCTTTAAATAGTAATAAAAAAGACGATTTTATATATTATTAATTAATTAATTCTTAGTTATATTTAACATATATTGTAATCTTTAGTTTGGCAGGTCCACATCAGCTTTTAGTTGACGGATACTATAACCTGCCTTATCAAATAAATTATGAATGAATGAATGAATGAATGAAACCCTGTTTACAATACACTGTGGTTCCGCGTAAGTTGATAAATCGCACATAAACTGGATATTGTGTATCGTATTAACATTTGATTTACAAATAAAACAATTCGATCTAAAATAAGATAAATAATATATAAGAAAGACTAAATTTAAAACCCAGTTAATTATAAAGTATAAATACGCATAGAATATGAATACGTAATTACCAATTATACATGTTAGATCTAGATAACTTACTTCTGTGGCAATAATACGGCTTTAATACGGCTTAAAAATTCACACAATGAATGAAAGTTTTACTTAAATATTACGAGCAACGGGTAAATAAAGAAGCAGTTCTTTCGGAATAAACTGTTTTTCAAAGCTTCGTTGAGTAAATTTGCTTTAACATATCACATGCCTATGCTCTACAGCTTAGAGACCTATGGTAGGAACAGCCTTTGTCGACATGCATCGTCGAAAGAAAACTCTCCAAATCTGAATCTCGGAAGAAAAAACATAAATTATTGTGTGTTTATTTTCAAACTTTTGACCAGACTTTATTGGTGTCACTATATTTCAAATTAGGTGCGCCACTAAATTGTCCCGATATTTGGATGTGGCACTGATGTGCAAATAGCTAAATATCTAAAATTCGTACTGTGTCAATAGTATAATATTTACTGTAATTAATGAAAATGCAATGCATTGAGTCCTTCGATTAAACAATGGCTATAATACCAGATTGACGTGAGAATAAGCCAGTACTGCTTACGAAAAAATTGAAGTTTTTATCATTGGTCAAACAGACCAGACAATAACATCGCCATTCATAGCCAGGGGCGTTGACCTGTGGTTTTGTTCCAATACGAGCATATTTAATGCCACCATTGCAGCCGTCAAAAGAGTCGCAATATACATCTCGTCTCTTCTGAACAGCAGCATCTGCAAATGAAAGAGGTTTTGTAAAAAAAAGATGCTCTCTCACTGAGCATGTGGTTTAATAAAACCTTTAGTCGTCGGTCGTCACTTGCAAGAACTCAATAGGTAGGTGTATTATAGTGGTTTTTCGACGATTCAGTACGCGATTAATATACTAGTGATAGGATTTGGTTAAGATCACGGATACGATTAATAGATAACTTCCATATTATCACCTTAATTTGCTAAATTAATCTCAATCCTAAACCTAATTTTACCTTATTAATTTTAATACTAACTACTGGTTACAATCAAGGTTTAAGATTTTTCGGATTAGGGTTACCTGGATACTACGCTCAGGTAATGAAATTATATTCTATATTCTTTCACTAGTCTGTAAATGAAGTGGTTTCTACCTTTGACTGTACCTAAATTCCGCTTGGTGCTGTTACGGTATGCAATTTTCTTTGCAACTTGCGATGCAATTATAGGCATGGTAATGTAAACCGTGCTCTAAATGTTACTTTTAACATTTTAGCAGAACGTAACAAAATGTTATATTTTCCAGCTTTAGATGTCTCAAGGGTAGAATTGCATTGCAGGTTGCACAGAAAATTGCATAGTGTAACAACGCCTTTAGCCCTGATTCGGTTTTGACTGAGCTCCATATGGCTTACCTGGCAGGTAGAGGTGAAATGGCATTGTTGTAACAAGAGCATTTGGATTATATTTGGCGACAGCGTCGCTCCATCGCAGCAAATTTCCTTCGATGCTCGTTGCACCGTAGGATAATCCCTCGATAGCCTCTGCCGGTAAAACGTAATTCCAGACGTTTATCTGGGCTACTGCCTTCATCAGAGATTGATGGTTCTTAAAACCACCTCCGTACGAATCTTGTTCCTGAGTGATGACCCAGAGGCCTTTGGAAGAAAGAACTTGGTTCTGAGGAAGCCCCGTCTTTGTGCCAGCAATTTTTGCTTTCACGTAATGCCGCATCTCGCCTTTCACACCGTCCCATGATGCGCAAAAGTACTGCCACTTTTTGTTATTTAAAATATCATCGCCCAACCTTAATAAATCCAGGAGATAAAATTTCTTTAAAGTAATTCTACAAGATAGCAGCCTTGCCGCTAAACAAATTAGCATCTCTTGAAATATACTGCATTTCCGTTTCATATTTCTGTGAGTGCAGGGGCCGCGGAAGTGGGGAGCACTGGGGCACGGTACCCGTCCCCCCACTTTTGTTGAAAACACCAAAATGCGCTTCTTTTTTCAAGCGAACGCGCGACTGTTTTGTGTCATTAAATGTGCGTTATTATTGTACATGATCTCAGACTTGGTAGAGATTTTTATGTAGCAAAATGTTGCATTGCAGTGGTAATAAATAATTAAGTATTCAGTGAATTTCACTGTCTTTGCAGATCTATGAGAGAAAGTGCCCCTTTTTTTAGTGCAATGCCCCCCCCCCCGAATGGTTCGCGCCCTTTATTTCTGTTTTTTACAAGATATTGATAAAAATTAATGGTTTACACTTACGTTACGTCGTCAGTGTTACCCACACTGGATTTTATTTTTCCATTGTAAAATTCTAAGTAGAATTCATTCGAATTTGAGGGCGACGCATAAGAGATCAGACCCGGTGCTGCGGTAGAAGTGTAGACCAAGAAAAGCCAAGCGCAGACAGTCAATTGTTTGATTCCTTCGCCGTCATAAGGAAGAATTGCATGATTATATTCGCTCGCGTCGTCCATTGTTAACCGGACATTGGACAATCCAACTAGACATAAAAATGAAATACATTCTGGTGAGAACTGGATTGAATAGGTTTGCATCACCGAATTGCAGAAGCACTTCGAGATAGCGCTGGGAAAGCCAGACTGGACGATTCAGTTTGCGAATTGAGCATCAGGAATATAGTGGATTTCTAAGTCTAAAAGGATTACTATTTGTAGAATTAGCTATAATGTCACGAAACATATTAAACCTCAGCACGATTTTCCACCTCAAACTGTTCAAAAACTGAACAAAAACTTAACAAAAAACTGTTCTCTCGCGGTTTTAAATTTCATAGTCTTTATATTCTTTGCGCCATAAACAATATTGTAAGCCGTAAAACCCAATTAATAGGAAGTGGCCCAACATTCATCGTTAATCCACAGAATTATAGCATCTACGAAAGGCCCTCTGTGCAGAGGAGAGTGAGTGCATGAGAGTGACTCTCTGAGGGATTCATAGCAATCTCAAGAACTTACAACTGCTCACGACGGTCGACGGTTTAGTACGAACGACATGACCGTGCATATTTTGTTGTATATCTTTCCAAGATGCGACGTCGCCACTTTCAAAACCGGGATGCTTTGCGTGCATAACAATACGATCGACGCTCAGCCTGTACTTCCATATATTGAAACGACTCAAACTCCCCACAAGATCCTCATCGGAGGTGTATCCAGATCCTTTATCATCCCCGCTCTTCCCGATTATCAAATACGACCCCTCAACGACATGTCTCTTTTGAAAGTTGTTAAATAAAGCACGGTGTACGCCATCCAAGTAAAAGTCCCACTGCCCATTTTCGTTCTCCCACGTGATTGCCATGTGATGCCAACGGTCGTCGCTGATTGGCGGAAGTTTATGTAAGCTACATAATGTATAATGAAATTAGTGATCAGAAAAGTTGGTCAGAAAATAAAAGGTTTTCCTACATTTTACCAAAGGAGACTCACAAGATTGCAATTGTGGAGGAACCGTTTGTACTCTTGTTATAACTGTCACCTTAACTATCCCCACTTTTAGCCTATTATATATTTCATACCATTCTTCTGATCCCAGTAGAAAATGTAATTCAAAACTGCCTCGGAGAGCAACGAGAAGGGTGGTCGTGAGGTCTTTAGTGAAGCTTGCAATCGCTTTCAGTTGAGTGCCCGCTGTCGGAATCCACGTCGTCTTCAGCCACCAGCTTATGGTGAATGAATCGAGTGATGGTATATTTGAAATTGCTTTAAATGACGACGTTCCACTCTGCCCAGAGAAATGCAAGTCTGAATCTCCCAAATCTTCTGAGGAAATGTCTATTCAAAGATCACGTAAAATCATGACGTAAAATTAGTTGACGAATTAAGAGTAATATATATTATTGACAGTTATATAATAGCCATACTTGGCTACATGACTGAGTGATGTTTCGTGGTTAAGCGAGGTAGATAGGACATGAACATTCTAGGGATTTTAGGGATTGATTTCAAAATCAATCCAGTGAGTATACTTCCTGCATCGCCTACCTCGTTTACTGCAGTCTCTTGATTCAGCGCTTTCCGATGGTGATGGTGTGAAATCTCGCCCCCACTTCACAATACTTCCGGTGGACGTATGACTTAACGTACACGTCATCGCCATCGCTTTAATCTCGTCGCTAGGCAACACTGTGTACCAGGCATTGAACTGACTCATCTTTCCAGTGTAATCAGCACTGCCTCCGAAATGCCCCAGTGTCCACACTCCGTCCGCTTTCACAATGGCATCTTTGAAGAACGATTTCCCAGAGGGATATCCGCGAATTACGCCATCGACAAAAACGTTCACGTGACCACTGGTGCTGTTCCACGTGACACAAAGGTGGTGCCATTCGTCATCATAAAGAGGAGGCATAGTGAAGGTGGCCTGCTCACTATAATGAATTGATGGAATTTAACAGTCATGTTTTGCTTAAACTTTTAGAACTTCGTTATCTTAGACTTACGCGTTGATTCCAAATGAAAGGTCGTTGTTAGAATAGCCCAAACTCATAACGCTCGGAGAAGTTCCATCGTTTTTATAACCGAAGAATGTCCCTGAGGCAGCGTGACTTGATTTAAACCAGAAACAAACTGAGATCTCGATTAAATTGTCTGTGTTATTTCCCTTCCATGTGTGATTTGTAGAAGGAAATTTCAAATCAAATTCATCTGAAATTTGAATGAAAAAACAACTTGAAAACTCGTTGAAATCGGGCAGACGTGTTGGCAAAAAGAGAACGGTACATCGACGAGTATGTCAAACGAGTTTTTTGTTGTAGTCCTCCAGCTTTTCTACGTTTTTATTCCGTAATTTTGTCACATTCAAACCTAAATTTTGTGGTTGATTCAACGGTGTGAACAAACTTACCATCCTGACAATGATAATAAGGATATATTTTGCTTTCTTTACATTTGTTTTCATAACGACATTTCCCAGCATCACAGCCAAGCTACGAAAAAGAAAACAATACTTCTCGGTCACTGCAAAAGTTAGGATTGAAAAAAGGCGTCTTTTCTATCCCTCGTCTGGTCTGGGGACCCTGAAAGATTGATTATTTTGGTGAGTAATAAAGGTCTATCGCTGAGCATGACAATAGAATGTAGATGGAGATGGACCTTTATAGAAAGTCGTCGCTTTGAAGTATTTGCAGACCTGATCCTAATTGGCTAGAACTGTCTTCAATGGCCAATCAGAAGCATACTTCTTCCACCGCCAAACTACGTGATACTACGGAATTAAAAAGGTCTGTCTGACCAACCATCATCATACCGCGGGAAATGTATCACTTCCAAAGTAGGTAACTCCTGGCGCGTCTACAAAGTCGTTGGGTTGTTGCCCCTTTGTGCTGCTGCTGAGTTCGCATTCAAACACATCTACTTTCTCTTGACGAGCGTTATACGATTGGCAATTCGTAGCCCGGAGACAGGCAAAACCACAGTCTATCTGGCTGTACTCATGGATGATATCGATTACATGATTCTTTAGTGCCTTGCCTGAAGATTGAAAATAATGCATGCATTCGTTAGCGGGAATGTTTTGAGAAATATACTCGCGGAAACACTCAGTCACGTTTCATCCAGGTAGACAAACCAGGAAACATTTTTCTAAGCCGCACGTCATTTCTTGAATGTGGATAAAGGATAAGAAGCATTGTTTCCTAGCCGTGTTTTTCGAAAATAAGCAATTCAGGAAATATGCATAGTTCCCTAGTCACGTTCCTCGAAGATGGGCAAACCAACGAAACACAATTTCGTTAATCATGGGCATGTCTCGCGGTTGTTGCTACCTGCATTTGAACTTTCTCTTGCGACACGGACATGTAAAGTAAAAATAAAATTACTTACCTTCAACAACGGTATCAAAAGACGTTGTCCTGACATGGTTCCCTCGATACGGTTTACCCGCCAACAATGTTTTCAGGCAAAGAAGAATAAGCAGGAAACTGATGGAGTTTTGTAGAGCCATCATTTGCCCACCACTTCGTCAGCTTTGTTACCTGCGTATTTGAAGCACTGAGATTTGGTTTCCAACGCTTTGCGTCTACCGTTTTGCAGGTGGTAGTGCGTGCTTGCGTGGGCTAACAAACAAGGAAGATAAAGGTCGCATCTCTTAGTTCAAATCTTGTAATTTTTCCGGGCAGGGTTTGTGGAGCGTTGGCTCAAATTTGACGAGTGTAGTGTGAGTCAACTGAAATGCATCAGGATACAGGCTTTTTGACCCATTATCAGTTCATATATTGTTTAGGGGAAGCGAAAAACACTGACTTTCAAACACATGTTTACCGAATGTGGGACGTTTTGACATAACATGAGCATAGTCTTGATTGGGTAAATTAAGAAAATAATTGGGTTAGTGGTTTTCATCTACTTAATTGGGAATAACAAATTAACAAGCCTAACACAGTCAGATAGAAATAATATTGGGAGAAATATTTTATACGAGAGCGATTGTTTTAGTGCTATTCAAACTTGAACCCCACTACTATGAGTGTTATCCCCTCAATTCTTCTGTTTTATACTTTTATTTGCTGCATGCGGGAAGCACTGGGGTTAACTAGGGTTTAGTTTCCAACGCTACGCGTCTTCACTTGCAGGTGGTAAGGAATGACTGAAATCAACAAGTATATGAAGTTTGCATTTTGTTGTTTGTATTTCACGCGCGACTCACTATTGCAATCCGGGATATTTATTATTTCATGAAGTTATGGCTACGTCTCTACAAATTGTGCTAGCTAACTTTGAATTTTTTAAACTAAATCTGTTAAAAAAATCGCTCAAAAGTTGGAAAATCTCATGCTCGCATCAGTTCGATATAACAGCCCCACAGTGCGCTCCTATTTTTTCTTACCACTGGTACACGCGTGTTTCCGTGCGTGGTCGTGATCGTAACGTGCTTCCGCGCGTGCTTCCTCCAAGCTTGCCCGTGTTCTATGGCGGACCAAAGCATGTAAAAAGTTGAGGTTATTTACAAATTGTATTCAGAAAATTTATGTGTTTAACCTTCGTTTCTTCCTGAAATAATCGTACGATATAACTCTCTGAGATCTGCAAGGAATTTTGGGTGTATTTCGTCCTAATCGAGCAGTTTTTTCCCCGTGGGATATGTCTGGAAGTCGTTCAGGAAAGAGCATTCTCTTTGAGTATTGCCAAAAACGTAAAATTGGTCCGCCATATTTTGAAACCTGGGCAGCTCCGAATGGTTATCAGGCAAAAGCAGTAATAGATGGATATCCTTATCCGACTAGTGCTGTCTTTTCTAAAAAGAAGGAAGCTGAGCATGATGCTTCGAGAGCTTGTCTTGCAAGCCTAGGAATTTTTGAGGATGAAACAGACAGTGGTGGAGGATATGGTGAGCATGGCCCAGATGTAGTCATGGGCAACCAAGGTTATCCTGGTGAGAACCAAGATTATCAGGATAACCAAGGGTGCCCTGTGGACCAACGCTATCCCAGTGTCCCAGGACAACTTGGATCCAGTTTTTCAACGCCAAGTCCCAGAGGCTTCGGTCGGCCACCAAGAAGTGGTGGCCCATCTGGTGGAAATGTGAAAATGCCAAAAAGTGTTCTTCATGAATACTGCCAATCGCAGAAGATATCCCAACCCCAATATGAGACTGAGGCAAACTATGATGGTTGTGCATTACTAGGGTTCCATTGTGTCCTGTTTGTAAGAGATGAGTATTTCACCACAGATCACCTGTTTAGTAACAAACGTGATGCTGAACATGCTGTTGCACAAAAGGCTTTGAATGTTTTTGGGTATTATACAAGGTCCCCTTTGTATATGGATAGCACACCCCCTCCAAATCCAGCAGGAGCACCTTCATACAAAACTCCTGAAAGTTCGTACAAAAATCTTTTGCAAGAACATCTACAACAACGAAGTATTGAAACACCTTCCTATGAAACACAGTTGACAGGTAAGGTCAGAATAGAGAAATCCAGGAGATTTTGATTGGTAGTATCTCAAATTTGTTTTCTTACAAGGCAAGGAGGCTGTCTGCCTTGATGGTTTGGTATTTATAATATATTTTTAGATAGGGGATATATCAGTAAAGTTTCAATTGAGGGGAGAGTTTTCAAGGCCAAGGAATGCTGTCAGACTAAGAAACAGGCAGAGCAAAGTGCTGCTAAAGCTGGACTCATTGCAATGGGTGTGAAGGACCCAGAAGCAGTCGCTATGAAGTTGCTGAGAAAGTAGGTCATTCAGGATTTTTTTTTGCCAGGGTTTTAATGGAAATCTGAATAGTTTGTGAATCCCTTATCTTTGTTTTCTGTGAGTCATGTACGTCCCTCCAGTAAGTAATCAAATGATTATTTTGAGTTATCGAAATTATATTGAAGAAGTTGTCTTCCCCTGAACTAATTGTCCAGTTCAGTCATAGAGCCATCAAAGCAAATTGTTATTTGGGATGAAGTATAATGACTTACCCTTATTAACCTGTCTTCTCAAAGTTGCATATAAATAAAGATAAAATGTGTCATCCGACTTTTTTTTTCCCTTTTCCAATTTTTACCTTGGAATCTGCAAATGGCTGTGTTTAGAGTTTTGTCAATATGAGACTTGTGGTACAGTGTACCTGACCAGTAAAATGGTCTAGGAATAGATGAAGTTGCCAGCATTTTAAAGAAAGGAAGATTTTATTTAGAAATTCTCATGGTCGATATAAGAACGCTGAAAATGTGCCATACAAGAAAGATTTGCATGATCTTGAGCCTGAGCAGACAGAAACTGATCAAGTGCAAGGGAATACATCATGGATTCACAATCACAAACAGTCTGAATTTGATGTTGATGATTATGATGACATGGATGGGGAGTTTACTGATTTTCAAAAGGCTGCACCAGTGAAACTAAAGTAAGTTCAATAGAATACAGTTGTTTCTTCATTACCTCGACAACTCTGAGTACCATTTTTTATCAGAGAGGATCAGACCTTTCCCAAGTATATTGCCAAGATTTTTCAATTCTGCAAGCATGCGATCATAAACACTTCAACTTACAGGCGGAAATTAGAGGAAAGTGGCGAAGACGACGAGTTCTTTGGTACGCCAGAGCAACGTCCGCACAAGATGCAGCGCGTGGGTGAGGTTTCAATGAGCAACAGTCGCCCATCGTCAGAGAGACGGTCAAGAAGACGAGGAGAATATGAAGTTGAGGATGTCCATCTTGGAAACTTATCTGTCGGCGAGGCATGGCCAGAACGAAGGAATATAGTCTTGGTTGGTAGCGAGGAGACTTCTATACCTCTCTTTTGTCAAGGTGGGTATTTTGACTGTTTTCAGAAGAAAAGTACTCTGTGGTATGGTTGCGGTAGGGAAAATTCAGATTTTTGTATTGCTACATTTCATAGGGAATATGGAAAGGTGTGCTCTGGAGGACCTGTCAGCTGGTACCCTAGTGGATATTGTACCTGGTAAGATATCAATTGTGAACCGATTCCTGGTACACTTCATTAAATTTATCGGAGTATAACTTACATATTGTGATGGTGATACTCAGAGTTACCAACCAGGCGAGCTGAAGAATTAGCTTAACGACGTTGGGAATCAAACCTGTGACTGTTTGCTAGTCCAAATACTCTTTCAACTGAGTTACTAGGTTAAGCCGGTTCAAATATGTGATTATTCTCTTTAGGGCATCGCCTGGTTGGTTTGGAAGGTTACTACGTAATACGCGGAGGTCAGATTGTACTTCGTGCAACACAATGCCAGCAAATTTTGATGCCGGAAAAACCCGATAAAGTATTGATCAGTTGTGGCGTCGTTGTGCTCCATTGCATTCCAAGACGCGATGGAACGGAAACTAGGTGTGTACCCTCTCCTGGGCCATGAGCCCTGACCTGAGGAGTGGGGCAGACTTTTCTACGACGAAAGCTAAATAGCGCTATCCACCACTGGATAGTGGATCAATCGCTCTAAAATTGCCTGTTGTTCGGTATAATTTTGTTTAAACCTATTTCTTTTTAATTTGGAGGTTTTCTATCATGACTTTTAGATCGAAATCTGTAATCTCAATGCTTTTCAAGCTTGTTTAAAAATCACTGTCCGCAGAATAGTAGCTATTCAGCTTTCGTACAAGCGAATTAGGGCCATCTTGCGTGGCCTAACCTTCATCATATTATCTTCTGGTTGTAGATGTGATGTGAATGTTTTACTCAAGCGCTATCTCTGCAGCCAAGCCTTTATAAACGTTGTTCGTGGTCTCGCGCAGTATTTCCGCAATATGCAGGCAGACCGTCCTTTCATTCTAAAGACAAGCTTGATCATTGCTCACATTAAAGACTGGATGCTGGAGGAGGTTATGGCAATATCCTCGTTCTCCGAAACAGCGTTAGAAAACGTGTTTCAACACACAATGAAGTTTGATAAACGTTGGGTGAGATTCTTAAGAGAGGACAAGATGTCTAAGGAGTTAAGAGAAGTACAGGTAGGCGAAGGCGTTGTATACCAGTGGTGCCCGTATCTTGCGTCCACTCTGTCCGCCTCCTGCCTCCACTTTGCCCGCAACCTGCCTCCACTCTGCCCGCCTCCTGCCTCCACTCTGCCCGCAACCTGCCTCCACTCTGCCAGTATCTTGCCTCCACTCTGCCCGCAACCTGCCTCCACTCTGCCCGCCTCCTGCCTCCACTCTGCCCACCTCTATTTTGCCCAGCTGTCTCTATTCTGCCCACCTCCTGCCTCCAGCGCGCTCACGTTTTGCCTCCAGCTGCGTCTCCTCGGTGCAATCTTCGTAACATAATCGGAAACATGCACTGTATACTTACTGCATACTTACTGTATACTGCATACTGTACTTACTGTATACTGCATATATGAAGTACTGTATAGAAAATATTTAGTCATATTGAATATCATGTTCATAGATCGCAGCTAATAAAGAGTTATTTCGACGTGCCAACAGTGGCGAAGATCAGAATCAAGATCGGTTTCGACCTTGGAGGTTACCTAAAGGAAACTTTTACCATCGCATGCTTTCTACAGGTATGGATGGAAAGTTCTTTTCACTTTGAATCAGTCATCACTTGTAAGACTGTTTCTTCCAACTTCAAGGACGCTTCCTCCTTCTTTAATACGCAATGTTCTGCTTTCAGGCGTGTTCATAGAAGGCCCAGCTGAAGCTGCGATGCGAGAACTCAAAGAAGAGACTGGTATAAAGCTGAAACTCTCTGATATAAGTTCATCTCCGTTTATCGATCTGGCTCAAGCTGACAACATAAATCCACATAAAGGTACAACGTATTCACATTTTCCCTTTGTGGTTGACCCTCGAAAGTGTTTTTCTATTAATTAAAAAACATAATTTTGGTTAAGGCGACTTTTCTCGATATTACCTCTGTGGTATTATCACTGAACCTGAGAGTTATGAAGACGAGGATCCTCAAGGTATGCTGTAGACTGTAGTAGTGGCTTCTATTCTGTGACGAAAACGCGGTATAATATAATCAAAAGTGTTTACCAAAATTCGATTCGAGTAAATCGATTGGTAATCCAATTCCTGGAATTCATACTTTTCTCATTTTCCTTTACAGAAACAGCTGCTGAGAGTCAGGAGACCTCAGGCATGGATTCATCCACACCGATCGTGAAGAATCCTATCTCTTGCACGGACCCAGGCTACCAGGACAGCAGTTTAAATTATTCGGGCATGAATTCTGCTCCTGTCAGAATGGCCCCAGTTCTCACAGATCTTGGTCCGACAGACCCATCTCCCACAGGCCCAAGCCCCGTTATCACGAATACAACTTACGATCAGGCGTATTCAGCTAACGTCGACGCATGCTCAGGCAAGCCGAGTTCAGGCTACCCTGGCCCGGGCTATGCCAACGCTGATGCATATTCTGGTTATGGGAACACAAGCTCAAACTTTCCTGGTACGACAAACGCTAACACCGGTTCAAATGCTACAGACACAAATTCAGCGTATGCATATACTGCTCAAGAAGGCGGTAATCCAACAGACACGGGGACATCTGATACCAAATCATACACGTCGGGTTACACACCCACCAGCTCAAATTACCCTGCTGCATATTCTGCTTATGGGAGCTCTGATTGCGGTGCTGCAGGGTCAGCTTACAGTAGCTCAGGTTCAACTTTTGGTAGTGCATATTCAGCCTACACTGAAGCATATTCAGCTTATTCAACCTCATCAAATACTGGTTCAACGTCTTCTGGTGCATATTCTACTGACCAGGGCGTGGCTCCAAATACTGGCGTTGGTTCAACTTCTGCTGGTGCATATCCTGCTAACCAGGGCGTGGCTTCGAACACTGGGGGTGGTTCAACCTCTACTGGTGCACATTCGACCTACACGTCTAACAATGATAGAAACTCTACTCAACCCACTCTTTCTGGCACATCCTCCACAAACTCCGGTACTAGTGATTCAAGACAGCCTACATCAAGTACCACGTACCATGGTGCTTATTCAGCATACACGGACGCGTATTTAGCGTATGCTGCCGCGAAACCATCTTCCACAAGCACGAACTCGTCCTTTACTAGCACGAACTCATCTTCTACCAGCACGAACTCACCTTCGACCAACACGAGTTTCCCGAACACTACAAATAAGACCCCAATTGACCCTAATCCACCTCCAACGCGCACGGAATCAATCTCAAAGAACACAGCTTCTGCACACGTGGATACTTCTGGTAGTTGCGTATAAAACTTGCACACGAGCCTGAGAAACGCATTTAAATGTTTCAATAGCTACTGCATGACCTGATGTAGCTAGAATCTTCTGTGATTTGTTACCAGCTCTGACGATAGTTTATGGTTCCCTTTTTGGGAAGGCAATTTCTATAGTTGTAGCGAAGGTGTTTTTGTCTATTCTAGGCTTTTGTACATCACACTTGACGCAATCTTAATACTGTTTCCATTCTTTAGATACGAGTGAAAATAAAGAATCCAACTTGGTCAAAAACGAGAGAGAGGAAGAGACGACCGTTATTCGATCTCCGTTCGTGGCAGGTGCGGTTCACGAGGAATGCAGGTGGTTTGACATGGAGGAAGCCAGGGAGATATCCACGATATTTGAAGAAATATATAAAAGCGCCGAATTCCAAAAACTTTTAGCAAAACTAAAAGGAATTGTGTCCGCAATGTGACCTGGAAATGCCCGGACATCTTGGCGGGAAAATGAATATGCAGCTGGTCTTCTTACCAGTTACCAAGAATAGTTTTTTACTGGCTCGTAATTTTACTGGTGTTGTGTAGTCGCAGCTATCTTTCACATATCTTGCTAAGCAAAGTGAAAATGTCGCGATATTTTTACGTTTTCACGTTCAGACAAGTGTTCGTACATAGTGCAGATCTTCGTTCTCCAGAATAACTTGCGACAGATTTTACTAAACAAAACGATTTTTTACCATCTGACAATAGTCGGTTCGTGTTCACAGAAGACTTGTCACAAGTTCTGCGATAAACTTCGTGTTGTGTTGCAAAATGCATTTCATCCTTGAAACAGCTTATGCATTGACAACATCAGTGCACTGTTAGATGCAAGTTAATTTGTAAAAAGACTAAATTTGTAGTGTCTATAATAAGTAGTTCCATATTGAGTTCCATACAGGTACTTTTTAGCCGCAAAGTTTTGTCTCTATTATTTTTCCGCCGATCGGACTTTTAATAAGTCAACGTCAACGATAGTTTCTTCCTCATTTTTTTATACAAAAAACGCGGTTATTAAACATATATGAAACGGATATGGCTCGAATAAAAGTTTATATCTGCTAAAAAATCGCGAGCTCAGGGAACGCGATTGAACGGCTAACAACCACCTTAATTAATCTACGCGAAAATTCTCCCCGGTCCCTGCGCGGCGAAATTCAAAATGGCGGTGGCCATGGTAGCAGCGTTGGTGAAATTCCAATATTCAAGATGCAAATTCGAGACCTGCGACTATGGAATAAGTTTAACATTTATATTCGTACATCTGCTTTAAATTCATCAAGCAAAGACATCTCGTTCACAGGTTTGTGATGAATTGTTTTGAAAAACATGTATACCACCTGGTATAAACATACAAGAATGCGCTATGATGAATGATCTGATTGATCTTCAGCTCTTCTCAAAATTAAAATGATTGTGTAAACTGTAAACTTTTCGGTTCATATGACCGCACTGTGAAGATGGGGGACAGTAGTAATCCTGCTATTTTCATGACCATTATTGATCAGGGGAAAATGAACATGAGGCTGGTCCTCTAACTCCTCTTACCAAGAATAGTTTCCAGAATCCTGTTGAGGATATTCTGGTTTTTTCATCTAGTGGGCTGTGTGACAGCAGGTAAACAAAAATACCAAGTTATAAGTTCAGATAAATTAGTTTAGGGATCAAAGTTAGATTCGTCATTCCAGCTGACTGATGCAATATTTTGAACTGTATTGCAGCACCTCTAGGGTGTACCACTTTCTATTCTATTCAAAACTCCAGTTATAGGACAGTCTAAGAAATTTCTTTGACTGTTCAGGCTTAAAATATATATGGCAAAAGATTGTGCTTTGGCAGTTACCCTGGTGCTGTGCGAAATCATAAAATAAAACTTTCTTTGTTCTCCTTATTTCTTTGTAAACTACTTGATATTGCTTTAAACCACTTGACCTCAACAATCATACTCACACTTTGCATTATTTACCTGCAGAAACTTTATTCATTTGTGGAAACTTTCAATATAAGCGCATATAACATTAAACTATAGCGTTTCTTGCAAATAAATTATGCCAAATCTTTGTTCACACTCGTCAATCCAGATACTGCTTTTTCCATTGGAAATATGTACGCAGAATGTTCAAACATTGATGGCATTCTGCCACAACTGTGAACATATGTGAACCTTTGAAGAAAAATTACTTTTAAAAGAGAATTTTTCATGTTCACATTAAGTTCATATTTCTATAATCCTAGACTCCATTTCATTATCTTTACCATTTTCTTGTGAAGTAAAGTATATTACTCCAGTTTTATATTGAGGCTAGTGGAGTCATACAAAGCAAGTGCTAACCAAGAAACCATGTCGATATTTGACGTCAAATTCTGTAATGCTTTTTTTAAATATTATATGTAGATATATTCATTTGCAAACGGTTAAAACAGCAAGACTGCCTATGCCAAAGGCTGTTGTTATAAGAGCACTCTTCCACCAGCTGCTGTTGCTTTCGTCAATGTCTTTAAAACGTGCATTCAGTCCGTTCTAGAGAAAAAAAATATGAAATTATGGTTCAATTATTCTTACCTCTAAAAGTTCTAAATCTATATATCTGCAAATTGCAGCATACTCGATGATGGTATTATCAGAAGTGTGTGATGATCCAAAGAATACCTATCCAGATGAGTCATTCGAATTTTACATATCTTTTTCGATTGCTGTGCATTTCATACAAGTGTGAATGGATTTTACTATACAGTTTGCAATGACTTGACATTTTGCACCTGCATATTTCCTCCCACATGGCAAAAGGATTTCACAATTCAATGGAACCCTCACAGCTGATAACATCTTTTCAGCCAATCAAATGTGCAGTTAAAAATAGCAAACTTCGAAAAGATGTTTCAGCCCGAAAATCAAAGCGTCGATCTGTCGTCTTTCCGGGAAGAAAAGAAATGAAAGAATTCAAGTTGATTCTGGCGGCCGGAAAATGTTGCAAATGATAGGATTAACGAGTTGCAAATTTCGTAAAAAGTTACAAATTATTGATTCGAATAAATTATTCACGCTTAGGTGGTCGGATTATAAAACACTTGGAGTAGGAATATTTTCAAATATTCATCAATGAATGACCGCATAGCGATATAGTACGCAAGAAATATAGCCAAAGCTGATTCTTATAACCTGAAAATAGCCCGGAAATTCCAAATAATCGTTTTGCAAAGCTTGTCGAATTCTTTGCATACCAATTGCTAATCCCGTGAGTTGCGTTTGAACAAAACTGTGGGAAATTCTAAAGTTGTATCAAAAACGTTTGCCTTGAGTGATAAATTTGTTCGAATTGGATGAGAATTGATTCGCAGTACCCAGAACGTCCCGTCTCCTTCGTAAAAAATGATCGAAATTTGAGATTTGGGAATCATTCACGACTTTCGTGCATACGTCTGTTAACGAAGCGGAAATGTGTGTAATATGACGAACTTGCTCGAAAATATTTGCCAAACGACCGAGTTTTGCCTTTGAAAATCGGCCAAAAGATGAATTTGCTTTGGAGAACGCGATTTTTCGTTCTATCTGGCAAAATAGCGACATTTCTGTGCCGCAATTTTATTTGCAAGGCCACACACGAAATGTAAACAAACAATATAGCCAAACGAGTTTTCTCTCTCGTGTTTTCAAACCCACGGAAACGAGTAGGGTCGACGTGTTATTTTGCCCTTTCTAAGACAGTCTTCGAAATGAAACTGTTTTCAAAGAGCGGATATCAGGCACATTCGGTTCGTAATGGGCGAGAAGTTGGGCTCAGGTGTACGGGAATTACTCATTCATGGCATCGACCCTTTGTCCATAACAAACGAACGTGATCCAAACGACGATATGCGGGCAAAGATTTGGCTTTAACGCAAGATGGAAAACAAATAATTTTCCCTACCCATCCGCCTTGCTGTTCAATCCAGCCTAAGCCGATGACAAACCTCGCCGTCCATTCGGTCAAATCTTCTATCTGATCACCCATGTTGTTCTCGTTACAATATTTCCCAAGTCTGGCGCTAAATGCGAACAGCACCACTATACGTCCCCAATTTATTACACCGTCTGCGAACACCTCCTTCGCAATCTCGCAAAAAGAACTATATCCTGTTTCTTTGGAGAAGTTTAATTTCGAACATAATTGCTCCAGCAAGTCAGGATTCCGCCGTTCTATATCGTCCGAAAGTTTCCGAAGTGTTTTAGCGGTGGAATTAACTGGTGGCCCTGGTCGACCGAGTTTGTAACTTATAAGATCCTTTGCCAAGACTGTTCCCTCCTCATACAGCGGCGACTGGGCTGCGTGCTCGCAAAATCCGTTTGCAACTGCCATATGTTGTGTATATAACCTACTTGAACCCTCCGCAAATTCTATTTTAGAGGCTAGTATATTCGTAGTGGAGTTCCAGCAACCTATTAATATTGGCAACACAGATACATAGCCATGCCTGAAATAGAATAACCAGCTTATCGTACACTAAAATATCCAATCCAAAATGTCCCGTTTAATGGTTCAGTTATATCCCTCGTCCATCGGCCCGTACCCCCAAAATCGACGAAAATCAAAAATGGTGAATCCTGAGAACAATTTTGTCAGATGGCAGACACGTTCAGTTTCGCCCTTCCAAGGACAACAGGACAACAACGGGTAGACTGGTGTACGAATTATTCGACTTTTTTTCCTTTATTTTGGTCGATGAGCTGTATGACGTATCCGCGTCATGATTGGTGGAAAAAACGGCACGCACGTCACGTGGGTTCCACGTGAAAAAAGCCGTGCGTCATTGTCAGAACAGACCTGCGCCTCTCATTGGCTCAGATCTCTGATTGTTCGCTGCGGTCAAAATAAACACGAAATATTTTTGAATCATAATATCACAAAAGAACGTGGAGGCTGGCCGAACAAGCCTAGCCGAGAAATCGCGATTTTTAGCTGCTAAACCCGCTGAATTTGTTGGCGTCTTTCATCGTCGAGTTTCAATCTTGCGCAGATTAACTGTAGCCGAGGTAGCTTCTTTCAATTATCAGGAGGAATATCTATCCAAAAGGCCGACTGTGTCCGTTTGGCATCGAGGACGAGATCATATCCCGCGAAATAGATGGTGAGTCCTTGAGTCATAAACATTGCACTTTATTGATTTCTCGGGGAAAGCACGAACGGTATTTAAGCGTTTGTCTCGAGCAAACTTGCGCGTATGCGATAGGAAGAAACGTCGTATGAAGTCCACCAAACTTGCATTGTTTTTGTTTCGCAAATATTATTATTAAATCTCTCAATATTATCGGCTAAGCCAAGGTGTGACGCAGTAACTGATTGGTAATTTCTTTTCAGATTATGGAAGAAGGAGAGAAAACAATTAATAGGGGCTGCGACGCCGGTGAACAAGCGTCAAAACCAAGGCCCATGCCGGTAGCAAGCGATGAAACCCAGTCGACAAGCGAGGCCGTGCCACAAGGACAGGCCAGTCGCCCCGATTTGGCATCTACCGGCACTCAAGAGAGACGGACGGATAAAAAATGTTTCACTCCAAAAGAAATTGGACGAATTTTGCGCCAATTGGGGGACGATTTGGAGTCGCTTGCAGAGAGGCGAGCCGCAGCGGAAAGGACTGAGAAAAACGATTAAATTTTCGGGCTCTGGTGTGTTTATAAAACGATAGAAACCTAAATGACGACATCGTAGATTTTCCCGCGGCTTCGCGCGAAACTGTCACAGCAAGTTGATCGGCTTCCGTGACCCTAATGGACTTCCCTTTTACTTCCCTCGTTAGCCAAAGGTAAACTTAGTTCTGTTATGCATTCGAGGAAATATGCTACAAAGTTTGCTTTGTTACGATCGTGACGAGACAATCGTGTTCCGTGTTTCTCGGCCGAGTGCGCATAATGTATAATAGAGTTCCGTGTAATAGTGTTTTGTTTTTCTTCGGTAATTTTTGTAACGACACTTGTTGTGCCCGTGTCTAATTCCCCTCCGTTTGGTTGGGGTGTTCGTAACATGCCCATATTGGGCGCTTTAGTCCCACTGTAAATGGACATTAGTGAGAAATTGCTGTTATCAGCAAATTGTACATAAACAAACGAGGCCTTGAATTTGTAAATATTTTGTATTATTAGTAATGGCATGTGAACTTTTGTATAAGCGTATAAACTGGTATATTTAGTCTGCATAGTATAGAGTTGTAAATATATATAGGAAAGAGTCAGTAATGATAGTATGTAAATACTGTAATTTTGTAGACTAGATACTGAGGCTTCGTCTCCTGATATGTAAAGTTAATTCGCATTAAACGATCATTTCGTTACATCAACTCTGCAGCTGTCTTTGAAAAGCAGCCAAATTTGATCTTTTTTGAATGCGTAATTGTTACTAATGCCAACGGCTCGTGGCGCACAATGGCGGCGCGCGTTTCCGATTGCTTTTTGTTTGCTGTATTGTCGCGATTCGCATCAAAATTTACATTGAGAGAAAGCCGCGCATCTAACATAGCCAAGGACAAAGGTCTCCTGTTGAAAAACAGCTGTTATTTTCCGTCGTTTTGTAATATTTCCGGCGCGTGCTATAGGGGATTCCCTGGTAATCGTGCCCAAACCGGCCCGCGTTCTACCATTTCGCAATGCCTCTCAATTTTCCCCCAACAAACGGAATATCTGTCAGAATATCTACTTGAGAAAATAGAAGATGGATAGCCTTATAAGTTACTATTGCATGCATTCAAAACAGGGGTAAACTCTGCGCTTTTAGCGTCAACCCTACTTATGCCTTCTATTGTAATAATATACCCTCTTTACACTCGCCATAGACATTCTGTCTGCATGGAGTGACTCGTACATATAAAACGAAGATACTTCGTCTTATAATTCAGCATCTTCGTGTCTCCTTGTTGACTTAAAAAGCAGACGAATCGTTTAATTTACTTGTCCATTTGCACACGCAACGCGACTAATTGTGATAAATAGCCACTCTCTTCTCGAGACGGAACACCTGTCTGGATTAACTTCAGCAAAGAAAAGATCTGATTTAAATTTGTCTGCGTTTAAACAATAACCTCAGAAATAGAATTGGCCATCTATCGTAATCGAGTATTAATAAACAAGCGCGCTTCTTTTTTTCGATCTGAACGATGTACGCTTTTTCCCAAAAAGGAGATCCTATTTGAACTCATGGAGGCGAATAGACATATGTTGCAACATATGCATATACAAGTTCGCTTACAAGACAAACAGTAGATTATCCTTTTAAGGTGCAAATTAAACATGCCAGCGCATTACTGAACGCCCAAACGTGTGGTGTTTTTCATGATGATAAATTGTAGAATATTGTATGTACAGTGAAAGTAAAATGTACAATGTAGTTCAGGTTTATGATTAATTTCCCTTTATCCACAACGTAAACTGTGGCTACAAAGATCGGAGAAATATCTAAACCACAACCTTGGTGAGCTTGAAAACCTTTTTGACAAACGGAAAAACATCTCGTTTGACATTCATTAACAATTTAATGACCACTTGGATATTTGCAGTATGTATTATTTTGCCTTTTCGTGACAAACCATTTATCAGTTACCAAATTCGGATATGATATGCGTACAGTTTTTTAGAAGTCAAGTATTGGAATTGCTTTTGTCTTTCAATCGAGTCTAACGTGACTGGAAATTCCAAGCATGCATATTTGCGTTTTTTGAGACGGGTATTTTCTTGTTGACCCAACAAACTCTATTATCTCTGTTTACACTGGCTGGAAGGGCAATTCCCGAAGCCTGCTGAATCATTGAAATTTTCAACGCCTTTGCTTTCTTGAAAAATATTCTTCTTTCTACGAGATTGTGGTATAAAATGTCTAGCTTGATATATTGGACGAGATATTTGAGTCGAAATCACACAAAGAAAAAGAAGCTTCGGATATTTTTGACATAAAAACGTGAAGGGGGTGAAAACAAAATGCGTCATGGACTAACTTGTCCACGTAGTTATCGAACAGATGTTTTCATCCGTCTTGATTGGGATCAATTCTATAAAATATGAATCACGCAAACCATTAATTCTTTACATTAATTATATAAACTATTTCTGAGTTAGTTTAAACGCGTTAAAAAGCCCACGGAGCGTTCTTCGTTTACATTTTAAAATCCGAGTCTTTAAATAAATGTTAATTGAAAATTTCGATGAATACGCAATGTTCAAACTGATTACAAAACGAGAGAGCCATAACATAATATACGTTTATTAAATTAGTTTTAATTAGTTTTCAAAAAATTATTTAGGTAGAAGTTTCTAGTCTTATATTCGGCCAGCGCTTAAAACGGAAATCGAAGTTTTTCTGATCTTCATTGTGCCACAGTGCAGGTTGATTCTTTCAGATTCTGACATGACCTAGCTGTATATATATATGGTATTATCACTTTACTATAAATAAGTCGCATTATCGCTAATAAGGCAATAAACCTTATATAATTGTCATCTCGCGTGTTCCTGACGGACAATCACGGTGATAAGGGAAATTGCGCTGATTTGCAGATATACACACAGCGTATATGAACACCCCCGAGAGTATTTGATAGTTTATGATTGATTCGGCGGTTTTGGATGCGAGCCACTATTGTGCCCAGAATGGCCAAGTTCACCACAGCAGTCTGACCGCTTATCGCTTTGTAATTGCGAAGCCCCGCGGCAAAATGCGAATCCGTTTGATATTAGAGATACAAGCTTCGCTTGCCTGCCAAAACGTTTATCGCAAATGAACGTTGAAATGAACGATGGATCATGCGACGCGCACACAAACCCCCCACAAAATTAGAAAACTATGCAATCATGTTTTCAAAAGCACTCGAATAGTTAGACATGTGTCAATCTATCGTGTGCTCCAAGAGTCTTTTTGAGAACAAATTAAGTGTACTTTTAAGATATTTGCTTCATTTTCGCTAACGTTATCTACCAAAGTATGGCCTGTTATAAATTCTTAATCAATTCTGGCAAGCACAGGAGTTCTGTGTTTCGAAGCAAAACGGCAATTTTGAGATTTTCAGCGTGATTAATTTAAGCAGGTTTACCAAAGCGCTATTGTACACAGAGTTAACACGACAGTGTCAATATTGAATTTGCTGAAGACGATGAACACTTGTGTAAAAACCTTTTATGGTCACCTCTATAAGACCTCTTTTTTAAAGCAAGTTGAACATTAATCGGTGTTGCCAAAAAGTAGTTAAGAATTTAAACGCATGGGGAAGATATTTTACTCTAACACCAAAGAAAAGTGATCAATTTCGGTTACTAATATTGTGTACAATAAGATTTAGCGGTAGTGAATTTGGTGTTCCGGAAATCTTAACTGGTGAGTACAAATTGCTGACTGAGTCTTATCCCAGCAGGGCACCTTATAGTTGAACTCAATATAGACGTCTATTGTCTGATGTTGGAGCCACATATTAGATGCACTTTTCCCTCGAAGAACAAGACATAGGAACGTAGAACTCAGAGATGATCTGAGAGCCAAAGATTCGTTTCTGTTTAGCTCAGCCATGCTCTGCACACCAGTTCAATGCGTTCAGTCAGGGCGGAAAGAGATAGCGTGACAGGAATTGACGAATTGCTACAATTCCACAATAAAACGGCGATAACACGAATTGAAACTTAAAAGTGCCACAATTACCGTTGGCCGCAATCGTGAAACCTCTTAAATCATCAATATCACAAAGGAATTGATGTATTCAATATAAATAATGAGCTAATGTCCCCGACTGCCCTCCTAGGCTGAGAAAGCTTTGTATGAGAAAAACAAGCAATGCTCATTCCTGCTTCAGCAAGTGAACGTGAGTCAGGTTTTAGATGCAAGTGTATGACTCAGACCATTGGCTTAATTAGCTCATTATCATGCAGGTAGTATACTTCACTTGAAGTATCATCTCATAAAGTTGGTCTCTATTGTTCGCCCGGATGTGGTTTCCAGCTCAAAAAAATACTCACAAATAGGAATTTAAAACTTAAAGAACGACTTTAATATAATTGCTAGTTAGATTCTTTGATGCTTCATTATATGACTAAGACTGTACTTATGGGTGAAAGAACGAACCAATATAAGCGTCACGAATTGGTATTCGCACCTTCACTTATCTCACGATGTATCACTTAAATCAATCTCGGGAAAGGCTCTTTTATTTTGATAAACATAAACTTGACTGTTATGGTCGAAATATGCTAAATCCTAGGGCAATCGGCCAACTACCCCAACTTTTGAATGATAAATCAGGAAAGGTCTTTGTAAGACAACCTTGACCCTTCAAGCCTCCGCTGTTGGCCGCGTCAAATAAACCAGGTCACCCAAAGTGACTCAATTTACTGACGCATCGTGTGAAGAGGATATGAGTGATATCTCTTTCCTCCTTCGTCTCGTTTCTCATTCTCGTCGCTGCTGATTTCTTTCATTCGCGACGAAGCTCTCACGTCGGGCAATCTTTCTATTATTGCTTAGCTCGACTGAATTCTGTTATCAATTACCTTGACAACCGTTTTCTTCGAGCCTTGACAATGATGTCACCCGCAAAAAAAACAGATGTGAAAGCAGTTTCGAAGTGACCAGAAGTGCCGCCGATACAACTAACCTCAAAACTCGAGCAATTCAATAGACCAATATTGCTGAGCTAGGCGAAATATTAATCAAAGACATCAAAAACGCCCCCCAAGGTTTCGTTCAAACGCAATGAACTCATTTACCAAATTTATTTGGCGAATGTCTGGCTCACTCAAGACGCCTTTATTTACATGATTCGTAGACAGACGACATATCCCTCCTTCAGGAATTGCAATTCTCACACACGGCTGTTTTTGAAAACGATTCAATCTCTTCCAGACGTATTGTCCCCGCTCATAATTAATTAAAATTTATCTTCAGCTGCGATTATTTGCATATTTCGTTGAAAAACAAAGCATGAACGAGAGGTTTGAAAAACATTGTCCAAAAAATGACTGTTTTTTGTGCCAATCATGTCGTTATCTCGACCTGGGACCGAGGTTGACTCACTGAGTTCAGGAAGCGGTGGTCACGTGGTCCTTAATCTTTCTGGGAAACAAAATAAGATTAAGTGAGTCCCGGGAGTCTGACTCATTTGTGCTTAGCAAATGGTTGTTTGATATGGACTTCGTCTCATAAAAACTGTTTGTACTATGCTTGTACTTTCTGTCTGGTTCACAAAATAAACTAAGAACCAGACGAGACATTGTCTGGTCGGATTATTATCGCGGTAGGAGAATTTCTATGGCAACCTTGGCAGGTCTCCAGAGGAAAATCTCGTTTGATATTTGCAGTAAACTAGAAGACTTCTAGTACTCCGTATAATCATAAATTGCAGATAACTCTTGTTTTGTCAAGAAAACATTAACCCTTAAACTAGCTATGAGCATGGAAGCCATGGCTTGTTCATAGACTCGTTTGACATTGAAAGAACATATAAAAAAACGTGGGAGAAAAAGATTAATTTTATTTAAGCTTCTTATATACAACGCAACTTCATTAGCTAGATTTTTGTTCCCCCGCCATATTGCAAGTCAGTGAACGAGACGGACTGTCCAATAACGTCACTTATTTCCTCAGTAAGAAGTTCATGTAATGAGATGCCATTGTGACGATAGATCCAACCGTCAGACTCCGTAAAATCGTATCGTTTTGGACCGCTAAAAATGATAAGACTATCCATTAGCTTACGATCATTGGCATCTGTGCTATCTGTCGAGACGAATCAATGAGCAGCTATGACTATAATCTACGAGACAGACCAAATTACAACAATATAAGCAGAACAAATGGCAGAAGCTGCATTTGGACGATGATTTTACCTCTCAAAAGGAAAAATTGGGATTCCATTTTTTCAATTTTCATAGTTACCTCGTTGGAGAAGATAGCCATATTTGTCTGTTCGGAGTTTGCTTGTTTATGACGTATGTCCCTTTATTTCCTAACAAAGAATTGAATTGTACAACAGTTGGAACAAAAATATCTAACCGCTTCGATGTAACTGGCGATTTACAACACAATTTACCTCCCAATTTTACAGTCAAGACTCCATCCTAAACGAGGAAAAGGGAACGCCTAATTAATACAGCATTTTACTTTGCATCAAATTTAACATAATTCTTAGGGTAGATGTAACTCCAAACCAGTGCTGAAACATGATTATGCTTACTGAATATTCAATATCATAGTCGTCGTCGAAATATCCCATATCACCAAGCTCTTCAAAGTATTCCATCATAACGTTCAGCGTTTCATCGGAAATTGAGTGAAATTCAAGCTCATCAAGTTCCCTAATAAATTTGATCTATTATACTACAGACGATGCATCGATCAAATATCTTTTAACATTGATATTTATTCATATATACTGTGATTACTGTCATAGTATATCCTTCAATTAAAGAATGAGGTTTACCTAATTTTAGCGGTGGAAAAATGTCTTTCACGGTTATATGTTAGTGTACTGTCGTATATCTTGTATTTCTCACATGGCCTCGATATCTCACAGTTCATTTGAACAGTATTCATCGTAGTTATATAAAACAGCTCTCTGTATTGGCACTGAAAATACGGCATAAAACGCATTAGGAATTGGCAAGACGATGGAAAATTTAAAATTTAGAAAAGAGGAAGTACCTTTGAGAATAATAATTTTCTATTCCTTTGTTGAAGACAAGGAATTATATTTAAATTTGCAAGATTCCTCCTCGCTAGTTGTTTCACAACTCCTCTGGCTGCCGCCATATTGGTTTTTCATTTTACCGGAAGCCGCACATGGCACAGCGTACCCAAGAACGAAATAAGAATTTGTCTGTCTGAGTTTTAAAAAGCTCGACTTTTTTAATCTTTTGAAGTTCTTTTATTAGTTATTACAAGTTTATGAAAGTTCTAAACGTTAAACTTATTTTCGTTATCATCATGTCCTCTCAGAGTGCGTTTACGTTTAATTCCGAGTTATTTCTATATTTAATTTTATTTTACTGTACAAAACGGCAAAGTGTTCATCATTGTGTTCATCTGGAGAACGATACATCTATTTACAAGTTTGCTTTTCTTTATTACTCCGCATCAATCTGCTATTCTTTGAACTGCCATTCCTGCCTGCACATTGGGCACAGTTGTTGCATCTGTTGCGAGTCCAGCCACTTTAATATACAATGCATGTGAAAGACATGTGAACATTGACCCCAAACTGAAAGAAATGTTAAAAAAATTAAATACAAAGATGTATGGAAAATCTCGCGCGAGACCCACGCAGCCACGCCACGTTTAAAACATTTACACTATTCGCAGAGCACTATTCAGATTTCGTAAAAACAACGAAATACAAAAACAAATCTTATGCGAACAATATTACTCTTATGTGGGAAAGTCATTTTAGCTGCCACGAAAAGGGATAATGAGGGTTAGTCACTAATCCCCCCCTTAACCCTCATTATCCCTTGTCAACGACAACCAAAACGTCCCTTGATGAGCATATATATCCTTAGAAAGCTGCCATGCCATTGGCTTGAAAATTGCACGCATTATTTTCAGTTTAATGAAACTTTAATTGACTGTGAAGTGTAACTGCAATGTGTCCAAAGAGCGCCAATGGCAGGTGTTATCAACAAGTACCGCACCTTGGACTCTTGGAAGGCCAAGATCATTTGTGTAGAGCAAAGTGCAACAGAGCATAAAATTATTCATTCCGTATGCCCCACACAATCATCATAACTAAACACATTTGATTTGAACACAATAAAGTGAATTTTTTGGCCGTTTAGCGAAGAATCATTCTCCTTATAACGAATTTATAAACATGTGCTCAGTTACGTGGCTGGGAAGAGGTCTTGTTAGAGCGTGACTGGTAAACAATCGCTACAGCCAATATAACACCAAAATACAATACCTAATTATACCGTAAAGCTACTTGATCATCAAAATTCGCCGAAATGCATTTCTAGTGCGTGTGTTGCTGTTTGGTAGTTTCATGCTTTAATATCTGTTGTGGTTGGGTCGATTGTATCTCAGGATTTGCGTGTTAATTTTTGTTACAATAAAGGTTTTGATCTTTTCTCCTTGGCACGATGTTAACAAAGGCGGGTTATGTTTACAACAAGACGTTGGTCGTAATAACAAGTATACTTCTAATATCTTTCATGGCGATACAACTCAACCATCCCATGTGGTTTCGACATTTTCGAAGCGATGCAACGCTGAGGAGGTTTTGTACGCCCCAAGATGTTCAACAAGACATGCTCAAGTTGACCTATGATATCCATATAATCCTAAGAGATCTAAATATAACGCACTTTCTGATGTACGGTTCGTTATGGGGCGCCTTGAGGGTGAATAAGCCTCTACCTTGGGACAATGATGTGGATCTAGGCATGATCCCTGACGGGAAATATCCTTCGCTTTCCGAGGAGCAGTTTCTCACGAAATTTCGGGAGAAGGGAGTGAAGATTACGAACAACATGAGGCAGAAGTCGAGTTTTAAATTTGAGCGCGGAAAAGGAGCTGTTGATTTGATAATATACTATGTATATGGCGGTTATATGAAGCGGCAAGGCTGGGAAGCATGGCTGATGACAATACACTACAATTTTCATCATACATTTCCTAGGAACTTGATTGAACCCAAGCCTTTGCCAAAGAGAACGTTCGGATGGTTTAAGATGCCCGTGCCACGAAAAGGCATTGAAATTATGAAGCACATGTATCGTTATGACTGGTGGGAGACTCCCAAACCCGAAAGACAATGTTAACTTGTGGACTTTCAGAATTCAGAGTCAAGAGTTAGTCAAGAGCATAGTCAGTCGACTATTATAATATGGATGTTTTCACAGAGAGCCGAGTGGATCGTTGGTCAGAAATAACGTCGTCTTCGCCCAGACAATTTGCAACGAGCGTATATTTGGTCTTATATAATTAGGGAAGAATTGTCTATTAGGATTTTTGTTCAAATTTAATTATTAATCGACCTGTGTTGTTTCTTGTTGTCAAAAATGGGAAGTGATATGGCTTTTCTGTGTCAAAGTTTTGGCCAGGCCACGTGGCTGGCACGATTCGTGTGAAGTGACGAAGTCATGTCAGGTTTTCACCGCGACCAAAACTAACCATTTCAGTCGCGTCAATAGAATTTACTTTATTTGCCGAGCAACGTCAGGCACGCGAAAACTGTTAGTGAAATAATTTAGCACCTTTGATTTTGTTAAAATTATTTTTGAAGAATATTCAAATGTAGTCTGCAATTCAAATGCTGATATGGATATCCGTGTATTTTTTTTTCAATTTTGAACATATTCGTAGACAAAACATGATTGTTTATTTAACAATTCCTAACATCATATGATTAGCAATATTAGCCTGAAGGCAGTCACGTCTCGCCAAGGCAATATATGGCTAAAAATGGACAATTTCTCAGATTGCCACAAAAGCCTGTAAATAAGAAACACTTTTCAGTCGAGGTAGAGGCCACTTTTCATTACAACTTTTGGCAAAGGTTTTGAAATCGTTTACAGCTTGCACGTGGCGGGGTTTTTCAATTTTTCCCCTTTTAACTAGGTTATTTTAGAATGATTTTATGGACCGTGAACATCGTTGAAGCTGAGCCTAGCTGTAGCATTCAAGCTTGTGATATTTTTGTACAGTTGAGACTGGAGTCTTTCATTTCAAAATCTTGTGTGAGAAAACAATTAGACTCCTTCATTTCAACTGGCCAGACATGTTTATACATTATGCAGTTGATGATAGATCTTTGTTTGAAAATCTAATAATTATTGACTAAGCTTAGCAAATATTTACCCTGTTACCCAATCGCTGATGAATTCTATTCTTTAAGTGCGAATGTGCGATGATAATTATTTGGTATGATAAGGAATGAACTGTACATAGAAACATGCAAAATTTATTGCAAAATTTCACTTCTGAGATGCAGAAAAGATGCAATGAATTATCTGATAACAACTTCATCTATATATCTCAGCAATTAGAACTTGCAATTACTTGAATCTTATTTGGATGTGGGGCTCTCAAAGATTGATTGGCAGGCAACAAAATATCAGCTTTCATGTGGTGCTACATTACCTAAAATACAATCATCCCCAGGCATTCTACAGTCTGGACAGCATCCATCAAAAGCCATTCTGCATATACCACAATTTTCATCATTGGCTATCCAATGCCAGCTAGCTACACCTGTCCATCTAAACAAGTAGTAAATGATTTCTTAAGTAGTAAATGATGACTTTTCAAAAGCTGTTTAGCCTAACATTGGATTATTGGAAGGCCCAAAATCAAATTTTCAGGAAATATTCTGTATCAGTCCAACCAGCTTTTTCTTGTTTATCTGGCTAGTTTGTTTGAGAATTGAGAAAGTATGCCTATTTCACTTGAGAATCTGAACAACTTGTCCTGTTAGCATGGATATGGCCATTGGTCACAACCTCAGTTAAATTTAATCATATTAGGGAGAGTAATAAGGAAAAATATCAAACTTACTCTTCAGAACACAGTTTCCAAAAATTGCATAAAACAAATAAAGATGGAATTAGAATGAAATATGTTTAGGGGGAAAATGTACAGTTAGAATACACAGTTCATGTGATTTAGAACCAGAGTGCATTCCATGTAAACCTCATGCCGAAGATACTCTGAGGTTAATCAGGTTATGCTGCTGTGTGCAAATAAGGTCAACTTATGCACCAGAGATTGACTCTTAAACTTTTATCCCCATAGACTAAATGTTAGGGTGCCGAAACATACAGCAGCCTTGAGCCCTTGACATGACTGTGTGTCAGTAACCCAAAATTTGTGCCAAATATCTTCTGCAAAATGTGCATGGAATGCACCCTGGGATTAGAATCAAAGAATCAGAAACAAAATTGGACAGGCAACTCTCATCTGGAGACAATGCCTAATATTTTTAATAATCTCACTATGGCAGTTTAACATACCAGTTTAATAGGCTGGCTGCATCTGACTGGTTAAACGACGGTTTGATAGACAAAAGGGCAAAATCTAGGCCATTTCAAAGTTTTGGATTGGTTATGAAAGGGACAATATTTGGAAGTGTTCATTATAATACTTACTTTTGATTTTCACTTTCATCGCGCTGAAGTTTATAAAAGATCTGTATGGTTTATTTTATTATTTTTGATATTATTTTTGAAAGCTACAATGATGTGCAATACTTCATGTCGGTGTTATGTAATGACTCCTGGCCTGTTGCGCAAAATCACGTGACGATTTCACACATTCCTGTGATTTACTTTATGCGTTAAAAAAAAGATGCGTTTTCCAAGGGCACATACATGACATACGGTATATGTCTTTTCTTTCCAAAATAGTTGGTCATAGATCTCAGCACTAACTAAGGGTGGGCTTCATAATTAGGCCACCAAATTAGGATAATTAGGATTTTCCCAGCCCACTCCCTTCTACTTTATGCCTGCTTCAATATTAAAACTTCCAACTCCAAATATCACTTTAGGAATATTTGGCTGAAACTCTAAAATTCTAGGATGCCCCTTGGCCAGCACCCAATTAATTAGGAAGTTTTGGGCGTTCCCCCACGTAACTCCATGCCTTTATAATTTCATAGTGAAAATTGTTTAATTTCAAGTGTTTGAATTATGAATAGTTGCTAACGAGTACAAGATATAGTAGAAAGTAGTGCAAAAACGGTGAAATAGTATGAAATATTGGGGTATATAATAACAATGTAGTGGAACTCACCGGTACTCAGAGTACTGAGAACATAGTTCAAATTTCTTAATGGAAAGAGAGTTACTGTTCTGGGCTTCTGGCTATGTACGTTTTTAGCAGAAACAGTACCCAAGCTAGATCTGGCTCACTGGCTGCAAGTGCTATCGATATTTACACTGCTGTTTCTTCTATTTGTGCAAGTGGAAACCAAGGAATTGTTTCTTCCGGTTCTTCCGATTCTTCCGATTCTTCCGATTCTTCCGATTCTTCCGATTCTTCCAGTTCTTCCGGTTCTTCTACAATCATCATGAAACCATCTTCGGTATTGTTTCTTTCTCCAATCATTTTCCTCATTATAAGCTTAACTAGCCCTCCATTGTCCAATTGCGATTTATTTACTATTATGGGCACAACGACGCACCTATCTTTGAAACTAGCTTTGGGTGGATTCGCCAGAATCTTATTAGTCAAAGTTCGGTAAAAAAGTTTAACTTGATGCTGGCAATCCAATTCAGTGCCTTTTACTGCATGAGTGTTAGTATTTTGACTCATCTTCTGAACGATCTTTAAAGGGTTTATTATACATTTTATAATGTACGTGTACTCCATGTTATTATATGTAAAGCGATACACAGGAAATGTGCCACCGTTAACGTGGCCTAATTGAACAATCGTACTATCTTGTATGTGTAGATTATCTGTCAAAATGCAATCAGATGACAAAACCAAAATTAAACTATTTGAATTTAAGAGCACTCTCTGTCCTTCAACTCGTACTTCATTGCCACTGTCAGACTCTGGGCAAAGAACTAAAAGTTCTGACAAAATACTGTCAAGATAGTTAAAATAGTAGAACCATGCAAGTGTCTCACCAGCATTAGTTTCTTTTTCGTCGATGGTTTTGGAAATTTCAATTTCAGACTGTTTACCAAGATCCATTAATATAACGAAAAGTGGCGCTACTCCAATTCCACTCAGTAGGTAAATGAGGTATATATTATCGAATTCATCTTCGTCTTCAATTAAAATGAATAGGATTACTCCAAGTAAAAACAAAATAAATATAACAGCGCCTTTTGGTATATTACTGAAACAAGCTGTAAGCATTTTTTTAACTCTATTATTGTAACGACTTTCAACGTGATGAAACTCTTCAAACAAAAAATACAAACGGTTAAAGAATGTGCCAACCAGAATGGCCAGCAATCCAAAGCTCAGATTTTGAAAAAATAAATAAGTTTTCTTTTCAGTTTTTATGTAGACTATTATTTTTTCATTTTGTATTTTCTCCAGCGTGTTATTAGAGAGGTCATTAACTGGCGTATAGTAATTTCCAGTTCGATTTATAACTCCATAAGCGACAATTCCAGAAGCAACCACCAAGCTTGTGATTACCGATGCAAAAAATGCTTTTTTATTTCGTTTTTGTGGTATTTTCTCGTAATGAATTTTTGTTGTAGGTCTCTGTTCATCGTTTGGAATGCCTACAAATTCATTACTTTCCTCCATAATTTACGATATCTTTATGTAGTAATAGTATATGCATGTAACTGCCACCTGACACGGGAAAATAAGTCGATTTCGGCGCGATATAAGAATGTCTTTACCTTTTCCCGCTATTGCAAGAAAATACAGACATTAGTCATAGTACTTTCTTAAACCATTTTATCAATATAATACCATACGACGATTCACTGCATGTATTCAACGCCACAACGTTTTGATATGAGATCTAAGACTGAGTGGTGTCGACTTTTGTGGGTGTACCCTATTTACCAGGTCGCTGCTGTGAAAAATATTTTATTATTTAAATTGCGTTTGAAATGATAACGCTATAAATATAGATACGACTCGTGGTATGTTCTAATCGAATATGACTCCGCGGGTGGTCATGGCGTCTATGGCGTCTGTGTAAAGTATTTTATTGAGTATAGTAAAGTATAGTCATGTAAAGTATTTGAGTTGCGTTCAAGGTATTTTGTCATCGTAAACATTAACCTAAAACGTTATAAATGAAGACATAGGTTGTGGTATGTTCTCTTCAAATATGATCCACAAGTGGTAGCGTCTATTGTGGGTGCACACTGATTATCGCCAAGGCCACTGCTGTGAAAAGTATTTTATCATTTCAGTTGCGTTCAAGGTATTTTGTCATCGTAAACATTAACCTAAAACGTTATAAATGAAGACATAGGTTGTGGTATGTTCTCTTCAAATATGATCCACAAGTAGTAGCGTCTATTGTGGGTGCACACTGATTATCGCCAAGGCCACTGCTGTGAAAAGTATTTTATCATTTCAGTTGCGTTCAAGGTATTTTGTCATCGTAAACATTAACCTAAAACGTTATAAATGAAGACATAGGTTGTGGTATGTTCTCTTCAAATATGATCCACAAGTGGTAGCGTCTATTGTGGGTGCACACTGATTATCGCCAAGGCCACTGCTGTGAAAAGTATTTTATCATTTCAGTTGCGTTCAAGGTATTTTGTCATCGTAAACATTAACCTAAAACGTTATAAATGAAGACATAGGTTGTGGTATGTTCTCTTCAAATATGATCCACAAGTGGTAGCGTCTATTGTGGGTGCACACTGATTATCGCCAAGGCCACTGCTGTGAAAAGTATTTTATCATTTCAGTTGCGTTCAAGGTATTTTGTCATCGTAAACATTAACCTAAAACGTTATAAATGAAGACATAGGTTGTGGTATGTTCTCTTCAAATATGATCCACAAGTGGTAGCGTCTATTGTGGGTGCACACTGATTATCGCCAAGGCCACTGCTGTGAAAAGTATTTTATCATTTCAGTTGCGTTCAAGGTATTTTGTCATCGTAAACATTAACCTAAAACGTTATAAATGAAGACATAGGTTGTGGTATGTTCTCTTCAAATATGATCCACAAGTGGTAGCGTCTATTGTGGGTGCACACTGATTATCGCCAAGGCCGCTGCTGTGAAAATTATTTTATCATTTGAGTGGCGTTCAAGGTATTTTGTCATCGTAAACATCAACCTAAAACGTTATAAATGGAGACATAGGTTGTGGTATGTTCTCTTCAAATATGATCCACAAGTGGTAGCGTCTATTGTGGGTGCACACTGTTTATCGCCAAGGCCACTGCTGTGAAAAGTATTTTATCATTTAAAATAATAAAATATTTAATATAAGAGTTGACAAAGCTGCTGGTGTGATTCTGCAAAAGGGTTAAAAAATCGATTCTCTTTGGTACAAAATGCACAGAAATTTATTAGGAGACGAAGACTCTGAACAGACTAAATATGATGCTTCGGTACCACCAACAAAACGAAAGAGACGCGCAAAAATGGCATCAATCATGGTGTGCCTTGTCGCTGCCATCGCTGTATTTGTTTACGGATTTCATGAAGATAAAATAATCGTGTACAAGGCAGAAACCAGTCCCTCCACGACTATGTTAACGGCGATAAAAAATGGAATAATTACGTGTTACACAAGGGAAGAGAAGACAACTCACCCAGTGTTGTTGCACTTTGCCTTAGGATTGTCGGCCATTATACTTGGCGTTTTCGTGGATTGTTCACTGCTTCTTTTGGAGGAGTTTCATCATTTGAGAAGTCGTTATAACGGAAACGGAAACAAATTGTTGCGAGCTTGTTTCAGTGGGATCTCGTGGACTGCAGTCGCTATTGCTGTTGTTGTTGTTGTAATAACACTTGGATTTACATTTAGGACTGCAACGTATGAACTAACATATCTGGTCATCGTAATCGGGCTGTGTCCCGTTGTGACACATTTGATGATTCTTCCCACAAAATCCGAGGTTTATGTTTCAACAGTCCTTGAAGAAAAAGAGTCTTATGTCGGCCAGTCGCTTGCGTGGTCCTACTATTTTAACTATCTAGATAAAGCTGTGTCGGCATTCAAGGGACTAGCACAAGATCAAGGTGAACATGTGTGCCTAAGTTTAAATAAATTGATCGTGCTCATATCAAATGATGGTACAACAAGAGATCTACAATATTTGGATGGTAAAATAAAAAACCTGGGGGAGATTTCCGTAGACCAATACCAATTCCCCGTTTATAGATTAAAATATCGGAACGGTACGGAATACACATGTTCTATAATATATGCGAAGCAGCCCTTGGAAGCTTTATATCAGATGAATCAATATGAGAGGTGTAAAGCATTGCAAAAGAGGGAACTCGAACACCAAGTGACATTTTTCTACAAAACACTATCCGAGATTTTAAAGGATCCGTTTGATGTAGAATACAGAGATAAGTGCATTCTCGTACCAATAAACGTAAAATGTCTCGCAAAAAATGGAAGTCTAGTTGAAGTCATAATGCAAAAGGTCATGTCATGCGACTTTAAAATTGATCTGGAAGAAAATGTAAGTGAATATGAAGGCATTATGAGCCGTAAAGGGAAAGGCCCCCGAATAGTTAAAGCAGCTAAAGATATTAAGAATAGGAGACAAGTTTCCTTAGAAACAGGCTTCCAAGAAGACAAAGTATGTGAACTTGAGTATAAAAGCGACAATTCTAAAGGAATGACCGGACATGAAGCTAAATTAGTTGAACATGAATATGGTAGCGAAGAATCCCTAAAAATCGGCCGTCATAAATTTGAATTCGACGAAAACAAAAAAGCAGTAAAGAAGCATCCCGAAGAAGCCAAATCTCTGTTTTCTTCAGGTGTAATAGTATCATCATGAAATGAATGATATATTCATAATTGCATTATCTAAATAATCACAGCATTAATCAATGACACTGAAGGCCTATATCCAACATAACTCAGCATGAACAACTGCCTAAAATAGACAAAAACACTCCTCAACGTTTCGACCTGACGGCCTTCGTCAGGAGAGTTAGTGTGATAACGGACGAAGGCCCTCAGGTCGAAACGTCGAAAAGTGTTTGTGTTTGTTTTGGGCAGTTGTTATACCATGCATATTCGATGCCAAAGGCGCTTTCCTTTATATACGGTAAAAACGGCCAGACCGGTCCTGTTGTATTTCAGTACAGACAGATTACTGGTATTTTAGAGTGTTTTAAGAAATCTGCAAATTTAATTTTTTTTATTAAAGCCCCTAGTAATGTTATGATGATCCTAGAAGATAGCCACCTGCACATTAACAATTTTCGTCTTAGCTCTTCGCCGAGATGAAAGGCTTCAGTTTACACAAATAAATGAAGCAAACTAAGTATGAATACAAACAAACATTTACGATCTTGCTTTTAGAAGAAGCTTCGCGATTCTCGAACTCATGGCAATAAACTTTCGAGGGGGCCAAATTTCCGAAACGGGGGCCATGCATGACCCGGGGAAGCCAAATTTTGGGGGGCTAAATTTCCTGGGACACCAGTCTGACCATTTTGGCCGCTTAATGGAAGCGCCCTAAGTTATTTGAAGACGCTGCCACGCTGCTTCCTGGTTATATATTAAGTTTCACCCATCCGCCATTTGCTAGTCTTTGGCTACCTTTTCTTCACACTGTGCTTTTTCGTTTGGCTTGCTTGATAACATCATGCAGCACTAGCACTAGCACTAGCACTAGCACCAGCTCATAGTTATGGAACCTGGGCTTCTGTGTCCCCATAATCATCTTAGAGTGCATCATTTTTTTCGTAGATGGTTTTGTATATTCAAAATGGTTTTCAATTTGTTTTAACTGTAAAATAAAATAGAAGATAAACGAGCGAATGATTTTCTAACCGTATGTAAATGCACTATTTGATTATCGCTGAATAAATTAATCCAAGATTGAAAAAAAATTTGATGAATATCAGGAGTCGCATAACCACGATGGCGTTGGTGAAGTCTTTATTTAGGGGGGGAAAAGCATTTCACTGCAAGGGGGGTCAGTTTAATATCTGAAGATAATTTAACAATTAGATTACGACAAATGTGATTTCATGCTGATTTTAGAATTTCCAGAATTTTTTAACATTTTTGATGAACCATCTCCCCTTTTTGTAATCTTCCACTCAATGAGTTTGATTGTGGGTGAGTTTTTATAAATACAGACGTTAGACTTTGCAATAGTGCACTTAGGTGGGACCCTGCGCCTCCCATCTACGCAATTGGTCATTCACGAGTGCATATTCCTTCATTAACTGAAATACATGCATATACAGGGTGTCTCAAAAAAACGCAACCTCTTAAATATGCAAGAATATTAATATTGTTCGGGTTTGCACCATAGTTCAGCTAAAATGACTTTTAGCATTGTAAATAAGGATTAAGAGCCATTTTCAATTCCCAGAGGTGCTTATCTATTGCGCTTTAAGGGCTGTTTACATGAGCCCGGTTACCCGAGATTCAACGAAGCGTGAGATGATTTTGAGGTATTGAAATGAGCAGATGACATGATTCTGGCAGTCGTATAATCACCATAACAAAAGCATGTGCTTGTTTGGTGTCATAAAGACTTATTTCAATACCTCAAAGTCCTCTCACGCTTCGTTGAATCTCGGGTAACCGGGCTCATGTAAACAGCCCCTAAGAGCTGTATTAAATATTTAAGTGGTTGCTTTTTTGAGACACCCTGTATAAGTTAAAGCGAAATATACCAGGTGATCTGAATGGACTGGGACTAGTTGCCAAATTGCAACCCGTTTCCCGGTTGAAACAACTTTTAAAAATATCTCTTGATTCTTGAAATATATGAATTATATCGGTTTCAAATTTATGTCAGGGCTATTTATACTAAATCACAAAATTTCGGCTAGTTTCGTAAAGAATAACAAAAGACTGATGGCAGAATGATTTCTACCTCGATTGTTTCATCTCTAATTTAGCTGCGTCCAATTGAAAATTGGGCCGCTTTTTTGGTCAAGGAAGTAATTAATATTTAAGCAGCCAATTTTCACTAGTACAAGAGTAACTCGTTTAAAATTCACATTTTCAAAAGCGTCATTTGTTAATCACTTAATCCTAGTTTTGAATAAACAATGAAATACCATCGCATCAAATTTCACACCGTATCGTAACGACAAAATGGCAGCAAGTTTGTGGTTATTTTTCTTCGTAAATATTCAACTGATACGCCCCAGTTTCGCTGCAAATGCAGCGTTTAGAAAGAAGGTCCAAGCTGTACCTTCGTGTGGAGTGAACAAGACAGAAATGTACTATCACATCAAGCAAGCTCTGAAACTACCGTTCCAACAGAAACCTTCGATATGCGATCAAAATCTAACGAAATATGCTCATCCACCAAAAGCACTGGTTGACGGTAATTTCACGACGTTTTGGCAGACTGAAGGGGGAAAGGACAAAGCTAACATAACGATTGATTTATCAGGTCTTAAGCAAAAGGTATGTTGAGGTTCTTTGAAGTTTTATTCGTGTCAAATCAGTTGCTGTGATTATAATGGTTGCCTTGAATTTGCGTCGTTAGCAACCAGTGTTTGTCGTGTTGTCTTACATATAAATACGTCATTTTTTACAATTTCATCACTAAGAATTTTTCTTTATACATTGTTTAATGTGTGGGTTTTAAAACGTTCGGTGATAGCCAACATACAACGTTAAAACTGCCGGGGTTTGTAAACGTACCCGTATGAACTAACACCATTCAAGCGATATGTACCACATCAGGTTACTCCATAAATATATACCTGAAATTTGTGATATTTTGGGGGAAAAGTAAACTGACTGTTGATTTTTGTATCAATTCACGATGTCTTAACTCTTTGATGAATTTTAGACAATACCCAAACATATTGCGGTATTTTAGCGCGATTTTCTTCCTTTGATATCTGAAGTCTGCCTGCCTTTTGACAAACATCAGTAACTTATCCCATCATTCACATCAATCAATAGGTGAAAATGGCAGGTGCAAACCGACCTCTATGAGTTCGGATGAAGCAGGTTTATTTTAGGCAGAGGTTTAAAATATTTAGGTCAAATATCCTTCTGAAACAGCGATAAAAATTTTAGCCCGTTCACGCATTTTTTTGACACAACACGGCTAACGTTAGTACTCTCATACCAATTCTATCACTATTCAGGCTGGGGATACAAAAACCAAGCACAAATAACAAATGAATTGAATGTGATAGTCACTGATATAAACGAGGCTAAAATAGACCTCGTACTAAAGCGTGAAGCGGCTTTAAAAAGGTCCGTCGACTGTCTATCCTCGCGGAGCACACCGTTTTTTGATCATCCCTATGTTTCCTATGCTTGGCTCCAAAACTCCGCACCAACCACGTTCCGTGTTTCTTTTTTTCTTTTTAGTTTTACTACGCCAAATCTATCACGATATACTTTGGGGACTACTTTCGACCTGACCAACTCGCGCTGTACAAGAAGTCGAGCATAAACGGCCGTTTCCAGCCATGGCATTACCTCGTTACAGACAGTAAGAAATGTGAGGAGGTGTTTGGTGTTCCTTATAAAGATATACCCTTCCCGAGAAATTCTGTGTTGTGTAAAAGATATGACAGGGCTGCTGCACTGGAGACCAAGGAAAATGTAAGCACCTGTTAGTGAGAGCAATCAGACCTATTTGCTCCACTGTCTGTATTGTCACGAAAGTTTCCAATATCTGGCCTTATTACGACTGTATCTCTTTCTTAAATTCTAATTATTAGTTCGCATGCTGAGCCGCCTTCATTTCATGTTCCAATTTCTTCCTATACCCGTTTCACTTTTCTTGCGTCCAGTTGACCCATCGTGAGCGTGTGTTTTCTTCTGCAGGTAACAATTGGATTGGAGGGAGGACGAGGAACAATATTCGATGAAGATGAGAAAGAATTGAACACGGTTCTCCTGGTGAGTTTAACGAAATGTTTTCAAAGAAATTTGAAAAGATGTTTAGGAATTTGTATGTCTTTCTTTGAAATCTTCACATATTCAGAAAATGGCAACAATTTCCGTTTGTCGTATATACAAATTTGCAAACTTTGAAAGCCAAGGCTATATTTTTCGTATTTTACAACATTTCGCAACCAAACTTTGCATTTTTACTAATTTCAGTACGCTCTTTTCAGCTGTGGTGATTTCATTCCATTTCCTTGCATCGATCGATAAGAAAGTAGTCTATAATGCAAAAGGTCTATTGAAATGCTGGGACTGTATGTACTGATCTTATATTTCTTGACAGGACTGGATGAATGTAACTGGGGTGCAACTGAGATTTTCTGGAATAAGAATATTTCCTGATTCATTGACCCACCGCTGGGTGAGTTTACCGTCGATGTCATATTTTCGACCATATGACATGAGTTGATATGGAATTTTAATCTTTCAGCAACATTACGTGGTGAGGGAGGTCGAGGTTGAGGCTTATTGTCATTGCCATGGTCACGCCGATGGTATCAACTGTCCTTATAACGAAACAATCAAGGACAGGGTGTGCGTGTGTCAGGAAGGGACATGCGGGGTACAATGTGGATATTGCTGCCCAGCATACAACCAGTATCCATTTAAAAGTGGATCACTAGGACCTTTTGCAACGGATAAAGATGCAGCATGTGAAAGCAAGTTGTCCTCCAAATGAGGCATTCATTTTTTTTGCAATTTCTTCCAGGCCACTAAAATATACATGGTTTCTTTAGAATGCAACTGCTACAATCATTCTGATGTTTGCGAGTATAATGCGACGGTGGCCGCTGGTGCCAACGACTGTTCTTATGGTAACAACGCAACTAATGACGAATGCAGTATGGATATTCTTGGCAGATACAAAGGTGGAGGAGTTTGCATTGGTTGCAAGGTACTGTAGATGTCCCTGAAGGGAATCCGTGGGTTTACGCTGGGTCCACAAACACTGGCACCCCTTTGAAAAATCTTGCTTGAACCGTCGCGCGAGAGATAAGTGAGGTTGTACAGAGCCACCCATATGCAAGAACATGAGAATATAAATATATCCCTCTCTATTATGAATGTTGGCTACGCTAATGCTCTATTCGACTATCTACTAAAAGCCGTACCAACTGTGCTCGACGGACGTATTGTGAAGGTGTGCCTCCCTGTGCCTCTTTGGGTTAAATACCAAATTTCATCTGACTTACAGGACAACACCGAGGGAATCAACTGTCAGCGATGTGTTCCGAAGTTTTACCGGGAACAAGGCAAAAGTCACTGGGAGAAAGATGCTTGTCAACGTAAGAATCACATAACTTTATTTCACCCAAACAAACGCCATGGTGAAACATTGATCTCTTTCTCTGATGGTTGATCTTTTGTCAAACATTCTAGCATGTGACTGCTTTGTTAATGGCACTGACAACACCACAAGAAATGGTGTGGAATATCTAGATTGTGTGAGAGACGTGAAGAAGCAGCAAAGCTTGGAAACCTGGTAAGGACGCTAAACAATGTACATTGATGTACTCACTTTCGCGAGTTCCAGAATGCATGAGTACTTTTTATACTCTTAAAAATGTTCAATAATAATGATATTTTGAGCAACTGCAAGCCAAGAAGCCGTTCAGCTTTTGTTCTTACGGGCATCCTAAAGGGAAGCTTCTCGTTGCAAAATGTGAAGTTATTTATTGCACTGTTTTTAATCTTCATCTAATTCTTCAGTCGCCAGGTCAATGCTTGTGCAAAAATAAGACAACAGGAAGACGTTGTGATCTCTGTGTGGACGGATATTACAACTTGACTGCAGAGAACCCTCGTGGATGTTTAGGTAAATAATAATGTTTGTAATATTCTTGTACGTTTGCATGGTGACATTGCACTGATGAAGGCCTGGGTTAACGGACCGAAAGCTTTACAGTATTAAACACTTACGTGGTGTACCTACAAGCTAATTTACTTATAAGAATATTGTGAGTTATAAAGTCATTCATTTCCTTCCCAAGGACACGAGAAGATCATTTCGACCACTACACAAGCTGTATTTGTGTAAAACATTCTTCACGTCCACAAACACAATTACTTGATTCTTTCAAATAATTCTCCAAAATCTAACCAAAATTCGTGTCATCTTCTTGCAGCGTGTCTCTGTACTACAGAAGGAACCGTGAACGCGTCTATAAATTGCCATCAAGATAATGGCGTGTGTTCCTGCAAGCCTCGTGTGATTGGTGACAAATGTAGCGAATGTCAAAATGGCACATTCAACTTGGCGGATGAAAATGAATATGGCTGTACAGTTTGCATGTGCAGTGGCATTACACACAACTGTACGAGCAGCAAAGCTTACCGTGCCAAGGTGAGAGAATTCGTCTATTATTTCAAGCTCTGCTCTTGCACTGATAATGCTAATTAATCTTTGTAAATTATAGCTAATAAAAGATAGAGAAATCTCATTTGGTGTATTGCTGAAGTTGATAAATATTTTCTCTACTTAAATAGACAAAGTATGATTTGCAAGGGTGGAATCTGACACGCGACTTCAATGAAGACGACGTTGTGAAGACTATGAATATTCAGGTAGAATTGTTGATACTTGTAGTTGTAGTATCTGTGATAGAATGACGACGTCCAGTTTTTAAATTGTAAATTGTCGAACATGATGGCGCTTGAGTGTGTTTTGTGTTTTATCATAGTGAACATCACAACTCACACAAAAGTATAACTGTTTCTAGGCAGATCTTTAGGAATCTTTCCCATACGTTAGTGATGGCTCGTGCAAGAAACTCACGACTTAATTTGATATTCGATCTTACAGGAAGAAATAAATGGTCGACTGGTTGATTTAGTATCTTCAAACGTTAGCACAGGACAGATCTTGCACTGGACTACGAAGGAAGATTACTTTGAGGGAAATAGCCTGGTAAACACTAAACATCATACGTATTTTCTCCTCTGTGAAGGAACATATATTTTCCTTCCTTCGCGTTTGTAAAATATAATTGAAGTTTTGAGCATTGTGTGTATCAATGATTTAAACAGGTAACTTCATATGGTGGTTATCTCGAGTTCACCAGAAAAATCTCGTTCGTTAAGAACGGAACATTGCAAACAGATCTTCGTATCATTATTAAGGTAAAGTGAGACTTATTTTCTCGAAACTATCTACTTGCACTTTGATGGTTTATTTTGACGTCAGCGAATGTCTTCTCTGCTTAGGGTCCTCGAAATGTCACAATAGAATCATCTTTACCGCAGCTGAATTCTACCACGCAGGGTCCAGAGGTGATCTCTGTAAAAATGGTTGAGGTTAGTGATTTTATAAGCATTTATATTCTGAAAAACCACTTGTGTTAGACTAAGTATCGTAGTTTAAGAGAGAGAGCAAACTTGTCAACGTAGATTATGAATTATGTCTTTTATTTTAGTTTGGCTGGAAACAGTACGATACCAACACGGCTGTTGACAGAATGACATTTATGTTGGTCCTTTCAAAACCTGAGAAAATGTGGATCTCGGCATCATTTTTCACATCTGGGAATGAATCTTACCAAACAAGGTTCGGTACATACCGTAATGCACGTTTTCATCCTCTTAGTTATTGGTTTTGAGCTAGTGCTGATTTACACAGTGCAGCTCAAGGGAAGGTAGATGAAGGATCTCCTCAAGACGCGAGCTCAACGAGACGCTCAAGAATTGATAGAGCAATCTCATCAACTTTGGTATCACTGAGACCAACTGTTTAAAACTGATGGAGCTATCCAGTATAAATATAGTTGGTTTAGCTTGGGTTTCCCTCTGGATCAATAAGAGAGATGGAATATCTCTTGGAAGAATAATTTAGAACTGAAAAAGTTATCCAGTGTTTCTTTTTGTGTTTTACACACATGCTTATATTTACATTTGACTTCTTCACCCAGCTTTGGTAATCTTCACATCAGCTCAGTTTCAAACGCGTCAACCGCTGCTAATACGATGGCTGTGGATGTTGAACAGTGTTCCTGTGGAGAGGCATACCAAGGAACTTCGTGCGAGGTAATGTAATGTGCTCCATTTTCTTCATCTGCCAGATTTAGTTCTAGTTTGTACCTCGTCAACAGGTTTACAACCCAGTGTGTGATTCCAGCCATTTTAAGACTAAACTCTGATCTTGTCTATTTACTTTATTTTGTCCCATACTTCACAGCGCTGTGCTCGTGGGTACCACAGAGTAAACGTTTCCGGACATCCTTTCTTTGGTCAGTGTATTCCATGTAACTGTCATGGACACACGGAAGACTGTGATCCTGACACTGGAAGGTGTTTGGTAAGTAAAACGTGAATTCTTTTTAGCCAGGATATCCATTAAGGTGTTACTGATACCAGGGCTAAACGGGTAAATGTGTCATAGTGACCATGAGGGTATGGTTGATGCCAGAATTAGAAAGGGGTGAACTGGTAGAAATACCAGGGTCGACCATATGACTTTCCTGCTATATTTCGCATTAGCACAATTGAGACATTCGAATGTATGTATTCCTGCAGGATTGCCAACACAACACAACTGGCTTCAATTGCGCCGTATGCAGAGACGGTTTCTACGGTAACGCTAGGAATGGTACTGAGGATGACTGTCGCAAGTGTCCATGTGAAGCACCCAAAACTACCACGTGAGTAAATGGGTAAATAATACATGATACTTCATTAATGGCGCTACAATTTATACCAAAACCTGCACTTTTTCTAGTGACCTTTGTAATATGCTGCCTAATGGTTCCGCTCAATGTTTAAATTGCTCAAAAGGCTACGAAAAGAACCTTGAATGTAACAGGTATGTTTACAACTAAAACTGAAAATGTAATCAATATTTTCAGAGCAGTTACTGGTGCCCTTGCTATAATTGAAATACCTAGTTTAATACCTAACTATCGTCTCCTTTAGGTGCGATCTTGGATATTTCGGCTGGCCGTTTTTAGAAGGTGGTAATTGTTCAAAATGTGAATGTAATAACAACTCTGAAATTTGTGACCGCGAGAGCGGTAGTTGTCTGGCGTACTGCGAAAATAACTCAACTGGATGGCATTGTGAGCGATGTGAAAATGGCACGTATGGAGACGCTACGAAGCAGCAATGCCAAGGTAAGCGGGATGAAGACAAACAATCCCCTTGTACTACTCATTATCATTCATTATCACCCACCTGTCCTGTGAGAATCTGCGAAATCTTTTGTCAACAGCTGGCCAAGTGCCAAGTACTGAACATAGAAAACTGGAACAGTACGTGTCCGCCCATACCTAATGCTATCTTTATATCAACAGGCTGTACATGTGACATAACTGGTAGTTACGACGTGCCATGTGACTTCAGGACTGGACACTGCCATTGCAAACCGCATGTCGTGGGCTTCAACTGTTCCCGATGCGAGGTTAGTAGGATGAAACCTAACTTACTGTAGAACTTCTCAACTCAGCGATAAGAAACAGCGTCCTGTATTAGTTGTAGGTTTTTTTTTCATGTATTGGATATGCATGTTTGAAGAACGCCTCGTCCTTAAGATTGTCAAGTTTAGACCGTTGGAGAAAGGCGATTACTTTAAAGAGTAAATGAAATTCTAAAGTTTTTCTTTCATCTCGAAGGTTAACTCGTATGGATTTAGCGACACAGGCTGTCTGGAGTGTCATTGCAACGAATTTGGTTCGACGAACCTGCAGTGTAATGACAGCGGTATCTGCGAGTGCAAGAACCACACACATGGTGACAAATGTGATGCTTGTTTGGATTACTATTATGGATTGCCAAATGTCACATGTAAAGGTATTGGAAGCGAAGAAACTCTACCACTGTAGATATCTTATACAAACCTCTGTTAACATCAACATACAGTAGATGCCGAGAAATTTTCCCTCTTATTTGTCTTCCTTCTAAGCTTTGTCTTTCGGTTTCCGCAGAGTGTGCGTGCAATGCTACTGGCTCAAACAACACCGTATGCGATCACATAACGGGCGCGTGTCCTTGTAAATTTGGCGTGGAAGGAAGACAATGTGACAGTTGCAAAGTACAGCATAAAGATTTCTCTGACACTGGCTGTGAACGTGAGTGAGCTAGAGCTGGCGATGAATTATAGTATACCATCATTTTTTCCAGTGGCCTGTTTTCAGCGTCACGTTGATCATTCGTTTCCTCTTCTAGGTTGTCCTCCATGCACGAGAAAGTTGCAAGGAATCTTAGATGAATCAAACGACTTGTTGATGACAACGAAAACTAAGGCAGATCAGGCGAACACGTCTCTTGATTATTACGACAGGTTAAGTCAACTTGAGAAGAAGATCGAAGGTGTAAAGGTAACGTGTTTTTTTTTTGAATTATCTGTCTGATCTATTGCGCTTGTGATTGGTTAATATGAAAGAGTTATTGCGTTTGATTGGCTCATGTTTCCTCTTTCGCTTATCCATTGCGCTTGTGATTGGTTAATATGAAAGAGTTATCGCGTTTGATTGGCTCATGTTTCTTCTTTCGCTTATCCATTGCGCTTGTGATTGGCCAATCTGATAAACGTATCTCATTTGATTGGTTCATGTTCCTTCAAAGGTAGCGTTAGTGATTGTGGGAGTTTTGTGTTTCCCACTTTAAGGAACAAGAAAGTCGACGAAAGTTTCTGAGATGATGCCGTGATCTCATCGCTTATTTTATCTTACAGGAAATGGAAGACAAACACGTGAACATCATAAGAAGACTCGAGGGTCATCGCAACACGAGCATCAATGCAACTATTCTAGGCTTGGAGGAAAGGGTGAGTTGATGTGTCGAACTTTTCTAGAAATCGATACTCGTCTTCCTAACCTTCGTCTTAACCTAAATGCCAATCTGGATCATGCTTCAATTGTCTGCACACTATTACATGTATTCACGTCACAGCCCAGACTTTCTATAAATCGTAGCATGTGGCTGGTCGATAAAAACCAGTGTCTACATTTCTATGTTTATTCTGTTTAATGCTCTAATTCGTGTAGAACGCAAAATTGAAGGTCGAGGCTCAAATTCTGGACCTCAATTTGACTTCGGAAACTCGGAGAGTTGAGGATATTTTTAACAACTCAAAGCTTGCCAATGATTATGCCAACGGTAGGTTTACTAGAAACGATGAAGAAATAAGGAAATGGATCATCATGAACAGGTTTTCCCGCGTACAAACATTGAGTTTAGATGGGCCTTTGATCATAAACTTAACCATCTTCATAACGGGTATCTTCCCGATAACACACCATTCAGTCGTGTGTTTTCTAATTTCCATGTTATTTGATATTCAGATGTGACAAGTCGAACCAGAGAAATTGTTGATGATCTGAAGAAACTTTCAAACGAAAGCAAAACCATGAACATTTCCGCGTCAGATACTGTTAACTTCATGCTAGAAAGCATTTCGGACGCCAAGTCTCAAGCTTCCCGTGCAAGCAACTTAAAAAACGCTGTGGAACAGACTTCTAACGAAACTGAAAGCGTTGCTGTAGACATTGAGGATTCCACTGAAGTTATTGAGAGGCTTTCAAAGATGATTGAACAATTCAATGATGACTTAAATCGCACAAAAACACGAATTGATAAAGACAAACTACAGTTAAAAACAACACATGATGAAATTGAAGCTGTTAAGGTATTTGTGGGTCATGTACATTGAATATATCAAGAAGAAATTGCATGGAATGTGTTCTTGAACAGATGTTCTTGAGTGTTTTAACTCTCGTTTTCCTGTTATTTCTTCAGAACTTGAACAACGAGACGAGTTTTATTACAATGAATACAAAAACAGCATTACGACAAACATCGTTGAACATAAATAATACCAACGCCTTCAACGCTGAGGGTGAAGTTAACTACAAGGTAAGACTCGCCTGATTTTGAAATTTCGAAATTAATGAATCACTGTGTCAATACGGTGAATGCTTCTTTTTATTGCATTTGTTTATATTTCACTAGTTTAATACGACTATTCTTCGTTTTTCAGAGTATAAGAGATACAAAATTGCCAGAACTGAATCAAGAGTTGGAGACTTTGAAAACTGATATCAATAATGTGAATGCATCGTACTGGAATGCTCTGCCTTTAGTAGCAAACGCCAGTCGACACGCTGACAAGTTGGACTCGGAAGCCCGTCGACTGGAGAGGTATCGTGTTCACTTTACTAGTATTTCATTTCAATTTAGTTCAGTTTCGTTCCGAGTTCAGTTCAGTTTTTCAGTTATCAGTTCACATGTCAGTTCAACTCATCCCAAATTACATCAGATCGGATCAGTTAAGCTCACCTAAGATCCAATTCACATCTGTTCATTTTAGTTAGTTCAGCTCATCTCATGCAGAACTGTTCCATCTACTGCAGTTCAGCTTATTTCAGATAAGTGGACGTGACTTCAGTTTGAATGAATAAAAACCGTCAAAATCGTCACCTTTGTAGAAATTTCTCTGAGGCCAAAAATCACGGAGAGAAGGCTGATCAATCTATTAAAACGTACGAAAGAACCACGAAGACGATCGAAGACGCTAAAGAAAAATCAATCAAAGCCAACAAAGATGTGACCGAACTTATGAGCAGAGTAAGAAAATCCCGGCTGTTTCGTACTTGCTGGCTAAAGCAATAGACGAACCCTGATGTTACACGAAGTTTGATTGGCTGCGCAAAACCAACGAGCCAATCAAACTTCGTGTTACATCATGCTTTTGACATCTTTATGAGTTCTGTTCTACATTGTATATCTTGAAATGCCAAGATAAAGTACATAGAATGTCCGGGCCAAAGCTACGATTTTTAGCTTAATACTGTATTTATAAATGATTCAGTAATGTTACTTCTGGAGGAAACCAAAGCTAAACCAGCTTTATTCATATGCTATAAATGCAATTTATTCACTTTGTGTGCTCTATCATTAAAGGCTATTCTCTAAGAGTAAACTGTCTTCATGCAAGTATCTAATATCGTTTTCTGTTCTTCAGATTCAAAATTTAACGAGCCAAAGTCAAAGTGTGAACGCAAGAGCTTCGGAATGCAAAAATGCCAGTGTTCAACTTCTTGCTGAGACTAGGAAACGAAATGTGGAAATTGATGGTGAATATTTTACTCTGATTTAAGATCTAGTGTCTTGACACATTACTTTCCCAAGTACATCTCAGAACGCAGTATTTTGTGACTCAGAATTGAGTGAAACAATGCTTTTTTAAGACAACCACGTGTGATATAATTGTCTTGCATACTGAAGACGCTATTCAATTGTGAATTGAAGTTTATGTTTTTATATAATTGTGTTATTTCTTTAGACATGAACAGAACTATTTCAGATACTTTCAAGCTATTCATCGATGCAAATGAGACTTGCAATAGGGTCGAAGTGGATGCGAGTATTTTTGAAGATAAACGTTCATCGATTATAAAGGTCGCCGCATCAGATGGGCCGTTTATAAATAACACCTTAGAGAATGCTACCAAAAATGTTTCAAAAACGCAGGATATTCGCGAAAGAATCGAACTGGAGGGCATTGAATTGAGGAAGAGATTATCGCAAGCGAATAAGACCTTAGAAGAGATTGATGATTTGGTTGCAAACTCAAGCAAATTGCTGGAGAAAACTCATTTTACAGGTGAACAATCTTGGTTGAAAGTTTTCTATTTGTAATCGAAATTTATCTTCGAGTGCTCTGTTTTAAATATACCGAATGATCTTTCAGGCAACGAAACAGCAAAACTGTTGGCTAACATCTCTCAGAGCGTCAACCTAACGAAACAGGTGAACGATGAAAATCATCAGCGGGAGATATCCTTGTTGAGAAAGATAGGAAATTTAGAATCACGTTTGAAAGCTGCAAAGGATAAGATCGCCAAGGTAAACAACTTTGGAGGAGTGTGTAGTTTTTGATCTGGCAAAGATATTTTGCGTTGTTTTATTTAGGATGCGAATATCCATAAATGGCATGCCAAATTAACTTTGTAATTTATCACAAGCAGATGTCATTTAGTAAATAAGTTGTGTCTTTCTTCATCCATAGTTCCGTCTGGCATTGAAAGTGAAGGGAAACACATCGGTTGAATACAAGCCTACAAAACGAATGATATCCAATCCTCTTCTGAATAGTGTATCATTGGATTTCAAAACAAGCCGTTCAACTGGTCTACTCCTTTATTTGTCTCCTAACACGGTAGGTGTAAAGATATTTTCAAATATCAATGTCTCGGAATGCATTTTCCAGTGCCACGAAAGACGCATCTAATGAACCAGTAGCGAACGCTTTGCACAGTTTTCCCACAGGTTGTTTCGACCTTAACTAAAATACCGAAATATAGTATACGATTTTAAGATCAATTCCTCTAGCTTTAAAGATGCAGTTACCTGAATATTAGTGCATTGACATTACTTCACATTCAAGATTTCCTCTGGATACTTCGAGAAGTTTATAGTTGATATAATTTTACGTGGTGTAAGAAGAGTTGACAGCAAATGAGTTTTATAATAAATGTTCATAGTTTAGGACATTTTTGTACCGTGTACGTCAGTTTCTGAATATATCTATTCCCTTTTTAGCATCAAAGTCTTTCGTTGAAGCTGGTTATAAACCGAGTTCGTTTCACTTATAAAATCGACTCGTTTCCCGTCGTCATAACTAACTGGGAGGTTCCAATTGATGATGATGTTTGGTATCGTGTTTATGCCTCAAGGTGAGGACTGAATGTTTTTGTAAAAAAATTGGAGCTATGGGTATAAACATATAACCTATGAAAAGATGAACATGTACTTGTTTGAAATGAATCCTGAGTCTAGTAATTATTAGTTTAGAAATTCATATTTCTAGCAAAGAATGCTCATGACCACTTTCGAACAGATTCCGCAGTCACAATCACTCGTTAAGATCCTAAATTCCGTTGTGTCTCTGTTTTCTTCACAGATACGACGAAAGCGCGAGATTGACGGTGACGAATTTAAACACAAGTTTCTCAAGAACGTACGAGGATCCTACAAACACAAAAGCATCTTTCAAAAACCTTCGAATGGAGTTTACTGCGAACAGTTCTGTCTTTCTTGGCGGCGTTCCCCCGGATTTCTCGCAGGCAAACTTGACAGAGAGATACTTTGATGGTGATCTAGACAATTTGATTCTCAATGAAGACAAAGTACCATTATGGGAACCACTTAAAGTTGAAGGAGTTCGAAAGTTTGTCGCGAAAAGGTAATGGTGTATACAATGGAAATGACTGAAACTAACGAGAAAAGATCTGATGTTACTTTTCCTTTTTCATTCTAGAGTTTCAGAGAATCCAATCAAATGTGTAACGTTTCATGGCGATGGCTACATTAAACAACGAGCTGGAGTCGATTTTTATACACAAATGAACTCCAGTCTACATTTTCAATTTCGATCGTTTTTCAAGAACGCGTTGATAGTCTTAGTCGAAGGAGGCAACCAGGTAAATTTAAACAAAATTTCATCAATTGAAATCATTTTGGTTTTTCTCTTTCTGTGATAACCTGATAGAGTTATCCAGTATAAATAAAGTTAGTTTATTTAGGTTTCTCTGTAGTAACACTGGATCAATAGAGATGATCCTTACTGGACTCAGGAGAAACAGTTTAGAACTGATAGAGCTATCAGTATAAATAAAGTTAGTTTGTTAGGTTTCTCCTGTAGTAACACTGGATCAATAAGAGATGATCCTTACTGACCTCAGAAGAAACAGTTTAGAATTGATAGAGCTATCAGGTAAATAAAGTTAGTTTAGTTTAGGTTTGCTCCTGTAGTAACACTGGATCAATAAGAGATGATCCTTACTGGACCTCTAAAAAGAACAGTTTAGAACTGATAGAGCTATCCAGTATAAATAAAATTAGTTTAGTAGTAGGTTTCCTCCTGTATAGTAACACTGGATCAACAAGAGATGATCCTTGCTGAACCTCCAGGAAGAACATTTTAGAATTGATAGAGCTATCCGGGATAAATGTTGGTCTAGCGTAGGTTTCCCTCTTGTAGTAAAACTGGATTCGTAGAAGATAATCCTTACTGGACCGCCGAAGAAGGAAGGTTTAGAAAGTTCAGATACGCTGGCTTAATTTTAACTTTATCTTTTTTACAGCAATTTATATACAGTGTTTCTCTAAGCGATGGTCATGTGATTTTCCGCTACAATAAAACGAGGCTTCGTAGTAGCAATTCTGACTATAACGACGGGAAATGGTATCATGTTGCTGTTACCAGAACCTTGAAGAACGCGTCCCTTCATATCACACCTCTGGAACCTGGATCGAAGAAAGGCAGTGATTATGTCAATGAAAGTACATCGCTTCCTGCATACTTACCAGACGCAGAATATATCTACTTCGGCGGCTCGAATGAAACTCGGTAAGGAATAAGGACAATGATGGATTGAGATTAGGAATGGATTGAGATCTTTTTCGTCGATTTACGTCTAAATATACACTAGACTTGTATCTTTTATCGCTCTGTCTAGTTTTGTAAAATACAATGCAAGACGCTAGAGATTATTAAATAAAGAATTCTTCTCCATTAGAGAACGTTTTGCTGGCGATATGAAGTATGTCTTTCTGAGCTCTTTTGTGAAAAATAAGCTGGTTGCGAGAAGTCTGAGCGACAAAAATCTGACAATTGATTCAACTGGCGTCGCCTTTGACCAGTGCTTGGATCAGGTAAACAAGTGTTACTGAAAACGTTGTTTAAATGCAATTTATTCAATACAAGTTTTATCCATTGGCATGACCTAAAATACTTCATTCCGGCAGCCTTGAAGCCTGTATTCAAAAAGCTTACTCACACTCATGCTCATTGCATGTGCCTTTGAATTTCTGTCATTACTTATCAATGTGACAGGGCTTTCTTAGTCAATGGAAAGATTCAAGGTAAATGACTGGAAATCAAGCTTTTATAGTGGAGCTATATACCATCATGAAATCGTTACGGCGTGATTCAGATCTTCCACTCGACGAGTTTCGGTGTGAGTGAGCTTTTAGACTACGGGCGGTGATCTTGATCAATATTTTCCCCAGTCTTGGTAACTGATCAATTCTTCATATACATTCGATAGAAATCATTGTTTGGAAAATATAGAGTAAACCACTGAGTAACAACACTAACTTCTTCAAACTTTGGCGTTATCCAGGTTGAAAAAGGACTCAGGTATTCAAATGGTTACTCCATTGTAAACACCGAGAACATCACAACTTTGGAATCACTGGAAATCACATTCAAAACGAAAGAACCAAGTGGGTTACTGGCCTATAGCGTCAAAGAGGTACGAACGAAGATCATTAATGTGGTTTCTCTGTTTTCTCAGGATTTTTTTTCGACTTCTAAACAACAAACACAGTCAACCTTTTTTCATTTCCTCGCTAATTTTAGAATCTTCATTTCTACCTCGCTCTGTTTCATGGCAATTTGTTCTTGGTTTACGGCAAAAGCAACAGTTACAACTCCTCGTTGCAAACCGACACGGAGACACTGAACGACGGAGCATTTCACACTGTTACAGTAGAAATAAAGAACTCAAGGTAATGTTGTGTATTTTCACGCGTCTTTCATCATAGCCTTGTGCATTCGCAGCAACATTTTTCACTTTCGGTTTTCAGTCTTAAGCCCGTTTTCCACCTGGCGAATTTATTCGCGCGATCTGATAAAAATTAGGAAATGAATCTACACTTTACCACGGTAAATTTTTTCGCAAACAAGTCACATCACTAGATTTCAGATTCCCTTTCGCGCCGCAAGCAGATTCGCCTAGTCGAAAACAGGTTTTACAGAGGACTACCTACTGTTCTAACGTTTCCTTCCTGTTTCGTAGAATTCAAATGAAGTGGGACACAAGCAGTGAAACTTTATCACGTGATCTCTCACGTGACGAACCAGCACCGCTTCCGCTCAAGAACTTGTTCATTGCTGGTATCCCGTCGTCCATTGCAATCCCTCTGCTAGTTCCTATCTTGAGCTCTTTCAACGGAGACGTGAAACATGTCCAGGTTAATGGAGCCACGTTGTTTGATGGCAGGTAAGAGGTTGAACCGAACATTTCTTCATGGAAATCTTCGGATGATGAATGCATTGCTGTCAGTGGATTATTAAAGTACTGCTGTTCTGGCTAAACTGCTGTTACTAATACTGACTATTCACTTTAGTACTTATCGCTTTGCAATGCTTTATACAGGATTTCTCTTTCAACCTTCCTCAATGTCAGCTGATTATTGCGGTGCTGCTGGTCTGACTGAGTGTTGACTGTTTCTAGCACTAACATGTTTTATTCAGTGTTTTACTTTCAACTTTCCTTATGAAGTTGATCATTGCAGTACTCATCATGGCTACTCTTTTAGCGTTTCTTCATTATCATTTTAGCTCCTTGCGGGTATTCACTTCAGCGACAAGTGTTGGTGTGTCTGCTTCAGGGGTGTCACCCTCTATGACTGTACCTACAACAGAAATGCCCACAAATACCCCAGCTCCACCAACTTGTGGTTCCAAATACCCCGAGAAAGTCCACTCTGAGAAACAGAATGAGGTTCATTTCTCCGGAATTGACAGCTACCTTTCACCTAAAGTTTACCAGAGTCTCATTAACGAAATGGCAATCAGGTATTGCACGTAGTCATTAAATACGCTTAGTAAAGTGGCTAAGGACAGTACAAGCTTGTATTTGGCCTTTTAAACGCCTATTAAAATATACCGTTGTGTTTTCACTGTGTTTTTAGTTTTGTTATTTCAATCGAGTTTCGTGCTCTCTCTCCGAACGGAGTTTTATTCATGGCCGCTGATAACCAGACCTCGCAATTTGTCACACTCGAATTGGTTGATGGGTATTTGGTGTACCAATTCAATACAGGAAGCGGACTGGTGCGAATGAGGACCACTGGAACCTACAGTGTTGGTGGAATTTGGTATCAGGTATGTGCGTCCAAAACAGATTACGGATTACGACATGCGTTTAAAATAGGATTACCTGGGGCCGGTTGTATCAAGCCCGTTTAGCTTAAATGGTAGTTACGTTCAAAATAGAAAGCAAGTCTATCGTTTTATTCAACAAGCAAACTAAATGTTTTTAACCTTAATACAAAGATACTGTTTACAACTACATATTCAATGCATAATATTCAAGTTGACTTATTCAAGAGAGATGTAAGAGTGTTATTTAATTTTGACTTATCCACCGTTTAAGCTAAACGGGCTTGATACAACCGGGCCCAGATCATTTGGAAATATGATTACCACTTCAGTGATGATCAAACTTTGAGCATTTCTTAACCATTCTCAGGTGGACTTGTTGCGGATCAGCCATTTCGGTGCAATGGTTGTACGACAAACAAAGGAATATCACAAGAACGACAACAAAGAGAATGGAACAGAACCACTCAATATTACCCAAGTTTTTGTCGGTGGTACCAATGGATATATCGATACTTCATTTCTTGAGGTAAATTGTACGAAATTAACTCTTTCTTTGCATGGAACTTGTCAAACAGTGAGTAGACATCTCATCGTAATACCTCCACCAAGTACATAAAAGCTTCGTTTTTGCCATAGAACCGAGAGGCGCCGAGCTTTTTCGGGTGTATCCGATCTGTGGTGATTGAAACACAGGTTCAGCGTCAATCATTAAATTTAAGGTAATTCATTGTTTGCGATTTATTCTTAGAGAACTAGAAATAAAGAGGGAATGAAATCTTGGATAGAGAAACAGAGAAACTAATAGTAGTTGTGTGTTAATCTTTTAGTGGTGATGCTGTTTCAATGAAACATATCCGGCCGGGACAATGTTACGATCATGTTCAACCACAAGTCAGTTTTAATGGCTCAGGTTTTGCTGAGCTAGGTAGGTTTGTCCATGAATCAACTCAATCAAGTAGTGCATGGCAATTTTATCTGTGAGGGAAATAGAAGGGTGTCTGGGAAGAAATCTTTAGTTTTTTAATCTCGTAAGAAGGCAGATTGTAAAGGGGCATCTCTTTTGCCGATCTTACAAGAGCGAATATCGATCTTAACTTTCACATTTCCGACTTTTTCCCCCTTTCAGATGGCAAGTTTAACCTGTCAGCTCAAAGTGTGTTGAGCATTAAATTTCGAACAACAAAAAGAAATGGATTGTTGTTTTTCGCCACAAGTCAAACTGGAGATCATACAATGGCCGTTGAGCAAGTTAATGGTCAGGTGAGAAAGAGGCTAAGTTTTTAAGCAAACAAATTTTTATTCGTATATTTTGCGTGTATATATGATTAGGTCATGATAATTTTAATTCATAATGCAATCCTCAATCTGGTTGGGCTATGATCAGTGTGATGAAATTCTAAACATGCGAAGCATCGCCGGTCTAACGCGTAGTGTCGCAGCTCCTCGCAAGAATGATTTTCATTGGCTGAACTTTACAATACATTTCTGTTTCAACCAATAGCATAGCTTAGTTCTTTAGAAAGCATATAGAAAAGCATTATCCAATTGGACGAAAGCTTCCGAGAGCTGCGACATGTCCCGTCTAACGGTTATAAAGATATTTTTTCTTTTTATCTTCACAGATGCACCTTTCGTATGTGGAAAGTAATAACTTGTCGACGTTACATTGGATTGATCCAGTAATTACATCGCCTGAATATGTGAATAGCTCCTATGCTGTTTGTGACAACATCTACCATACTGTTAACGTCAGACGTTCAAATGGACGGGTAGAAATGGATGTTGATGGGAAAGGTCCTGTCAGAACTAACATCGCTAATGGTGAACTCAGTGGTACCGTCTATATCGGTGGAGTACCAAGTGAGTGTGGAAATAATACATACTTAGTGTATGCTCCCGAGGGAAATAGGGTTTTTTTTTCCCAAAACAAACATTGAAACTCAAGGGAAAACAAAACTCACTATTTCCCGAGGTAGCGTACATTAAGTCGATATATGGAAACATGGCAAACTATTTCTGTGAGCTGTAAGTTAGCTTTATATAGCTAGTTCGGACCATTATATATACAAAAAATATACACAGCACGTGGCAATGATGGCACTGATTTTTTTAGATGTCCTACGTGAAAAGGCGAGAAAAATGGGGCCTGGATTTGCCGGGTGTATCGAAAGCGTTCACATTGATCGACACGTCGTTGACTTCAAACATGGAACATCTGCAGAAAATTCCATCCTGGAGTTTGGTTGTCGCGGACCCATTAAACCACAGCAAAGTTACTCATCTCTAAATATCTTTAAAGTGATGGTCAATTAGCCACGGACTGTTTATTTATAAACGAACACAGACAAACGCCTGCATGTTATGCCCAGCATAATGACCTGTTAAGAAATTGCACGGGAATCTAATTGGCCCAAATTTTTATGTTTCGAAATATTGCCTGTTATCTTTACAATTCACGTTACCACTAGTTTTCTTATTTGCTTTTTCCTAATCCGCTCTCCCAAAAACGGGGCGAAATCCTTTCATTTTTGCTGATGATTTGTGTAGTTCTCCCAGCGCCTCTCATTCCGCAAGTAATGAATTAATATCTTAATTAATCAAAAATCACATCAGTAATTAGTCTTTTATGAGAGCTTATTAAGAGCAAGCGGGTTGTCATAGCGACACAGCATTACGTCTATTGTCTTACAAAGTAGATTTTTATTGTGACTAAATGATGATTGAATTTTGCTTATTTGGGTGACCAACTGTTGTCCAGCACGATGTCCGCGAAACTCGCAATACAAAGTTTATTTCTTTATTAGCGCTCCGCCCAGGTCATGCATATCGTCAATGAATTTCAACGTATTCAGATGAAGTTTTTCATCGATATTTTAAGTCGAGAATGCTTGCAATTGAGCAAATATTGATCCATTCAGTGTGCACTCGAAAAGGATTTGTAAACTTTCCCAACCCAAAAAGGGAACGTGAACGAAACATGCCCATGTGAAACCGTCTGGGTTCAAAAAACGCCGCGAGTTTATTCCACAGTGATTGAGATGATCTCAGGTTTTCGGATAGCCGCGTATATATAGCCTGGGTATGAGATTCCAGCATTTCACTGGCTTCCAGCTGCGCCCTGACCACTGATCTATATATACATTTCTGGAATTATGAAATATGTACGAAACATGTTTGTTTGTTGATATCAAACATCTTGACCAGGTTTTTGTCTGGCACGATAAGGGGGAAATTCTAAAGATAATAGCCATGTATTAAAATGTGATATCGAAATTGTTGCTATCAGTGCATGTTACCCAAATAATTCAACGTTTTAAGATCCGAGCAAAAAAATGAGATTGACTCTCATGATCAGGACAACTTAAAGACACACTCGACCATGGTCGAGTTAGTCGTTTTCCGGCGAACTCGACCATGGTCGAGTTAGTCGTTTTCCGCCGAACTCGACCATGGTCGAGTTAGTCGTTTCCCGGCGAACTCGACCATGGTCGAATTAGTCGTTTTCCGGCAAACTCGACCATGGTCGAGTTAGTCGTTTTCCGGCGAACTCGACCATGGTCGAATTAGTCGTTTTCCGGCGAACTCGACCATGGTCGAATTAGTCGTTTTCCGGCGAACTCGACCATGGTCGAGTTAGTCGTTTTCCGGCGAACTCGACCATGGTCGAATTAGTCGTTTTCAGGCGAACTCGACCATGGTCGAGTTAGTCGTTTTCCGGCGAACTCGACCATGGTCGAGTTAGTCGTTTTCCGCCGAACTCGACCATGGTCGAGTTAGTCGTTTTCAGGCGAACTCGACCATGGTCGAATTAGTCGTTTTCCAGCGAACTCGACCATGGTCGAGTTAGTCGTTTTCCGGCGAACTCGACCATGGTCGAATTAGTCGTTTTCCGGCGAACTCGACCATGGTCGAGTTAGTCGTTTTCAGGCGAATTCGACCATGGTCGTATTTGCCATTTTCCGGCAAATATGACCATGGTCGTATTTGCCATTTTCCGGCGAATATGACCATGGTCGAATTAGTCGTTTTCCGGCAAATTGGACCATGGTCGAATTAGTCGTTTTCCGGCGAATTCGACCATGGTCGAATTAGTCGTTTTCCGGCGAATTCGACCGTGGTCGTATTTGCCATTTTCCGGCGAATATGACCATGGTCGTATTAGTCGTTTAGTCGAATTAGTCGTTTTCCGGCGAATTCGACCATGGTCGAACACGCCGTTTTTCTGAAGACTTGTCCATAGTCGAATACGTCGTTTTCGCTTTTTTCCGGCCGTCTTGGCAATGGTCGAATACGTCGTTTTCCAGCGACTCGACGATGGTCGAATACGCCATTTTCCGGCGGTTTGATTGATTGATTGATTTGTGTTAATCTGCTTAATTAATGGAATTGCGCATGTCGTGGGCGGGAAGTATCCATTGGTACTGTTGTAGTATCCAGATGACTTATACCCTGGTTCAAATCCCCCGTAGTAAAAGACCCCGAGATTACAAAATGGTGATCGTAAACACGTTGTGGAGTGTTTACGATTATTTCTAAGCAGAAAAAGGCTTATCTTGACAGATTACCGAGTAATTGACCGCATAAAACCAAAGTCACAAGTACTTATGACATGTCTTTTACAGATCGGTTGCCTATACAAAGCTGATTTGTGCAGTTTTAAAAGGAAATTTGTATGTATTCATAGTTTCAATCATGGCATATAGTGTTGATGGTGGTGTGGTATTGCAAGCCCTGACGAATGCTTGCAGTCAAGATCCTAGCTTGCTCAAGACGGCAGAGGGACAACTGAAAGAATTAGAGACACATCCAGGATTTTATAATATTTTATTGGTAAAGCATGGATGAATATTCATAGAATCATAGTTGAATATGAGATGTATTTCTCTTCTCTATAGGCTATAGCTAATATTCATAATATGCATGGTTATCACTAAGGTTATTTATACAGAACTCAGAACTTTAATGTACTAATCATATAGACCTTGAAGAAAGGATATTCCAGAGAAATCCAGTGTTATTGATATTTTGAAAGTGTTTCAAAGAAAATATCAAGTCTTAATATAACTAGTGTGTCTATATTTGGAACCTAGCATAGTATGCACACAGGATCATCATTAATTATAATTGCATTAGCAGGAACATATCATATGTTGTAAGATATTGTTTGTGGAAACTTAGATAGTTGCTAAGGCTGTTCCCAATCTCATTTTCTAGACCATATACAGAAATCATGTGGTTAATCCAAACGTGAGGTGGCTGGCGGTTGTCTGCCTAAAAAATGGTGTGGATAAGTACTGGAGAAAATCTGCTCCCAAGTAAGACATTCAGTTGATATATCAAAGTTGTGTGTAGTGGAGGACATATTGTGATATCAGTTTACTTAAAATAGTGCATTGTCTGACGAAGAAAAGGAGGAAATACGAAAACAATTGTTGTTATCATTCAATGAACCAGTTTCACAGGTACAGCTTCAGCAAGTGTGGGCGCAGTTTTTATGCTCTTTCATTTCAATAATAGCACTATTTGGTATCCCAATGAGAGAAATAAGTTTCTCTAGATGGTATCATGGTAGGATACATGTATGGGGATGCTTGCATGTGGTTGTTTTCACCTTTAGGAAGTCTTCTTGTAATACAAATGTAGAAATATTAGAGTTTCTATATATTTGAAATCATTTCTACTATAGATTGCATCCCAATTAGCTGTTCTGATATCAAAAGTTGCCAGGCTTGAGTCAAAGTCTTGGACTGCATTAATGCCAGCTCTCTCAGAGGTATTTAGTTAGAAATTAGTTTGTTGAATATTTATTGAAGAATCTGAGAAATGTTTTAACCTTTTTTTTCAATTTTTAAGGGTCTTCAGAATACTGATGCAATGTATCGCCTGAGATCTCTACTTATCTTTCAACATGTGGTGAAGATGATGGCTTCAAAAAAACTAAGTGTTGACAAAGAAAATTTTAGAGAGGTATACATATAACAAGTCTTTTGCATTCCATTTGTGTTTGGTACCTTTACAGTCCATTTATTTGCATTGTCCCCGATTGCATTTTTTAAAGTTTTTTTTCCAGTTGGCATCAAATACATTTGACTTCATGTTCACATTGTGGAATAGTTACATGGTAAATTATTTTGAGCAAATCCAAGCGCAGGTAATGATGACAAATTTTCAAAATATTGGGCCATTTTCCAAGGTGTCGACATTGAATATTTAAAGAAGACAATTTTGTCACATCTTAGAGTGAAAGTATTCATGAAGCACAGGAGGCCAGCATGCTATCATCCAAAGGTAATGTTGCACTCTGTCGATTAGTTACAATGTGAAATATACAATGAACTGGCCCCTAAAATAGCATTGCCTGCCAACACTAATTCAGTTACACATTCTTCAAATCCTTGCATGCAGTTATCCCAACTGTGATCACAGATTATTGTGTATGTATGCTGTATTATATAATTTCATTTTTCTAAAGTTTTGAGGAAATTCATGGTACATGGATTCAGAGAATTTGCTCCAAATTCGCAACCTATGGTAAGCTGTCAATTCATTGCAGTTATAGAGAGACAAATTAGGATATATAATATAAGCTTATTCATTTGGGTAGTTTTTAATATGTTTTTCTATCTTTATATAGTCATTTTTAAAAAAGTGTTTGGATGCATCCAGGCAATTGCTCAATATAAGTAAGTGTTTTTAACATTGTATTACCCTACCAATTTTTGTCATTATAAGGTAATGAAATAAAGCAGTTAAACTTGTGGCGTAAAGTTGAGGTTATGATTTTTCTTATTTACAGGACAACAGTTGCTATCTAATCAACAAATCTCGTCATTGCTTGAGAAACTGATTGCTTGTCTTGTTAAAGTGGTAAGGATTTTGTAAATTTCGGATATGAAAGAAAAGTACATTCAGTATCAGTCAACTGACCTTAAAAATTGCCTTATGTAAATTGCAACTTTACTGAATACAATGCGTATGTACTGGTATATAAGTTCTTGTCATATTGTTTGAAAGGCTTCGTCCATATTCATTGTTTATGATTTCCTGGAGTGAAACCACATGCTATTGAACTTTAGACATTCATTGCACTTTTCATTTCTTAAGGTCCTTGGTACTCAAGAATATCATCGATTATCGTGCATACCTTTGCTACAAGACATGCTTGAATTTTCAGCATTTTATGTTTTCACAAAACGTGGAACAACTTTGGTTTTCGAGAAGTTAATCATTTACTGTTGTAACCTCATGACAAATATCACAAAATGCGAGACATATAAGCCGCCGGACAAAACAAAAGGTTAGCTTTAATCCTCGCTGCTAAATGTGACCTTCTGAAACACCCAATACACTGTGTCTGAGATTGAACATCGCTTCATATTTTTAGATGCGGTTGATCAAATAATCTTAAAAGCACATCAGGTGAGAAGTAGCTTTATTTATACTGAAAACAACTTGACTATCAGGTCTAAACTGTTTTTTATCTACAGTAAAGGACGGATAAGCATCGTTTAATCTCATTGATCAAGTCTTACTCCTGTAGGAAAGCTAAACTAGTCTTGCAGTGCATATGGACTGGGTATCTTTTTCAACAACTATACGTTTTATTTCAGATTCAGAAATCGTTTTTCACGCAAGCTGTGCTTGATGAAATTATAAAAACTTTGGTTTCCCATTATTTCGTGCTGACTCGTGAGGTAACGTATGCCGACAGCACATTTTGTTGTTGAAAGAAGACAGAGGTTCTCAGTTTCATAACATCATTGCTTCGTCAACTTTTCAGGATTTGGAAACCTGGGATTCAGACCCGGAAGAATTTGGTATGTTTGATCTTCAAACAAAAGTTTGTTTGAATTAGTAGATTATCTGTTTATACCAAGGCTAAGTCTGTAATATTCTCACTTTTTTTTATATGTTCACAGACAATGAAGAAGTTGGTGAATCATGGCGCTATCAGTTACGGGTAAAAGAATTTATAGAGGAAAATATCAACAACGGGCAGACGCCATTACCTATTAAACAGTTTTCAATATATCTTTTTTTAATTCGTTATTTCAGCCAAGTACTGAGAAGCTGCTTCTTTCATTGTTCAGAGAGTTTCGCCCTTTGGTGACACCAGTCATTGTCAATATCATAACGTCTGTTCAGAGTAAGTTATTGTACCTTTCTGTTTTTAAAAATCATTGCAGTCTAGCACGTAATATAAGCCATCTATCCATGATCCGCTAAAGCTATATAAATCCTTTTTTACAGGCTTACCAGAGAGCGATGATCTTGGCATTTTGATGCAAAAAGAAGCAGGTATATAGAGGAAGATTTTTGTGCACGTTTCGTATAAAATTTCCTTAGTATTCCGACGAAAATTCAATGAAATTATTTCCGTATATATTCACCTTCTTTTTAGTTTACAACGTCGCTGGTTTGTGTTCGTACGATCTCTTTGAAGAAATCAACTTTGAAGAATGGTTTTCGCAGGGTTTGGTGAAAGAACTGCAAAACAAATCCACCGGCTACAGGATAATTCGCCGAAGGGTGATCTGGCTCATAGGACAATGGATAAACGTAAAGCTATCGCCTCCATATCGACCAATGTTGTATGAGATTATCGTCAGCCTTATGTCAGAGTCTGAAGATTTAGTGGTCAGTGAAAATTCCGACTTCTTGTTAATAAAAGCGAAAAACTAAGCCTCTGAATTCATGACAACAATCTTTTTTCATTTAGGTGAGACTGAATACATCAAAAACATTGCGATCTGGTATGCTTTTTGACTATGATTATATCTCTTAGCCTTTTCAAAAGTTATACCTTTGCCGGCTGTCGTTGAGTCTTATTTTTTTTTTCAACTTTCGACCTTCTCTAAAAGGTGTAAACTTTCGTAATAAGTTGACCTGAATTCCCCCAACTCTTGTTGATAGTTTCAAGGTTTATAAGAGTGTAATTTTTCTTCGTAACTTGTAGCTGTCGATGATTTCGAATTCAGAACGGAAGATTTTTTGCCCGTGAGTTTTTCGCTTGGGTTTAGAGACTGCATTAGAGTAGGTCTCGTACAATGATGTTGATTTGATTTTTCGTATTTCAGTATCTCGAAGCATGCGTTTCTCAGCTGTTTAAACTCCTTTGTGATGTCAAAGAATGCGACACTAAGGTATGTCAATGACATGGTTGTTGTGTGATGGATATGTTGGTATAAGTTTTGTGGAGATGATGGTTGGAGTGTTGGTTACCATGTTATACTGGTGATGGTTACCTGTTATGGATGATGGTGATAAGAAGTGACTTTAGTGGCGATAGTGTTCATGTTAGTCTATTGGTGAGGGTGATGGTGGTGGTGGTGATGGTAATAATGGTAACATCCTTTGACCTACGATTTGCTTTTATACCACAGATGCATATCCTGTTTGTTATGTCGATGGTTATTGAAAGAGTCGGGCCGAAGGTATGTATGCAATCACCAACATATCCAGTCCAGTATATAGAGTATCTCATATAGCCACAGGCTATATGAGTATCTCCAAGAGTCTTATAGTGCAATTCCGTTATCCAAGTGTTTTACGTTTTGTGAACTTCCAGATCAAGCCATACGTCGCATCTTTGGCTGGTTATCTTCCAAAGCTTTGGATCGAATCTGAAGAACACAACATGTTACGATGTTCCATTCTTAATACTCTCACTTTCATAGTCAAAGGACTTGGTTCCGAATCCGTCCATCTCTATTCCTTCTTAACACCTGTTATCCAGCTTAGTACCGATGTTAGTCAGGTAAGGGTTCAGGCCAAAACAAATAACTTGAAATACGCTTGAAATAACACGCTGAACATTGTAATATATATACATTACAGCCACCTCACGTTTACTTGTTGGAAGATGGATTGGAGCTCTGGTACTCTTCTCAATCGTCTTATTTCCCTGAACACATTTTATCAATATTTTAAAAGACTAATTTATCCACTATTTCAGGTCAAGTACTCTAAAATGTGCTGCTTTGATGACGCCAGAACTTCTGCATCTTTTCCACAATATGAAGGAACTTTTAGGCAAGTGGTTTTGGCGCCAAATTTTACTTGGTCTTTGAACCAGTGCTATTTCTGACGTCTTAAAATGGTCGCTGGTTGTTGTTGTTATCAAAATTCGCTCAAATCAAACCATTCCCTTTACCTGTAGTAATATATTTGGTCGCATCTCTGTAATCATCAAATGCGATCTTGGATGTCATTGTAATATTACGTTGCACCATTTAGAGCTAAGTTCAGAGAACCTAAGAACAAGTTTTTCAATTGTCGAGTCTTATATACTGCTTGGAGGACTGGAGTTTCTTCAGGTAACAATATTTCCCAATACAGGAACATAACTTTGGATCTTGACCTTAAAACACTATTGTTCTCGATGCAATTTCATCCAATATTTTCAGGCCTGGGGTCAGCTTGTTGTCACCACATGCAGTAATTTACTTGGAAATCTCAAACCTGAAGGGAATTTGATTTTGGCCAGAGTAAGTTCTGTATTAAAACTAGGATGTGCACTAAAAGACTAATTGTCATGGTTGTTGCCATTATGTGTAAAGCTCAGATAAAATGGTAAATAGTTTGCAAGATCGACAATTCTCATCTAAAGTAGATTGTAATGATATCCATTTCTAGATCATCGAAGTCGTATTTCGCATGTTTCCTTCGGAAGGACCAAGGTTGTTTGAACCAGTGTTGCCGAAGATTTTCCAGGCAGTTGTTGATGGCCAGGTATAACATAAAAACACTCGCTTATGAAGCGATGTTAACCATCAATTAGCAACGCTCTTCCAGTAAAATCATCTGGTATCAGACGTGTTATATTATCCAGGCGAATCTCCGTATTTTTCGAGTCCAGTAAAGGACATTAATCTTCATCGTCATTTTAGGAGTACGGTCCATTACTGGCCATCTACATATCTTTATTTGCCATTATCTTGCTGAAGAACAAACCGTATTTTGACACCTTTATTCAAATGGTCGCCGAGCAATGTGGAAAAACGGTATCTCGTTTAATTTATATGGCTTTTATAAAAAGTATCCCAAGGATATTCTCAAAGGAAATTTTCTTCACCGAAGATCATGTCCTGCGCCATCTTCATAGGGCAAACTAATGGTTGAAACTGTAGACATCGTCTTTTGATGCATATTGGTGGTTCTCACCAAAACAAATATATAAAACAAACAAGTGGTAAAATAGAGTGTGTTGAAATTTTTTTAGGTCAACGAATTGTTAGCAGCATTTGTGGATTCTTGGCTTGAAAGGGTAGGATGACCAAACCATGCATGTATTCCAAGCTTCCTAGACAAGATTCCTCAGTATATTAGATCGACTTTCTGGGATTATTTTATTATATGTTATGGTATCTCTTACTTTGGACGTTGTAATGTTTGTCTGCCTTTCCAGATGGATTCGATAACCAAAACAGAGCGAAGGAAACTCGCAACGATGGCCTTGTGTTCGCTTCTTCCCTTGAAACAAGAGTAAGTCGAAATTTGTATCCTGTATTCTTCCGTTTCACCGCTAACAGCAAGCGGTTGTTTTTCTTTTTTTGCTATAGACCTGTGCACAGTCGTTTTGCCGTTATTGTTGAGATTACTGTCGATGTTTTAAACGAATTGAATAAGGGAGACAGCTACCCTTCAGAGTAAGTATAATTGCAAATGAATAGTATTCGTTTCTGGTGAGTTTCTCTACCCTTGTGAAACAATCACATGAACTCATTACTGCCGTAGCTTTTTGCTCATCAATCCAGATGATGACGAAGACGAGGAGGATTTTGATTCCCAAGAACACCTGCGGCGTAAGGAGGTGGGTCTTAAAGTCACTGATATTTGGTAAGCAAAATAAAGAGCAAATGCTCAGCCAACGGGGGCTTTATTGCCCAAAGGCAGGAGGTCAAGCAAATGCAAGCATTGGCAATGTTTGTGTGCACGAATCATGAGTTTGCTGTTGAAATAATGTCGTTAAACGGACAAATGCTTGATATTTTCATTAGTTGAACACCAAGGACCCGGTGTTCACGGTGAAACTAACGAAATTCGTTGGAGAGATTTTGCAACAATGTCAACAAGTCTTTGGTGAACAGAATTTTCAAATCATGATGGCGTCTGTTGAAAGCTCTGTGGTGAACGAGTTACAATCCTTTTATAACTCTGAAAGGTAAGAATCTCTTTTGTAAACAGTGATTTTGTACAAATTCTGCGACAAAGTCCCACCAATGTGTTTTGTTATCCCCTGATTTGTTAATAGGTGACAAATAAAGAAAACATTTCAGTACAAGATGACATCGCACTCTGTGCACCTGGAAGCAGCCGGGCGAATTTAGAAATCCATGTTGGTCGTGGTGTAAATACTTTCATCAGAAGTCAAAGTCCCAGAGCTTTTCTGAACTGCTTTTCAGATGCTATCTGGAACAAAGTGGTGATGTATATCCGTAGTAATTTTTTGCTGTATTGTAGCATGAGGGTTGGATGTACTTATCAACGATATAATACTTCACGCATCAGTTGGAGAATGAGTAATTCTGTGATGTTTACACGACGCTTCAGATACGGTTAAAGCTGCATTATCATCAATGGCTAACTCGCATCTTTGCGAAGAATTGTACAGAAAAATACTGGCTTCTTTCTTCTTCGGAGGCAGGACAGACGTTTGTGACGTGATCAATTTTAATTAGTTACGTAATAAACGAATGGAAGTTACTGTAATTATTGTAATTACAATCAAGTGACGTGATGAAATGACGTTTTTAACAGCGGCAGTGAAGGGGAACTAAATGTTTTTGTGGAAAGGTGGTTGAACACAGTCTGAGAAACTGCTGTTTTTGTTGCTGTTCAAATGTAGAATGGGAATCTGGTAGGAATGCTGATTTGTTACGCTTACCTATAGCTTACCTATAGAGTACCTGCGAACGGGCAAGTCTTTATCGCACAAAGGCGGAAGTAATTCTCACGGAAGTACTTAAATTTATCGGTTTATTTTAAAGCGTTTCTAAACTTTCTATAACAGATTGTTTTAATGTTTTGAAGAAAATTGGTATGTATGTATTAATGCATATAAAAATATGTGGTTTGTCTGATTTGCTAGATTGCTAATTTGATACATTTACCCTGAATTTACATGTATGGTACTTTAATTAATGAGCAAGTGCCTAGTCAAATCTTATCTTCCTAACGATTTTAGTGCAATCAGATTTTTAGATGGTCAGTGTCTTTTGATGGTAACCAAAGTTGAAGATACTTTGGGTACTAATCTGTGGAGCCAGGAGATTTCTGAGACATCAATAAATATGTTCAAGTTTTGGATTGATATTAAAAAAACAATATGACATTAAAGATTCATCATCCCAAAGATTTCATGCACCTGGCTTTTCTCTGTATTTTACTATTTTTTCCTCATGGAAAAACTGTATCCCAGTCCTGTCAAACAAAGGAGGCAGATTCTTGTTACAAGAATGGTAAAAACAAATACACAATTCAGGAATTCACTGATGATGAACTGTTTGCAAGAGGTCACCTAAAACCGTTTGGCTCTCATCGACCTCCTGATGAAATTGTGGAGGAATTGCCTTTCATGATATCACCACAAGATTTTTATATGAAGTATGTTGTCCAACACAAGCCAGTGGTTATAAAAGGTAGATAAAAGTTGTTTTAATTGGATTTTATTGCAATAATACTTCATAAGCAGCTCAGGTTTGACCGACAGACGTTTTTCTCTCATAAACCCTCTTGTGCAATTTAGGAGCAGTGAAACACTGGCCTGCGTATAAACTTTGGACAGATGAGTATCTTAACCACACCTATGGTGACACCATGTTCAACATGGAAACCAAAGATGACGACAAGTCTAACATTCCTAAATCCATGGAACTTAAAAATTTCCTCGAAATCTACCAACGCGCAGACAGATACTTGGTTGATGAGGTTCCACCAGACATGAGGAGAGAAATAATCCTGCCTCTGTGTTTGCGTTGTGAGGAAATTGACAAGTATTTCTTTGTCTCGTATTTTTGGTTCAGTAATGGAAACACCTCATCTACAATGCATCTTGATACTGATGAAAACATGCTGTGTGTTGTGAAGGGTCACAAAGAGGTTTTTATGGTTTCCCCGGAGTATTCTGGTGAGCTCTATGTGGATAGCTCCAAGCTACTTGGTGTATTAGATATTAATATGGCCTCTGTTGATCTGGAGAAGTACCCAAGGGTTAAAAATGTTCATTATGTGAAGGCAAATGTGGAGGAGGGAGATATGGTGTATATACCACAAATGTGGTGGCATCATGTTTACTCTAGGTAAGTTACTATCCCAGTTTATTGACCTCAGTGGTACAGTAAAACTATAAACTGATCTTTAACGGTTAATTTAAAAGAAGATAGAAATTATATATAGTCATTAGGGTAAACGTGTCAATGAGGTTATTTCATCTTCAAAGAGCTGGACGACAACAAGCTGTTGCGTTGTGGTGGAAATCGAAGCCATGGTTAAAAGATGGTGTCAGAAAATCCACACAACTCTTAGACCACGAACAAAAAGGTATTTTAAAACACGCGTTTATTTCGCTTGATAGTACGTTACCACCACAAAGTTGAAGTAGGGTAGAATTGATGCATTCTTTCAGCGTAATTAAAGTCTAAACTTGGTTCTGAGCTTTTTGCATCGAAACTGAACCGAACTGAGTGTGCAGTGTGCACTGTATTCCTTTCCCATTCTAATTTTACTTTCATTCTTCGTAGAAAGATCAAAGGTGAAGAACTCGTATGCAAATATTTTAGTTGAATACGAAAAATGGGTACAAGATGTTAGCGATGAGCGACCAGCTATCGCGTGTAAGGAACAGCAGGTTTTCATGAGTCAATATCAGTTTGAAACGGATAAAATTCCGGACGCTGAACAGACATTGGGAGATGGTGGTGATCTTGAAGAGGTAGCGCAATTCTGAGTCGAGATATTTCAATTCAGAGATATTTACTATAACAAGCACACATACGTGCAACTTTTTTCAAGGTAGTTTCTCATGAAAATTTTACTTTCGCTAGGAGGACCATATAAAATACAAGGAAGACTCCAAGGTATCCCAACTAACGGAGGAAGATTTTGACAGGGAGGACATTGCTTCCCAACTCCCTTGTGATTTCGACCGCGAGAATTTAAAATCCCCATGTTACAATAAACCTTGTCAAATGAACGACGATGATCTCGAGTGTCTGCGCTACGTTCTGGACTACTGTGGCGTATTTCAAGACAGAGGATGCATCATCCAGTTACCTCATCTCCTCAATAAACTTGATTCAAGTCAGTATAGAGTACTGAAAAATATGGATACGACTTTTGGGTCGGGAACTCAACGCTAAATTCGACCACTCGAGTTCTTTGTACTAATTTCAAGGGCCTTAATTTTTCTATATCGATGTTTTTTTTTTAATTTTGGGCACTCCATGCATAATTTCTACCATAGACGATGTCTATGTTTCTACTTAAAACTGCGAAAGCACCTCAACGTTTAAACGTTATTGGAAATAAACGTCAGCAACCTTGTTTAGGATTATTGTTGGCAAGGTTACACAGTGCAAAGCCGTTGTTACAAGGCACAAAATTGTGATGGTTACTTCGGCTTGGCAAGATTTTTATTCTTGAAAAGATGAGAGCTAGTCTAGAGTAAACTTCATAAACACTACGTAATTAATATTTTAATGAAGTCACATCATAATAATTAGTTAACCATGGTGAATTGCGTTGCCAATATATATATTTGGACAAGAGTTCGAGCACTGATTATTTAACTTTAGTCTTTACATTTTACTGCAAGGCTATGCAAACTTGACCTGTAAAATGACCAGTTCGGCTTTCTGAAAATACCATACAATATTCGGTTACCAAAAATATAACTTATTCTTTTAGTTTTAGTATCTAGCTTTCGTTCGTTCAGGTAAAACAGAAATCAAACTGGCCAAGATTCGATAAACGTTATTGGAAAAAACAGTCCCAACATATTACTAAATTAGTGATTAGAATCGCTCATTTTAAAGCTAACTTCGGTTTAACAAGGAGCAGTTAATCAAAGTGGTTGTGCTAGTTGTGTGGTGTTCAGTATGAAAGCATTAACGAGGTATTCATGAAATGTGTTTACATGCAGTAAACGGGATTAAATATATCTGAATTTACTTTCAAAGTTAAGACGTTGAAACTGTGTCTGACTAACAACATATAAGCTTAAAATTCTAAATATGGACGCATATTAAAGGCTACAGCTTCACGGTGAACACCACGTTGTTTTTTAAACTTCTAGTAAGAGTTCTGAACGGCTGCTGTAGCACCAGCTACGGCTGCGTTTTGGACATGCTTGTTTGACATTGCTCCTTGGGCGAATTCCGCCTGGGCTTTCTGAATGCTAGCACCAGTTGAACGATAGATAACGTGCACCTGCAACAGATCACGTACTTTGTTAGTTACTTAAAAGGGAGGGAGAAGATATCGAAAATGCAAAACAAAACTTCAACTAACGAAACTTCTGGTAAAAAGTAAAAAAATTCTATTTCAATATATACGCATTTATGTATAGAAAAATGCGTACTTTTCGTAGCAAAATGATTTCCAACAGTGCGTTGATAACGAAGAGCCCAGCACAAGCAAACATCATGAGGCCAACGACCCTGCTTCCCCCTCCATCACTGAAAACGTCAGCTCCATTGATAAATCCACTAAAGATGAACCATATCCAGTTAAAAAGCATATGATTGGGAATAGTACACTTGCAACGGGAAACATGCTGCTCCTTCATTATCATAAAGATTTCTACTACAAGCGTGATTGTGAACTTGCACTTTTGAGTTCTTTAACTAATTGCGTTTTCAGATGGCAATTTTACACCAATGACGTGGTTCTATATTATCGTTTTCCTATCTGAACTTTCCGACAATATTGCATGAGTATAGCATGTGTGCATTGTACAGTGTACTCTTATACAGACTTACCATGTTCCGACCTGGCTCACACCAAGACAAGCAACTCCATTGAACAAGATTTGAAAGAACAGAATGAAGAAGAAAACCATATAACTGAACGAGCTGTCGCTTCTAAAAATGCCAAAAAAAGGTTTTGTGTTCGACTGGAATACACAGCAAGTGCTAACATCTAATAATTCATAAATAGAAATTGCTCTGAATTGTGCTAAATATTTACATATATTATGGCATTGTTCATAACATAACATGGCATACCGCCTTACCAGTTACATAAAAATTGTTAACTTACTTGAAAGCATTATAACTTGGTCTGTACCAAAGGCAAAACGAACACGGAATAAACAAAAGAAAGAATATGATTGCAATTATGAATGTGACTGTTCCTGGTCCAGTGTCCACACATATGTATGCCAGAGCACATATCAAGTTGTAAAACAATGTGAAACAGTAAACTGCAATGAAAACAAACAAAACATTACTGTAAAACTGTAGCCAAAGTGAAAATTTAGAAAACGTAAAAGCGCCCGCACTTACATTCCCAGGAGTAAAAAAGCATTTTGCTGGTTCTTTGAAAATCTGGTGGAATATCCACGCTGATGTCATGGAAGAAACATGGAGTAAAAGGACAGAACTTTGGAAATGGGGGAAAGTTATTTTTCCTTTCTGAAAAAAGAGTATGATTTCTTATTACTAAGAGAAGCGTTTTTGTAGAAAAATGTTCAATATTAATCTTAGGTACCTCGATATTTCATTTGTTTTAATTCTTGTTCTTTTTCATGAAGCTCAGCAGCTCTTCTTTCAAGTTCCTAGGAACATGGTGAAAATTTATGATGAATAGTTCTACTGAAAAGGTAGCGAAGACTCATTCATAAAGACTCATCCATCCATTCATAATGAATACAATCACAATTCAATGGGAGCTTGTGATGTTGGATTTGTTCTGACTATATATATACCTCTTGTCTTTTGGCCAAATTTTCTTGCTCTGCAGCAACCTAAATTTAAGGAGAAAAACATAAAACCATTATTTCCAAACATTCTCTCCATCACAAGTAAAATTATCTACAGAGTAAATAGTCAAGGGGTAGATTAGCATGTATCACAATGTGGATTGATTATTTATAAGCATTTCAATCAGTGACGCATACTACAATTATTTGGTCAGCGATTCCAGTACATTCTGCTTTACACTTACCACGCTATATGACGAAACTGGTTGTTCTGATCGAGTATCAATTACTGCTGGATCAGACGGCTCAGGAGGGGGGATGGGAACAGTTGAAAATTCTGCGGACTATAAAAAGAAATTACTCATAATTGGAACTCTCTTCACTTTACAATTAAACCAAACTTCTCAACAGCTGATATATCGTAGACTTACCTTGCTCACATTATTATCGGCAAAAGGATTATAATCTTCAAAGCCTGCAGCACCAGATTTGGCCGCGGCTGGAGGTGGTTTAGTTGCCTTTGTGACAGATGGATCCTTCATACAAATAGCCAATGTTTAGTACTTGTTCAAAAACCTGATCTTCAGTATGAAGTCTTACTGGATATGGTATAGGTTATAACATAGGCATAATTTACCCATTTCAGGACCACCTTACAATGATTACATGCACAATGCAAGATGGTTCTGTCTTTTAATTTATTTATTTCAATTTCTAGGTCAAGGTTACAGCAGGTCATAAATGTATTTACAAATAACTGTGGAGAAAATCCCTCAATTATGCACATTTTAACTCATTTCATGATTATCATATAATGAATGGAATAATATATTTGGGAAGCAATACCTAATTTATCAACGTTGTAAAAGCCTTAAATAATTGCCTTTTATCAAGAGCAGATCGTATATTTCTCCTTCGGATCTTGAGAAATATACGCTCCTACAATCTATCGTTCGTTAAACCATAAACAATTACAATTTCTATGCCGTATACAGGCAGTAAGTGCAAGTTAAAAATTGTGAAAGTTCACAAATCATGCCCTACAAATGCTACTGTCACACAAGCAAAAAGGCAAGCCGAAATCGCAACAAAAGCAACTCACCGCAAATGGATTTTCGTCATCTTCGAAAGGATTCTGGTCCATAGTTTGTGTCTAAGTTTTAATATTCAAAATCAAACCAAATTGTGATCTCTGATTGTCGATGTTTCGCCTCATAAATTTTTTCTACGTTCTTTAATTTACTGAGAAAGAAGCAGATGACGTCATGGGGAAGATTGGGTGGGGATTCCAACTCCAAAAGGGGGGGAGAGAATTTTTGAATAGGAAAAGAAAAGTTACATGACGTTCTTAGGAGGGAAATAGTGAACCGCTAATATGTCATCGTGGCTGGTCGTGGGCTTAGCAACTGGTTTCCATGGTGACAATTTCCCAAAAAGTGACTGAGATTGATTGAGAAAACGGAATGATGGAAAATAAAAAAATAAATATGAAAGGATTTGTATGACTATTAATTATTTGAAATAACCATAAACTCTTTAGTAGCTAAAACATTATATAAGTAATTCTAATGATCCCTGTTACAAAAACAAAACACAATTTGAAATATTTGAAATTATTTTTGTTTCCACTTTCAGGGGTATATTTCATATTTTTCATTTTGAGGTTTGAAACAACAACAAGCAAAGTTTGCTGTTTGCCAGTCTTGTTTTGCTTCGCTTTGCAGAAACACAAGAAAAGATCCTCCTTTAAAACTGAACATTTTCCACACTTTTCCACACGATGGCTTCAGATCCTAGACTACGCCAGCTTAAAATAAAAACAAACGTGGTAAAAAGGTATTTTTCTGAAGATAATTTGTGAGGCAAGATGCAGGTTTTTTTCTGAACGGCGTATACTTGCTGTACTACGATATTTTACCTGTGATTTAGGATAGGAAAAGAAGTTAAAATGTATGAAAAGGAATCACAAAGTTTGGAAGAAAAAGTCAGACAGATGGAAAGCGAGGGAAAGGATGAATATGACATACGAAAACAGGTTTGAATATTCTTGGCTAGAAATTTTTAAATGACGTTGGGAATTCGTGTTGTAGCATTATATTGAAAGCATTTCATGTTTAAGAAAATTTTTTCGAGCTGTTTTTATAAAATTTTGATTTAAAAGTTGCAATGATGTCATGATGTTATTTATAGCATCATGATGTCATAGTTAACCTTTTGTATGATGTCATAATTGAGTTGGAATGTAATAAATATCACATTCCGAGCTAGTTATTAATGACACATGATTATCTTGTGTATTTTAATGTTACTGATATGAGCTTTCTACTTTCCATTGTTTTTTTTTTGCAGAAAGAAGTTTTAGCGGAATCTAAATCGATGGTACCAGACACCAACAGAAGATTAAAAACAGCGATAGAAGATCTTAAATCATATATGGTATACTTCAATAATGATTGACCAGAACTTAACACCATATTCTTATAACATTTGTGGTATTGTTGCCATCTGTTTAGGGTGAAACTGAACAGGAGCTGTCTGAGAGCAGAGAATTTGAGGAAGCAAAGACGTTGCTACAAGATGTTGATTCTTAAACTTTTTAAAACAGTCTTACTCAGATAGATTTTCATTTCATTATGGTGTAATATAGACATTTCAATTAATAATTTAGAAAATATTGATAAGCATTCTGTTGAAGATGCTATGGAATTGAATGTCTGGGGAGAAAAACTTTTACTTTTCTGATTTGCATCAAATCAGGTCAAGTGGGTCACTTCCCTGCCAAATATGACACCACAAAGTTCGCACCCCACGCGGGCGACCTCCTACCCAGGGTGTTTTCCCACGCGGGACGCTCCCCCCTGCTGTTCATTCGAATGTTTGGCGTCATTGATTTGTGACGTCACCGTAAACAAATCGTTGTCAGGGAGCTAGCAATAATATGAACAACCGAATTTCGAATTAAAAAGTCAACCATAATCGCATTAAGTCCAACTTTTGAAACTTTTTTTAACAAGCAGGTCGTTCTTGTCAACAAAATATGGATGAAAAACCCGCGGGAAATGTTTTAGAAATCGAAAATCTGACCAAGAAAGGACATCAATTATTGCAAAATGGCGATGTTGAAAACTCGTATCTGACATATGAGCAAGCTGTCACCTTGGCTCAAGACACGAACGATGCGTTCACGGTGCGAGCATGTCTGTTCAACCTCGGGGCTTGCTGCGTAGCAAGAAACGAAGCGCAGAAAGGCTTGGAGTTCCTGCTACGAGCTGTGCCGCCTGAAAGACAAAGCGATGGTGTCTTGAATTTTTGTGATCTAAATTACAATATGGCTATAGCTTATGACTTGCTGGACAAGCCAAATGAGGCCAGGAGATGTTATGAGACTGCTTTGGAGGGCTACAGAGAGTACTCAAACTCTGAGATGGTAGCCGAGACCTGCCTAAAACTTGGCGGCGCACTAGCGGCACTTGCCTCACTTAAGGAGGCTGTTGAGGTTTTACATGAAGGTGAAATGGTTTTTCGGCAATTGATGGACCAAAGGCATGAGTTACTCTGTTTAAGTAGCAGAGCTACGTTGTTGGCAGAGCTGAAGGATGAGCGGTCTCAAATGTTGTTGAATTCGGTTATTAATAAGGTGGAAGCACTTGAGAATGATACATTAAAAGGTTCGTTAATAGGCTACAAAATTGACTGCGAACATATCATTCTATTTCTCAACTTCTTTGTTATCTTTTTGTAGCAAAGGTTTACAGTGATATAGGCCTGGTGTGTACGTCATCTGGTCGTTACGACATTGCCTCAGAGTATTTGGAGAAGTCCCTCAATCTTCTTCAAGAAGTTGGCCAAAGAGACAAAAAACTTCAAGCTTCGGTATATCAAAACCTTGGTGCTGTGCACAATCAACTTGGGACATATGCCAAGGCTGTTGTGTACCATGAAAAAGCAATTGAACTTTACGGTAGGGCTGTGTTAACTTGATGGAAACTGCACTGATCAGAGAAACTTTAATACAAAAATTCCTTTATCCCTTCCCTAGGTGTTATGTCAATGAGATACTCTCAAGGCCATTCATTCAGCAATCTTGGTTATGCTTATGGTCAACTTGGAGAACTGGAGAGATCTCAAGAACAATTTACCCATGCCCTACAAGCTGCTAAGGATTGCCAGGATTTCCGTGGTCAATGGCAAGCCTATGAAGGTCTTTCAGCAATACACTTCCAGAAAAAAGACTTTGAAAAAGCAGTGGAGTGTTTAAAAACTGCTTTAACTGTTCTTCCTCTTGGAAGGGTTACAAATGAAAATGAGGTCCAGGAACGAATTGTTGCTAAGTTGACAAATGCATTGGAAAAACAACTGACAGAGAAACAAACCACAAAACACAGCAATGAAAAAATGAAAGTGGATGGAAAGAAAGGATTGTTAAAAGAACAGAGAGGTGTAAATAAGGATGTTAGTTTACAGAGGGATACAGCTATTGCTATCAATGGTTCTTTTCACAATGAAGAAACTTTACAAGATAATGATCCTCCTACTGAGTCTTCACCAAAAGTTGGTCATGTCAGGCCACGGGAAAAGAACCATAAGTTTATCGCCCGTGGACTGGCTATTGATGAACCAACTTCGGACATAGAGCAATCAGATGGATCAGACTCAACTTTTGATACCGTATCAAGCTATTCGGGACAAGCATCAAGCTCTATGCATGAGCCTGCTAGCGAGACAGGAAGTGTGTGTCCAACTAGTAATCTGGAGTCAACCGCTGGGTCAGCAGCTCTATCTCCACCTAAAAAAGACCCACTAAATAACACCTATGAAGAGCCACAGGATATAATTAATGTTATAGACACTGGAAGATTAAATATTCATGAACTGCCACCAGGCCCCCGCGATACTCTACTGGCAGCATCAATTAGCGAAGACGCTGGAGCCCAGGAACTAACGACTATGGGCAAACTTCGTAAAAATAAAAATAAATCAAAAGTTTGTGTGATTCAATAAATATTCTTTGATACATTGTTTCTCCTTTTCTTCTATCAAACGGCTGTTATATAGGTAACCAACGCATGTCAATTTTTGAAAGAGTACATTACTGTGCAAACGACAAATTTTGATTTATATTTGCGGGTTTTAGTATTTTTTATGCAGTATTTGGTAATTATGGCGTTGTTGCCATAGAAACAGCGAGTATTCCACTTATTTATAAATAGAGGAATAGAAAAGAACTTTAGAAAGAATTTTAGACGTTTTTGTGTAAAAAATATGACGGATTATAGTGTGAATACTTTGAGAGTAAATAATTCTGGTGGAAGAACGTTACTTGAGAATTGGGTTGAAGAAGTAAGCAAACTTTCTGTTTTTAAAGTGAAAATATGGCAAACAAGACACATGTTTCAACTCCAAATTTTCGACTTTATTCCCAAGTCATCTTGTTTTTGTAGAGAGCATGTAAGCAGTACGAAGAGCCGGACAGAAAGCAATCCCATCTTCACAAACATGGGCATAAGGTATAAATCTTAATCGTCAATGATCACAGTTCTATTTACTGTGCAATGATATAGTTGATTTTGACCTTAGGGTGCAATTAACAGACAACTTGATTCGCTCCTGAACTGCTTTTTTAGGGTATCCTGACAACTAAATTTGACTCCAAAGTTGAAAATCTATCAACAACAAAAGATTCGTACCGCCAACCTTCTGGTAGCGGTGTCCGGGCAAAGGGAAAGAAATTGGAGCTACTTGAAAAGCATCTTGTTGAAAAATTGAGGTGAAGAAACGAACCAGTTTGACAACAATTCCATCTTTACCAACACATGAAACATAATCAAACATTGCAGAGCAGTGTTAATGATAATTGCTCACCATAATTTGTTGTATTTTTTTAGTGCTGAAGTTCAGGAAGAATTTCACCCACCACCAACTCCTCCAGATTATAAATCTGTCACAAAACAAGATTTCTTTTCAAATGGTACGATATTTCTACTTAATACATGTCAAAATATGCAATGATTTAATTTAAAATTAAGGCTTTTTTCCTTTATTTTGTTAGAATTTATTCCCCGGGAACGTGTACCACGACAGGTGTGTGCAGTAAGAAGACTCTATGATAATATAATCATTATGTCTTCAAAATTTATTTCACAGGTATATTTTCAATCATATTAAACAGAATTTTTAATAAATATTTTCAGCCTCATGATGTAGTCAAAGAGCAGCCACTCACATATTGGTCGGAGAAAGCTGATAGAATTCATGTGAGTGTACACAGACACCATGCTAAATTCTTTCATTTTTGCAAAAAAAATATTAGTAAATTTGGTTTTTGGTCTTACAATCAATATTTTTTCTATAGGGTGTGAGCCAAGTTAAAACAAAAGACACTCCATTTCGAAAGAATGCTTCGTTTAGCACGCCAGTGGAGCATCAACTAAATGATCAGAAACCTTACGAACGATGGAACTTTGATGGTGTTTAGATAACTGATCACTTTGATTTTGATAACTTTGTAAATACTAATATTATAAATCCCATTGCATATATTATAAGTCTCATAACTAAATATTCTCAGGAAATATAACTGGCTTATATTCCAGGAGTGCTTCAAAGTTGAAGCCGAAAATATTACATATTTTCGGGCTTTGCTGATGCCATAGGGTTTAATTTGATCATGGTAGTTACAACTGATGTACTGTGATACCATATCAAAAATTGAGTACAAGTAATTTCGCCTTTTATTCTTATAGGAATTATTATGCATCTATGTCAATCATTCACCTCAATATGCTATTATGGCACTAGTTGTTTGGTGTGGCTAATAATATTATACCAGCACTAGTGAAAGTGATTGACAGTGAAACATGGTTGACCTAAGTTGACCTTTGATTTGACTTGATTGACCTTGTTCCCATTTTCCCATTTGCTCGGTTGGCAATTTAAAGACCAAGATGGCGATCGGCAGTCGCGGTCGATTTGCTGTCGCACTCGAGTTGTTTAACCCAAATATTTGAACTTGTTCTAGCTTTTTCGCTCTAAAGACCATCCCTGGGCCAGCCATAAGCTTGAAGCTGCATTAATAAACAGTTGTTTAAAAAATGTCGGACGAACATAGCCTTAGTATAACTGATGAAGATGAAGACGTTGGCGAGACGAAAAGGGGCGACTTGTCGAAAAGGAAGGATATTTGTCAAAGTGGACAAACTACATACACGGCTGGCAGGATAGATACGTCGTGCTACAGAACGGCACTATTGCCTATTTCAAGTGTGAATCTGACAGGGAACTTGGTTGCCGTGGTTCACTGAGCCTGGGAAAAGCCGTCATAGAGGTTTGTGTTATAAAACAATTTGTATGAAAATATTTGTATACAGTCAACATGACCGCCGTAATTATTCACTCATGCAATATTTGCATCGGGTTGTGAGCCTTGTACAATATCAAATATCTCTATTTGTTTGTGAGAAAGATTTTCTTGCTTTTTCTCCTGCACAAAACGTGTAAACATACGGAAGCTAGACAACAATTGCGCAGCTTGAGTGCTATATAATAGATCGCAATTCTCTTTTATTGAAACATAGAAATCTATTTAGAGTCGAGTTAGTCGTAGTGCACTACATGTTGACGCTGTTATTTTATTGTGCAGTTTGTTGCATTTTGTATCTCCCACAATTCTCACTCAAAGGTATATTTTCTTGACAAATTCCAACTACTCTAATACATATCAAATCTAATCGAATCAAATGATAATATGGTGGGGTGCTACTTCAGGAAGTATGTTATAATCAAATAGACTAATCTACTTATTATAACATTGACACTGTATTCAAGCATAAACTTGGATGTATTCCAAAAAGACAACAGATTTATTGTATGCTGAATGCCTTGTGTAAAAATCCTCTGCCTTGCAGTTGCCTTCTTGCTAAAGCAAGCAGTAAATTGCATGAACCAGTGGCGTACGAGAGGCCATAATTGGGGGGGCATGTATTCATATATTCATGTTAACAGACCTGTAAAGACAATTAATCTTGCACAACATGAATATATGAATATCTACCCCCTCAATTCTGCTTCCCTCAATTATCGTCTCTTGTACACCATTAGCACGAACGGTTTGTCATTTTCATGTTTGTATTTGCTTGATTACTCCAGGCTAATGAATTTGACGAGTGTCGGTTTGATGTCCGAGTCAACGACTCTGTGTATTATTTGCGAACTTCTGAACCCGAAGATAGACAATCATGGATTGATACTTTGGAGGCTGTAAAAGTAAGAATTGCATTGAATTCTAATACATATTGCCAAGTGGAACGGTATGATGCAGTTTGTTAACTGTGAGTAATTCCTTTCAGGCATCAGACTCTGGTTATGGATCTGAGACGAGTCTTCGAAAGAATGCATCCATGTTGTCTTTGTCGTCGGCACAGAGTTTGACATTATCCTCAACGTCATCATCATCTTTTAAGGTATACAATACATCCTGTATTCAAGGCTGAGTCTTTCTAGTGTATGTAATATACCATAATGAATGTATACCTAGACAAGTGAGATCTTTCATCATTACCTTACACACTCCAATCATCTTTAACAACTCTTTCCTTTTGTGATTGCAGAAGGGTCGTAGTCTTCGAGAGAAATTGATGGAGATGGAAACATTTCGGGATATTTTATGCCGTCAAGTGGATACCTTACAGATGTATTTTGATAGCTGTGCTGAAAATGAAGCTGGAAACTCCGTACACGACCATGCGGATCTTGGAATGAATGACGATATGTTTGAAGATGAGCAATTAGGTAGCCTAAACCAGCTTTCCTTTCAATATTTGAAATTAGCGTTGCATACTTTTGTTTAGCATGCATGAATTGCAAACATTTTGACTATGTGCTGTGAATAAAATTATCTGAAAACAATTTTTTAGCTGACCATGATGCGGATGATGAGATGGATGAACTGTCTTCAACTCCAACGCCATCCACTCTTTTGAACCTCAAGAAACGATCCTTGTCGGACGGTGGCTCAAACAAGATGTTAAACAAATACGCTATCGACTTTAAAGGTGAAGCAATCACATTCAAGGCGACCACGTCAGGAATATTGGCCACCATGTCTCATTGCATCGACCTTCTGAGCAAAAAAGAGGAACACTGGAAACGCAAATATGAGAAGGTGGGAACCAGGGCCTTGTGGGGAAGGAGTTAGGGATGGGGTGAATTGCAGTGGGGTAAAGGGCTGATTGTGTCAGGGTGGTGCCCACTCCCTCTGCCAAACCCCTTAGTAATGGTGGAAACAAGGTGCATCAGATAAGGGTGGGAGGGGGTTAGTTTCTGGTGATAGGAGGTAGGGGCAGCGGGTAGTTCTTTGCCAGGAAATTTAACCCCACTGTCTAAATCTATATGTGATGACTTCAGAAATGCTGAGGCAGGTTTGTGTGAAACTATGTTTTTCTTTCCTCGGTTTGAAGGAGTTGGAAAGACGTAAAAAAATCGAGGAACAATACAGAAAATGTTTACTTGATGCAAAGAAGAAATCGTTTGTTAGCGGACCAGATTTCGTGGTATGTACAGTACAGCTGAGGCTGGTTGCTTGAACCAGCAAAACAAGCCATACCAGGTTAACTGAACTATTTCTGGCACGGAACTTTTAGGAAGGTCCTCACATGATGCTGAATGAAGAAGAGTTTTACGATGCAGTTGAGACAGCTTTGGACAAACACGATGAAGAAGATGACGATAAAGACGATCGGGTATGAACCTTCTGTGTCGTATCGTCGACTGTGCTTACAACAGCGACTGCTTCTAATTGTTAAAATTCTATCTACACGACGTATTGTAGGATGGTATCCGTAATTGTAAGATGTTGGTGGAGAAGGAAGGCTCAGAAGTTGATGAACATCGATTTTCCAAAGAGGTTGGTGGACGAGTGCTTTCCTACTCAATGAGACGTTGATTAAACACAGCTGGATATAAATTCTGTTTTGTACTTATCATTTTAGGTCAATTCACACGTATCTGATAGTCTACAGTATATCCAAGAGGATGTAGACGGGAACTGGACGCTGGTGTATGAAGATGGGGAGATGTTGGTAATGGCATCTTGAATGTATCAGTGCTATCACAATGTAGCTATTATACATTGTTGTCACTTGGTTCTGTAATGACATGCGATGAATGATGTTTTAAGAATTGCTGAGAGCAATGCTTTGATTTCTTTACTTGCTCGTTCCTCTCAGCCCACTCCCTTAAAAGTGTTTTGTTTTCATTCCAGGTACATCGTCGTGATTACGAGGAAGGTGGTGTTGTCTGTGACCCGCTCAAGGCAACACACACTGTACAAGTACGGTGATATATTTCCTTTTAACAAAGTTTTTACATTGTTGTTGCTCACTTGCTTTTCTGTTTTCGTTCAAGGGAGTTACCGGAAGAGAAATGGCGCACTATTTCTTCGACAAAGACGTGAGAATGGATTGGGACAGTAAGTTCAGCCAAATCGTTCAATCATTTCGTTCGGATATTCCTACCCCAAAAACCTTCACTGCTCCATTTTGTTGTCTAAATCTCGGTGACTTTATACCGTCTTTCAGGTACCTTGGAGACGTGCAAAGTTATTGAGACATTCTCACCAAACACAATGATATTCCATCAAGTGTACAAGCGCGTATGGCCGTCATCACAGAGAGAAACATTATTCATGTCGCATATTCGCGAGATTCCGAGCTCCGACGTCTCGTTAGAACGCTTAGAATACGAAATTGGGAATCCCTGGTTATCCATAAACTACTCCATTGATCACCCTGATGTACCGGTACGTTCACTTAGTTTCATAAACCGTGATGAAAAGCTTGCGTTATGTCTGCAAACAGCGTCGCTGGGTGAGATTTTTATAAAGGTTTATTCTTCAGACTAGTTTGTTGGTTTTATTTGTTTACCATATGTTGTATACTCTCAGTATTCATATCTCGTCTGTAACATTGAAGGTGAACAAATTCGTTCGGGCGACCTGTGACGTGGCGTTCTTCTGTCAAACGATGATCGCACCCCGTACTGAAGGGGAACCCCTCACGAGGGAACACGTGTCGTGTAAAATCACATACAGTTGTACAGGTAAGATATGAAGGTCAGAGACTGCGATAAAACATTGCGTTTTGACACTTACGGGAGGTTGAATGTTAGTAACTGAATAGAACATTGCAGTGTAGTAAGTACTAGACAAGTCAGGCTGGTATTAGTGGCAACAGTCAGCACTCAGTCAGACTAGCAGCACTGCAATGATCAACTGACATTGAAGAAGGTTGAAAGTGAATGGCCCATTTTATTTTTTGTAGTAAATCCCGGCGGCTGGGCTCCGCCGTCCGTTGTCCGCGCCGTCTCGAAACGAGAATGTCCGAAGTTCCTCCGAAAGATCGGCAGCTTCTGCCAGACGGTATTCCAAGAGAAAGAGATCGTATTATAATACCACGTTTCGCTTCTTCGCCTAGTAATATACATTCTAATCAAATTTGTGCTTAACGTGCGGTCAAAAATATGCCGTCTAGTAGAAAGATGCATTTCTACTTTTCTATTGATTCATGGTGAACGGTGATATAATTGATATGTGACCAGGTACTCAACACGTAAAAGTTGGTGATTTTCTTGGTTTTCAATTCTCTGCCTGAAATCCAAGAAAACCTGAATGTAGAACCGAGGAAAAATAGCCTGGCCTTCCGAAGCGTAGTGCATTTCGTTGTTTCCTGAGCGCACTGGTAGAAATTGTGTGCTTAATACAAACGAAATGCCCTACATTTAAATAGGTCCAAGAGGCGACTAAAATTACACAGATTTATAACGTATATGCGACTCTATCTAAACACAGAATCGAAATACATTAATACAATGACGGCCACAATTCTGTACGTAGAAATTATGATTAATATGAGATGAAGAAATTTGCATAAAATTTCGTCCGTAGTGGTTATTCTGACCGTCAAAATATGACAACCATAATGCTTTGCGATACAAAATAATGGCACAGCTATTTGTCAAAATGTCCACTTTGCCTGATGTGCTCACTCCAGTTCACAGAGAGGTCGCACTCACTGATCTATATTAGAAACCACGTGTTGCATTTTGCGTGGATTTTGCGTGTTTCTTTCGTGAGGCAGCTGAGAAGTCTGGAATATCATAAATTTACCTGAATTTTATTGCTGTAAAAACATGTCTGTAGTTTTAAATCCTCTTGTAAAATGGGCACAGGATCGTAATCTAGTACATCTAACTATTGAGCTCAGTGATGCGGTTGTTAACAGCCTGGAAATCGAGGAGAGAGGTCTAAAATTTCAAGGTATGATTGAACACGTGAGTTTTTGTGTATGCATGTACTTTCTATTTATTTACCCGTAGATTTAACATTTAAGTAGAAACTAAAGGGTGTTCATTCTTAGTCGATGATCAATACGCAAGTATTCTGTATCTGTACTTAATTTCACCTGTTCAAAAATAGGTTTTAGTCTATAAGGGGAGGTTTGCCAATCCAATTCACTTTCTCTTAGTTTTGTGACCTATTAAAATGCAGGTGAAATTGCAATTATATTAGGTTGTGGAAATGGTGCTCAGGGTGAAAATATTTACAAGCTTGATGTAACATTCAGTGAAGATGTTCTTCCCAAGGTAACAAATGTTTGTTAGTCATTATTAATTGCCTTTGTTTATTCATGTTAGAAGACTGTATAAAAACAATCAATTTTAAAAGGAATTAATAATGCTAAACGTAAATATGTGAACATAGCATTGAGTACAAACAAGTCAATGTTTGTAGTATTGATTAATAATTTCTCTATGGTTGCTTTTATTTTCTAGCTCAGCACTCATAAAAAAAATGATAGGTGTGTGGCAATCACCTTAAGAAAAAAAGAATGTAAGTCTTGGTCAGAATGAAAAGCACACTTATGCATGGCTATAGATGTGGATATAGTTTAGCTAACTTTATCTCATCATTTTCAAGCAAAATACTGGGAGAGATTACTGGCTGATAATAACAAACCAGGATGGTTGAAGATTGATTTTGATAGATGGCGAGGTGAAGATGACTCAGAAGAAGAAAAACAGGAGGAAATTACGGTGATTATTCTAGTTCCTAGTTTAAGATGTGCCTGAATATTGTTTTAAATATGTGTACGGTCTTTCCTTCCCAACTCTCAACTCTTATACCCACCTTCTATAAGCTATATTGATTCTCCTAACTGTCCAAGTCCTTTATCTTGAGGCCTCCTTCGTACAAACCACACCTCCCTTACATTCTCTTCTTCCACAACAATTGCAAGGTCCCTTTTCTTCCTCCTTACTTCAGATGTCCTCTTGTACTGCTTTCTTTCCTGCAACCAACACCTCACTTTTAAAGACCTCCAACACAATCTCCTTTTTTCTCTCCAGTTGTTCAGATTCAGACCTCCCTCTCCTGGTTCAGTAACTAGTAATTAAGCACCCCTCATTATTCAGCCTTTCTTTGCTTCAGAGAATATCTGTTGAGCATCGGAAAAAGCAGATGGAAAAAGATCTCGAAGACCATGTCAAAGAAGCAGAAGAAGAAAGTAATTGTCTGGACTAATATCCCTATATTTTTTCTTTAACAAATAATATATCAACTAACACCTATTTCTTTGCCATTTTTAGTCAAAGGGCTGGTGATAAAAGGCTATCTTTCAATTTATAATGCCTTGCAAGGAATTGCATTCTTTTACACCACTTTGGCTATTTTATTCAGGTTGCTAATAAACGGCTCTGGTAGGTTATGCAACTTTCCCTCTAGTGCAATAGTTTCATTGTACTGAGTGGTCTAGCAATGCTCCAAGAGTCTCTTGAAATCCGTCAACCTTGAATTTATATTTTAGATGCAGTTCCTCGGATATTTGATGATGTCAGTGATTTAGTAGCAACGTGTCAAATTGCGGCGTTCATTGAACCTGTGAATGCTGCATTTAAGCTGGTTAATACTGGTGTGGTCGCACCTTTAGCTCAGGTAAAAATCCATGCACTATCTTCTCCACAATTCCTATTAAGTAACCTTGAGAGTTTACAAATTTTTTGGGATGCTTTTTCTCGCTATTTTTTAGGGTAATGAAACTTTCATTTTTTTTCTGGAACACAATGGATCTATTTTGTCCATGTATTTCAACGCAATATTGTTACATCGATAGTTAACTTTTTCAGAGCATCGGTCGTTTCATTGTGCTGTTTCTTGTCATCAACCCTCACGAACAGCTGCAGAAAAGTGTTTTAGTTGTTGTGTTATTTCTGGCCTGGTCGCTCATCGAGAACGTCAGGTAGAAGACATTAAGCGTTGTGTTTTTCAAAACTAACTCTGGTCAAAACTGAATCGTTTGTGAACGGCGCCTCCATTGTGTTCAAGGTATCCTTTCTATTTTCTACAAACTATTGGTTACTGTCCTAAATGGCTGCTCTGGTTGCGATATACGGCCTGGATTCCGTTATACCCTCTTGGTATTCTAACCGAAGGTAAAGCTATAAAGATTTTATCGTTTCAGTCCATCAAGTCCAAATTTTTTTCACTGCCTTAAGCCTTTATTTCTTAATTTAGGAGTGTTAATATACCAAGCTGCAAGTTTGTTTGATGCGAAGAATCGCTGGTCCTTGTCCTTGAATTTTATAGTGGCGGATTCATCGATTCCATTTTCGTTTTTTTTAAAATTGTATTTGATCATTCTCGCTGTAGGTGAGTGGACCTAAGTTTGTAAATTGCATTTTCTCGAGAGTCCCTTTCGCTTCCCAAAATAAAGCTTTCATCAAATGCCGTTTTACAGGTGGTGGATATCTTCTGAAACATATGTGGACGCTAAGAGTTAAGAAATACGGCAAAACATCCAGAAGAAAAATGAAAACTGTCAAGAAAGACTAAAAATGAAACAAAACTGATCTTCATCGCTATACAGCATCATGCAACGGTTTTTCGCAAACAAGATCAATTGCGCTTTTTACCATTGGAATTATCAACCAAATGCCTAAGAATTTAAAAACGCATCCCTTTACATCCCTCACGAAGGTGCAATTGTAAATTTTTTTGTTTGTATAATCTGCTTGTAACATCTCTGAGATATCATGCATTTGCACTCTCTAAAAATAAATGCTTGTGTATTGATTGAGGCAATCATTTGAACTTCGAGAGCCAATTTGGCATTCTAATCAGCAAAATAAATGTACACAAATTGGTTTTAAAAAGTTATCACACAGTAGTGGTAGACCTTTCTCACTTACAACAGGAATTTACTTTTAACAGAGTAATAATAATTTACACATGGCTGTTATCAGTTCAGCTCAACCAAATACAACTTTTGACTTTCTCTTTTGGTAGATATTTCTACAAATTAACATGTTAAAATAAAAAAGTAACTAAATTTTGATTCCTTTATTTAAACTTAGAGATGTAATACAAGAAACAAATTCTCAAAATGTTTTCTAGAATAACATAGACTATTATTTGGCAATTGTTATATATGGGTTATTCAAAATCTTATAATAAACAACTACTAATAATACAATTTGTTTCTTGTATTACTTCTCATTACAGCATAGAATTAATTTGATATTTTTTAGTTAAATACGTTGCAATGCTATGCATCGTTTTTCAGAGCCATATACTTGGTGGTGATACTGCAAATTGAGTTTCAGACATTTTCCGCCATATTTACTTTCCTATATGTACAAAGGCAATCTTCCATCATCAACTAAAAGTTTCGTTGAAGTAATAAATTGTGGTATAAGTTGATAAATGTGCCAAATGCAAAATCCACTGACAAATACTTTATGTAATATACATTCAATGAACACAGTTTCTTGCTGCTTTGTGTAAGCGGAATATTAGCTCAATCCTGGACGCTGACAGACGTTGGGCTGGCTAATTTACTTGGAACCGACTGTTTTCTATGTGGTATGTCTTCAGGTTTCGGAATAGCTGCACCAAGTCCAGGCAGCCGGCTTTTGTTACCAGTCGTCTTCGCCATGTTGTAGTCACCAGAATCAAAGTATTTGACCTTGATAGGAATTTGAGAAGAATATTTGTAAGTTCTAGACCTAAGGTACACTCACAATCTGCTTCATGATGAGGGAAAGTCAGAGAGTGAGCGTTCCAGTCTTATTTGAGTTTGCTGGAAATATGTGGCAAATGTAATGATGACATAATCAACTACAGACATCAGGTTAAATCAAGATTGCATATAATTTTGACATTTTTTATTGAATATTCTTTGTACTTCTCCAAACATGTTTGGGCAGAAGAAAGTCGTGTCCTGACTAGCAACACATGTTAATTCGTTGTTATACAACGGTTTATACATATTTAAAATGAACAAAGATTTGTACTATAATACTATATACAATCATGAATATTATTTAATTGCTTTGAAACTTCATATATATGACAAAACCTCACCCCTCCACGATTTTGAAGCCTTGATTGTGCAAAATTTTTCTTTAAACCCCCAGGGTACTTTGCCTTTAACTTCTGCTCTTCGGAAAGCTGTAATAAAAGCGTACATCCCTTTCAATACGAAATACAATTTTTGAAACCGTTTATTTTTTTATAAACAGATATGAATTTCTCCCACATTCACCTCTTTGGGCTTTTCTTCCACGGGATTTTCAACCGTTGGTATTGAAGTATCGGCCATGCTCTTAGCAACGACTTCGCAGAAGTTTCGATCGGCAATCGGTTATGTTTTTTATACGTATTTAAATTTTTATACAAATATAAACACAAGATTGAAAATCTTTGCCACAATTTGAAGAAGAACACAAAATAGCGCATGTCAAGGTTTGGCCGAGAAAGTCCCGGAACTAGAGAATTTCCGTCGATTCTATTGGCCAACGTAAATTAGCGAACCAATAAGAAAGACAAATGATTTAAGCCAATCAGATGGGGTATTTATTTTTAGTAGCCAATAGGGTATCACGTTACAAAGACGGAAAAGAAGCAAATTTCGTAAAATGTGTGATTTAAATCATGTGATTTTAAATGGCGGCCACTTTCTGCTGATTTTGGCAAGGGATTTGTGAGATATTCGAAGATCACGGCGAAAGAAATGAAGTAGAACATCGCAAAGTTTCCACAGAATCACAATGGCTTCACGATTCAGCTTTTGGATGCTATTTGGTGTCTGCTCTTTTATCACACTGCAAGTATTTGTTGATGGAAATAGAAAGGTTATTTAATGGTTATTGTAATAAAATACAGGATCCAAAGCTATCATATAGGTTGATCTAGGTAATATAGGTTGATCTAGGTAATATAGGTAAATTGATTGAGAGAGAAACAAGTGTGGGTACCTCACCGTGCCTGGGGTTTCCATCGACTTGACAAGTTATGGATCAGGGGCCAGTTGTATAAAAGACTAGTTAACTTTTAACTGTAGTTAAGGTCAGAATTGGCCAATCAGAGTTGTGAGTTGTGTATTTCTGAGTTAACTAGGATTTAACTAGACAAAATGTAGTTAAAGAGTTTTATACAACTGGCCTCAGGTCTACAATGCTTGCTTTGCAGATACATGATGAATATGTGTTCTGTACAATTTACATATATTTTATGAACATATAATCTCAAATTAGGTACCCATTCAGTATATTCAGATGCATTATGTGTGTCAGGCTTAAAATTACCTTATTATCCATAAAACTAAGATAGCCTAAATGCCTGTCTGGCCTGTGACATGATTGAAACTATGCACAGTCCTCATCATAGTTATTTTAAATCACAGCTATCCACAAGCAAACTTTGCCCATCACCAAAGAGCTCTTTCAACTTCCCTCTAATTTGGGTTAAAGCGATGGACAGTAGCTCAACAATTCACTATTTGTGGACGACATATCCGGTCCCTACGATTGTTGTAGGTTATACAACAAGAAAAGATGTGAAGGTTACAGTAGATTGTGCAGCATTAACAAACGAGACTTCTCGTAACAACAGCATAAGGTTTTCTCATTCTATGAATTACACGTTCGCTTTTGCAATGCCGAGGATTTATGAATATGACGATGATGATGATAATGTTGACTTGACTGACAATTCGTATATGGTTGTGCGGGAATTCATGGATAGTACAAAATGGGATGTGCATTTAGATGCTTCGGCACATCAAGTTACCTTCACAGCAAATGATTCCATCATTTTAAAGGTAAAATTCCTCTAAAAATATTGTTTTTCATGCAAAAACCAATTGGATTCAAATGATTGTATGTTGTATTTTTTTGCTTTTATAATTGAACTAGCCGGTGATGTATTTCAGCTGTCAAATGGTAGGTACTCATATTCTCAGTTTACTTTCAGTTTGTGGCCTCACATTCAGTTGATCGTGAATCAAAGCTCCCCCATGAAAAGCACACATCTGACAGCAACCGATTCTCGCTGACGTTAAATGATGTGAATGTCACTACGAATAGTACCAGATTTGCTGTAGAAGTAAACTACATGGTTGAACTAGGCTATGCTCCTGACATTACAACAAAGAAGAGCATTGATGACGAGTACACTCCTGCCATATTTAAAACCGTTTATGCCAAAGTGAAAGGTAAATATGGCAAAGCATACTCACAGTGGAAACCCATTGCGTACACCAAGCCTGAACTTGGAAGAATGTGTCAAACGAGAGCTGAGATTGGAAGTGTTCGGAAAGTTGTAAATAGGTCTTGGAATATTGGCGAAGTTGCAATGTTATCATTAAATTCATTGTATCAAGTTTATGGTTTGAATGTTTCTTTTGGTATAACTAAAGATGGATTTTATCAGAAGACGAAGTATTTAACATGGTAAGAGTGAGGTGATGAAAGTAGAGAGGTTATCAAATATCAATATAGCCACAGACAATAATTAGGGTGACTCTCTGGTCACACACGTGACAATGCTATTTTGTTGCATGCAAAATTTGAAGCCTGAAGAAACAGCAAAGTCATACAGGTGTGTGACCAGAGAATCACCCATTATCCGAATGATTGACCTTGTCTTTGACCATCTTACCATGATAATAAGCCTTGTTTATGGTCATTTATGACTCACTTTCATGATCATAATATAGTCCCTAACCAGATATAGGTACGAAGTGCAGAATTTAGTAAATCTCAGCTTCGCCAAAGAAATTTGGAAATAATTTGGAAATACTGAGATTTTGATAATCAATGGCATTTTGGGCATACTTTCACAAATCTATGAATATTGCATGACCTCCCCTCCCCCCCCACCTGGAAAATGTTTCCCCCCCCCACCTGGGGAATATCCTCCCCCCCACCTGGGGAATATCTTCCCCCCACCTGGAAAATATTCCCCCCCACCTGGGGAATATCTTCCCCCCCCACCTGGGGAATATCTTCCCCCCACCTGGGGAATATCTTCCCTCTCTGCATCTGATGAGCATTGTCAACCAACAAACCTTATCTAATCAGCTATTTCAAATTCTATAAACTACCATTATTTCATATATTTCTTTATAGGAGTGGTATTGTTGGTTATGGTGATCCAGCCACCACATCCATCTCATTTCTCGTTAAACTCATCATCTCCATAGGTCTCGGCCTACCCCTGGCTATCATCGTTTTCGGTGGTATGTACGTTCAGATTCGAAAACGATGCATGAAGGCGAAAGTCAACACATCTTATGCCACGATAAATTAAGGGCGAATGTGTGCTCAGATTGACAGAAATAATTTTACACAATGAATTTAAAACGAAATGATCGCTCGTATATTTTAGACTAGATAGGAAACGATTATATAAGATTTAAATATAATCTTCAAGGAATTAGCATATGAATTTCGTGCTCAAAAGATTAGTGACTGGTTAGTGTGATTATCCCAGTGGATTATCCAATTCGATTTAATCTCCCTTTGAGGTATATGATTTACTGATTTTGTTCATAAAAGCCAGGCTATTGGCTCCCTCCCAGCTAAACGCGTGATCGTCATTGTAAGGTGTGAAATCGCATACATGGAGGGGAGAATTTTTGCCCAGGATGCGTAATTTGTTCCTTAAGCCAAGCGCATTTAGCCTGGCGAATTTAGCGCATGCGCAACAAATCTGTATTGCTCAAAAAACCATGATAATTATGTCGCGTGTGCGCCGGCCACTGAGCTATATTTATATTCCTTGAAGACCTGCTCTCGGATGGCGGCGAAGTTACTGAGAAATGACGAGCACGTCCTCCAGTTATTTTAATAGCTCAGTGGCGCGAATTCCTCACATGACACTATATTTTTGTATGATGAACTGTGAATGAACTTTTTATACATAAAAATTGTCCACCAGTGACACAATTTTTGCTTTTGTGTTCTATTTTTTACATTAAACTTTGTTCCAACAGTTACAATCATTATACATAATATTTGCAAGGCTTTGTGACAGAATATTTGCGAGAGATATCGTAATATAATAAGCTATTTTTTCCCTGGCCACAGGTTTGCAAGCAAGGGTCTTCTGTGCTTCGCTTTCCTTAAGCAGGCAAAATGGTCTTGTCAAACCGGTCATATTTTAGTTGAAATTCCCGTGTTAGGCAGATGTAAATATCGATATACTTCTTGAAATAGAGTTCTGAAAACACTCTAAAATACCAGTAATCTGTCTTCACTGAAATTCAATAGGACCGGTCTGGCCGTTTTCACCGTTAAAAGAAAGCGCCCCTTGTCCTCTCGAGATACAAAGGCTTGTGTATACTTATTCATGCTTTATTGTTTTTAAATATGTCTGCCGAGTATCGTAGGACTGGTGGCGCAGGTCTCACAGCAACGTCGTCTATAGCTCGCTATACGACAGTAATTAATACGTTTGATAATATGACAGTATCGTTTGAACCGACGCGGTGGATTGTCTTTGCACGTGCTCGTCACGCTGCTTTTCACGGGCCTGCTTCCAGGACACGCTCTGAGGTTACACGTTCGCCGTAGTTGAGGTCGTTCCCAGGCTTTGCAACCGCCCACTCGGTTTCCCTCGCCGTTCAGACACGAGGCACGACGAGTCTCGACTCCACTACCACAGGACACCGAGCACTGGAAACAAAAAGAAAGTTTTCTGTGATTTCAATACGATTTTCTTCTTTTCACGGATGAAAACGAGTTAATAGTTATGAATGCTCTGTGTGTGAGAGTGCACCTGTTTGAACATTCGTAACTTAACCACTAGATCACATCAATCAAATTAAAAAAATTGCGCCCGTAAAGATTAAATCTACGCCATTACAATAATCTTACCTTAGTCCACGCAGTTGAAAACCAAGTTGGTCCACACTCGCGGCTGCATTCCTTGCGCACAGCGGGTTTATCATCCAGCGAGCAATCTGCATCAGACGTTACTAGGTAGTTTCCGTTTGCAGGTTTCATACATAGCACGATCCGTAGTTGAAGCCCTTTGCCGCAGTCTGTAGTGCACTGAAACGACAGAGGAAGTTAGTAAAAAAAAATTACAGACCCTTTTTCATAATTCATAATCACATCCAGATTCATAATTTTGAGTCCAGATTTTCGTAATCTTGAATCGAGCAACACTAGATTCGTTTTACTGGGATTCATAGCCCTTTACATTATGGTTATAGTGGCATAACGTATATTCAAGATGGCTGCCGCGAATAAACTACTCAAAGTTTTCGCCATAATTTTGCTCTTGACTATCGCCTTTAACGACCTTTTCATCATAAGCTTTTGTACGGTTTAGCCATTTAGGATCATAAGGTGTCTCAGATATCGATCAGTGATACCATCGTAACCACATTGCAAGTCTTCTTTGCAGTTATTCAATGGTATCTTTTTCGATTTCAAGAAGTTTGCCTGCAATGAAATATTTTACGCACCTCGCTCCACTCCGACGCGACCCATATTCCTCTACAGCGTTGGGTATTGCAGTTCTGTTCATGCGCTGGCTTGGTTTTACCCACACAATGTTTCTCTTTGAACTTGCCCCCGTCTATTCTTGCGCACACGACAGGCCGACCACGCAGACCTCCCCCACATGTCCGGGAACACTGGACGGTTAAAGAAAACACGAATCGTTTGAATTCATCATAAGAAATACACTCGGCTTGCAAAGAAGGCAAACGTCATGAGGCCCAGCCCTAAGTGCATTGTTTAGCATTTACTGGCGATTCTTTTAGATCAACTGATGAGTAATATCACCTTGTATTAAACAGTACACTAAAGGAAACCACATTTAGGGTGCTTTACAACAAGACTGCTCACCTGAGACCATTCTGGACGATGATACCACTCCCCCCTACACAAGCCAAGGTAACATGACTTCATCAAAACGGGTTTCCTCATCCACAGACATTGCGAGTCATCGACAGTTTCGTTCCTGGAATTCTTGCAAGCGATAGTTCGTCTGCGCACACCATGACCGCAATCCACTGAGCACTATAGTTTGAATATTTTCAAAGGATGCATGTTTAGCAAGCATGGGTGTAACTGTAAACGCAATACACTCTTTCATACCTGACCCCAGTCGTTTGCTATCCATTTAGGTCTAGACTGTTCAGGGCATTCCCTAACTTCACACTCTCGTATCACGCTGGGTCTGGATCGAGTCGGACATCGAACAACAGGAAGCATGACTGTGATTTTTTCACCATTTCTATCAATCGTTTGTTTACACATGAGATCTCTCACTTGCTCTCCCTTCCCGCATGTCTTCGAGCAAGCTTGCCATTCTTGCGTCACCCAACTACGAAACAAACGAGAGAAGCAAGTTTTACGAATCTTGATCGAATGATTTGGGATCAAACTGTGTGTATTACCTTGCCGGACAAGGTTGCAAGTTGCAAGCTCGTCTTGTTTCCTGAGGTCTTGTCCGAGGGTCACATCGATTGCTTGCTGCGGCCTCTCCTGTTACGGCACGCGTGCACTTCACTATTCGTGACTGAATACCTGCAGAAAAAAGAATTCATGCGGTCACCAGACCCGGCTGGTTCTTCTGTTTGGCCAGTGCCTAAATTTTAGCCTCTCTGCTTAACCCAGGTCAGTTGTTCAGAAAACCGGCTATTCTATTTCAAATCCGACTTTCCTGCAGCTGGTGAATAAAGATCAGATAGGTATTTCAGATTCCAGAAATCATTTGAGATATTTCGATTAAACATAAATAAAAACATAAAACTCCCGGGTAGTCATCTTTGTCTTTCTTAATCGGCCTTCTTTTACCTCGATTCAGAACTCAATTCTCACCTCCTGCACAAGATGACGAGCAAGCTGTGAACCCAAACATCTTCCATGTATATCCTCTCTGCACGCCGTCATTCTGTTCTTGACCACTGGTGTAAAACTGTTTCTTGGCATCCTGATTCTGCCACGTTCGTCCTCGATTCTCGGAGTTAGCACTACGCCAAGGAACACTTGTCCTCTTAGGCTTATAGACTTGCTGTTTGAGAATTGGTCGTTCAGCCAACTGGGTTGAAGATCTGGAAGGCTGTTTATCCTGGCCAGTTTCTCCTCCAAACTGAACCCAGGAGGAACCATGTGATGATGCCTAGTGTTTGAAAAGTATCTGAATGTAACTAGGAAGACAGAAGAAGGCTACCTTGTAGTAAACACAATTGGGTTTTACATTGAATTTACATACCTGCTCATCCCTGTCGGTTTGCTCCCTGTTGTACACCTGCCGTCTTCCAGTGGACAAATGCGGGTAGCTAAAACCTTGTCTGTGACTGCCTGCATTGCCCGTCTGTCTTTGTCCAGCTGGGAATGAAATGGATTCTCCCTCATCGGTATTTCTGCCCGCGCCAGGGCGGGACGCCCGGCTTTGTCCACCATTGTTAGGCAAGGATGTTTGTCCCTCCCCTCCACGGAATGTTATGCTCTCTCCTTCCTGACTGCTTCTCTGTAAAGACGCTTGTCCGCCGTTTTGCGCCTGCTCCGTGGGCTGTACGCTCTTTTGAGTGTTGGGGAAGTAAAGAATCTCACCTGCGACTCTTGACTTACGTTTTATTTTCTGGTAGTCGTCTTTTGTGACGAGATATGAGTACGTTATGATGGACGGATCTCTTTGATAAATCAACTATAAAAGAGTATTATTGGTTTTGAAGAACCGCTGAAGTTCATGACTGAAATTTGAAGTCTTATTTTCAAGATATTTTGCGACCTATTTGCCTCCTTTTTCTAGAGGTCCAGTACGGGACATCACTTTTAAATCGATTTCTTTCATTATATAAACTCGTACCATTATGTCGAGACTGTTTCCAAGAGGACCATTGATTGTGATCACCTCTCCTCCGTGTCTGGTATTTCCATTGCGAGTATATGTCACGTGCGAGGTTGCCATTTTGAAGGTCTTTGATAAACTGATCATCCAATGACCATTCAGATGGTATGTTCCACTGTTGTGATCTTTTAGTGCTAAAGACGAGGAATTCTGATGTTTTGGTGGTAATCGAGGTATGCAAAGATGTTATTTATCTTAATAAGGTCTAAGGTTCTAAGGATCTTCAATCGTCATCAATACAGAGAACATGTAATTCACAACTATACATGCAGTCTTAACTCACCCAAATAACTACGAGATCTTGACAACTCTTCAATAGTGATATTCGTAGCTCCGGCTGGTATCGTTGCCACAAGATTATAACCTGAGAAGAAATGTTTTGCAATCCGAGAATCAATATTGGAAGACCTCAAGTCTCTCTTGGAAGATCTACGTATCATTAAACACCTGTTTACCTATGTTTAGTTGGGTGGAATTGAAGACGCCAAGAATCTTTTTTCTTTCGTCAACTAAACATGGTCCATCGAGCGACTGACATCCACTGGGTCGCTTCTGTAATTTAAAAAAGCCTCGTACATGTAAGATTGGCTAAATATTGATAAAGTTAGTAAAGGTGAAAGAGAGTGCGCCGGTGTAGCTGATATTCAGTAAGTCTGACAAGCTGAACGTGTGTATTTTATAAGTTTAAAATCCCAATACCTGACATTTTCCTTCTATGCAAACTTTGGAGTATATTTTTCCACACGGAGTGCCATTTTCCACATGGTTTTTCAACTTGGCATAAAATTTGTGACCAGATGCCAAGCAGTATAGCTTACATTCATCCAGGTGCGCTGAACATAACGTATAACAAAAATCGGTCAGGGGAAACATAGGACTGAATGACATGGCCAGGAACTGGGGGATTTTGAAGACAATAAACTCACTGAACTTGATCAGTGAAAGCGCCTATTGTATGTAGGTCGTTATTCGTATCTATCTGCGTCCCATTGAGACAAGATTAAATCCCTTATATGCCATAAACAATAGACAATCCGCTCTCAAATCTCATTATCTATTGTTTTTAATGCATTCAGCAAATGAGATGCACGTGGACTGCAAGCGTGTTCAATTATTTTCTTTGAGCTTCGAGAATTTTCAGCCGTCGAAAAAGACGTTCGCTTAACCGCCTTGAAAGCTTCCTTGAAAGAACAATTCTCTCAAATCTCAAGTTTCATTGAACCGTGAGGAACAGTTAAATGTTACTGGGCTATCGAGGAGCGACTAGGCAAATCGAAACGACGTAAAATGGACAGTAATGAAATGGCACATGGTTGGCATTAAGATTATGGAGATCATTCTGACTGTTTTAATGTCGATTAAGACGGTAAGCCACGCTTCTTTCAGTAATATCTTAGATCCGGATATAAATATATGGAATAAAAGTAACCATATACAGCCTATTTGCCTATTATAGTTACAAATAGTGGATATAACTAATAGGCTAAGCTTATATGATCTTGAACGGGGGTTCACACTTCACAAATCCGTCTTTAGCAATGGTCTTTACTTACTGCGAAAACGTAATATTACACTCTTAAGGCTATAGTTTCCACTCAGGAAAATTCTCCTTTGAATCGGACAGGACAGGAATGATTCCTTTGTATAAACACCGCCTGAGAACTCGCCGATAAAGGAAATTTTCCTGTCCGTTCCGATCCAAAGGAGATTTTTCCGGAGTGGAAACTAGCCTTTACATCAACGGTCAAATGGAAACCAAGCTCATGGAATTTCCGATAAGTTTTAACGGCAGTCAACAGTAACATCTTAGCAACTACGTACTCGACTAAGTGCTCAAGAGAGTTTCATAATCGCTGGAAAAGATTACCCTAACTTGGCTTTCATAGTATTAATTGATGATTGAGATATCCATCTTCAGTAAACAAGTCTCACCTCTCAAATACGGCAGCCACTTGATGCTTTTGCCATTGTACAATTTCTTGTCGAATTCCGAGCACTGCTGAGCTCGGAATCTGTACGCGTCAGGATATGTGACTCTGGGCTGAGGGAAGGTCCACTCATCATTTGCGCACTCCTGTGGGAAAAAACGCAAAAATGTCCACGTCAAAGAAATTTGGCGAGTATGAACTATGAAGGTATTCGTGACGTCATTCGCAAGCTGCGTGAACTCATTCTCAGGCAGAAAATACTCAGATATCGTACACGAGGAAAGTTTAGCCTTGACCTAAAATTGCAGATTTAAGATTATACAGTGTACTAATTTGCCTAAACTGCCGTCACCTGAACTGATAACCTCTAAAAACTGCACAAGCTGATTAAATGTTTAAGCGTTCATATATGGCCATTAAAAAGGGAGTTTTTTAGACAAACACTTGATTGAATCTGAAAAGAATGTACTTAAGTTCTCTAAGTGAAGTGCGTTCTGTGCTTTATAGTCAAGTTTATCGTCGTAATAACGTCTTCAGTGGAACATGGCACGGAACAGTAACACAAACAATCAGAACTTTTCTATCGTCTATTTTAGGCGCTGCCCTGTAATAATTCAAACTGACAACGAATGATGATATTAATTAAAAGTTATCTGCGCGCGCATATTTTTCTTTCTCGTCAGATATTTTTTGACTTAAATTTATTTATAACACCGAACATTGATAAAGGACTGTAGTTTTTGCAATGATAGAACCACTAGGATTGTCTCTGAACACATGGTTTGCAATATCAGTTCAAGAAACAGATATAAATGTCAGCACATAGAACGCATCAGATCTTTGCATGGATAAAGTCCCGCAGTCTTAATCAAATCTGTTGGTTTAAAGGGTCGTATATATTAGCGCATGTATCTGGGCACAGAATAGATTATACCTGCGTATTTATACATTAGCATACGAACGTGGAACAGACGAAAGATATATTTGTATTCATTATAGTAAATATATATCTGTATTCATATAGTGTTACTCCGTGGGCCGTGGTTTATACATGTAAACCTTTAGAGAGTTTCCGACCGTTAAAACATGCACCTAAACGTCTTATTTGTCACAGTCATAAAAATGCAGCATATAACCTTACGATCACTCAATGTCCAGCTAAACGTTAACATGGTAAAAAACCATTCACAGTTGGAAACTATTTTAGTTATCCATAGGGAAGACACAAATCCCTCACGGTAATCCTAGTTCCTATAAAAAGATTTAAAGCCATATAACAAGTCACACCCACCACAGAGTTCTTGCAGTTTTCGTTGGTGCGCAATGCGTTGCGTCGAGTCCCGTATCTCGTAGATCTTGCGCTATCCACGGATGGAGTTATCTGGTTGTTTTGCGTATATTGCGGCAGCTCGTTTGAATCCAGATATTCTTGCGCACTTGCAGCGAAGATAGCCATAATAAGAACCATTTGCGCAGCCAAGAATGCGCAATTCATTCCACGCGCAGTTGTTGGAAAATTAGCGTAGCGTGCGGCCATTCTCGTACGAGTGTGTTTATGAAATCGTCCAACAGCAAAATCTGTTCGGGCCTCGTTAACAAAATGTTTTTATAGCGGCCAGAACGTCTCTTTAGCGAACGGAAATGTGTTTTTAGTGATAAGAGCTTTCCTAGTTTATCTTATCTGTTTAATGATGAGGAAAACAGCAGAGCTGTATCAAAATGTTTGGATAAGATGAACACCACGCGATAGCAGGTCAAGACAAACTGGCATCAAGAATTCTTGAATTAACGACATGCAGACTAAACAGTTGATCGCTATCACCCCGTATCGACTCGCATACCTCGTATATAAGATAATTTTGAAAGTGGACGGCAAAATTTATACTACTAAGCTGTGTAAGTTGATATCGACGCACTAGTGTTTCCACTTTACTTTAAATAGATTGATCCAAGAGGTTTATTAAGTGACCCAGCATGAACACAGTTTTGTCTGAGCTAAAGATTCACTAGACCGCTGTCCGCTGGTATCGTAATGACATTAATAGTGAATCGTACTATCAAAATAATGAGTGTGGAGGCAAAATATTGCTAAAGTCACCAAGTCTATCTCTATGTACGCATTACTGAGTGCGTTTAGGAATCACATTTTTGAAGTAATTCCATTCGTGTATTGCCATCTTATCCGTTTTTTTTACTTGAAATAGACAGGAAGACCGATAAGTATCTTAGGAGTCGTTGGGAACCGATCCAACTGATTATAAGCGCGAATCAACTTGATAGACAAATTTGAAAAAAAAGCAACCTTTGTCCTAGTTTATCTAAAGATAAATTGTTGGTGTTCTAAAATCAACGAAGCTTTCTCCCACCTACACGCCCTGCTATGCTCGCAGCAGTAATTAACGCCAGATATATTAGCGCGAACAATTTTAATTATCATTCCAATCGGTCATCGAAACCGTCGCGATAATCTCGACGTCTTCTCCAACTGAATGTCGCGTCTTTCAACGGAATTCGTCAGTTTCAAGTTATGAATCATGACCGAAATATTTCTCCAGTAATTTCAGGCGCTATGACATCAGTAAAAAGGGTGTGAATATTTCGTCATGTGTAAGGATACAAGCCAACCGTATTTAACTGGTTTTACCTTTCTACCTTCTTTTCGAATGAAAAAGTTGTTGAATAATTATGCTGTCATACGATAATGGCTTCTAAGGGTATTCTATGTCGGCTAGTCTCAAGCATTTCATGATCTTGAATTCCGTCAGCAAGTGAATTGCTACGGAAGCAACCGTCTCTGGTTAAAAGCGGCAAATCTTCAGCGATGAAATAAGTCAGAGGCGACTTCTCTTTAAGGGTGGCTTAACTAGTATCCCACTTAGATGATGCACAAAATCCCTGGCTCTAGCATTCATCAACCCACTGGATTACGACTAAATTTAGCCGTGCAGTCAAAGGGCAAACATTCGAACACCTTCTCTGCAATGAAGACAATTTGAACCAGTCAAATGTCGCCTGTCGCTAATTTGTTGGTCTTTAAAAATTAAAATTGCACCATATTTTTGTGCCACGTCATGGATTGAAAGTAAAATGGCTGAATGATTGAACCAAAAGGGCGGCGCAGGAATATTTTTAGCGATATATGACAAAATATAATCAAGGATTAGCCTACATGTTTCATCATCTGTCCCGGGTTTTGTCAGTAGATCCTTCAGGGCGTAAATTATGAAGACGTTCAAAGCGGCATGTGCTTCTTCCGACTTTTTTTCTGTATCAACTGTCTAGTGCAATCTGGAAGACGATATTGATCAGACGGTAAAAATCTGTTGTTCTTTCTTCTCGGTGAGAGAGATTCACAAGCTGATTTCGCCAGCGCTGCATGTAGATCTTTGCTAACCGCATACATCAGTTTGGACAACACTGAAACAGTCCAGTCCAAATACTCATTTGAAACTCGTTGCCACAAAACAAATAGAACTGATAAGGTTATTAACAAAGCATTAGGATGATTTATGAGAGCTGCATACTCAAAGTGAAGACGTTCTATTACCTCTGCTCTAAGCTTTCCTCAGACCACAACAAGCAAAGCTTGTGGTTTAAGTGGAGCACTTTTGGTGTGCTCTATCACACCCTTACTTTTATACTTCATAGATGAATTTACCGTGTTTGAAATCTGTTTTTATTCATTTCAGTTCACTGTTTTAGTACCGTCAGTAGGTTTGACAAATCTGACTTTCTCGATTAAGTTAAAATGGCATAATACTCAGCCCAGGTGTAGTGTAGTGTGTGTCAAAGACGAACAAGGAAATGACTATAATAAATCTGACCACATTTTTCGATAAAGAGAAGTTAAGGTTTAAACTAAATTAGCATTATCTGCGAAGGTGCCAAAATTTGATCAATATGATAAAATCTGGTATGCCGGCATGACCATGCTGTTCTGTAAATCACCCCTACCTTTACAAAACAGAATCGAAACTCCAACGAGTGGCCTCGGCAGTAACGGTTGTGGACGCTGGTTCCAACCGATCCTTGGGAACTTTAAGAAGAAATAAGATATAGTTACTCGTCAATTTGACCTTGCTGTATCTAAGGGTTGATTTTTGTCGATTAGGGCAATTTTTGATTAAAATTTGATATTCGCTGCGTGAGATGAAAGTACTTCGTGAAACACTACACATCTTCGGATGGATAAGGATCAGTATTCTTAGGAAACGGTTACAAAACAACTTAGAAGCTGCTCAAGATATTCATCGTGTTGAACGAAGTGGGGGTGAATGGAAAGATAAGGTAAATTATGTACGCTGGGTGGCATTGTATGATCTCAAAATCGAGCTGGATGATGAGGGAGTCTAGGGGCCATACCCGCACCCGCCTGAGACTTCCTCCTGTGGCGTAGCGGGAAGGAGGAAACCTCATATATAACATCTTTTCACAACAAACCTTGTTATAAAACAACGATGATGGCGTGTCTCGATGCCTTTGCCACACGCCTCGCTACATTGTGACCATGTCCCCCAACGTCCCCAATCATACACCTTGAAAAAAAAGCAAAAAAAAATGCATCAGAAGAGACTCGTTTCAAACTCAGAATTGCTTCGTACGTGAAATTTTGAGCATAAATATCAAACGTTGCGACATCGGAAATAATGCATGTTAACTTATGAGGTTTCCGAGTGAGTTTTATTGCGCGTTTCCGTGTCTTGCGCCGTCTTTTGTGTTGAAATTGATAACGACATGGTGCCGCCATATTGCCATTGTGTTGTCTCAAGTGACAAACATATTGGTCACGACAGTCGAATGTGACAGCTGAATACAAACATTTTATTTCCACAGACAAATGAATCTCGTACGAACCGAGAAACATTCAGAAAGGTTAAGGGTTCATTTGTACCATAAACGTGCGATTAATAGCACCCGTTTATAACAATATCTTATAAAATTGAAGATATCCCGGGTGAAGGTATGTATGGATTTCGTAGGAAGAAAGGTCAAAACGACTGCTATGAAAATATGAGAAATATTGAATATCGATGCGGAAATCTTAATAGAAAATCACCAACATAAAATCCTCTAAACAAGGATTGTAAAGCACTAATCCTGGAATATCTTTTTAAAAAATGAATAGATATTTATTTCAGTGCTATGGAAGACTTTGGAAAGCTTCCAAGTTTGGCCCTACAGAGCTGTTTCCATAAATGAAACTATTCCGTCGGAAACATTAGAATATTCTAGAGAAGATGGCTAGTGCAATATATCATTAAGCGCGCTGTTGACCTCACAAGTGGTTTTGATTGAATGCACAAGCGATTTGATGAAATTACTAAACACTCGTGGTGAAGGAATGTCTCGACTCTCGAGCGGTCTGCTCAAGAAATCATTGAAACATGCCATAGTTAAAACAAACTAAAAAGCCTTAATGATAAGTTCAACTCGCAAAAGATGATTGTAGCTTACACATGAATGACTCAACGTTTCGTTTTTGCCCGTGTTTTTATGTGTTTTAAAGTCGGCTGAGACGATTGTCATGTCTTTCTTTCACATTGAAGTTTGAACTCTAGAACAGTTTCGTGCAAATCATTCACTCAAGTGGTATCTCGTCAGCATATACAAAGTCTTAAGAGCACGCGGTCCTTTTCAAAATAATCTCACTTCACTTTGTCACGCACAGACCAAACAACATTACCGTCTTAATTCTTAAAATAAGTTGTTTTTCTTTGAGAGTGTTAACCTTGCTGTCCTTGCACCAGGGGCATTAATTATAATTATACGACCAGCGGTATAGCATTTTTAAATCAGTGGGAAATCGGATAAAAATAACGATAAGTTACTATAGATATATATTCCTTGTAATCCAGTGTAATCATTTATTGACTTCACAGGTTATGCGTTTTCTAAAAACACGAAAACCTACAATATCCTTGACCTACAATGAACATATTTTGAATCAATTAGGTTCTATCGAGCAAAAAGTCAGCGAATAAGTGATCTTATTTGTGAGAATATAATACATCCGCCCTATACTGTAAGTTAAATTTAAATCAACAAATTCGTATTTCATATAAGTACAAAAATATCGAATTGGCCTCGGGCTGTGGTTTGATACTAAATTTCGCCGCAAAATCGTATATTTATTTTTTTATTATATAAACCTTAGAATTGCAACTTTCTATGGTAGAAAATTTAACGTTTGGCTAAGAGTGGTTTTGCATGCATGAAGCATTCATTAATAATTATATATCGTTTTGTTTTTCACGACTCTAAAAAAACAATATCGTATAATAGCCAGACATTCTCAATGTATTCCATATGGGTGTTATATGTGTATGGGCTGTGTATAAACACACCGTGCGAAAGTGATCATGAGAACCCAAACATCTGCATATGTGACGGCCTGATGTATATTTCGCTTGTAGGAACTAGGAAGTCAGAAGAACAGTCGTGTCGTGTTATCAATTTCTTTCTTTAAGGAACGGTCAATACTTACTGAAATAGAGTTCTACTTGATGATTGATTGCTTTCCAAGTTATATATGATTAAGTGCTCAGTTTAACTCGTTTTCAGCATTTGAACATCTGCCAGTAGCCCAGTATATAGCAAAGCTTACCAAATAACCCGGCAAGGCATCGCACAGGCTCCTGCAGACGGATCAATAAAACATGGGGCTTTAACGTTTACCAGCATGAAATATAGAGTTATATTAAATAGATCATTACCACACTTGTCACTTCAAACAAGATGAAATTCTCATCAAAGCATCGCGCCAAGGTGTGTGTGGATATCATGCATGAGACGATATCTGATTGTCATCCACTCACGTTTAGAGAAGGGTCCAGGGCGTTAACCGTACTCATAAGCTCTGTCGTCTTCTGGACGTGCCAAAATTCCCAGACTGACAAATATCAATATTTGTCGCATTTCCTATTCTCAACTTTTCAATGCAGATTCAAAGGCCGTTGTTAATGCGTTACTATAACAAGCTATCCTATCCATCATCTTAAATTAGTTTAAACGTAATTACTAAACTTCACATATCGACGGCATGTGGTCACTTAGGGAAGCCATTTTCAGTTTTCTAATGATTTTGGGTCAAATGCAATGTGTTTTGAATCGCAACACGACTACTTGTACGGTCAATCATTTGTCATAAAAAATTTGTCATAAAAAGTGACCACTTTACTTTTTTTATACTGAACACTGAGTCGGAAGTTGTGTTAGAGTTACCTCTGTTAAAAAAATATCTATATGCCTTTTCAAGTAGTCATTTTAGTCACTGAACCCTTTAGAATGGCTTTATATATTTTTTATGTCATTATCTCTTAACTCAATTGCTAAGAATGCTCCTGGTTTAATTCTGGCCCAATATGATATTAGTATATCGTTCTAACTGAACTCTAGAGAGTTTTATAGAGGGAAAAGCTTGTCAAACATTGTTTAGCATGAAAATAGAGAGGTTATGTAGAAAGAAAATTAACTGTCGCTGTATATTTGCGTTTGGATGCATGGCAATGACAGCGACCTTCGGGCTAAGCGTCTCTCATTATCATACCTATGATAAAGTTAAATATTTTCGTATGTGACAGAGCTTATATTATTATTAAATGCATTGCATGCCAAGTTATTTATACCAAAATTTGACGGACTACTGGTGCTGTTTAAAATCTTAAAGGCGATCGAACTTCGACTTGTGACAGTGCTTTGGCCTAGCCCGCAAGAGTCACTTAACAAGGCCTAACAACGGGGCTATCATATCAATACTAGCGTACAAATCCGTCTATCTTGATCGGCAGACTGCCAAATTTCCTTTTAAAAATTGATCCCCAATTAAATTTTGTTTTCCCGCTCTCTTGTGCGAGCTCCTTGATCGTGTATAATTCGCTGAATCCATTTTGGTTAAATACGTTCTTTCTTCCGCGATGTTATATCAATTTACTTTAACAAGCCTTGTTGAAACACAAACACTATACACAGTCCTTTATACGTTGCTTTGTTTGATCACTTCAGAGTTTTGTATGTTCAATTTAAATAAATTAACCGCTCTTTGATATTTCGTTACTTACCTTTGCTTGTACGTGGCGGATGTTCAGCAGAAATATGGAAACAAGGGCAACGAAGTTCGTCCACATTTTCACCATCAACTTCTCAGCTCCGAACTATAAATCAAAACAAGTTAAACTTGGTGTCAAGGTAATTTTCCAACAATCCATCAAACGGAACAACGGTTGAGTGATTTACTGTTGGCAAGCAAGTACACGACGTGAACTCTATCAATTCTTACATCTTTTTTGAAATTGTGACCTTTAAAAGATAGCGTCTCTGCGTGTGGCTAGTTAAGTCAGGTTTCCCCCTGGTAAAGTGTTTTGAGCTATCGTTACGACGTTCTTCAGTGGTGCGCAAATATTATTGATGCTCGGAGCATCTTCACTATTCTTTGTGTGAGCCGTTTAAGTAACATTATATTGTATTGTAAAATTACGATTCATTTTCCGCGCGTCTTCAATATAGCCTTCAGCAGTTGCAAGTTTGAAAAACGTTGCTTCCTTTTTTCGTAAAACAGTTCACTTCTCTTTTGAAAACTGTTACGATTTCCGGCCGTTGGTAATTAGTTTGGTCCAAACGTTGGCAGGCAACCTTTAAAAATGTTACAGTACAATCTGTTTCGTACTTTACGAGTTTAAGGTTTAAATTCAAGCTAACGTTTTAAATACTAACATGCATGGGTCAGTGATATTGCCTGCGATTTCTATGGTATTGTGTACGTAGCTAAATTTTCGTATTTGCTATTTACTACAACATTGAAATGTGAAGCAAGCTTTCTAATTTGCATTTAAGTTACCGGATAGTTTTTGGGGGAAGTTAGAACGAAGCATCTGTTATGAAATGACTGTCGGGTATAGTTTGGTGCTGATGCTACTCAGCGAACTCCTAAAGTTCTGTGTATTCATCCCAAAATTCGTAATGGACGTTTTGATACAACATTAGTCTCCGATAAGTGCATTAAACACGAACAGTTACAAGTCAAGTAACCAGGATGCAACGAATATCACTATATGTAATTTGACCTTTCTCATATGCAAAATCTCATAAATTTACTGACGTATATTCAGATATACTTTAGAGCTTAGATATTTACTGAAAGAATCCGCTGGTCAGCATATAGTGCCATCACAATTGCAGAATTCGGGCATACACATTTTCATTAACAAGATTACAATCATTTACCTCGAATAGCTGTCCAACACTCACTTAAATCTCTTCAGGCACTGTCAGTCATGCTCCGATACGTCAATAGATTGCTTTGATCAAAGCACTGGGCTATTCAATCGGTTTAAATGTACGAACGATTACGAACTAAGCCGGGAGGGATTTCTATAGAAGGATTATGATTTAGTGAAGCCATTTGCCGACATCCATTGCTAATTGCTTGTGTTGACCAAAGCAACGTTTATTTTAAGGATTCCTTTCAATATGGCGTTATTAATTTCTTGTTAAGCGGTCGTTCAATCGTCAAACGTTCCTCTCAGAAGTTGAGTATTAGGACGATTTCGAGATGAAATAGGTTGTTTCCATCTTGAGGTAAACTCTCTTTTCAAAACCTCTTGTTTTAACAGAGCTTCTACCAAACTCTCGGCTTTGCAAGGATTGTGTCGTAAACTGATCCAGATATTTTCATTCATGACCATATTTGTGTTTGTTTTTTAAATTAAACAGTTTAGCGATACAAACGATGTTCTCACCGAAACAAATGATTAAACAATTGAGTCGAACACAATTAAACTTTCAAGCTGCTGCTGTTTCGAGGCAAATGAGCGAAGTTTATTGCCTGTATTGTCGCCCGAGACAAACGAAGATACAAAATGACCAAAATAAGAATGCACTTGCCCTTCATGCACGCAGAGAAAACAAGATTGTTTCCTTTTTATTTGAAGTAAAACAATTAAGGTTGTCTTTGGGTTAACTACCACACGCCGTGAGCCATTTTTCGGCTTCTGTCAAGCCGTATCGGCCCACATATTAGACTTTATCGTATGCTTTAGAATCATCAAACTCAGTTGTCTCATTTATGATCAGACTGACTCTATACTAGGCCAATCAGATGTAGAAGAATGCAATTTGACTTTACCGGCCACATTAATCACAGCTGTTTTTCACCCGGCTGGATCTTGAATGAAAAGGATCAATGATGATTCGAAATAGTTCAAAGTATCATGCATCCAAAGAGGACTTGCATGCAATCTCGTTGCTTCAACTGTGAAACCCTGAAGGACAACTCTATCCAGCCTGAGTGCCTATCAGTTAGACGTTTTAATACGCGCCTAGGCGACCGGGTCTCTGGGAATCTGTTTAATAAATGCTACTTATGACCAACGGTGAATGAGATTAAGAATATATATTCATTTGCTAGCTTAATTCTAAAAAAAACTTCTCTAATAAACTTCTCTTGAGCAGAGTTATCCACCTCAATTTTTGGAAACACTGAAGATGTTCCCCTCATTTCAAGAGAAAGTACTCTTCTTTCAGTCTTTTTAAAGATTGGGATTTTAATTATACCCGAAAGCTAAATAAAGCTACATCTAAAATATAATCGTCTTCAAATATTATGGAGGTGAATATGTGATTATACTGTATGAGAAAGTGTCTTTTTTGTCACTTCCCTTAACTTTTTAAATGGTTCCGCGGTCCTTGCTTGTTTGTGAGCTCTCACGGAGAACTGATTGGAAAGGGACAAAGAAGAATTCCTTTCAAAGCGCAAATGTTTGCTTAGTGGAAAAATCCTTCGGAGGGGGGCTAAAAATCTCCGTTGAATATCGTCCACAATCTCTGGGGGAAAATGCCTCAGCGGTGATGATCTGAACTGCCCAACGGAGACCAGTGTATACCCTGCTCTATTCTGTCAGCTGTCGGAATTAATCGCTGCAAAATCTAATCACGACTAGAAGATACACAAAAGCATATATTCCCGCCTAAACCATCTCGAGTTAACTCGTGGCGTCATTCCTTTGTATACCTGCGTGTGTTCGATGTTTTTAAACTAATTGAAAAATCTAAAAGATGCTTTATTTACACCGCTCACAACAACATCATGATAGGATAAAATTAGCCTTCGTACTTCAAAACAAATTTATATTCTTCTTTGAATGCCCCACATACTTCTTTCGTAACGGTAGCAGCCATCAGCCTAGTCATTTGTGGAGTTATTTTTGCTTCTAGTGGAAGTCATTGAAACTGGGAAATATGGCTTTGGCAAGTTTGCGTTTCTCGTATTGCATACTCTCGTACTGTACAATGTTGCCGTTTGATGTACAAGTTTGGAATGAAATCCTTCAGTTCGTAGTTGCATGCAAGTTATCAGCCTATATTGATCGTACGTTGTTGCCAGGGAAATGTCAAGTTCCACCTGGTCGTCTCCATTTTGAGTGCTCGTCTAGTCAAAAAGACTTTTTTTTCGATCGGGTAAATGTAAAATGTGTTACAGTAAGGTTGTGGTTGTGAGTTGATGAATGTCTTGATCCTTTCGACCCTGGCCTGAACTAGTACAGTGAAATTTGTCAACCTCAATCATCAACCACCAAAGATAATGAAATTTTCCTAATCGCGTGACCACGTTGTACCCAAAGAGATACTGGTTCTAGACATTTCTAGGTAATTTTAGCCTTATTTAAATATTGGCAAAGATTCTCTCACATGCCCAACCTAGCTCCCGTAGTTGGACATAGAAAGATATCGGTCATATGTTATTAAAGCAAAACAAACAATTTTTCAATATCAAAACGTGAGAACGATTTGTTTACATGATTTAGAATGTCGGGAAGAGAAAACGAGCATTGGACACGCGACTTGTTCCGCCTTGTAAATAAAACACACTTTTGCCTTACGGCGCATAGAAAACACGGATATTTCTGGCCGACAAAGGTGGTCATGTTCTCTGTGAAAGCCTACTCGTATTGGGGAGGGTTAATTAGAGAGGAAGGCGTGAATTAGAAAGGGGCGTTTGCGGTGGGTGGGTGGGTGATATTTCCCAAGTGTTACTGTTTATACTCATTGATGCAGTAATCCGCTATACAATCATATATAAACAATTTTCATCTTCGATATCACTGTGACTGTGAACTCTGTAAATCCGACCATTTGAGCCTCATAAACCAAAGCTTAGTGTCGCTCTTTGAGCACTTTGAATCACAATACTAACAAAAGCCTACGCTACACGAGCTCTTTATTGAGTTCGTCGCAAAGCCGGATCCCTGGGACTCGTAGTCAGTTACGTTTACCATTGTGATGGCCTCGTCCCGTTTACGATCACACAAACCCGGCGTGAAATACCAGCAACTCACGGGGACAAAATTACGTGCCGGAATTTTAGACTGTATAATAGCGTGACCCAACATCCTCAAGAAGCCAACGTTTCAAATAAAAAAAAACACAGGCACTTCAAATTCAATTGTCGCATAACACATGGTCGGTATCTATCAGTTATTGAGAGGTGAGATAAAGAATTGGTTATATGTCTAAGCTATTTTTTAATATGACGTTACCACGGCCTAACCAAGCTTTGTTTGCACCAAACGACGAACTCGTTGTTACCAAAACACAAGTTTACGGGCGAAAGAGTACAATTAAACGTTTTTGAGGCAGCCCGAGTTATGTTAAGGACGAATTAAAGTATGTGTCAGTCACATACCTTGAATGATTAACTCGTCTGACTTGTCTTTGTACAAAATGGTTCAGGATGTGCGCATTTGTTGCATATCACGTCGTTGTTATCCCTCGACTTTGTGTTTAGCAGATACATTAACATCAAAACAATAAGCATGTTAGCTTGATGACACAGCCCCAATACTATTTCATGCGGTATTGTAGCTTTTGTGTGTTAAGTCCTATGAGCAAACACGAGGCTTACCTACTGCAAATATCTTGTTTGCAGGCATGTTTCTCTCATTCCGTGACAACCAATCACTTCCTTTGGATTTTTTTGTTGATTTTGCCCCTACGGAATAATTCGCTATACTTGCATCGCACGTCTCGTACCGTCGTATACCAAGACAAAACACTCTGTTCTATACGTTTCAGCGCTCAACACCAACTTAGACGTATTCGAGTGTGTTCATGTGTGCAAATATTGGCATTTATACTTCACAAAGCTTCCGTCGACCTTTCTTGAATTGTATGCAATAGCCTATATAGTGTTTCAAGGTGCTAAACGTTTGGCATTTTTTTGCAACTTGCCATACGTGGCTGGTCGAACGTAATAAGGAAGACTGCTTTTCGTAAACATTCAACATATTAGGACCTGATCAGAGAATATCGTATGAAAAATGAACTTAAAAATAAGGCAATATTTTGTGTCTGACCAAGGAAAATGAATATGCATATTGATTATTCATATTATTTAACCGTTGACAATTTTCAAGTGATGGATTGACAATTTTTTTAAATCCGTTTGGTGATAGCTTTGGAGGGATTTGCCAGTTATTTTTCCATTTTAGGAAAAACCTTGCCTTGGTTTGAGCTTCTTTCGCGAAAAGCCAATTAGATTTCAGCTTAGATATGACCTAATCTTTGGCGTAAAAGTGATAACTGATAAATGAAACCACTCATAAAACATAGACATCCGTCATTAATTTCTGGACCACCTCACTTCGATGTTTAGCAACTATACGTAATACTTCAGTACGTAAACTGGGCATGCGCAGCGAAAATTCACGCAGAAATCTGCCACATCCGGCGCATGACAAAACTATTTCCAATAACCGCATTTTTTTTCGCACTCATTTTGTAGATTGGCTCAGCCCCCCTGGAGGTGATGTTGTATGGACCATTTGTTAAAAAACGCAGGTGAAGATTGAGATGATGTCATGTCGTTCGGTAGTAGGTGTATCAAAATATAGCCCAGCAATTCGACTAGCATTCAAATGTCGTTTACTATTGGTATTTTGAACTACATAGGCCATACTTTTTCGATATACATGCTGCATACTTTGAGGCAAATGTCATACTACAGTGGTCACTGGTCATACCAAAATTATGTATGGCATTACTCTATATTATGTATAGTATTTTAAATCCGATTATGGTGAAGTGGATGTGTCTCGTGTCTATTACTGTAAGCCTATAGTTGACCAACTATTAACGATGTCTGGTGGTCTGAGCTTTGCAATTTTCTATTCTATTGCCATTGATGATGTAATAACGACACAAAGTGCTGCCTATAAACTCACCTTCGGGCAAAAATATAGCGAAGCGGTTATGTTTATGTCATGGTTTTACGGCTCATTTCTATCAATTTCTATCGATTTTTTATCGTCGATAGAAATAGATATTGGTGATTGCCTTTCCTTTAATAGGAGAGACCTGAACCCCCCAGCAATTTCCCGTACGCAAAGATGAGATAATCCTCAAAGCATTTACGATGCAATTTATCCATTACAAAGCGTGTATCCAATGTTTACAAATAACATGGTACAAATTAAGGAGTCCTACCTTTAGAAGTGCAAGAGAACCAGCGCAAGTTGTTTTCCGGCTAGAATTTTGTTTACAGCTTGTCGAAATGTTTCCTTCCAGACGATTTGGAGATTATAAAGTAATTACCATTCAACTGGATCACCAAAAATCATCGCTACTCCTAAAATGACCGTACCCCATATAGTTCACCGTGGCTGGTAAGAAAGATTGTCTCCCGCTGAACAAAGCGATTGTACTGTGTTGTTTATAAACGAGCGACAGTTCGGAGAGCGAGTCTTGACTTGAGTGAGGTATTTTTAAGGCGGCGAGTTTATATAATGAAAGAAATTGGAATGACGTTTTGAAGGAACACCCTTAGTTAATACGGCGTTGTCTTGACAACCCAGTTTTTTTCGGTAAATTCGTGATCATATAGACACGAGGAGTCGAGGACCTCCACATTCGAGACATGCTTGCTATTTTAACTCATGGCATAAAAAGCATGTAATTTGAAGAGATTGAAAATGATATATGAACTCAAGGGTTTTTGTTAGTCGCTGAACGATTCATGCATAAATATAGTTAATCGCAATTAAAAATGATTACCATAATTGTAGCGATTCAAAAACTATTTTCGTAACTTGTTCAAGGAGTATAATCTATTGAGTCTTTTATTAGTACTTACATATAAGTACAAAGTAACTTTCTCATCGTTCTATTTGATTTATATTGTCAATGACGTGGGGATTTTATACAACATATCTGTCATGAAAATTGAGTTTGAGATATAGCGTTAGGAACAGTTTCACTCTATTGTTTCAAAAGGCAACCGACATTGCCGAAACTCTTTCGAAATTTATCGCCCAAATTCCGACCATCCTAAACTGATTCACACCTCGATTGTGTCTTTCTCACCGCGGACAATGAATTTCGGTGCATAAAAAGCGCAAGATTTGTACAAAACACAATAGTCTGACTATCTATTGTCAAGAAATGAATTAACATCCTTAGGTCTTGCAGTGGAGCGTTCCTTAGGCCTGATACACAATTATATACCGATGTAACCTGCTTTTAAGCTCGAAATATCAATATATAAATACAGTTTGTTTGAACGTTCACATAATTCACATATTTACAATGATACGTGTGATGCTTTAATGAAAGTTCACATCCATTTTGCTCATTCAGGAATTATAATCAGAGCTTCCCATTCAATTCCCACAATATTCGTTTAATTCAATCAAATTAACTAATTACGGCTATCTACGACACAAGCTCACCGATAACAGGTAAAACTTCATTAATTTCTCGCGATAACGCTATAAGGCGATTTTTTTAATCGATTTTTTTCTGTCTGATGGTAAAAAATAGGATTGCTTCAAGGACATACGGACAATTACGGACATGCATGGACGTCAGTAATTCAGAGAATTCCAATTTTAGTAAAATTTCAGTGGTCACGATTTTTACTATCCTTCTTCACATGTCAACACTCTCGATAAAATCCTGTTTGTAAACACTGCCAGTGCTGTTTTACTTAAGTACCTCTGGACCCCCGTTATTCACTGATTAAGTCATCAGCACACTGGATGATTGCAGTTAGAGACTAAATTTTGAATAAACTTCGCTTCAGTGAATATATTTTACATCGTTCCCGAACACACGTCGTGCAGTTTTATCAGTTTTGATCATTTTGAGATGTTCTTATTCAAAATAGCCATAGTAGCCATCGGTTGAATTCAAGTATTGTATGTGTGATGTCACAGATATTTCATGAAATGTTGGCTACGGAACTGGTACGGTTAGAAAAATATCATTTTCTTTATGAAGCATTGCCAGCAAAGCACAAATTAATGCACGCAAAAAGAGTGGTTTTAATGGAAATGTTATGTATTTGTAAAAAAAATGGTAGTACTATAAATCATCCACAAAGTCATGAAACTCGAGAGATAAATTTCTAATTATAAAATGCTGATTTGATTCATCTAAACGGCTTCCGCACAACCTCCCCTGGTGTTTGAAATCACCTGGCAGTCTGGATTTGATGATAGAAGTATTTCATTTAGGTGAAGCCAGGTGATGACTCACTTGTCTCATCGACTAGGTTTTTGCGACCAGACCTGCCCACGAGCATTTGCTATAATTCAAATCAGCCCACGCGAATGAAATCTGAAATCTATTCAAACATGCAAAACCATTCTGTCAGGCATACACTATCGTAGCCCTCAAACAGTTGATCACTTGTAGTAAAATGCTCAGGTCCAAACACGGAAGAAAACAGTAAACAGGAAAGCCTATATTCGGTTCTGTATCACTGATCTTTAGGCCAATAAGACGATAGTGAAATATAAACAGCCCACTAGATTTCAGTTGCAGAAATTGTACCCCAAATCGCAGACGTCACGCACGCACGCGTATGGACGTTGGTTTAACTTAAGGCCAATTCTTTTAAATAAGAGAAAGTTTAAATCAATATATTTGCGGACTTACCCAGAATATCTTTACAAACTCGTGTTGTTAAGCGATGCCTGAAAGTTGCCACGTAACCCAAACGGTTTATAATCGACTGTGTGTCCATCAAAAGTACACAATGGTTATAAAGGCAGGATAGCAATAAGGTGTAGAGTGAGCATAATCGTCATCAGTCAACTATTACCGACTTTTAGACCTTTGAAACATAATTACAACAAAACACTGCATTAATACACCAGTTATTAGACCTTTTTCAATTCAAATTGTCGGTAAATAGTTTTTTGGCGCGGAATCACAAGGGGCAGGGATTTTGGCATCACATCAGTGCGCGTCGCGAAGAAACAGTACGATTCATATTGTACAAAAGATGATTGCATGGACTGAAAAAAAGACCCTGATAAGAAAAAAATACCAGTTTGTGTGTTTTGATCAACCTGGTAGACTTTCATGAAAGTGTCAAAAACAAACGACTTTTCGAGAAAGCATGTCGACGTCTGGCTTTCTATATAGTACGTTGCATGACATCAGGCGTAACGCTAAAGAGTCAAAGTTCTTCCTATAATTATTGTTCTCATAATCTTATCATACTAAGCTGCTTTAGAGAAACTACCCACTCTGACAAAAGCATATGCATTGAAAAAAATTATCACTGCTGACAAAGAACAAAGACACTATTTTTAGACTTTAAGAATTCTATTCTAAGTTCACGGCAAGTGTCCCCTGACAGAGATGTTAAAACCTCGTCACTTTGGCTGAGGTAGCTGAATGGTACAATAAACACACATCGTTCACGTCGTTTACAACAAAGTGGATTAATGGCATTACTTTAACGGACAAGATGCTCCGTTTCTATCGTCAACCAAGGCGTCAAACCTCGTATTTCTCTCCGGCAAAACAGCTGGTATATGTCCAAATAATGCATGTAATAGTCTTAATTCCGTCTATATATATATATATATGAATATATTCTTAGCAACGACATTCAACGTGTATTGCGCGCGAACGGCTGGAGTTTACTAACTTAGCTCGTATTTCAAAACTTTTTTGACGTTGGCGCCAAAACAGCTTGATCCCTTGATCCTTTTGGAGCGACGGTGTCTGGAGCCCTCCCTCTCTGAGCAACACGGGTCAGTTTAGATGAACAGGGGTTCCTGCACAGTTTTAGAACAGCGGTTTGCACTTTCGCATCCATTGACAGTGATATAATTATTAGTCTTCGAATGTTCCTATTCAGTGATGGTAGAGCGTACACTAACTTTAAACCAGTGTAAAAAGCCCGCATTTTATGCCAAATGTTTCTATACGAACAATGATTAAATTTAGACAGCATAAGTCTGTGCATGTGGTATTTTTATGGGGAGTTCATGTCGTTATTCGCTTTCGCCGCTAATGTCGCTAAACTTTGTGATATATATTGTTTCCAGCAGTCATTAAGGTAGTGCTTAACATCAAATAATGCACACAGCACATGGCAACCACACGTCAGTCGAAACCATGGTAACAGTAACCTGATAACAAACTGTATAATGCGCTCGCGAATCGATCTTTGATTCCTAGCAGGGAACATAAAGGCCCCTAAAATTAACAAACGTAGCGATTTGGAACCAGAAGAGCCCGTCATGAAGAAGTGTATATGCCAAATGTGTTCTTGTGGGTAAGTACGGATTTTCCCAGTAATGAATTTCTGATACTTGCTTCAAATCTGACTTAAACATTTTTTGTACATTTGTAGTTAGGCAAATACTATAACCAGTCTATATAAACATACTGAATTTCTAGCATACCCGTAGATTATGAGCTGAAATTTTCACATTTTTATGATCACACAGTTTTGAAGAAGACGGGTTCATTTATAAAACGTCCGATGATGGCGATAACTAAAATTTCACGAGGACGCTATCAGGACTGTGGGCATAAATGATATTTTCCTCGAAGACATTTCCTAATAGGATCTTCTTGCTTGCTAATCCTTACAAACTATTCTTGAGGTCTTTTAAGGCTATTTGCCAACAAATAACAATGAACTCGCTGTGTTTGGATTGCGGGAATATGCAAGTGATAAAACGCATTTGATCCGGACTTGGGTAGATATTTAATACTTACATGCAGGACATGACTTATCGCTTGTCCACTTCGGTAATACGATCTTGACTGTTTGATACAATCGTGCGTAAATTAACAAGCAGATACTTTTTTGTGATATATATATAGTGATGCATAGCCCACTTAACATTATGGAGAGCAGTGATTTAGCTCTAGTTGACCATTTTTGGATGGCTAGAATCCATTCTATTTAAAGGAAGATTTGTCATTTTATAAAACTGAATCGCTCTTGTTATTCTTAAGAAAATATCGCTAAATATGACATAGTCTGCCCTGGGAAAACAAGAATGAGTTTTTCCTCAATAAGCTGATTTGTTGTAGTGTAAAAAACGATAACCTTATGCCGAATTTCATAGTAGAACTGGTAATTTATAAGAGAAACTGAGAAACCATACCATACTTCTATAAACATCAGCTTGTAAAGCTATAAAGGTTTGACTTTAAAACAAGACAACAAGTTCATCGTAATATTTTTGTTTTGTTCTAAAGTAAAGGTAAAAGCTTGGATTTACTCGTTGATTTTCTCGTTCTTCGATGTATGTTTTCTCCTGTATTTTATTCAATTGTCTGCTGGTAATGGTTTTCAGATCAGTTTTATCAATAATTCCAAAACTTTTTTTCTCAGTCGGCATCGTTGTCCGCATACCTTGGGACAACAGAACCGGGTTATCAACAAAGACGCCGTGAACAAATGCAATGTCACCGAATACAGAGGACGTTTCGACGGCATCACTCCTAAGAGGGGACCGTTTTTCCGTCCCACAGACCAGATCAGGTACGAAGGTCCCACTAGTACCCAGACTACGAACGCGTCGTCTTACGTCACGCATGACGTAAAGGTCCCAAAACCGAAGGAACCCGAGAAGTTCGTCCCCAATCCGAATCGTTTCGATGCGGTTTCGGAACACCACGAGCACTACAAGCAGTTGAACGGCGTTCCTGCGAAAATCCCACCTTATCTGAAAACTACGACGATGCGAAAGCCTTCAGCTAAACTGGAATATATTTCAACAAAACAGGATGATTTTAAGCCCTGGACTTCACCGGGAAGACCGGATATTATTCAGAGAGAGCGACGTTATCGACCTCCCAGCAAACCTTTCCAGGAGACTTCACTGCATAGACAGGATTTCAAAAGGTTTCATCAACTTCCAAATCCCAGCGCACGGCAGCCAGACAAGTTGAACTTCGGTGATAAAGTAGAATTTCAGACTACGACTCAAACATATCATAAAGCGTTAAAGGTAAGGAAACAACCACAGGTCGCCAGGGAAATGGACGATTGGCTGTTTGTGCATCTATCTAACGGGATTATTTCATTTCTGTTTTCAAGGCATCTCCTACACGCCCGATAGAAAGGCAGCCCGAGATGGAGGCTTTACCCAAAACAGCCTTCACATGTACGTCTGTCTTCAAGGCAGATTTCGTCGACCACAAAGCCATCAAGTCCGCTCACATGTTCAAACCTGAAAGTCATTTATTTCGAACCAATCAGACGATGGACCGGGAGACAACGCAAGGCGAGTCTTTCAAGAGTTGGCCAATAGAATCACGGCAACGTAAAGCCCCGGATGTCTACAAGAAACCGAAAGGCCAAATGGAGATCATCCCCACTTCACGTGATTATTCAAATCACGGGGAGCTAGGCATTCCCGCCAGATCTGCGCGGCCTCGTACCAAGCTTCAGCGCGGCCGCGAGTTCCCTTTTAATTCAACTACGAGTTACTCGATGGAGTTTCAGAAACACAGCGCACCACAGAGAGCCTCCTTAAGACAGAATGCGCGAGATGGCAACGACATATTCCCGAAGTCTGTGGAAGACTCCGAACCCACTACGGTAACTTCCGAGTTTTTGGATAAGTACAAAAGGCACCAGGCCCCTCCGGCGAGGATGTTTAAAGACAATAGTACCTTGTTCAAAACATCAGCAAGTTTTGCAGATAGTTCGCTTTACAAAGAGCAGTTCCGGGGGGAGAGAATTGAATGCCCAAGCGAAGGTTTATTACGTGATGATAAAGTTGGATTGTTTTCGTTTGATCACGTGAACGAGGAGGGTCACAAGATCTACGCGATTAGTCCCCGGACATCGCAGCCCCTCCGTCGTGAAGTAACAGTGGCGTGAAAAATACGGAAGTTTAGCTACTAGTCATTTTCATAGATATAGAGCAATTGTTATGAAATACAGATAGTGGGAGATGTAGAGACACTAACTTCTTATAGCGCTATAAAAAATATATCAATATCCTTACTTGATATGTGTTTTACATTGACGTGTATTGAGGTACATTTTTTACTGTCACAACTCCATATTTCTGAGAACGATATGTCCGTTTCGCGTTGAGCCGTATTACCAGAATTACCTTCTTATCAAGCCCTTTCCTGTCTTAATTTTCGCAGACGTTTCTTGTAATTCAACGTAGAGAAAGCTTCTGGTATTTTCTGACGAATTTTGCATTAAAACTTAATTATTTTGGTGACCTCTGTGAGTGCATGGGAAATTAGTTATGACCACACAACGATCATAGACATCGAGTTATGGATACCTTATCACTGTGTCTCGCACCACAGACAGCCTTTTTTCAACCAAAGCGCTCGAAAATACGAATTCTCTAGCTTTGAATGGCTGGGCAATGTGTGCCTCTTGGCCGAGCGATATTTGTCATTTTGCCATGGTGTGGTTTTGAATGATTGCCCGGAAAAAACAACTTGTGGTTTTGTGGAGGTGTTCAGCTAGAATTGACTTGAGCAAAAAAGTATTGGACTAGCTTTATTTGTTGTTGTTTGACTGCCCAATCAATGTTCAAATACTCTGCCAGAAGGTTAAGAGTCGAAAGGGCACGATCACAGAGCCAAATTTCTGTGGTAAAAGCCTTCTGAGACATCGCAACGAAAGATCTCAAACATTTGTTTTCGCTTGCCAGTAATTGCTTCCTAAAAGTTCTCACGCTATCTTTTCATCGCTTGCGTTCGTACGAAAATTGCCCTAATTTCCTCAACTGGAGGAGCAAAATATAAACCTCCTTAAAAGAAAGGCCTTGTCTGCTTTTGGAAAAGATTACCAGGGCTTGGTAAAAGTCAGTGACTGTTGACACTTACTTCTTTTTGGTTTACGAAAATACAACCGAGATGGGTTGCGTGTCAGACGTGGGGTCATTTTGAACACACAGCGAACAAAGTACTGAAGTAATCTTGCCTTATTAGAGTCCTTTAGTCTAGCGATGGCACCTTATCGGTCTGTCCTGAACATTCTTCATGCTTCTGCGCCCGCGTCTAAATGTCGAAAAATGTCGTCAGATACTCGTGGATTTCTTTCGAGGTTCATATCATTTCCGGCGAGATCCGATTACCCAAGCACTTGATGACGGCAAGGTTCCGATGCATGGTTTGAAAAATCCCCTGTCGTGCATCGGCTTAGCGCAGTTCGACCAGCTTGTCAGAGCGCAACGCAAGCTAGGTTTTCAAAAAAACCTGGCTTGCCTTCAGAACAAGCGCTTCAAAGACGGACATAACTCGAGGTATGAATGATGCTTCACTGATGACATCGTCTGTTCGTTATCAGATTAATTAACACATCATTCATTCATTGTTCATTGTTTATGTAACTTGTGTTTTTAAAACCAACAGGCTTACAGGCGTATATATAACCAAGAATTCAGTTGTCTTGTCGGTGGCAATATGACGTGGAGGATTCATTTCCTAGCGTTCCTTGGATGCGCTTTTTTCGTCAAGGTACGCACATAATGTATTTGCGCATTTGCGCGCAAAGTGCTAATTTGAAGGACATTGAAAGAGTTTAGTCAAATGGCCTCTGTTAGATCTGTTGATTTTTACTATATAAGGATAAAGGGCCGCATTTGTGATTTCTTGCTCGATTTTAAATGATACCGTAAATTGCGCATTCCAGCTGGTACCGCGCTTCGATGCTAGGATTTCTCGACTCTCTGACCGAGATTTCTGGAGTCTCGTGCGAGTGTTCTACTGTATACCGTTAGTGGGGACTCTCTTAGGGTTGTGTTGATCGTATGAACGGCTCAAATTTTGGATAGCGTGTGGAGAAGCGTGACGTTCATAATTCTGTCCAGCCACCTGAGGTTAATAGTATTACCCAGGCGGATGGGTTTATAAATTCTACACGAAATGCATCGCGTCTGGCATGAGAGAAATAAAGAAGCTCTCAGACCAGACCTTTCCAGACCCTTGACTAGACCATACCACTGTTAGGGCGGGTCTCTCGATGAAACCTACGCCGCTTTTCACACATGCTTTCAATATTTACCAAAACGTGTGAATTTTACTTGCACTAAAATCCATGCGAAGAAGTTATTGAGTTTGAACGCACGATGTTAAATTTGTGTCCAGAATAAAGCAGGGAATATTCTAAATAGATTAGTTACAAGATTAATGTTTCAAAGGCGTGATACAACTGCAAACGTAACCATAATTGGCTATAACAAACAAATATGCCATAACTGCGATTACTTAATTAAACATACCAAGGCCACCTGGGTTTGCCATTAAAGAAAACATTCTCACAGGGAAGAGAATGGCTCATCAAATTGCTTTCCTCCTCCAGGAACCATTTCATTCAAATGTGTAAAGAAAAATTTTTAACGGGGATTTCTGTGTGAAGAGATTATATAAGTTAGTTTAGTTTCGGGTTCCTCCAGTTTAGCACTGGAGCATTAAGAGATTATCCTTACTGCATCTTTAGGAAGAATGCTTTAGAACTGATAGAGCTATAATTTCAGTATAAACAAAGGTAGTTTTATTCGGGTTTCCTTCCGTGGTAACATTGGATGACCTTAGTTTGCCTCTCAAGAGAGCAGTTTAGCGCTGACAGGGTTGTCGTCCAGTATAAATACCTTTAAACATTGAAAACGAGGTGATTCATGATTGCCCTTACTAGACTCCTACAAGAGCAATTTAGGGTAGATGGAGCTATCCACCAGTTTTTAGCCTTAGCGCAGTTTTATATGATAATTCCTAAAAAATGTTTTGAGAAGCATTGTTCCATTTGAATACCATGAACTAAAATAACGCAGGCGTGATTAATCTCATCAACAGTCTGTAATAATGAGTGATATGAAACCACATATTTTTAATACCATAATATCGTTGAAAAGTTCTCAGCATTTTCTTAGACAGTCAGACTAACCTTGGGAATAATCCTCTATAGAGTTAGCTAATGACGCGTTTACCATCGGAAGCACAAAGCCACAAACTATACCGAATTAACTGGTCGCTGAAAATTCACTCAATTTACTTACAAAATCAGCGCGTAATATTTAAATCGTCTTTATTTAACGCGATTTAGTCATGATCTTTGCTACTTCGGAAAAATATTCCAAGCACGTTTATAAATTAATCCAAGCAGGAATTTCCAATTGAACTCGTAACTTATTTTCTTTGAAACATTTTTAGACAGTGGTTCCGAAAGCTATAAGTCAGACTGGTAAGTTATAATTCTTCAGTGGAAAATTCTCACGTTTCTTACCATGTAATTTTATTTTACGGGATAACGTCTTGTCCCAGTCAAACGGATAAATATTAATATGTTTGATGTATTTTAGGAGAGTCGGCCCCTTACATTGCGACTGGTGATCAACGTTTGCAAGAAACGCAGTGTTTCGAACCGATTTCGCTCCAGGTTGGAGACCATGCGACATTCTATTGCCTTGTGAATGTCACGTTAGTTTGTGATACAGTTGGTCTCGCGAATCAAACGCCTGAGACACTTTGGTTGTTGAATGGCGAGAGAATTGGAAAAGGTTTTGAACGACTTCTCATACAAAACGTGTCTCTTCACGCTGGAGTGTACACGTGTGTTGTTAGCAGTGAAAACTGGACGAGTAATGCAAGCTCCGTCATCGAATACATAAGTAAACATATTACATTCACTGATTCACCTCAAAATATCTTTCAATTACCTTCTTCATTTACAACAACTCTGAAACGAAACACCAAATTCATTAACCGTATTTCTACATTGTCAGATCCACAGCAGCCAAGAATAATTTCAGAATTCAAATCTGAAAGATTCACTGATAATTACAAGATTATACCAATCATGGTTGGTAGCAATGTCACGGCCTTTGGAAAATCCCTTCTCATGTTATCCTGTAACGTCAGCGGAAACCCTAGACCGAGTATTGAGTGGAGTAGAGAAAACGGAAAGATTGAAAAGAAATATTTTAAAGGAGATAGCCTGTTATTGCCACATAACGTTGTACTGTCTGGAAGATATGTATGCAGAGCGAGAAATCTTGTTGGTCAAACGGAATTGGCTTCCCACATCAAGTTTGTAGGTAAGAGTGAGATGTTTTATAAACATAATTGTCAAACGTGAATTGAAAAAGTAGCCAATGTTATTACGGATGCGACCATACAACAGTTTCTGCACTCTTTTGAGATTCACAGTTTAATTTTATTTTAATATGATCAGGCAGCGTCTTCAAACAGCTTCCCATGAAATGTGATATAACAACTGCTTAAAAAAGCCAAAATAACTTCTCGGCGTTTCGACCTAATTGAAGGAAAAGGAGTTAATACGAGAGTTACTTACTAACTCTTACTATCTAATTTAATGAGTTTTAACATCCATCGGACCTTAATATAATTCCTGGATGTTCTTTTGTCTCTAGACCCAGTCCTACCAACGATCGTATCCTTCCGAAAGAAACTCACCGCAATTCACGGGGAAAACCAGGTGAGACTCAGAGCAGGCGATGACATCACAACCATAGCTGGGACCGAGGTCGTCATAAGATGTTTGGCAAGCGGTACTCCAGACCCAAAAATCATATGGTATCACAACGATCGCCTGTGTCCAACGAAACATCTCAAATCGTACGACGAGGGTGTTGTATCATTTCACAGAGAGGCCATTCAGGCCAGCGACGGAGGAAATTACACATGCATTGCGCACAACGAATTCGGAAGTATCTCAATGACGTCGTATGTTAACGTTATAGGTACGTAGATAGGTTTTTTATTGGTAAGTTTCTGGATAAGTAATTTAGCTTGTACATAGGTAAACCAAGTAAGTATTTAATACTGCAAAGCTTACGGTCCGTTAACCCGGGCCTTTATCAGTGCAATTGAATTTATTGCATTGATGAAGGCCCGGATTAACGGACCGAAAGCTTTGCAGTATTAAATACTTACGTGGTGTACCTACAAGCTAAATTACTTATCGACTGTCACCATGCAAACATACAAGAATATTATTCAGTTTCTGGATGTTTGTCCGTCTGCTAAAGAGTCCATCAATAGGGAGTTTACGATTCACGACGCTTCCAGCTCGACGACGCGCTTGCAAAACAAAGAAACTCCACACGCAAGACAATAGGTCACTTGTGGTTCCACGGCAGCGTTGCCATTCTTACGACAACTTCAAATGAGGCATTTCCACGACCTCCCGATGGCATGAAAGCAGCGAAAACGTGATTGCTGTTTGTAGGAAACGTGTTAGCTGTTTAATAGCGTATATGAGACAGCAATATCAGCTAGACGTCGAAAGTTCTTAGTTCAATTGAGACGTTTGTATGATTATTTCAAAGGCAACTATTTCCGGTAGCTAATTTCTAGCAAAATATTTGACTAGCGACGTCAAGCTAACCGTTTCGAAGATCGTAAACTCCCTGATTACGAAACTAGAACACGAGTTGATTTATTTACGATTTTTTGCTAAGACTTTAGGTTGCCAACCTTGAGGTTGACATTCATAGACTTTTAACATATTCTGTTTGCTTTTTTTTCTAGATCCAGTTATGCCTTACATAAACAGCTCATCGGAGGACGTGATCTCCTATGATATATCATTTCCAGCCGCTAAGCAAATTGGCGGAAGTCTGAAGTCACTAGTCGGAGCCTCGTTTTGGCTCGAATGTCACGTGGGAGGCATCCCTCGTCCTGAGGTCACGTGGAAGAAGGACAACCTTCCTATACATTCCAGCAAAAGGATTAAGATTTCCCAGAAGAGATTTGAAGTCCTGGGAACGATGATGTCCGACACCGGATGGTATTCGTGTATTGCCGCGAACGGCGTGGGGACTGTGACGAAGTCTACGTTTGTGCATCTCATTGGTAAGTAAATAGAGACCTATATCATTCAGGCAGGTAAAAACGACGGCGTTGAACGACCTCAGTGAATTCAAATATAGACACAATCCATTGATAAAGGGGGAACTCTACTTTTAATAATACAAAGACTTAAGCAATACAAAACTACAGACAATTTTAGAGCAATTGAAACACCACTATTCGAAGAATAAAGTTAACCAGCTTTTGTACAACGGCAACAAGTTGAAACGAAACATTAACGCGAAAACCTTTTTTCTACGCAGCTCCTGTGACGCCGCGCATCAGACAGGCTGGGTTAAGACGCAGATATCTCGTAAATAACTTGCCGACACCATTGCACGTGGGTGTCGGTGTAAACCTGAGGATTTTAGCCTACAGAGAACTCACCATATACTGTTCAGCAACGGGCTTTCCAGCCCCCGTCATCTCGTGGGAAAAGAATGGATATCCTATTGAGGACGACAAAGATGTACACGTCAGTCAGGGGGGTGGACAACTTACGTTTCCTAAGTTGGTTCCATCCCAGAATGGCGTGTACGCATGTGTTGCATCTAACGCCGCTGGTCAGGATAGAAAAAGGACTTCGGTCGTATCTCGATGTAAGTATTGTTTTAGATGCTATGGCAGTGAACGGTCATTAGAAGATTGGCTGTGACTTTAGACCCTCTTAATCTAGATTATCAGTTTCTCTCTGCCTGTCCAAACTTCAAAATCGAAGATAATTTGCGCCTCTTAGTTGATGATGTTGCCATGCACTAAACACTATATTTTCACGAAATAGATGTCAATACCAGTAGCTAGGGGATTTGGGATAACAAGTACTCAAATATGTTCAGTATTTAAAGAGTTTTTCAATCTTTAGTGCCCTTGAGACCAAAGATTGAGCTGCGGAAATCAGTTTTATCAAAATTCCAGCTTTCGCCACAGCGCGGTCATGGCATTCGTGTTTATGAAATCCCAGACGGTCAGAGCCTTTTGGTTGCAGGATCAGATGTAATTTTAGAGTGTATTGCGAAACGTAGCTTCCCCAAGGCGAAGTTTAAATGGTTCAAAAATGGGAGACCTTGGAAGAGGCACACTACAGAGTCTTTTAATAGATCAAAGTTGAAGTTACGTGATATTCAGAAATCGGACGAAGGGGTTTATAAATGCTTTGCTAGCAATATGCTTGGTCAACAAGAAAAATTGATAAATATTGAACTGCAAGGTAAGATTTGGACCAAACTATGTATGCACTGATTGTTGAAATATTATCAATTATAATGATTGATCAGAGATGTTTTATCATGATTGATTTGGATTGAAGATCACTCCAACCATTTAAACCACGACTTCTTTTACTTCCAGATCGGAACAGGTACAACTGATACACACCAAATTATTAAACGGAGATTTGGAGGAAAAGGACGTAGGTATATTAGGATGGAACATCAACAAATTGTAATTTTATTTCTTAGTTAGCTTGTATGATATAAACTAAATAGATATACATTTGTAAGTCTATCGTTTGTGAGATTTTTTCAACACTTTCCCGCCTATGAATCACCCAGTACCTCTGCATTCAGACGGACACTAATTCCTGCAAAAAATCCTGCGGATTTAAGAAATGCCTCCGACAACAAAACGCGCATTCTGTTTACAATTGCATAGCTTACAAGTTCCCAAAGAACTAATCAGGTTTGGCACGCCATCCGCGCTTGTACGTTATAATAGTACGCCAATATAAACATCGTGAATTTTATAAATATATAATTTCACATATTTCGACAGCACTTACACTAAAGAAGGTCTTACAGTAGAAGTTAAGAAGTTATAATTATTGAAATGCAGTTTTAAATCGGTTCATATTCACAACCAACACAAAAACCTTTCACGTTTAATACCTTACACCATCATCTGAGAACGCACCATCAAAAAAACAATTGGTGGAGAAAGGTATAGGACAAATTTGTAACAGTGCACGCGGGTTTTTTTAACCTTAGGATTCAAAACATCTATTTATTGCTTTCTGTCTATTTTCTTCTCTCTCCAATCGCTTTTCTAATGATGGTCCAAAAAGTGCTGTCTTTTGCTGAAGTTCGCACAGACTTCAAACCTATTCAAATTTAAGCCAAAGCAATTTGGCCCAGCCGAACATAGCAAACGTGTTCCAAAATTCAAAACAAGAATAGATTGTCATCCTCATTGTTAATTCCTTCTTATTAGTTAGTGCTCATACATCGTTTAGTAATAATCCAGATATTTAACCGCTCAGTAGTCGCTCCACAGCGGCGTTGACGTCACCGCCTGTTGCGATCAACGCTAAATAAGAAAGATGAAATTAATTGTTTACCAATTTGATAAATACTCAAACTTTCCTTCGGAACTACAACTGAACTGAATTCATAGAGTTGGAGGAGTTTGAGAGCGAAGAAAAGAGAGTCTAGTATTTGTTTTTTTGTATTTGATTTTAATTTCAAAGAAGTTCAGGATCATTTAGGAAGAAAAACAGTGATCGATGTGTGGCTTTTTCTCACCTTGCAAATTTCGTTCACGATCAGAGAAACCCATGGCGGTGAGTTGTTCAAGTTGCTGACGAAATCTTGTTTCAGGGGCCGCTGTCTGTGAGGTGAAAACAAAGAGCGAAAGATAAACCGGATGCACGCATGACAACCTCATCAGGTCAGAGATTTTAGACGGTGAAATAAAGTGAACTTTGCGGATAAACATTGAGAACATACTTGGCTCATGGAGGCAGAAAAGAACTGATTCATCAAAGCACTCATCATCGGATCGCCTGCGGCTGTAAAAGACAGATTTTATAAACCATAAGATTTGAGGAGAATGAAATATTTCTTGTTACCACAGAACGGAAGATTATGTTGTTACAAGTCTCTCAGTTTGTTAGTTCGTTACCAACCTGGTGTGGTGTTGGTACTCCCAGTGCTGCTGCTCGTCGTGGTGGTGGGTGTAGAAGAGGGGGTGGCGGTGGTGGACGATGCCCCTGTGGTGGTCGGGGGAGTGGAGCCCACCCCTGGAAACAGTCCAGGGACTTCAGACTGCAAGCTTTGCATTCCTTGTTGAACCTGCATCATTGCTTGCATGGCTCGCGGGTTGCTTAACATCTGCTGAAACCTGGGATCCCGCATCTGTTGCATCATCATTGGCATCTGAGATGCCATCTGAAAGGAACCAGAGTGATGTTATGTATTGATCAGACAGTCATGCCACGAGAGGATGAATCTCCACGAAAACTCGACTGCCGCCTTCGACTACAAACAAGTTCGACTTTTGCCTCAAAATACCTGTTGTTGCAGTTGTGGGTTTCCGGCAAATAATGGATGGCTGCTGAGAATCTGAAAATACGCAAAGAAAAATAGAATGACATATTCGGTCATGAGTCGTTCATGGAAGAAAATAAAAGTTGAGGACAGGTCACTAAAAATACTACACAGGAAGAGAAGAGTGGTTTGACAAGTCCAGTAAAACATAAAGAAGGAAGATCAGTACTGACAGAGTTCATGATATCAAGAAAGGAAGTCAGTACTTACGGAGTTCATTATCTCAGGGTTCTCGGCCATCTGGCCCATCATACTCTGGACGTACGGAGATGACATCATGTTCTGCATTAGTTCTGGATTCTGCGTCATCTGATCCATCACGCTTTGCATGCCGGGTGTTTGAAACATGGATGAAAAAGGAGACGCGCCAGCGCTGAATTAGAATAATATGCGGTGAGAAACTTGTCAATTGATAGAGAACGCATAAACAAATTTGATTGCTCTTGAATGGGGGAAATTTGCGATGATTTCTGGCCGTTTTGAAACCGAGTTAAGATCCATATACTTGACACAAAACTAGTGCGATATTAGTGCGATACTGGCTTGGCTAGTTGAGTGTTAATCATGGCTGAATGTGCAAACGGTTTTCGCGTTTGTTTTCATGCCAAAACGAATTCAAACAGCGTCAATTTACAATAGAAGTTAAAGCTAATTTAACATATTAAGCATATTTTTACTTGACGGCGTGGACAGAGTGTCTAAAACACTAAAATGGACAAAAATGAACTTGTAAACGCTCGAAAACGACGTGGTCGCATAGCTTAATTAATAGGTTTTTTTAGCTTGAGTTTCAAGTCACCTGGTGGTCGTTGTGGAACCCGGGGTCGTGGAACCAGCAGATGTTGTGGTAGCCGTGGGTGTGAACGATCGTGTAGGGGCCTGGCCACCACCAGAAGGCGGTTGCCATGGATTTGGCAATGGTGACGTGTTCTCCGTGCCAACCTGGGGGTCATTGTTGCCTTGTTGTTGAGCACTATCGTTTGCTGATGAGTTCGGAGGTGTTCCTCCCAGCAGGGCGGCGAATGGGTTGTTTTGGGCATTTTGAAACTGTAAGAGACAATGTCAATGAAAATTGAGAATTCACGTTGTTTTCCTTGTGCCATTGTCCTTACCACAAGGCCTCATTTCGGTGTAAAATAAAACGTATCGCATTGAAACCTGGTTCTCGTATGTCACCATCGACGGTCGGCGATGGTCATTCACGGTTAACACTTGCGAATGAAGTGCTTTGTTATTTTGGATCATTTTTTTCGTCGCTGGTCACCAACAATACATCGCTTACTGTCGATGACATATGAGAACCAGGCTTTAAAGTAAGGTTTTACTGGTGAAGACAAACACCATACAAAAAAAAGCATCGCAAAAATGCTGTTGTGCGATCATAACACGCACTTGCTCTGTGGCTGCATTCATCATCGGCTCCTGAATATCTGTGTACATTCTTCTAAGAGCATTAAAACCACCAGGAAGACTCTGAAAATGAGATTCAAGTCAGTCACATTTTCCATATTAATCATAATTTACATCAGTTCACTGTGCTGTATACCACAATAGTTTTAAAATTCTCACAGCTTGATGGTATAAATGTTCTGTACATGTCCTAGTGTTGTTACATACATATGTTGGACTTTGCTATTGATCAGTGTTTGTTGTAACAGCATTGCAAAAGAACTAGACTGCTGGTAATATCTGCAGAGCTATAAGCATGAGTCATGCAGCTAGCTTGGCCAGATCTATCGCAATGGTTACCTCCAGATTACTCAAAGCTCTGTCCTGGTTCCGCATCATTTCTTGCATAACCGCAGGATTGCGGGCCATTTCTAAAGTCTGCAAGGAGTGGAAAAAGCCAAGACATTATAATTGTAGTAGAACTGTGTTCCTGATCAAATAGAAAATCTTAAAGCATGTTAACTTTAAATACTGAAAGCCTGTGGCATCCTAGTACAGGGTGTCACAAAATAGTTAAAATACCCTCAGTAATGGAGGTGACTTCATTCAAATATTTTATTGTCATGTTACCTACCTGTCGCATTAAATCTGGATTGTTTAATATGTGAGAAATTTCAGGGCTCCTCTGAAATACAAAGAATATACCATTTTTAACACCAGAGATATGCTTAGAAATTGTTTTGATATATTTTTTAAATCTAACCTCAACCAATTGTTGCATTTGTGGATTACTCATAATCATCTGTTGAATAAGTTCTGGATTTGACATCATACTCTGAAAACATTTTCAAGTATATGCACTTAATTGAGGGAGGTAAATAATTAAGTGAATAGGAGAATTTATCACTTAGTTAATAATGGTTGATGATGATGACATCCAAGATTCAACTTAATAAATGAATATAAATGGTACAAAACAGCCTTTCTTTGTCAACTGCTAACTGTTTCTTTGTTTTGTCAAAACTTGAAAAAATAACGAACGATTTCCATAAAGTTTGAATATTTATTTATTTACAAGTAATACCTGAACCAACGGATTCTCAAACATTTGTTGCATCATTTCAGGATTATTCATCAACTTGGTAATAAAAAATAGTCAAGTTATATACAAATATAATACAATTAACAAAAAATATTTTGTTGGTTAATCGAACATCCTGAATGCTGACCTGTTGCTGTACTTGCTGCATATCACCTGAAATGAAATAATTGATAATGTAAAAAAACATTTATGACTTGGGAAATAAATTACCTTGACCTTAGCTTTTATATAGTAGATAAAAATGTTTACAGTAAAACTATGTCCTTGAGCATTATTGAGAACACATTACCCATTCCCATGCCAGTAGGGAGCCCACCAAACAGAGGTTGTGGTGTTGTTGTTGTGGTGGTGGATGTCCTTGGGGCATCGCTGGTTGGCTGTGTGGACGTTCCTGTTGATGTTGGCTATAAAATAAAGGTTCTTCAATATGAGTTTTCAAACTAAACACAGTTCCACCTGTACCATAAAACCACACTTTTCACTCTCATTAAATTGAATTTTGACAAAAGCAACTTTGATGGAACCATTTAATGTTCACACTTTACCTGTCTAGTGGCATGTTCGGCCGCCTGTTGTTGGGCCTGGGATAAAATAAATTAACAACAATAAATACCTGGGAATGACTAGAACATTTCATACTTTCAAACTTTCAAACACAAGTTTACGTAACATACTTTATTTGCCGACTTTATCACTAAGTGCACTGTCAGTCCATCTTTAATTCCTAAAACAATTATGGGTTTATTTCAAAGACAGAATTGCTATAAGCTAAGCTGGTTTAACTCACAGCATTCATTCACAAAGAAAAATCAAATGGCATTAGATGGAGTGGAATATTTGTATTAAGATCTTGAAATGCAATGGGATATCACCAATCAAATGCAGTTCATATTAGAAATGAGAGAACATTCAGATATCATTTATGCAATTATTTGTTTACATTTTAGGTTAAAATAAATATAAATTTGGATTTTCTATGCATAAATACATGCTCCGAAGTATCCATTAATACATAAAGGATGTAGGATAATAGTTTTTGACATTTCGTCAATATATCTTTTACAATATGGATTTTCATAAATAAACCTAGTATTTAAAGATGAATTAAAAGATGTTTCGCCTGGAAGCTTATAATGTGTCGGAACAAAGACGATCAGTTGCCTGAAGGATATTTAAAAATCTAACACCAGAACCTTAATTCGTAAAACATAATCCTCCCTACCGTGTTGTTCTAGATTGTCCTCATCCTTCAAGATTTTCCCAGCAAATATCAGGCACAACTGCGCCACTGGCGTGTCATTAAACTTGGGTGAAATCTTTTCTTTGAACTAAAGAGAAAATCATACCAAATTCAATGTAACTTTTCACCGATCGGTGCTTGTGTTGAAGATCAACATCACAGCTACCTCGCCGATCTTGGCATTCTCTTCGATCTCGATCGTCTCCTTCTTATTTGTTGTTTTTACAACGACCTTTATTGTATGAGGTCCCTCGTCCGCCATGTTTTAGTTTCATAATAATGACCTCAGCGAATACTTTTCAATTCACCCGATTCGCATTGTCTGACGAACCGATAAAGACGCCGGTTCTTCTCCTGGGGGAACTTGCATTGGCACGCCCTCGGCCCTCCGATCACTCCTGGCTCCCCCCACCTCCTTTTAAAATTCCTCATACCCTCCCACACCCTGATTTGCTTACTCACAGCAAAAAAACGCTTACTGGGTTTCACGGATTTGTTCACTTTGGTGTCCGAATGCACAAACGCAAACTTTAACGGTTGAACGCATTCTGTGCTTATTGAAAGAGCATAAAGCTGGTGTATATATCCTGGATTATTGCATGCATTTAAAGCAAAGTTGAATCCAATTACTTCAACAATACGTTCCCTACTTTAAACCAGGAAAGTGCGAGAAGATTTGATAGACATTAAGCTTTGAAGATTAAGGCGTTTTGCTAGTCCAAAGAGTACCAGATATTTTGCATGGTCTGAAAACTTAATTGTTTGCGAAACAATCACCAAATGTTACATCTGCTGGTGTTCATCGGAGTGAAAACGGCGTGGAAAATACGCACTTTCAAAGACTGGTGACAAGGAATTAATTACTATTAGCATTTAGCAGAAACTGCAATTTGACTCACTTGAACTGAGAAGTTGGTCGAAAATTTGCTTTAAATCTTTCCATTTCGACAAGACGCAAGTTTTGTTTCTTTGGAGATGTGAAATATTGTTTATCAGCTCGAAAAAAATGCCGCGTCCACCTCCAGTTGTGACAGGGATCAGTCCAAAGGAGGGGAAACCAGGAACGAAAGTCATCATCAGAGGGGAAAATTTTGGGGCGAGGGCATCAGATCTCATCGGTATGAACGATTGTCATATTGAAGACGTTTGTAGCATAGTTTTGAAATAGCTGGCACTTGTGGATTGCTTTGAATGTCGGACTGTTTTCTATGTACACGTGTAAATGTATTTGTCAAAGCTATTTATGTTGGAACATATTTGCGTCTACAGTACATGTTATTTTAATAATCTCATATGCCAATCAATGATTTTTAAGATGCTACTTGAATGTACAATGAAACTTGAGGGTTTTAAATGCTAGGTTTCTCTATCAATATTGGTAGAGAAGTTATCAATTATGCATGACTAAGTGAATTTAAAATTTTAAGTAATTTGACCCCACCTTTGGCCCTATACACCTACTGGTATCAATGTAGCAAATGCAACCATCTTCATTATCACCTCATGTGGTTTGGCCACAACTTGTGGTTGATCATGCTGCAAAACAAATCATATTCATTGTTTTGATAACTATGTTTTTATTCCAGGCCTCACAATCTGTGGTGTGAACTGTTTGTTGTCGGCAGAATGGAAATCTCCGAGCAAAGTCATAGCAAGGACTGGCCAAGGTGACGGGAAAGGAAACGTAATCTTGAAAACAAAGGCTGGAGGCGTAGGGACATGTACAGTGCAGTTTAATGCAATACCATTCAATCCAGGTAAGCTTCAATATGCTAGTCCATTCTACATACAAGTTTATACAACATGTGGTTGATTTTTACCTCTGATATCTAGGTCCTCTTGAGGAGTCTGCTATTTGGATTGACGAGATACCACCTGAAGACTTACACACAAGCAGTCATGGTCACTCAACAGTTAAGTCATCTGGATATCAAGATCCCCTTGGAATCATCAAAGAGCCGAGCAGGTATTCATAATATGGGCATGAGTATTTATATATGTATTGATATATACTAGTTATGTACTGTATAATTCATTTTAATTGATGAGGTTAACTGGGTGCATTACTTGTGAGTTGGCAAGCTTTTGAGTAATCTTTAAGTTACATGTGGCTTTGCTTAAATGTGTTTTGTTTCAGGAAAAGACATGTTGAAGAGAATATCGATGAATTTTATCCTGAAGGTAAGTTTAAAAGATGCTACAGTTTATCTGAAACTTTCCATGAGTGCATTTTGAGTTTTGTTCTTGATTTAGGCTGCGAAAACACAATGAGTGTTGATTTCATACCAGCTGCATTTCTTCTAAGAAAGCACTCTGATGTCAAGTAAGCAAAATGTTAAACTTTTGTGTAAGAATACCAGTCTTCTGTTTGTGATATTACCCTCGACAAGTTTATCTTTCAACTGTTTAAGGTTTAAGCAACTGAAAGAGGGTTTGGAATATCTGAAGAAAGAAGAATCAAGAAGAGCTACTGGACCACTTGCATTTGTCAAAGAAAATATTGCAACCTTCATTGATGCAGAAGAAACTCTAACTGGTGTGTTTGAAGCAACCTTTTTTGTTGTGCCTTCATCTTAACCAGTGGCTTTGAAGTTGCCAAATTGTCTGCAGCTAAATATTTTTGTGATGTATTTAAATCAGATGATTGAATCAAGAGGTCTTTTTTTAGCTGTTCAAAGGGAAATGCTGAAAGATCAAAGTGGAAGCAAGGGAGGCTCATTGGCAGAAGCATTAGGCTCGTATTTGCAAGGTAGGCAGCATATTTTACAGTGAATTGCACATCTCTTCATATGCATTTGTACATGCAACATTGTGTTTTACAATCCATAATGACACACATGCAATGATATTATTATTAGGTGCCAGTAAACATGCGGATGCACTATTCCAAGATGTCTTACGACGCAAAGATGATGCTGACACTATGAGAAACGCCTTGAGTGTTTTACATCGATTTAGATCATTGTTCAACTTACCACAAATTATTGAGAAGAATATAAACCAGGTGAATGTTTTTGATGGCGTGAAATATTAGTATGATTTATTGTGGTTATGGTGGCTGTATTGTATTGTGGCAATAGTAATATTGACTGATTATGGTAACTACACTGGTGGTAGTGGTGTTTCTGATGATGGTATCTGTTTTTAAAGTACTGGACATGGTGGAGAGTTATGGTGGAGAGTTATGGTAGTTTTGATGGTGCTAGTGATTATGGTTATTTGGTAATGGGTATGGTAGTTATTGGGTTGGTATCACGGAAAGATCAAGTCCTGCAACTTTGCCCTCTTTCCTTGCAGGGTGACTATGAAATGGTTGTCAATGATTACTCAAAGGCCAAGTCGCTTGTTTCAGATAATGCACCAATTGTTTTCAAGAAAGGTACCATGCCTATCAGCACCTTCACTATGGGATTCAGCTGCTTGTTTTTCAGAGCATTCCTGTAATCCTGAGTTTAGAATCACACCTTTTTTATGTGTTTTAGTTTTGGAAGAAGTGGAGAGTAAAGTTGAGAAATTTCGAAATCAGCTACGAAGTTGTTTATCATTTCTACCAATACCCTTGAAGGATATGAGGAGATATATCAAGTACGGCAAGTTATTCACATTATTTTGTATGTGGAGATTGAATACTTATGTCCAAGGACACTTTGCCCACAGGCAGCCTTGCAAACAATGTTGATAATCAGTTGGTTACATCATTGTATTAATGTACAATGACGTAACCTTACAAATGAACATTGTTTGCAAGGCTGCATATGGTTTGTGTTGTCTTTCTACCATCAGATAGATCTTTCTACCATGGAATCAGGATATATTTTTTATGCATTTCTAGATACGTGATTGGTTTAGACTCTCCCGGCGACGTGGCCTGGGACTGTCTTATGAACCAACATAAATGGCTTTTAGGTTTGCTGGAAAATTGTCGCTCGGACCATCTGAGTAAAAGTACGTTTATGCAAAACTTGCTTTTCTTGCGCAACGTGAAACTCAAGATTTATCGTTTATAACGACTTCATTTAGAGGTCCGTGGTGCTGGAGCGTTACCTGTGCCATTGTATCATAGCCCCAGACGAGAGTCTGTGGATAATTACGGAGGTAATGTACAAACTCTGTTTGGCATTGGGCTCTCTCTGTGCAACATTTCAAATGAAATACGTTGAATATAACAAGCTGAACTTGTACGTTTGGTATACCTACATGTACATTTGTTAATACAAAAATGTTCCGTGGGAAAGAGCCTATTTGACAATTCAACCAAATACTCCATTCAGCAGAGTTCTTGTACCAACTGATAAGAGACCTTAGGTCGAAATATGTTGACATTTTCGATTATTTCTGTTAGTATTGAATCGTAAAAACATGTACATTTTTATCAGGCTGGGGGTCTAAAGGTCACGCTCCTCTGCAAGCAGTCATCTTTGTTGAAGAACTGTCCGACATCTTAGCTGAGAGTTTGCCTGATCTTTGGAAACTTGGAAACGAATACATAAGTGGAAGCCTGTTTCATAAGGTTTGGGAATCAAGTTTTAAAAGTTGGTTCTGACAAGGTTTAATACCTTTCAGTTATTTTCCAAATTAAAACTACTTTTACTGGTACATCAAATTTTCCGTTTCGTAACAGGAAAATATGGACCCTGAGAAACCATCGTTTGTTCCGCCCGATGAAAGAAAACTCGAATTTCAGGTACACCGTTTAGTTTCCTTTGTGAAGCTCTGAGAAAAACAGTTTTAAAAAAATGCATTAAACTAACCAGAGTAAACTAATTTGATTTTATGTTTCTCTACCTCAAGACAATGGTGGGTGAGATTACTGGGCGGTACTTAGACTACATCGAAGAAGTATTCGTGGGCGTTTACAAGCGTGAATCAGACAAGAAAACGCAATGGAGTTGTCGCCGTGAGGAAATTACTCCGTGGTTGCCAAAATGTGTCAAATTTGTAAGGTAAGGTCGATGTGGTTGGCAAAGTTATGGTGTACACTTTACCCACCCCCTCCGAATGTTTCCCTGTTAGGTTATAGAGTCAATAACAGGATTGTTTTCTCACCAACAGGCGATGTTATAGTACGCTGAAAACTCAATGCGGTAAGACTTCTGTTGAGGCATTGAAGCCAGTCCAGTTATCATTAGAAGATCTGCAGTTTCTTTCCACTCGATGTCTTATGGAGAACGCCGTCGAAGGTGAGACGACCTTTGGAGTTTGGCCGACCTCAGGTTCTACTGAATGTTGACAGCCTATTGATATCAGTTTAGATCAGAGTCAGTCGTTCAAGCATGCTTGAATCTTACCGCAATTGATTCCTTTAGAAATCAGAAATCTTTATCAAAACGAGGATTGGTCCAAGGAAACGATCAGTATTGGTTGTGTGATAACGATTTTGGTAAGTACATTTCTTATTCAATTCAATTGCATTAAAAATTTAAACACACCGCGGGTAAAAGGACTGAACTTCGCAAGTTCATACTGTGAGATCAATTGTCAATCTATATCATTTTTGGTCGCAGAATTACGCCCCCCCCCCTCCTGGAGAAATCCGTACCCCCTGCGTCAGACGTGCCTGAGCCCTCCCCCCCCCTTCATGAAAGCTGTAATCAGTCTTCTCTTCTTTTTCCAGCCAATAACGTTCGAGACAATAGTCATTGATATTCTTCACGTGCTTAAAGATGTCATTGGCGAGGCAACATTCGGGGGGGAGAAGGGTGAACAGATCCAGCGGGAGATGAACGACCTCTTTCTCAAAATGCTTCAGGTTTGCAGATGACATATAAAGACTAAACTGAGCTTCATTCGCATTGGATAACTAAACCTAAATGTAACTCGGCTGGGCTCAAAACCACAAGACATCGTAGTTGTTTCACCTCTGCAAGTTATCCTAGTTTTTATATTAGTTCTTTGTCCTACAGCTTGCTAAAGTTTTAGTTCATTTTCTTAGCCAGTACACTTTAGCCCCTATGTTGATTTAGTTCTCATCTCTCATACTTTACGAACGATTTTATCAACTTTAAGGCTGTGATTGAAAGTTTGGAGCACCTTGGCTTTCCATCCGACGAAGAACTCGACAAGATATCTGTGTAAATAATCCTTCTTTTTATACCAAGCTTGATGGATAGTTTCATCATCCAGGCTTTGTACAGCCGGTCGATGATAATGTAATACGACGTAGTGGTAAATGTAATGGTCACTATATGATTTTGATATTCGTACGTGTGATATTCGAGAAATCAAAATATGTTTTTCAGTTCAAGTCGACATCACTATGGAAGTTTTGATTCTAAAGAAGACGTTCACTCGATGAGCTCGATTAACTCACCTGCCCGGGTAATGTTGGTTCATTTCGTTTCTACGTTGGAGCTGTACGTGAAGCTACAGGCCTCACAAAAGAAGGAAGACTAAAGGTTTTCTTTGTTCTATAGGATGAACGTTTCCTGATAGTTCTTAGCTGTTGTTCCTATCTTCGTGACAGTGTTCTGCTGAAGATTGTCTCAACCTATCAAAGTAACGGACATGCTGGACTTGAAAATTTACTTCCAGTGAGTAGATTGCTGATAGTATTGATTCATTCGTGGTCCTCGTATATTTCGGCGTTTGGTGTCTGTACATTCGGATACCAAAGCCCAATTCTCTGTGTTCACGCTATTGAGGACCTGTAAGGATCACCTCTCCAGTGTAACTACAGGAGAAAACCTAAACTAAACTAACTTTATTTATACTGAATAGCTCTATCAGTTCTAAACTGTTCTTCCTAGAGGTCCAGTAAGGATCATCTCTTATTGATCCAGTGTAACTACAGGAGAAAACCTAAACTAAACTAACTTTATTTATACTGGATAGCTCTATCAGTTCTAAACTGTTCTTCCTAGAGGTCCAGTAAGGATCATCTCTTATTGATCCAGTGTAACTACAGGAGAAAACCTAAACTAAACTAACTTTATTTATACTGGATAGCTCTATCAGTTCTAAACTGTTCTTCCTAGAGGTCCAGTAAGGATCATCTCTTATTGATCCAGTGTAACTACAGGAGAAAACCTAAACTAAACTAACTTTATTTATACTGGATAGCTCTATCAGTTCTAAACTGTTCTTCCTAGAGGTCCAGTAAGGATCATCTCTTATTGATCTAGTATTTTGTAGCTTTATCAATACTTAGCTGTTCTAAAAGAAAAATAACTTCATTCTTGTTCTTGCAGTCATTTAAAAGCGAGATTACGACACTCGAAAATCGAATATTCAACGCTTATATTGAACTGAAAAGCGAGCCGCTGGTTGCCAGAATCAAGACGGGAATGTTTGCTGGAGATTTCAGCTGGGGTCGATGTTTACAGCCAACTGATGCACGTGATTATATCAAAGCAGTCATTCTTGAACTTGTTATAATACATGCACAGGTTCGTCTCGGGAAATCTTGGTTATTTGCGGGACTGGAGGGGATACAATGAGTACACTAATGTACATATCGCCTAACGCTGTTAGTACGAATACAAACAATCGCTTGCATCATCATTTATGACGTCATTCTTCTTGTTTCTAGGTGTTTTCTGTCTCGGCTTCATTTGTGCCCAGGGTTCTCTCTCGGTTGACGGAAATCCTGACTGAAGCAATTTACAAGTTGTTCAAAAATTTCAAGGGGAAATACACTACGAACGGAATTGTTCAGGTAAAGAATGTTCAGTGTTGTTGAAAATCAGGTAATGTGGAGTGAAGATTGATCTTTGCCTGGCATTTTATGGGGTAATATCAGTGATAACTTGGTATGAGATTTGAATTAGTATCTTCTTTCCTTTTGCAATAATGATATTGCGTGGTGATTGCATTGGCAGGTTTTGTTAGTACTCTAATACTCAACAGCTTTCATTCGTCTTCAGGCTCGCCTGGAACTAAAAGCACTTGGAGAAGCACTGGGCAACTGGCTCACAGAGAAATCAAGGTATTTTATGCCAACAGAGCAATTCAGGAAGTTCTGAATCCTTTACTCACAAACGCCTAATCTCTCATCCACAAACAAATCTACTAATCACGAATACTTGTTTTTCAATCTTAAATCTTCCGTTCAATTCATCCTCTAATTTTTCACAAACATCATCTACTCCTCAATAAACAAAACTATTTTTCTTCCACAAAACACTTCCTAATCTCCCACCTGCACATCCCTTTTAATTTCCCACTTACAAACACATTTTTACAGATCTTTTCTAGATAATTCTTTCCGTTGCATCCCTGCAATAAGTAAAGAGGAACACCAAAAGTAAGACGAACAAATATTGATGAATATATTTCCCTACTTGAAGTATATTATCCAAGTTATTCATAAACATTTTACGTCCGTTTTTTGTAGAGAAATTGACCGACTCTTAGAGGAATTTAAGGCAAAAACGAACTTTCAACTTTTATGTTTTGAAGAAAATGACTCTCTGGATACGTGACGGATAAAAAATGAAGCAAATAAGTTATGAATAACGAGTTATCTGGATTTATCGCTTTTAATTTAGTGCATTAAACGACTACCTAATTCGCCCTATTCTATGCATTTTTCAAATTTGTACATATCTCAGCATCTAAAATTATTTTTGTACTTTATAGAACTCTATCAGAATTGAATTTTAAGAAATTAAAGCGTTTATGAATGCGTTGAAGCTTGTGTAATGTTTATCAGAGACCAGTTATGAGCTATTCAAAGCCAGGTTAGCGCTTACCCTGGGGTAAATTTTAATAAAGTATTTTAGTCTATGTGCTTCTGAAACACTGTTCCTTTTATAACTTTAGAAAATATTATTTCTATCGCTCCAGAAAATATTGATGAAAAAAGATATTCAACTTTGTAAACAAGCGATTAGAAAAGATTTCATGTAAAGATTTGCTTTAACCCAGGGTTAAACTAACCAGCATTGATCAAGTGGCATTGATGTGCATGATTTCTTTACCCGCTTTTAAAGTCGCGCGCAATTGCGCCATTTTTTTCGGCAAGCAGGCGGCGATAAACGTCAGTTAACGGCGAATCGGGGTGACACTAATTATCGAAGTCGTGGCACTTGTTTCAAAATGTTGGACCTTTGAAATTTCTTGAAATATTTGTTGTTTTTCGCGAGAAATGAATTCATTTAGTCGATTTCCACCCTACGTCATCGCAGCTGCAGTAGTCTTCATGATAACATTTTATCACATTTTTAACCTTCGCAGTAAAAATTACAATCTTGAAAGGGGTTCGACTATATTGAAGGTGGGTGCCATAAAATTCTTTGTCAATTCAATCGTTTAGCGAAATATTTCCGGGCTATTATGTATCCAAAGCTGCTGATCTGTAAGCCAAACGTTTTAAAGCGAAAACGTTTTGTTTGCACTTGCAATATATGTCCTAAGTTTTCTGGATGTTTGGTTGACAGGAAGCGTTGAAAGTCAGCAAAGAGAAGAACAAGGTGCTTGTCAAAGATGCTTTGGAAAAACTCGAAAAGAAAGATATCCGCATCAAACAGTTGGAAGAGGAGAACTATCTGAAACATACAAAATTGGGGGAAAAGCAAACGAAACTGGCAGAAATGAGATCTGAGCTGGAAGGAAAAAACACCGATATTAAAAAGCTTCATAAGTTGGCTGTATGTTTGCATTCCAGAACGTTAATTGGGGAACTATATCTTGATATATTCAGTTCTGCCTGGTGGATTTCTTTTGTGAGCTATTGCACTTATAAAAGAAAATTAAAGAAATCTGTCAGGCAGAACTGAATATATGAATATTCACCCCCCCCCCAATTATCTTTCTAGTTACCGCACTGTCTTCACAGCATATATGGTAGGGGCTAATAAGGCAATCAGAATGAGGTAGACAGAAGGTTGTTATGGATCCTGGTTTGCCACTGAGTACAAAATGTTTTTCACTAAAGTTGTGCATACCATCAGTCCTTAATCCTTTGTGAACATACATAGCCTGGGAAATTCAATTGATTATTGTGTTTTAGGATGAGCATAAATCAGAAATTATAGCACTCAGTGAATCTGTATCCAATTCCAAAGATACGCTGACTAAACTATCAGGTATTGTCTGTCAGTCTGTAGTAAGGTACAACTTTATGGTTGGGTGTCTGGCAAATAAAAGACTGGGTATTATGGTATGATCAAACATAGTTGGTGTAGTTGCAATCTACAGAGAATTTTTGCAATATTTGTACCGATATTTGCAGTAAAAGCTGACCACTTGATGGTGGACCATAAGAAATTGAAAAAGGAGAATACAAAGCTTACGGAGGAAAATGAGAAACTTCAAGATGATCTGTAAGATTTGGATAGTTTTTTTTTATAAGCACTGATGGTTTTAAATTTTTGAATGGCAATAGCAAATAGCATAATGCTTTAGGAGGTATCCTCCTGCCTGTATGCCCAAACCCTTGAATTATCTTCTTATCAAATGTTACAGAGAGAAGGAACAATCTAAAAGAGCATCTCTTGATGATGACTCGAAGAGATTGAAGAAAGAGAACAACATTCTTCGTACAAAAGTTGGTGATTTGACTAGGAAAAATGAAGTTATCCAAGAAAGCATAAAACAGAAAATCAAAGGTAGGGTTTTGACTTTGCAAACCAGGGCAATGAAGAAGAGATAAAGACCCTGGCTTGTGCACGAGGTTGGACGATTCCTTTGTAAAAAGCATGGTCCTTTGTGAAAAGCATTTACTATGGAATGAAAAAAATGCCTTAAAACTTTTACAGCTGGTTTTTCGCCTGAAGCTGGATATATTCTAGTGTGTGTTTGTTGTATCATTAATATTTAGAAAGTTATGCTGCCCGCAGGGTGATGACTCATCAACCACACGGACAAGAAACTGAAGAACAACCCACACATAAAGTATCTGAAGATTTAACACATTTACGTAACAAATTTCGTCATCGTACTGATTCCAAGAGGCCAAAAGTTGCAAAGAAGAGTCACAAAGATTCCGAACAACCAACAACTTCAAGCAGTTTAGATCAAGAGATAACCACATCTGCCTTGGACAAAAACCAGAGTGCATCAGAAATCATGCCTAATAGGAATGTTTCGAGAGTTTTAGTAGAGAATTTAAATGATAGAAATATCTCAAAAGTAAAGAAGTATTCTGACAGTGTGACTGTAGCAAGAGTCATGGTAGATAATGCTGAAAACCTGAACAAAACAGATAGTGCATCGGAAATCATGCGTAATGGGAATGTCTCAAGAGTTTTAGTAGAAAGTTCAAATGATAGAAATATCTCAAAAGTAGAGAATTATTCTCACAATGTGACTGTAGCAAGAGGCATGGTAGATAATGCTGAAAACCTAAACAAAACAGATACAATTTCTACAAGAAAGAGCAGCTTTATTGGGAAATCTCGAGATGGTTCTAACATTGATTTAACCAATGAGCATTTTGCTCAAAACAAACCCATCGAAAACGTTCAACAAGGAGCAAATGAAGAGGAAAACTTTGAAGATGGAGGCAAGAACAGACAAATTAGAAGTGAAGAAAAGGAGGGAGAAACTAATGCTGATAGAGATGGTGTGTTAGAAAATGAAAATCCAAAGAGAGAAAGCCCAAATACAGACAAGGAGGAAAAGTTTGAAGGGCAAACAGAAGGTGAGGACATGAACAAAGGGAAGGAAGGAAGACTGGAAGAAAGTCGAGTCAAGGATGAAATGATTGAAGGAAAAAGAGAAATTGAAAAGATGAAAAGGGAAAATGAAGGAGGAGTGAAAGAAGGTAATTCTGACATGGGAAATGGAAGGTATGCTCTACCAGTATTTCCTGAAATTGATGATAAATTAACTATGAACATAAAAACTTTGCAGTCACCTAAAGTGTATGGTGAACATTTAGATGATGATACTAAACAAAACACTGTCATTACTACTAGTAAAACTGACTCTTGATTAGGGGGGGGGGGTTGCTAAGGGGAAAAGCAGGGGGGGTTAGAAAAACCAAATTAGTTGACCAATCACATATAGATTAAACATAGTTCAAGTGTTAATTTATTTAAAGTATTAGTGGGTCGCACCATGGTTTTGTAATTTAGTGCACAAATGTTTATGACTCAATTTAAAACGACAATTTGTACCAACATACAGCAGTGTTAGTAAAATAAATAAATAGTAATACAAAAAAGTTACAAACTACACATGTCTAAATGATTTTACATTAAATGAAATCAAGCAGTTGATCAGAAAATGTTTGGAATCATAGAAAGTTTACATTGACTTTGTCTTTTCAAAATGTTTGGAATCATAGGAAGTTTACATTGACTTTGTCTTTTCTAGTCCATAATGCCAATTATGCTACAAAGTTTAAGTTAGCTTGCAAGTTCTCAATATTTATAAACACTTCATAGTTCCTAAGTACTAATTAACTTAATTATCATATAGATCAATCCACGTGAGTAAAACCAAGTTGTAATTTGTAGCTCACTAGTTGGATAACCGTTCAGCATGCTTTTTAGGACAACTGACCACTCTTTCGTTTGTTTCGAGACTGGGTTGGTACAATAGCCCTTGGAGCAGAAGCACTTGATTTGTTGGTTAATTGACTTGTACTAGCCCCTTCTTCATTCTGTGAACTTTTTGAATCATTGTTTACCTGTTAAGAAAAGTAAAATATGACAAACCTAATTTGGACAAAACATTTTTGTAATTTTTAAAAGAAAATTTACCGGTGATTTTGTGCTTTGTCGTTTGTAAGCCGATGGTGTTGTCTTCACCACACTTGTTTGCTGAAGTGGTTTTTGGACCAAAGATCTTCGTGTTTGGTCCGCAGCTGATGCACTCTTTCTCATTTGTTCAATTTCACTTTGTAGAGCTTGTTGATTCCTCTCTAAACCTGAATTGCAAAATAATTTATTATTAAATTATCTTTTGAAGGGTAAATTTAAATCTGCTGCTATCAGTTGCATCGGCATCTCAGCAGTTACTCTCAACCCCTAAAGAAAACATTACAAAACCCTGATGTTGTTTTTTTTTTATCAAACACAAATAAACTGTACCTGCTCTCTTCTGTTGCATTTCTGTTCTGTCTCTTTGCAAATTTGCCATATCTTGGTTACATACTTCTCTAGTATAGAAAGCATTTGTGAAATTGTTAAATTGTAAAATTGTAAATTATAAACAATATTACCATGAACTTACAGCTTATGCATTATTTGTGCAGTACTTTCATTCAAAGACCGAGTGGCCTCTTTGTGCTTATCACAAACTTTGATTGTCTCATCAAGTTGACCTAAGTAAAAAGTTGTGTTAAGGCACTTGCTGTTACATTTACTAATTAGTGATATATATCAATGGATTTCCAATAAAATTCAGATTTCAGAGTTCATGGTAATCCACCAAACTCCATGTACCTTGCATGGATTTTATTGACGACATTGCACTGTCATACTCTTGTTGTATGTTGGAGAGGTCCTTCTTACTGTCATCCTATATGAGAAAAATTCATGACAAAAGACATCTCACAAAAAAATTTCTATTTTTCTTAATTGCATTGAGCAAAGAATGCCAAAGATGTCAGTATATTTTGCTAATATCTAGCTTCAAATATTGCCTGATAATGATCAAAACGATTATTTTATTTTGAAAAACGGTCAATTGTTGCAATATTAAAATCAACTATCTAATTTGCAGCTATAAACAGAAATTCGGCTCTGCAGACAAGAGCTATGTAAACTTTGTTGCAATTTCTGTTCCATTTTGCAAATTTGTTGCAAATTACTTCCTAATTGTCGCAATATCAAGTTCTCTAACTTCTCTACTCACTGCTTTTTTCTTTAACGTTGTCAATTCTTCTGTTTTTTTATTCAACGACGTTTCCAACTCATTGTATTTGGCTGACATTTCTTCGTATGCTTCTTGTTTAGTGGCTATGGTCTTCTTTAATTGTTCATTTTGTGCGCGTTTCTCCTTAAATTTTCCTTCCATTTTTTCGGAAGAAACCCGACATTCGTAAAGTTTATTGATGAGAAAAGACTTTCTTATAACCAACTGTTTCTTTATCTTGTTTATTCTGTAAAGTTGGAAAGACAAGATGCATATTACAACAATAAGCCCGATGATAATAAACTTCGCTCGGCGATTTTTCGGTGTTTTGGTCTGTACGTTTGGATCCATATTTGCAGTCGTGGGTCAGGAACGGCGGTGGTGTTATAATTAAACGTCTTTAACAATTAATACTTTCTCTTTGAGAGCTCTAAAGCATCTGTAGCAGTAGACTCCTAACTCACTGCTTGTCGACGTGGAAGGAAGTCTATAATTAGAAAGCCATTGTATTGTGAATTGGTATGAAAGTTTGAATAGATGAATAATTTATGTTTTCTCAAAAAAAGACAGCACGTGAAATGGTCTAAACACCGTGCGAATATCGGGTTTCAATCGTTTCATCGTACAGTACAAACATTGGAAGTTACAGCAAGTTTTCACGTGTTTATATTACAAGAAGTTAATATTTTAATGATAGTAATACTAATTTATACGGCTGGGTAGGCTGTCAAGTGAAGTGTCAAAGCCTCAAAGGCGTTCCACGTGGAATTGACAGAGTTATATACAGAAAGCCTCAAAGATGTCAATTTGTTTGGTTTGTCAAGTGGATTTTGCAAGCATTTCACGTAAGTTTTTGATATTTTATGTTGTCGTCGAAGGGCAGCGAGTGATTAAAAGTTTAAAACTAATCGTGATGGTTGACTCCTTGAATATTGAAAAAAGTATTTGAAGTAGGCAAATATCGAAACCGATTGTTTCGGACAGCCCACCTTCGGACAAAACTTTACATATTATTAATTATATTTGTTACGTCATATTTAATTTATCTTGATTATACTTTGATTCAACTTGATTTGCTTGCAATAGGATATGCGTTGATTTGTAATTTGATTCGGGACAGTTATATATATTAGGATAAGAACAAAGAGATTTGAGTTTGATATTGAGCATATAGCTTGTGTATGAAATGAAATGAAGTGCTGTTTCAAGCCGTAGAGACCCACTCTTCAGGTACTATAATCTTTATTTGTAATGTGTTAAGTTCTTTATTCACCAATCAATAATATAATGTAATCTAATCAAACGCAATCATTTTAGAATATATAAATAAATATTACGAAAATCTCTACGGTGTTGAGCGTGGTTTTGCCCATTGGAAACAAGTTCTGAAGATTGGTTAACACGTTGAGATGTTCAAAAAAGGACTGTAGTACAATCTGGTGCCGAGATAGCAGGCGAATTATCGTGTTTATTGGGTGAAATCATGAGCGACGAAGAAGGCCAAAGTGGCGTAGGTGAAGTATCACAAGAGACGACAGTAACACATGGCGTTGGTGAGTTAAACCCGCAAATGAGCAAGATAAAGAAAAAGCGCGCACTTCAACGAGGTAAGATGACTCGAACCATTAATAGAGTAAGAAAGCTTATCGACCAGGGCCCGGAGATGCGTAAACGAGTCGAGAAAGAAATGATAGAAATCCGCAAGGACTTTGAGTTAGCGCGTGAGTGTCATGCTGAGTTATATGAGTTTGCTGACGAGAGTCAAACCTCAGCCATGGACAGTTGGGAAGATAATTTGATCAAAGACTTTTACGATATGGAAGAATATGTTGAACACTACATTCAGTCCGTTCCTGTGCCACAACACGCTAACACAACGTCTTCAACTAGTAAACAGATTTCGGGACAGTCAGCTAGCAACAGCGAAAATATAGCAGCCGGAGGCAATAGTGTAGAATTACATCAAAATCTCCCTGAGGAACTCTCGACCGTACAGATCGAAACCAGGGAAACGACTGAAAACAGCGAGTTGGTAATCAACAGTAGCGTAGATAATACGGAATTAGACAATCCGCGGAATTTAACTAGTGATTTAACAACGCAAAACCGAGAGCAAGTCAGCGCCGGCGGCCTTTCGAAACTCGATCTACAAGTTAACCTGTCATCGCGGCAATCCTTTGACAGTTGGATAGATGATTTAATTGAGTTTAAAGAAACAGTTCTGCCTACCGAAGTTTCAAAAATGTCTATAGCAGAAGCGTTATATAAACTAGAAGCTAGTAAAGATATTCCAAGTATAAAGTTAATGAAATATGACGGAGATCCACTTAAGTACGTTGAATTTATCGACCGTTTCAAATTGCTTATACACGATAAGCCACATCTGTCTGACGACGTGAGAATGGCGCAACTGAAAATGCATGTAACCGGAAAGGCTGAGCGTACTATAAGCGGATTAGGCTCACAGGGAACTATGTACGCAACAGCGCTCAAAATCATTAAGGAACAGTTTGGCCAGCCAAGCGTTATAGCAAGAGCGTATATTACAAAATTGATTGACGAGCAAAGGATCAAAGGTAACGATAGACAAGCGTTACAAGAACTGTCTTTCGACGTTGTAAATTGCGTAGCGACTTTGAAACAAATTAATCATTTATCAGACGTCAATGCTACCGACAATCTCCGCAAGATTATAATGAGATTACCCGATCACCTTGTTCATAAGTGGAAAGACGTCGCGTCCGGCCTTAGAGAAAGGGGGGAAAGCCCGTCCCTCGAGCACATCAGTAAATTCCTCAGAAAGCGCGTAAAAGCCGAATTCGATCCAGATTTTGGAGACATTTATAACTTTAGTTCTCGAAAGCCAGCCCGAGAAAGAAATGGTGTTTACTTTAATCAAGGGAACTCTAAGAAACCGTTGAAATGTTACGTATGTTCAGAAGAGCATCGTGTTGTTGAATGTCCGACCTTTTCTAATTGCACAACGGATCAAAGAATTCAGCACGCTAAAAATCAACGGTTGTGCTTTTCTTGTTTGAATCGCGGTCATCTGACTAGAGAATGCAAGTCCAAAACAAAATGTGGTATAGACGGTTGTTCTCGTTTTCATCACCAACGACTCCACCCGAACACCGAACCTCCTCCAGCACCACTCAGTTCAGCAACATCAGCACTCGATAGCGACAGTATTATGCCCGTTGTAAGAGTCCAATTTAAATCCGCAAACGGAAGAGTTCTAGAAGGGAATGTGCTCGTTGATAGCGGCGCCGGTACTACGGTAATTCGCAAGGATTTCGCGAAGTCACTGGGACTGCAAGGACAACGAGAACGAGTTGACATAGCCGTTGTTGGCGGCAAACGTATCACCCAGAATGACAGTAGAAGAGTCAAGTTTTGGATTTCGCCACTTAGCGGAAGAGAATCTTACCCTATTGAAGCCCACGAGTTAGACCAAACCGTCATCAGTATCCCTGCGCTCAACCGTAACTGGTTAAAGTCATTCGATCACCTTAGCGACATAGAGTTTCCACATCGTGCTGGTCGGGTAGACCTCATCCTCGGGGTGCAGTATAGCCATCTCCACGCGGAGAACGAAGTTAGACAAGGTTCTCCTTTCCAGCCTATCGCCAAACGAACGAGATTGGGATGGTATGTCATCGGCCCGGACTCCGCCACGCGAAACCCAAGCATGAGCTACTTGAATTTTGCTCGGAAGATTGACCTAGAGAAGTTCTATCAGTTTGAAACAGTCGGAGTGCGAGCGCCTGAGTGTAGCTGTCCAGAAGAAACCATGACCAGAGAAGGAAAGAAAGCAGTGGATTTGTTTGAATCATCGTGTAAAAGGCTCGGTGGAAGATACGTGATCGGCCTCCCTTGGAAGAGAGATCCGGCCAACCTTCCAAACAACTACCCACTTGCAAAACGACGCCTCGAATCCCTTGAAAGAAGCTTAGCAAGAAATCCCAGTAAAGCCAAGAGTTACGCGAACGCCATTCTTGAGTATGAAAAGAATGGATGGGCACGGAGATTGACGGATCTAGAGATCAAGAATACGAAAGGCCCTGTGTATTACCTGCCTCACCATGGTGTGTATCGCCCAGAGAAAAGGAGCACTCCTCTGCGGATTGTGTTTGATCCTGCATCCCCCTACCAAGGAGTTTCACTGAACTCTTTGCTGTACAAAGGTCCATGTCTAATCGGGAATTTGCTTGGTGTTCTACTCCGCTTCAGAGAAGAAGCAGTCGCGTTTGCTGGGGACATTTCGAAGATGTTCCTACAAGTCTTATTACCGGAAAGTGATTGTCAGGTCCACAGATTCCTTTGGAGAGACATGGAAACGTCTCGAGAACCGTCAACCTATGTTCTCCTTCGAGTTACCTTTGGCGATAAACCATCGCCAGATATGGCGAGCTTTGTTATGTTAAAGATAGCTGAGGAACATCGAGAGACTACTCCAGAAGCATCAAAAATCATCGAGCGTGACAGATACGTCGACGACCTGCTTCACTCGTGCCCGTCAAACACAGACGCTATCCAGAGAATCTCTGATATCGAGAAGATTTTGAATACTGGCAGTTTCCCAATCAAAGAGTGGCATTGTTCTTCGAAGGAAGTGCGAGATCGTGTGTCTAAAGTTACCAAAGTGACGTCCCAGTTAAATCCTGTTTCCCTTCCAACCACCGAAACTTCCAACCCTAAAGAAAGCGTCAAGGAAAATAACCAATTCAATTTAGATGGAGAGCAAGGAGTCAAAGCGCTAGGAGTTTCTTGGAATCCAGTGACGGATACCATACATTTCGAAGTGAAGGTGACACAAGCAGAGCCATACACCAAGCGAGTGATCCTGTCCAACATCTCAAGATTGTTCGACCCTTTAGGTCTTGCGTCGGTTGTGACTATTAAAGCGAGAATTGGTCTTCAAGAGATTTGGAAGATGAAAAAATTCGATTGGGACGATCCACTGCCAAAGGAAATGCAATTGACCTGGAGAAAGTTGTTTGCGGAGATCGAAGAATTAAAGACCATACAGTTTCCTCGATGCCTACAACCACCATCACCCATTGGTTCACCAGAGTTGCATGTATTCGCTGACGCCAGCGTCCTCGCATATGGAGCAGCAGCGTATCTAGTTTGGTCCTCGTCATCTGGAAGGACAGAAGTACGCCTCATCTCCGCCAAGGCCAGAGTTGCCCCATTACGCCAAACGACTATTCCACGACTGGAATTGATGGCGGCCTTGTTAGCGACAAGATTAGCAAAAACCATCTACGATGAGTTCAAAATCAAACCTATAAGAGTGACGTTATGGTCAGACTCCATGATAGTACTTGCATGGCTACGTTCGGAATCCACTTTACTCAAATCGTTTGTTGGCGTACGTGTCGCAGAAATCCAAAGCACCTGGGAGCCCGACGTTTGGCGGTATGTTCCAACAGACCTTAATCCAGCTGACGACCTTAGTCGTGGCATTGCGGTCCATGAGATGAACGAGCGTTGGATGAATGGCCCGTTGTTCCTAAGAGAGTGTCCAGAACATTGGCCAACCGAAGTCAAGGAAACATTTCCAGAGTACCCGAAACGAAGGTCAACAAACCGTTATTTACGTTGCAACCTGTGAAAGGTCCCATCATCGACCCATCCAGATTTTCAAACTGGCAGAAATTATGTCGCGTCTTAGCCTATTGCCTGCGCTTCATCAATAATGCGAAGTCTCGAAGTCGAGTACAAGGCCCGCTTCTTCCCAAGGAAATAGAATCAGCCGAACAGTATTGGATCAAGTCGCCCAACAGCAATTAAAAAACTGGAAAGAACGCTATCAAGAATTAGCCCCCTTTGAAAAGGACGAAATCATTCGTGTTGGAGGACGACTGAAGCACTCGCCTTTATCGTACGACGAAACCCATCCTATGCTCCTACCAGCAGACCACGTCGTGTCGAAATTAGTTGCCAAAGATTCCCACAACCGAGTATTCCACGCGGGTCGTGAACGTACCCTGTGCGAGACACGACGGAAATTCTGGATTGTCCGTGGCAGAAACCTGGTAAAAAAGATTGTTAAAGATTGCGTCACTTGTCGTAAATTAAGGCAGTATCCTTACACCACACTCATGGCTGACTTACCCCCAGAAAGGCTAAAGTTGTTTTCTCCACCCTTCTCAGTCACTGGCGTGGATCTATTTGGCCCATTCTATCTCAAGTACGGTAGAAATAAGAAAATCAAGGCTTGGGGAGCAGTTTTCACCTGCACGACGGTTCGTGCCATACACCTAGAAATTGTCCAAGATCTTTCCACTGACGCTTTTCTCCACGCCCTGCGACGTTTTGCAGCCCACCACGGGTGGCCCGCCACCGTTATCTCGGACAATGGGACATCATTTGTTGGAGCTGAGAAAGAGCTACGTGAGCTTTTCAAAGAAGGAAGACGACAAATGGAAGATTTTTCTGTGAGCCATAAGTTCAAATGGCTATTCAACACTCCTCTGAGTCCTCATCAGGGAGGAGTTTTCGAAAGCATGGTCAAACAGACAAAGTCCGCTTTGAAAGTGATAGTTGGTCAGCAGACATTGTCTTGGAACGAGATGTCGACGGTTTTTGCAGAAGTACAGTGCCTCGTCAACAGCCGCCCTCTCGGATACCCCTCAGACGACGCCAACGACCTTCAGCCCTTGACACCCAACCACTTCATCCTTGGTCGAGCGACCGTTGATATTCCACAAGGCCCATTTACGGAAGTGAAGAACAACCGTAAAAGGTTTGAGTACACCCAGTCATTGGTGCAGCAATTTTGGACCCGGTTCCAGAGAGAATACCTTCAAACGCTGATGCGACGAACGAAGTGGAAACGGAAAGAGCGACAGTTCAAATGCGGCGATATCGTTTTGGTAGTGGATGACAACCTCGCCAGGGGAAAATGGAACCTAGCCCGAGTAATCGAAGTCTTTCCTGGCAAGGACGGTGTGATACGAAACGTGAAGTTGAAGACAAAGAACGGAGAGTACAAACGATCGGTACAGAAATGCTGTCCAATCTTAGAAGAAGAGTCCTGATCGTGGCCCGGAGGGTTGTTTCGGACAGCCCACCTTCGGACAAAACTTTACATATTATTAATTATATTTGTTACGTCATATTTAATTTATCTTGATTATACTTTGATTCAACTTGATTTGCTTGCAATAGGATATGCGTTGATTTGTAATTTGATTCGGGACAGTTATATATATTAGGATAAGAACAAAGAGATTTGAGTTTGATATTGAGCATATAGCTTGTGTATGAAATGAAATGAAGTGCTGTTTCAAGCCGTAGAGACCCACTCTTCAGGTACTATAATCTTTATTTGTAATGTGTTAAGTTCTTTATTCACCAATCAATAATATAATGTAATCTAATCAAACGCAATCATTTTAGAATATATAAATAAATATTACGAAAATCTCTACGGTGTTGAGCGTGGTTTTGCCCATTGGAAACACCGATTAAACATCAATATCACATTTGTTGTATTTTTGACCCATCTTCATTGCATCCTGAAGTATGATCATCGCAATTATCCCTTAACCCTTCTTAAAAAAACTTTACTAAATCATTCTTATGTGATACACTAAGAGGGTGGCAAGAATTATAATATGGACATGGAAATAGATGGGCTCAGCCTGCCCCTGTGATGGAGGTTTTGCTGTGTCTATTAAAACCCAACTTCCCAGTTTATGACAACAGACAAATTTCAAATGAACATGAGATGATGATTGATTATTATTAGCATTTTAAAAAGCATTTGTAGCTACTTATTATTGAAATCTTGTGAGATTTCACAACTCATTTCATCAGTTTCTGTCACTCAAGAACACTTGAATGTAATTAGGTACTCCGGATAGTGCTGATAGTCATAAAAAACAACGTAGATCAATGGCTTTGCTACATTGTCAACAACAGAGTCGTAACTAACATTTGGATTGCTAGCGTCAATTGGTGGCGGAACAATCAGACCTTCTTTTCCTTTTGTGTATTTACCGACCAAGACCTTGGCTATGTACATATACTGTAGACCTTTCTCATCAGGAACAGCATATTGTCTTCTTGATGAATACCAAGCTTCTCTGGCAAAATATACACCATTGCCAAACTTCACAGCTGAAAATTAAAACATGATCAACAACTGCATCAAAGTGTGGTTAGGGGTCACGTACATGCTTGATGCTTTACTAGAGGGAAGTTTAGAAAGTTTCTATGAATTGCAGTTGAATATTGTGCTTACCATTTTTTCCACAATAAGATCTGTTAAAACCAGTGCAGTTAATTTTTTCCACAGCATCTTTTGTTGTTCCATGATACAGATCCAGTTCATTTCCATCATTGCACATTTTCTTCTTCTTTCCCTGGTACAATTGATACAATCCTGGATTTTGAATTCTTTCAATCTTTACAACCTCCACATTGGGAACGTTTGCCGCTAATGAGAGCGATGCTAGAAACTTGTCATGAATTTCGTCATATTCTGTGTCTTGTTTCTCGATATTGAAGCGAAACACTTGAAGCTCCTGCCCAGTGGAACCATCAATCGGCTGGTATTCCCAATTTTTAGGAAATGGAAATGCTGAAAAGTGACATAAATACAATATAATTTGATAATTTTAACACGCATAAGGAGAAACCAATCTTAAAGAATAAACCGTCTCGAAGAAGTTAAAGATGTAAAATTAATCGGTTTGCGATGTCTTTACATCAACATCATTTGTACCATATGTCTTTCAACACTCCTAAGGATTAGCTTCTTTTCATTTATTCTACTTTGATGGGAGTTTCACGTATACAAACAGAGTGAAATTGTAAAACACGTTCTATCGATTTTTTCTTTCGTAAAATATCTCACAATTCATAATAATCGGTGATACCTTCACACGGGCGTCTGTAGACTTTCATCAGGCCTTCGTTTGAAGTCAAACATGTCTCTGTCATGGTTTTGAAATCTATTTTATATTTCTCATCGTCACCAACTTCGACAGTTCCAGAAGGATTTCTCTTGTACGCCGTCTCTATCTTGGCGCTGATTTGTTTTGCGTACTTTTCAGGAATAACAACACCTTTATCACCCTCGTAATAGAACCATTCAACCTAAAGAATCATTAGGTGTTACTGATAGTAAGGAACTGTTTACATGATCCCGCTTAGATGAAATTAAAAGAACAGGCATCCGTGTTTGAAAAGGAAGATAAAGTGAACCCTTTTTTAAAACGTAAATGTAAAAATTAAACCTCTCGGACGGTCACATCCGTGTGATGTCTCTCTCGTTCCCAGTCGTGGATAATATTGTGAATCTTTCCCACTGCAATCGATACATTCCTTGCCAGCCCGCTGATTCTGATGTATCCAATAGTGGGTTTACACTCAATACGAACATCGTGGAGGTCCTGTATTTCCATGATTTTTTCCAGCTGTCTCACATCAATCTCCTGTTGTGTTTCGATGGTCTCAGTATGACATTGTTCTTCCTCGACCCGTTTCAGTTCTTTTTTGATTGCTGCGATGTCGCTCGAACTTTCTGCTGCAATTTCCAGAGTAATCTGTTGCCTCGTCTTACGTGTGCTTCCTGTTGGAGAAAACATTGGTTTGCTGACTATTAAGTTAGTTTAGTTTAGGTTTCCTCCTGTAGTAACACTGGATCAATATGAGATGATCCTTACTAGACCTCTAGGAAGAACAGTTTAGAACTGATAGAGCTATCCAGTATAAATAAAGTTAGTTTAGTTTAGGTTCCTCCTGTAGTAACACTGGATCAATATGAGATGATCCTTACTAGACCTCTAGGAAGAACAGTTTAGAACTGATAGAGCTATCCAGTATAAATAAAGTTAGTTTAGTTTAGATTTCCTCCTGTAGTAACATTGAATCAATAAGAGATGATCTTTACTGGACCTCTAAGAAGAGCAGATTAGAACTGATAGAGCTATCTATCCAGTATAAATCAAGTTAGTTGAGTTTAGGTTTCCTCCTGTAGTAACACTGGATCAATAGGAGATAATTCTCTATATGATAGTTTAGTTTAGAAGTCTTTTGTAACCAATTCCAAGCTATCTGCGAGAAGACAGAATCAACATATTTTTGTTACCTTTCGATGACTCTGCGCCCGGATCTTTGCGTGCGAAAGCTCCACGGAATTCCTCGAAAACATTTTCTTGTAAAATAACAATACGAATGAGCTTCAAGGACTTGTTATCTCTTTTACGATATTCTTTGATGCAGTGGTATAAAATCTCGGCGGATTGTTTGCCATCTCTCTGTAAGTGACCGGTTCCGACCGCGGGAAGAGACAACGAGGCGAAGCCGTACATGTCAGCGTCGTTTAAACACCTTGTAACTGCATTTTGAATCGTCGATTTGTCGGTGGGCGCCTTTATAACCATGTGCAGCAATTTGCAAACCTTCAAATTCCCTGCCGTTGTCATGACTACCGTTCCAGGGTCAATCCTGTTCAATCCAATATTAATGTATTCTTTTCTTAAATCTTCACCGGCTCCTCTATAAAGCGCCCTTCCAATTTGCCCTCCTTGGTAATAAAAAATTCACATTTTTATTATGGTCTTATCGTCAAAGGAACTCGGTGTTTGCATACATGCACTTTTTTTGAAACAATAGATAAGTCAAAATTAACCCTGTATTTAAAAAGCTCGTTCGTTGAGTGTGACATACTCAGTGGAAAGATTTAAGATAAAACTCTAAAAATCAAACTCTTATTCCAGTGTATCTCCCACTCGATGAGTTTGAGTTCGAGTAAGCTTTTAAAATACAGACGTACAGTAAATGACAGTTTTATCTACCTCCTAAGATGTCAAAACCGAAACTTATCGTTGGTCGGCTCAAATAACCCTGTTGCTTTTTATTTTCAGTTGACCATGTCATGCAACTTAAACGGATTTTGGGCAACATGATCCTGTAAAGCTTAGTGTATCTGGGAAAGTCCTACGATCGCATCGCATTTTGACCGTGCACAAAGATCGGTAAGTCTTGTTATTGTAGTTTCTAGGACAGTTTCCGTGAAATTTGATCATTATCCGCACACGTACCTTGTGTAATATCCTCGGCAACCAGGAACCCGATTGCATCAGTGGATTCCTCGACTATATTTCCTTGAACAATTTCCACCTCAACTCCGTGTGTTTTATCTTTTTCTTTGCCCGAACTTCTGTCGAAGGCACCCGAAATCTTTTTACGGGTTGTCTTCAAAATACCTGCACCACTTTCCGAACCTCGTTTTGTTTTTCGTGCATTCACGTCAGCAGTTGGTGAGAAGCCTTGAAATTGTTCTTTGAATGCATCGACGGCTGTCTTATTCCCCTTGTAAACGACAACGTTAACCGTTTTGATTTTGGGGGAAGGCTTGTGATCTGAACTGAATTGCGTCGCCTCTTCAAACAAGATCTTCGCGACCAATTTTACCGGGAATCCCAGAGTCCCGGTGCCGAGAGCAGGCATTGAGATCGAGGTGAGCGAGAGAGCTGCGGTTTTGCACAACAGTTTTTGCACAACCTCACGGAGTTGCTACAGAAAAGTAATGCGAAATGTTTCGATATAAATGCATGTAGAACGCCAAGGTAACAACAGGAAGGGGCCGGTGAACTCAAATAAGACTAGAACGCTCACTCTCTGACTTTCCCTCATTAATGAGTGAAGCCAAGATGGCGGTTCATGAAGCCTTTCTTGTAGGAAATTGCGGAAATTTCAAAGGTAGAATCATAATTGCCGCCATCTTACCTGAGAAATTTCCGCGTGGAGGCCTGGATCATAGGTGGTCTTGGCTTCAAATTTTTCGCAGAGCTAGCTTCCAGGCTTATTTGAGTTCACTGAAGAAAGCAGGTTAACGAATGCTAAGCTGCATCTCAGAAACATGCATATGGCTGTAAATAAAAAACTTTTGCAAAGCTGAACATGCATGTGTCCATTTACCTTCTCTCCTTGATCAGCTGTCCATCTGGGGCATGAAACATGAAAAACTTTCTTGCATTTCAACTTGGCGCCATCTGTGATTGCAAAGTCTCTTTCTTTAAGCTGATGCTTATCTTTTATCCATTTCTCGCATAAGCTTTTCAGTCCACTTCCAGCTTCGTCAAGAATTGCTTTTGAGCAAGGATTCTTCGTAAGGTTCAGATCACTTCCAACCGTGTTCACGATAACATCGGTCTAATTGAAGATGATAGAAAATTTACATTAGCTTCATCTCATTTATTTGGAAAGCTTGTTGGACTTAAATTGACTTAAGTTTGCTTACGATGTTTACAAAAACTCGGAGGTTATTCGTTTTAAAAATAAACTACTTACCGTGGATTTTGCAACGTTTCCAATGGTCAGGTGCACTTCCATTCCCTCGGGAGTTTTAAATGTAAAATGATCACATGCTTTGGTGGTATCCAGTGGCGAAACTCCACCAGATGCGCCTAGCAACGGTCTCCATCTATCTCGAACCGGTTCGTTGATATGTAAGTTTGAATCACAACTAAACCTTCCCACTATTTCTTTCATCAACGCCTCGATGGCCGAGGGTTCGTTATCGACAAAATGAACTTGTTGTAAACTGTGGGAAGGTTTTTCTTGTAAGAATTCACAAGTCGCTGCTACCAAGCTTTTTGCACTGATGTCGTAGGGAATCCTGTAGATTCCTGTGCCCAGCGCTGGAATTGCAATAGTTTGACCCTTAGTTGCCTTCTCCAGGACATTAGTACAACAGTGCCTAGGAATGAAGCATTGGTAAAGTTAGCTGTGACCATCATTACATAGTCATCAACACTGCTAGAAACACTCTCATCTTCATCATAATTAACCAGCACAATCCCTCATCCCTATCCTCACTCTTACCATAATTAACCACCATAGTCCCAATGACTGTTGGTAACAACTCCATCTTCACCACCATTAACCAGCATAGCTCATTACCATCCCCATCCATCCATCCAGCCATCCATCCAGCCATCCATCCATTCATCATTTACCATCACAATCCCTCTCATTTATCCCATACATTATAAAATAACATTGACCCACCTTAAGTACCACTCTTCCCTTGTTTCGCCTTCACCATAACCATCAGACGGACGATACGTTGGCACCACTACATGAAGTATTTCCTTACACATCAATTTCCCTCCGTCAGTAGGGATAACCTCCGCAAGTAAAAGTTTTGCCGTTCCCAGTTCATTTAAGGCACGGAAACAGTCCTCCTGGATTTTACGCCCTCCTTTCTCAACTATCGCCCTGGCAAGTCCACCAGCATGCTTGAGCTCCTCGTTCGCAGAGTTCACTAAGTAGTCTACGGGATGTTCCAGGATATCTCCTTGATGTACCTCAATGATCTTACCGTTCGGGAAAGTGTATCGACACTGCATTGTACGCTTCCTGTCTTCCTTGATACTAACAGTGGTTGCATTTTGTGATCGGAATGAAATCTGTCTTTCTGGCTGATCGTTGATTGTGACTGCAATCCCACATCGATGTTTTCTTTCTATGCTCTCAATTGCCATGTACGCCATTCCTTTTATACTCGACGCTGTTTCCGGTGTTCCGTAATCCATCTTCTCCACCTTTAGATCTGAAAAAGAAGTCGTATAGGGACCCCATTGAGGGTTTTCAAAATAAGAAGCATATACAAATATGCTGTTGGCTGATTGAACAAACTATCAAACACGTTCCAAAGAAAATACATTACAAACCTTTTGTAAGATCTTGTATGCTCACACAACAATTCTCGACTAATGGCTTCTCACCAGATAGAACCAAGGCTTCGCTTCCAATCTCTATCTTCAAGCCAGGTGATGAAAGCCGCAAGCCTTCCAAGGTAGTTTCTCCGTAGGTCGAGAGATAGCGTAGGACTGCCTTTTGAAGTCGTACTCTTTGTTCTACTGTTTTCTTTCGTTCTTTAAAATCGTCGACTTTCGCATTCAGGTTTCGCAAATGCTTCTTGAAGCAGACGATTCGTGGAACGCCATCTTCTCTTTGTAATGAAAGCGGAGTCGATGTCCCTAACTCGTTGAGCAATGCATCCTGGGATGATTTCGTTCGCAAACCTGAAACAAAACGTTTAGAACTGAAAAGGAGTGAACTGTGATGTTTTTTTCGACTGGGTAGTCTCCGTTGAAAGATTTATAAGTGAAGATGTATTATAAACATATACAGAACTTACCTTCAGGGAGTTTTATTTCAACCATAGCATTCACAATAATATCAAAAGCTTTGTCTACGTGTGTCTTTTGCATACCATACAGTGTTACCATTCCTTTATCATCGACTACAACTTCCACCGTGGAATTCTCCGCGGTCAACAATGACTTTACGTGTGAAATAGCTTTGTTTGCCTTCAACAAGGAAAACCTGTTTCCATTCAAGGAACGCTCTTCAAAAAGGCCAACGATTTCTTGCGTTTCACTTTTGAGTTGTTGTATTTGTGTTGGTGAGCCTTTCACGTTTATTCTTCCGGTTGTTTCGTCTTGTATTATTTCCAAACCATCTCGCTTCAACGAGTTTTCCAAGCTGTTCAAATAACGGCGATAAAATGCTTTCAGTTAATTGCATTGTTACTGCATGCATGCTGGTCAGTTATAAATATTGCTATATATTGTAAATACTTGCCGCTGAAATTTTGTCGAGTGTTGAAGCAACTTCAGATGAACAGGTAATAATTGTATGGAATCATCGCATCGATTCGTTCGCTTTTCGACTTTGGCAATGCACTTTCTCACCTCCTCATGTGCCTTATCAAATGTAACCACGGCTCTTCCGACAAGCTTTAGAAAGCCTTCGCCATATCTCTCGATGAAGGAAACTGATTTAGCAACGCTGAACACTGAGAATATTTCTTGCAACTCTTTCTCTAATCCTTGTTCGAGCAGAGTTGGATTAATCGGTACGATTTCGTATTTGAATGCTTTCATATCAGTAAGGAAGTGTTCTTTTGTTTCCTCGCTGGAAAATGAAAAATGTACCGAATCTCCTTTCGTCTCGATGCTCGGCTGTGGCTCTCTCAAGGCATGGGAAAGCTGGGCAGGATGATTTTGTTTCAGGTAGTGATATAAGTCACTGTCAATCGCTGTAACGAAGCCTGCAGCTTTGGGACGTTCTTGTTTTGGTGTAGTTTCTACAAGGCTGGTCGAGTTTCGTATTCCATCTTCTTCTGTTGTTTCTGATTGTAAGTCAGTTAAACTACCAAGGATTGGGTAATAGTGTTCCACGGTTAGGATCGTATTGTCCAACGTTTGTGAGATAGAAAGAACGTTGTTTATAACTAGAAAAGTAAGGTATACCTTTAAAAGACACTGTCTGGCTAATGTTACGCTTATCCAAGCACGAGATATACAATCAACTTCAGGTCAATCTGAGTCGCGGCTGTTATTGGAATGGATATTGTGTGATCGTCCATAATGATTGCTGTTGTTGGTTTTGTGGGAAGTACGAAAATGGGAATAAGGACCCAATAATGATATGTTTCTGCCTTCGTTTCCCTAAACCAACACTAACATTCAATGCACATTTAACTGAAGAATCCGGACTTTAAATGCAATACCAGTGATTATCGGTAAAAATTGTCATATTTCTGAACTATAATAACCCAGACCTTACTTTGGAAACTATTCACATACAATTCAAATACTAACGACTTTCAGTCTCCACAAATAGGAACGTTTTAGGTGAAACGAGCGATCTATCCGGCCATCTTACCACTTGGATCTTTGAACTCAACCAATGCTATTTTCTTTTCCAGATCCAGTTCGACCCTCTTAACCTCGCCGCCTCCCACTCTTTTATTTTCAAATTTGTACAGGACCGAGTCGTGTGTTGCTGAAGACGGTAAGTTTTTCACTAGGATCGTGCTGCAAAGAGGAACTGTCTTTATTGATATTTGTTTTCCATCTAAAGATGACTTCTTTCTTAAACCTTCCTGTATCTTATCGAAATCTAAACAAAAACACGAATATTTTTCATCGTAAACTTATTTGGCTTTGGGTCAGAAATGAATGATAGTTGATGGTTTATTTTTTGACCCATTTTCTGGCAATCATAATTCCTTATAATTTTCCACCAAAATGAGTGAACGATTTTTGTATGGCAATAACTTGTACACATGCAGGGTTATTGCATTTACATATCTTGTTGAAGTTCCTCCAAACTCACCTATGGAGCTTTCAAACGTTACAATTGCGTTTACAGTCTGGTTGCTTCTTGTTCCATAAATCATCTCTTTCACCTCCAAATCACTTATCCGTTCCAGGTAGAACATCAAACCATCTCTGGTCGTTGTTGTAGAAATTCCCTCAACCAATATTTTGTTTTTCTCCCAGACTTTCGCCTTCTTTTTTCTCGCTACAAGCGTGCACTGTCCCATGGAATGCGGGCTTTCTTCCAATGCTTTGTTGGCACCTATAAGCATATTTTTCATGCAACATCAATGACGTTTTTGGCCGTTTATTATATACTTAATGGCGAACTGTTACATTTTATATCACGAACACAACTTAAACCTTTTGTCTAAAACAAATTATCGCCAGTTTACTTACGGCAACTCGACTATATAAACCTACGTTGATTATTTTCAAGCACTTTTATTTTTGCTCAAAAGCGGTTGTTTCAGGCTTGTTTCGGACTCAATTTGTCCATCTGATTTAGGATCACTTGCAGGTGCTTGTGGTGTGAAGTATATAGTTAAGTGCACGGTTATGACATTTTCTTATCAATTAATGATCTTGGCAGATGTCAACATAAATGCAAAATAGACTGCTAAGTATGATTATTTAAAATCTAACGATAGATATCGGGTTATCGCCATCCGTATGAATGTAACCTTGTAACGTCCCTTGGTATAAGGTCCGCTACCCTGCACCACCTGTATGCAGGCTATCACCCTTTTTTTATTCTTCGAGTCAGGACCCTTGCGTTTTTCAATGGGAAAACCCCTTCATGACGTAACATTAGTAGTTTCATCAGAGTAACATGAAATTCTGCAAGAACCTTTCGTCCAAAATATTATCGTTTCAACACAGTAAGCGGTTGAATATATAAATATATTATATTCCTTTATCTCTGCTGAACGTGTTGCGTTCCAAGAATTTATGAATACGAAACCGGAAGTGAGCCAGATATGTTTAAACTTCTGTCTAAGTTGTAAATACTCCAAACAACAACCTGTTTTCAAATGCGTTTTACTGTCATTACTACCACGATATCTACAACCGACGTTTATGAGTTAAAAAGTTAGGATTATCAGAATTCCTATTAGAATTTCAGACGGGGTTTAAGTGACAGTAAGTCTTTGTTTACCGACCGAAACTAACACCTAAGCTTGTTCTGTGTTTGTTTGAAACGTCTGCACTAGGAAATTGCCTCTCAAACAATAATCCAAGATTTAAAATGCCTTGCAGATTCAATTATAACTTCAGTTGCGATCTAGTTTAGTGACTGTGCCCAGGACCTCCGGATTTCGAAAACGAAAGACGAATCAAATTACGTTATTTTTACGATAATATTGTCCACACACAATTGTACTGTATGCAATAAGCACTATATCTGTTTAAAGGAGTCGATTAGACTTTATGATTTGATGCAGAAACAAATCCCAGCGAATTTTGGATTGCTTATAGCCTTATACCCAGACGATTTGCAACTATTGCTATAACCCGAATTGCAACATTTGTATTTGCGACAATCGACAAGTCGAGGTTGCGTCAGATTTTCGATGAATTTTCAATTGGAATTATATCAGCTCCGTTAGCCCTGATGATAGCGGGTTTCGGCAAGGCTCGATATAAATATTCGATCAACATTTAGCCGACGAAATCAATCCGTCGTAATAAAAACCCCCCGATGTAATTCATGGTTCGTTTCCTTGTTATTTGTAGCTTAAAGCTTTGCCCGGTCAACGACAGCGATCTCCGGCTTTTTGCTAAACGAATGGTAATTCTTATAAATATCTGATGGGGATAGAGGAAACCTGGTCTATTCCTACCTTCGGCATTTGCGAAAGTGATGAATGCGTGGTCGTCTCCTTCGGTATATTCAATCTTTACAATGTCTCCACCACGTTTGCGGGAAGAGAAAAAATTCTCCAAATTTTCTTTCGAAGTGGTGCTGCTGATTCCCGTCACTTCAATGACACTGGATTCGCATTCATCCATGTCTCGCTTGTGTCTCTGTGATATTCAGAACTTTGTCCACATGTCCACAGTCTACTCTATTCTAACATCTGCGTTGTTGTTATCAGGTTTCTATAATATGTCAAGGCATTCCGCCGAATCACGGTATTCCCCGGAAACTATACGGCTTTACTACGAACCAAAAATGAAAATGAAAGTGGAAATTCTTCAACTCGATCATTTTCGGTTCCTAGTTCCTAGTCTCTTTTTCACGTCTCATTACTCTCATAATAAATAAGCTAATAAATTATCTATCAAGGGCCAAGAAGGTCAGATTCAAACAGACGAGTCAATGAACAACATTTTAGAACCATGTCACACACACACACGTCTACATCCATGAAACGACGAAATTTTTCTTAAAAACGTTAAAAACTATACTTAAAACTGTTTCTTTGCAAGTCACTTATTAGTAAATCATTAAGTTCGTTAAACGTCTGCTATTGTTCTGGTAAGATAGTCGTTTTAGGGCTTTTAAGAGACTTTTAAGTTACAACTTACAAAACCTACAACGATATTTGGAAATGATTTGTTTGTTTGTTTTCTCATTTTACGATTCTTCAACACGTTCTCGCTGTGCTGAAATTTCACCGAATCGTCTCTTCATTTCTTGCACAAAAACGTGTGATCTTTGTGAAAGGATATCGACGAACCGAATATCTTTTAAACAGTTTGTTCCTTTGGCTTTCTCTGCAAACTCTATCGCTGCCGAAAACATGATTTCCGCACAGACGTCGGCGGGAAAGCCAAATCTACCAGAACTGAGTGAAGGCATGGCTATGCTTGTAGCACCTTTTTGACATGCATTAATCAAACTACTTAGGACTGCTTTGAAAAAGGCTTTCTTTGCCGTCTCTTTCTGACTAGTCGAGTGTCGATTCCATCTTGGACTCATCACATGAACGATGAACTTGCAAGGAAGATTTCCAGCAGTTGTAACTACGACGTCTCCGGTATTGAGATTTTTATTTTTCCGTTTCTTCCTGATGTCATTACATTCCTGCTGTATCTCCGTCCCCCCCACGCTCAAAAGGGCTCCCGGCACCCCCATGCAGCGTTGGTTCATCTGTTCATTCGTAGGATTGACGATAGCATCGACTGTTTCTTTTGTGATATCTCCCTGATGCACACAAACCATTACATTATTTGATAGCGGATGGCAAAATTTTTCAACAATTCTTTGTCTTCTTGTGTCTTCATTCTTTTCACTGCATGCCGTAGTCGTAGTACCACCATCAGCACCTAAACAAGATATTAATCAAACTTATGTGTTGGATGTTTTAGTATTTGATATTCTATAACAGATTAAACATATTACTGGGGGAGCTAAGCTTTCAGTATTTCACAGCTCTACTAGTCAGTTATAAAGAACTCCTTAATCTGGTAGTCACCTAGGGTGCTTTATAGTGTAACAGTTGGTGCAACATTTCTTGCCCTTCCACAGCTTTTCCAGGGCGTCGTGCCCTCCCCACAGTCTCTGCAGGGTGTCTTGCTCTCCCCACAGTTTCTGCAGAGTGTCTTGCCCTCCCCACAGTTTCTCCAGGGTGTCTTGCTCTCCCCACAGTTTCTGCCGGGTGTCTTGCCCTCCCCACCGTTTCTCCAGGGTGTCTTGCCCTCCCCACAGTTTCTCCAGGGTGTCTTGCCCTCCCCACAGTTTCTCCAGGGCGTCTTGCCCTCCCCACAGTTTCTCCAGGGTGTCTTGCCCTCCCCACAGTTTCTCCAGGGTGTCTTGCCCTCCCCACAGTTTCTGCCGGGTGTCTTGCCCTCCCCACCGTTTCTCCAGGGTGTCTTGCCCTCCCCACAGTTTCTCCAGGGTGTCTTGCCCTCCCCCAGTTTCTCCAGGGTGTCTTGCCCTCCCCACAGTTTCTCCAGGGTGTCTTGCCCTCCCCACAGTTTCTCCAGGGTGTCTTGCCCTCCCCACAGTTTCTCCAGGGCGTCTTGCCCTCCCCACAGTTTCTCCAGGGTGTCTTGCCCTCCCCACAGTTTCTGCAGGGTGTCTTGCCCTCCCCACAGTTTCTCCGGGGTGTCTTGCCCTCCCCACAGTTTCTGCAGGGTGTCTTGCCCTCCCCACAGTTTCTCCAGGGTGTCTTGCCCTCCCCACAGTTTCTCCAGGGCGTCTTGCCCTCCCCACAGTTTCTGCAGGGTGTCTTGCCCTCCCCACAGTTTCTCCAGGGCGTCTTGCCCTCCCCACAGTTTCTCCAGGGTGTCTTGCCCTCCCCACAGTTTCTGCAGGGTGTCTTGCCCTCCCCACAGTTTCTCCAGGGTGTCTTGCCCTCCCCACAGTTTCTGCAGGGTGTCTTGCCCTCCCCACAGTTTCTCCAGGGTGTCTTGCCCTCCCCACAGTTTCTCCAGGGTGTCTTGCCCTCCCCACAGTTTCTCCAGGGTGTCTCGCCCTCCCCACAGTTTCTCCGGGGTGTCTTGCCCTCCCCACAGTTTCTCCAGGGTGTCTTGCCCTCCCCACAGTTTCTCCAGGGTGTCTTGCCCTCCCACAGTTTCTCCAGGGTGTCTTGCCCTCCCCACAGTTTCTCCAGGGTGTCTTGCCCTCCCCACAGTTTCTCCAGGGTGTCTTGCCTTCCCCCCAGTTTCTGCAAAGTGCCTTGCCCTTCCCATTTGTCAACTGGTGTTCTGAACTGTCACCAGACATACTGGCATAAGTAACACGCAGGTGATACTGTTTTTCATACCTGGATTTTTAATAACTTCCCCTAAACTTTCTACCAGCTTTCCCGTAATATTTTCGGTCAAAGGTTCCTCCTCTCTTGTGCAGTAAGTGTAGTAGAAATTCTCAACGCATGTCACTGGTGCTTCGCGATGCTCGTTTCTTTTCGTAAGAAGATTATTCGCGCTATCCAACATCATTTTCTGAGAAGAAAGTATTTCTTCTTCCGTTCCTTCCTCAACCAATTTCTTAGAAAGGTGAACGGATCTTTGCACGTTCTCCGCATACTGCTTGACTCCTGTAGTCTGTTTGTCTAGTTTTGCTTGTTCATGGTTATAGATTTCATCTACTTCATTCAAAAGCGATTCAACTTTTTGATCCAACATCTCGCCGATTTTTTTCGCAATGAACTCTTTTCGTTGTGTGATTTTACTCTTACAGAATTCAACATCACGAGCAAGCCCTTCACTTGTGTCCTCTAGGGTTTTAAGAAATAGATTATTTTCAGTTAAAACATCATCCATTTTCTTATTGCTTGAATCAAGCAGTTCCTTGTATTTGTTTACCACTTTGTTTATCAGAGAACATGAATGATCTGGCTTCATGTGTTCAAAATCCATGCAGTCCTTACAAATCAGCTGGTCGCAGGTTTCACAATAAACTTTCAATATCTCGCCCGGATGTTCATTGCAATACATTTTGTCCTTGATTTTCTTACGATTCTCCGGCTTCGACAACTCTTCCATCGTCAGAACAGAATGGCCAGTGTGTCCTCGATAACTGTTGTGGGCTGTCAGACATTCTTGGCATAAGAATTTCTCACAAGTGACACAGCGAGCGACTGAGTAGCTTTGAGTACAATTATGTGAACACGGAACGCCAAATTTACGATCTCGGTTGAGTACGGCTGTCGCTTTTACCATGTTGCAGATGAAATGATTTCGTCTCATGTCGGCGACATTTTTGTCAGGATCGAGTGTAAACATCTCTCGACAATTTGGACATGGAAACTCTCGAACTGGTCGATCACGAGGTGCTTTATCACGACATGTTTTCACGACGTCTTCCAAACAATCTTTACAGAATGAGTGGAAGCAAGGAAGAGTTCTCGGGTCTTTTAGCGGCTCCAGACATACAGTACATTCGAGATTTTCTTCAAGTTCATTAATCGGGTCATTCTCCAAAGGAAGAGCCATTTAAGACGGGAGAAACTCCAAAGCTGTACCAACTTTAACGGTAGACTTTGAATGGTCGTAGGGATGCTACAAGCCTATAAAAGAGTTTTGTTTGTATGTGATATCACATGACGTATGAGTATCAACATTCACTTCCTCTCGGATGAACGAATTCCTGGTATAAAACACTTGTGGTTGTATCAAATTACAATGGCGTGGTTCCTTATAGTTTTATATTCCGTTTTTCTTTAGACTTAACGTAAATGATAAATGCGTGACGTTTCTTAGAAAGCTAATTGTGTTTGAAATTATTCATGCTGGTATAATTTGGTAACAAAGTTTTCGAACAAAGTGCTCTTTGTAATGCTTCTTTCACTTCTTGACCGGATTCATAATGATAGGAAGTGTAAGCCACTGTTTGATTATAATCTCATCAGTGTCAAGGTTGAAGTGAAGTCGTGATGCAATAGTCTGTTCGTCACAGTTTCTCCGATTAGTAGATACCTACCACAAGACTATAGTTACTCAGAGTAACTAATAAGCCAATCTGGGGAAATATATTTTCAATTTGATCTCCCGAGATCCATTCATTCTGGCTTCGTTTTTTGTAAGGTATACTTGCCATATTCAGTTTATCGTTTCTGCAATGACTTGAACTGATAATCAAATTGAGCTACATTGTAATTAAACGGAATTATAGGTTTTGACTTTTATTTTGCCTAAGTTGTTAAACAATATTATATTTGTTTACCAAACTTTTATAACTAAGTAAATATGGAGTAATTCAAATTCAGCTCTTGGCGCGAATCTATATGCTTGTTAAATTCAAGTTTAAATTTAAATTCACATTGTTAGTTTAGTTATTCTGCTTTACATTGACTTTCTGTGTATACGATATCAGCAATTCGAAATTTCGTTTGGACAGAAGAACCAAATCTTCTCTTCATTTCTTGCACGAAGGCTTTTGAAGTCCGTTTGTTGATGTCGACGAAGCGAATGTTTTTTAGCTTGTTGGATTTGGGGGCATTCTTTGCAAAATTTGTCGCCGCCTCAAACAGAACTTCTGCACAAATTGGGACAGGGACGCCAGATCCCCCGCAACTTATAGCAGAGATGGAGATGCTTGTGGCGCCGTGTTGATCGGCAAGCTTTAAACAGCGGAGAATTGTGTTGAACAATACTTTTTTTACTGCGTCTTCCTTGTACTGGTATTCACGCAATTTTGGGCCCAGAGCATGAATGATAAATTTGCATGGAAGATTTCCTGCTTTTGTCACTACCAAATCTCCTGGATTGAGAGGTTTATTGTGTCGTTTCTTCATAATCTCAGTACTTTCATCTTGAATTGATCTCCCACCAACTCTTACGATGGCTCTTGCTGTTTTGCCATCATTTGTGAGATCTTTATCTGCTGGACTAACAATAACATCGGCTGACTCATTGGTAATATCTCCTTGATATACAGAAATGTTTACGTTCTTGTATACCACCGAAGAAATGTCAATGAGGTATTCTTCTGCTGCACTTCTGGTGTTGAACAAACTTTCTTCCGTCGTATCTTCACCCACTGCCAGAGATTCTTGGGTTGTTGTGCTGGAAGGATCTTCTTTTTTTATTTTATGTTTTGCTTCACCTAAACGAGATATTAAACGTCCATCAGAATGTCGTGTGTTAATCTACGATTTTAGGCTTCAGTGAATTGTTTAGTTGGACGTTCCCTCAGGAACGGATAATTTCACTAAAAGAAAAACACTGTCAACAATCATTAATGGTACCTGTCACGGCTCATGCATGTCACCATTAAACTTCCTATTGTATTTTTACCATGCAAGATCCTGCAAGATTGCAGGAAGTTCCTTTGGAGTCGTTTATTACGCATTAAATACCTGCGTCAGCATCCTCGTGCAAATGTTTGATTTCTCCCAGACTGTTCATCAGATGTTCCCTGATTCCTTTGTTCAATGGTTTCTTGTAGTCACTGTTTGAGTAGTTAAATTTAACCACTGATATCACTAACTTATAATGTTCTTTTTGTTGCTTTATGAGAAGATTATTTGCGCTATCCAAAGTCATCTTTTGAGAAGAAATGATTTCTTCCTCTGTGCCTTGTTCGACCAGTTTCTTACTAAGATAAACAGAATTTTGCAAGTTTTCTCCAAACTGCTTTCTTTCCAAGATTTGTTTATCAATTTTTTCTCGTGCTTCTGTGTGAATAACTTCTACTCTGTTCAGAAGTATTTCTGCTTTTTCATGCAACACTTCAGCGACATTCTTCAAAATAAACTGTTTTCGTTGTTTAATTTTAGTTTTGACATCCTCAGCATCACGATCAAGTTGTTGTGTTGCTTGCGATAATTCTTCGAGGCAGGAGTTGTTCTCAGCTAAAACGCCATCCATTGTTTCATTTTTTGAAGCTAGTAGTTCCTTATATTTATTAGCGACATCTTTAACAAGAAAACATGAATGATCTTGCTTTGTGTGTTTAAAATCCATGCAGTCCTTACAAATCAGCTGGTCGCAGGTTTCACAATAAACTTTCAATATCTCGCCCGGATGTTCATTGCAATACATTTTGTCCTTGATTTTCTTACGATTCTCCGGCTTTGACAACTCTTCCATCGTCAGAACAAAATGGCCAGTGTGTCCTCGATAACTGTCGTGAATAGTCAGACATTCTTGACATAAGAATTTCTCACAAGTGACACAGCGAGCGACTGAGTAGCTTTGACTACAATTATGTGAACACGGAACGCCAGTTCTTCGATCTCGGTTGAGTACGGCTGTCGCTTTTACAATGTTGCAGATGAAATGATTTCGTCTCATGTCGGCGACATTTTTGTCAGGATCGAGTGTAAACATCTCTCGACAATTTGGACATGGAAACTCTCGAACTGGTCGACCGCGAGGTGCTTCGTCACGACATGTTTTCACAACGTTTCCAAACAATCTTTGCAGAATGAGTGGAAGCAAGGAAGAGTTCTCGGGTCTTTTAGCGGCTCCAGACATACAGTACATTGTAGATTTTCTTCAAGTTCATTGATCGGGTCCGTCAAAGCGCCAGCCATTTGAAAACGATGAGAATTCTGAAACTAAGCGAGTTCTCACAGCAGACTTTGAATATATTCATTCCTTTAAGAAAAACAAAATACCTTAAACACTTGTTCTTTTCAAATTATAATAAAGATTAAATTGAGCGTGTACGTGGTAAGTCAAAAATAGCTGAAGCCTTTCATATTCAAATTGGCTGCTGGCGTGATTCGACCAATAAAAGAAAAGTTAAATACACTTTCATTATTTCTTATATTGTTTGAATTTTATTCTAACTTTTCAAGGGAATATTTTATAATATATCAATGATTCACTTTAGGCAAATTGAATCTGAAAGACATATGTTTTTATTAACTCCCTGCTACCGTGGTATTCCCTTGTCTATTGTAGATGAACATTTTGGGTTTCAACAATCTAGGAAATTTTCTTGGCACAAAGCCATCACTTAGGAGGAAGGGGTCGTGATGCAATAGTCTGTCCGTCACAGATTCTTCAATTAATGCTTACCCGTTGTCGTCATATCGACGCCAACAACTGATTTTATGGTCTATTTTGAAATACAAATATTGACAAGATTTTTACATACCACAAGGGGGAATACAAATATACCAAATCTGGGGGAATACAAATATACCAAAACATTTTCAGTTGCCAGTCGAGCTAGCATGCGTGGATAAAAAAAAAGAAAACAAAAATCCTAATTCAGTTCTTCATATATTAGCGGATTAAGACAAATAGTTAATATCTCAGTAAGACCTTTCCTTGGGTTGCTGTGTTGAACTAATTCTTTTCGATTTTTATTCATTTGTTAGCTTCGTTTTTGATATGTATACTTGCTACATCTAGGGTAGTGTTAGATCAGTTTTTGAGTTACATTGACGTTGGGGTACAAATTATGACTACTTTGACATTTCCCGTCTGAAAGAAGAACCAAATCTTTTCTTCATTTCTTGCGCCAACGCTTGTGAAATTTGTTTGTTGATGTCGACGAAGCGAATGTCTTTCAGATTGTAGGATTTGGGGGCATTCTTTGCAAAATTTGTCGCCGCCTCACACAACACTTCTGCGCCAATTGGAGCAGGAACACCTACTTCCCCGCAACCTATAGCAGGCATGGAGATGCTTGTAGCGCCATTTTGACCAGCAAGCTTTAAACACTTGAGAACTGCGTCAAATAACACTTTTTTGGCAGCGTCTCTGCGGTAATTATACGAACCTGGACCCACAGCATGAATGATAAATTTGCACGGAAGATTTCCTGCTTTTGTCACTATTGCATCCCCTGGATTGAGTGGTTTATTGCGTCGTCTCTTCATAATCTCAGTACTTTCATCTTGAATTGATCTCCCACCAACTTTTGCGATGGCTCTTGCTGTTTTGCCACTTTCATGGTCGAGATCTTCATTTGCTGAATTCACAATAAAATCGGCTGTCTCTTTAGTAATATCTCCTTGATATACAGAAATTTTTACACTATTGTATACAACCCAAGAAAACTTTTCGTCAATGTCGTATTCTTCTACTGCATTTCTGTTGCTGGACGAACTTTCTTCCGTCGTATCTTCAACCAGAAATTGTTGCGTTGTTGTGCTGGACTGAAGATTTTCTGTAATATCATTTTCAGCTTTACCTAAACGATATGAATGATTAAAATCCATCAAGGTGTCTTGGGTCAAATCTACAATTTTTTGGCTTCAGTGGATGGCATTTTACAAAGTTAAAGAGCGCGAGGAACAAGTTGACACTCCACCGGCGTTTTTACTCTTAACATGTGTTTAAAGCCTGGTTTGAGTGTATTAAATTTATGCATGATTAAATTTATGCATGATTAAATTTATGCATTTTATGCATCAATGACAACAATGATAGCCATAGCCTACCTGATACCTGTCAGGATTCATGAATACCTGTGTCAACTCACTTACCTTTGTTACTATCATTGATTTCTCCCAGACTGTTCATCAGCTGTTCCCTGGCCCCTTTGTTGAACGGGTTCTTGAAGTCACTGGTTGAGTAGTTAAATTTTACCACAGGTAACACTGCTCCGAAATTCGCTTTTTGTTGCTTCATGAGAAGACTATTTGCGCTATCTAAAATAATCTTTTGAGAAGAAATTATTTCTTCCTCCGTGCCTTGTTCGACCAGCTTCTTACTAAGATAAACATAATTTTGCAAGTTTTCTCCATACTGCTTTTTTTCCAAGATTTGTTTATCCATTTTTTCTCGTGCTTCTGTGTGAATAACTTCTACTCTGTTCAGAAGTGTTTCTGCTTTTTCATGCAACATTTCAGCGACATTCTTCAAGATAAACTCTTTTCGTTTTTTAATTTTACTTTTGACATCTTCAGCATCACGATCAAGTTGTTGTGTCGCTTTGGATAATTCTTCGAGGCAGGAGTTGTTCTCAGCTAAAACGCCATCCATTGTTTCATTTTTTGAAGCAAGTAGTTCCTTATATTTATCAGCGACATCTTTAACAAGGAAACATGAATGATCTGGCTTCGTGTGTTTAAAATCCATGCAGTCCTTACAAATCAGCTGGTCGCAGGTTTCACAGTAAACTTTAAGTTTCTTCCCCTGATGTTCATTGCAATACATTTTGTCATTGATTTTCTTACGATTCTCCGGCTTTGACAACTCTTCCATCGTCAGAACAGAATGACCAGTGTGTCCTCGATATTTGTTGTGATCTGTCAGACATTCCCGACATAAGAATTTCTCACAAGTGACACAGCGAGCGACTGAGTAGCTTTGACTACACTCATGTGAACACGGAACGCCAAATTTACGATCTCGGTTGAGTACGGCTGCCGCTTTTACCATGTTGCAGATGAAATGATTTCTTCTCATGTCGGCGACATTTTTATCAGGATCGAGTGTAAACATCTCTCGACAATTTGGACATGGAAACTCTCGAACTGGTCGACCGCGAGGTGCTTCGTCACGACATGTTTTCACAACGTCTTCCAAACAATCTTTACAGAATGAGTGAAAGCAAGGAAGAGTTCTCGGGTCTTTTAGTGGCTCCAGACATACAGTACATTGTAGATTTTCTTCAAGTTCATTGATTGGGTCCGTCTCCAAAGCACCAGCCATTTCAAATGAGAGCAACTATACTCCAAAGCTGCACCAACTTCCCGGTAGACTTTGCATTGCTATGGCCATATGAGTTTTGTTTGTGTATATTGTCACATGAATATCGAATTTCATCTCCACTTGAAAAAAAAAATTACTGATGTAAAAAAATTACCAAAATTATCAAATGACATTGCGGTGATTCTAATTATTTTAGATTCCGTGTTCTGTTAAACTTACCGTGCATGTCATGTCCAAGGCTGTTAAAATTTTGTAACAAAGAGTCGAACACAGTGCCGTCAGTGCGTTCATTTCACCTCTTGGCCGGATTTGTAAGTATAGAAAATTGTACGCGACGCGACTGATTCCGAATATATTTCATCAGTGTTGTTCTGGCCCGCCTGCGGGATTTTTCCCGTGCTCCAAGAGCAATCTGCCCCCTCATTGGTTGTCCTGTGGGATAAAGGGGGGGGGGCGTCTCAGGACTGGGATTTTTTCTGGTTTGTTTTTCGATGAGAGAAGCACTAGTTTTCTTACCAAAACTTTGTAGAATTGTATTTGTTTTTTCCTTTTTATTAAGCAATTTCTAAAACTACTCGAAGTCATTTGGTTACAGGGCTGATGAAGGGGCCGCGGGGTAGCCAAGGGTTCTGAAGGATCAGCACAAGTGTCATTAAGGTTGATGGGAAGTCGTGCTGCAATAATTTATCATCTTAACTACAAAAAAATACTACCACAGATTCTTTGATAGGTGCTTATTCATTGCACCAATACGAGTGACCCTTAGAGAGTCAGTTTAGACAAAATGTTTCTCTGCTTCAAGCAACATTTTTCTAGGAATTCGTACCATTTGCAATTTTGCATCTATCTTTACAAAAGAATATATTTAATCACAAAAAATTGTACCTACGCTTACACAAAAAATATAAACAGCTACTAACACACTTTGTTGTAGAACGGAGGAATATTCCTTGTTAATAATTCTTGTTTTCTTCTACTTCACCTTTTGGTGTTCATTGAACTTTCTTCCATGAACTTAATGTCTCTTTGCCCAAGAAGACTTTAAGACTATTTTTATCCTTTTGCTGGAAAGGTTTCCTTGGTTCATTCCTTTCACAATCTTCGTCTATATAAATGCTTTGATATGCTTCATTCCAATTTCTGGTAGCTGAGTTCTTCATGGAGCTGATATTTCTACAACCTCATTTGCAGCCATTTCAATAAGTTTAACATCCAGAAGATTTCCTCTAATCATCTGTGGTGTATTAACAACCATTTTTGCCACTAAAGGAACATAAAGAATGTTGATTTTATTTGGGCGTTAGATATGTGAAGATAAAGTCAAGATAAAATAAAATAAAGATATTACAATTATAATCAAGCTATACATGCATACGACATACACTATTAAGATGCACAATAACATTTGTTTTTTATCAGTGCCAAGCGAAGTGCAAAAAGTTCAAGTCATAATATGATAATTTCAAGCAAATACATCTTTACAAGCCTTCAGGATCCTTAAAGACAACCAATGCTTTTCCTCCTGGTAATAATCTCATTTCTTCAATTTTACCTCCATTTTTCTTTTTTTGAAAATGAATGAAAAGATCTTTTTTCCGTAGCGTCTTCAGGTAGTCCAAAAACCGTGATCGTCCGCGCTTCCTTCCCTCCTGAAGTTTCATATTCTGGTAATTTTTCTGCCGCTTTATTTAATGTACTTTTTCCTTTTCCTTTCACCTTGAACACGTTTCCTTTGAATATTTGCTCAGTATTGACGACTGTCGTGGCCGCTGAAAAGGAAACGAAATCAAAGAAAAAATGTTACGAAATCTGAGCCCAAACTTCACCTAATTTAACAAGCATCTTTCACTCCTTTTGTTGGAACTTTTTTCAAGTCAATCCTGACGAAAAACTGTTTATGTTACAATACAAATGTACCAGTTGTTAGGGAAAGTAACCCAAAAATCCACTGAACCAAACCCATATTACAAACCTTCAGGATCCTCAAAGACAACCATTGCTTTTCCTCCTGGTAATAACGTAACCTCTTCAATTTCACCTCCTCCATTTTTCTTCCTTTGAAAATGAATGTGAAGACCTTTTTCCGTAGCGTCTTCAGGTAGTCCAAAAACCGTGATCGTCCGCGCTTCCTTCCCTCTTGAACTTTCATCTGTCGTCAATTTTTCCACGTTATCTTCAAATGTTTCTTTTTCCACAAGATTCACCTTCAATAAATTCCCTTTGAATATTTGTTCCCTTTCTACAACCATCTTTGCCACTAAACAAGAAAAAAATTAAAGACACGAAAATTCAAGATCTGGGGACAAACCTCGTTAAATTGAACTGTAGTTATTTAAAAACGTGTTTGAGCAGTATTCTACAGTAACGTCCTTTATTTATATTTTGTTTCGTTGGGATGTAGATACAAAGAAAGTGCAGTTCCGAAAGGAAATCATCTGATAACGCGAAACTGGCAAACCTTCAGGATCCTCAAATACCACAAATGCTTTTCCTCCTGGTAATAATGTAATTTCTTCAATTTCTCCTCCTCTATTTTTCTTCTTTTGAAAATGAATGTGAACGCTGCTTTCCGTCACGTCTCCTGGAAGACCAGAGACCAAGATTGTTCGTGCTTCTTTCTCAGTTGAGATGTTTCTCAGTTGAGATGTTTCCATCCTTGATTTTGTATCAGCCGGGAGAAGTTTCACCTCCAAGGCATTTCCATAGATGATATGCTTTTTGTTGGCCACTGCTGTAGCAACTAAATAAGAAATAAACAAAGTTACATTACGAAAATTTCTTTTTAAAATATGCGATGCTGATTATTTATCTTTTCACACGTCCTCTGACCAAAGGTAGATTAAGTATTTGCAACACGGTGTAGAGATCGTTGAGTGCTATATTATGTAGTACTCACTGTAGTTCAAAATGCGCACGATTGAACACCTGCTTTGAAAGAAACGAATGATTTATTTGAATCACCGACAAACCTTCTGGGTCTGCAAAGGCAATTATTGCCTTTCGTCCGCTAATTAATGTAAATCTTTCAATTTCACCTCCACCATTTTTTTTCTTTTGAAAGTGAATATAGACCTGGTTTTCAGTCACTCCTTCAGGAATTCCAGTCACCAAAATCTTTTTCTCAAATTCAAAATCTGCTGGTATTTTTGTGATCGCGGGGTGTTCTTTAAAAAAGATTAATATATTATGGAACATGTCGCAGCTCTCGGAAGCTTTCGCCCAATTGGATAATGCTTTTCTATGCTGAAGGCCCGGGTTAACGGACCGAAAGCTTTGCAGTATTAAATACCTACGTGGTGTACCTACAAGCTAAATTACTTAATAGTTTTAATGATTAACGATTAACGATTTTAATGTCTCAGGATAACTTTTGTTGTACAGAAAAATTGAGTAATTCGCCTTTTTTCATATAGTCTGCATGTCTCGCATACTTGTTCAAGTATATATAAGAGTTAGCTAACAAACTTTTTCATAACAAACAATGATGACTTATCCTCCCCTCCCCCCCCTTGCTCTTTAATGTCGTCATTCTTTACCTGTACTAACCTATACCTGTTTGTGGATTCTTTTCATTCACCTCTCCTAAACATGTTTCCAGCTCTCTCATAAATCCTTTATGTAATGGTTCTTTATTATCGCGGGGAGTGTAGTTAAATTCTGAAACAGGAATTGTTTTGTTTAAATCTGCAAGGCGTTTTCTCAGATTATTTGCGTTTTCCAGGATTATCTTCTGAGAGGATAATATTTCTTCATCAGTGCCTTGCTCGAGCAGTTTGTTCGAAAGATGAACAGATCTTTGTAAGTTTTCTACATACTCTTTTGTTTCTTTAGTTTGTTTGTCTAACTTTGTTCGTGTATTTGCGCGAACATTTTCTACTTTGTTAAAAAGTGTTTTTGTTTTTTGATCCAACATTTCAACGACATTCTTCAAAATGAACTCTTTTCGTTGGGTAATTTTAGTTTTGGCATATTCTGCATCGCGTTCAAGTCCTTCTGTTGTTCGCAACAATTTCTGAAGAGAGTAAATATTCTTAGCTAAAACTTCATTCATTATTTTATTATTAGAAGTGAGCAGTTCCTTGTATTTGTTGGCCACATCTTTAACAAGAAAACATGAATGATTTTCCTTCACGTGTTTAAAATCCATGCAGTCCTTGCAAATCAGCTGGTCGCAGGTTTCACAATAAACTTTAAGTTTTTTCCCCTGATGTTCATTGCAATACATTTTGTCATTGATTTTCTTACGATTCTCCGGCTTTGACAACTCTTCCATCGTCAGAACAGAATGACCAGTGTGTCCTCGATATTTGTTGTGATCTGTCAGACATTCCCGACATAAGAATTTCTCACAAGTGACACAGCGAGCGACTGAGTAGCTTTGACTACAATTATGTGAACACGGAACGCCAAATTTACGATCTCGGTTGAGTACGGCTGTCGCATTTACCATGTTGCAGATGAAATGATTTTTTCTCATGTCGGCGACATTTTTGTCAGGATCAAGTGTAAACATCTCTCGACAATATGGACATGGAAACTCTCGAACTGGTCGACCGCGAGGTGCTTTATCACGACATGTTTTCACAACGTCTTCCAAACAATCTTTACAGAATGAGTGGAAGCAAGGAAGAGTTCTCGGGTCTTTTAGCGGCTCCAGACAAACAGTACATTGTAGAGTTTCTTCAAGTTTATTGATCGGATCAGTTTCCAAAGCATGAGCCATTTGAAAACGATGAGAATTCTGAAACTAAGCGAGTCCTCACAGCAGACTTTGAATATTCATTTCTTTAAGAAAAACAAAATACCTCAAACACTTGTTCTTTTCAAATTATAATAAAGATTAAATTGAGCGTGTACGTGGTAAGTCAAAAATAGCTGAAGCCTTTCATATTCAAATTGGCTGCTGGCGTGATTCGACCAACAAAAGAAAAGTTAAATACACTTTAATTATTTCCTATATTGTTTGAATTTTATTCTAACTCCTGAAGGGAATATTTTATAATATATCAATGATTCACTTTAGGCAAATTTGAATCTGAAAGACATATGTTTTTATTAACTCCCTGCTACCGTGGTATTCCCTTGTCTATTGTAGATGAACATTTTGGGTTTCAACAATCTAGGAAATTTTCTTGGCACAAAGCCACCACTTAGGAGGAAGGGGTCGTAATGCAATAGTCTGTCCGTCACAGATTCTTCAATGAGTGCTTGCTTACCCGCTGTCGACTCGTCATATCGACGGCAACAACTGATTTTATTGTCTATTTTGAAATACAAATATTAACAAGATTTTTACATACTATAAGGGGGAATACTAATATACCAAAACATTTTCAGTTGCCAGTCGAGCTAGCATGCGTGGATAAAAAAAAGAAAACAAAAATCCTAATTGCTTCATCTATTAGCGGATTAAGACAAATAGTTAATATCTCAGTAAGACCTTTCCTTGGGTTTCTGTGTTGAACTAATTCTTTTCGATTTTTATTTATTTGTTAGCTTCGTTTTTGATATGTATACTTGCTACATGCATCTAGGGTAGTGTTAGATCAGTTTTTCAGTTACATTGACGTTGGGGTACAAATTATGACTACTTTGACATTTCCCGTGTGAAAGAAGAACCAAATCTTTTCTTCATTTCTTGCGCCAACGCATCTGAAGTTTGTATGTCGATGTCCACGAAGCGAATGTCTTTCAGATTGTTCGACTTGGGGGCATTCTTTGCAAAATTTGTCGCTGCCTCACACAACACTTCTGCGCCAATTGGAGCAGGAACACCTACTTCCCCACAACCTATAGCAGGCATGGAGATGCTTGTAGCGCCATTTTGACTAGCAAGCTTTAAACAGTTTAGAACTGCGTCAAATAACACTTTTTTGGCTCCCTGGTTGTGGTAATCATACACACTTGGACCCACAGCGTGAATGATAAATTTGCATGGAAGATTTCCTGCTTTTGTCACTATTGCATCCCCTGGATTGAGAGGTTTATTGTGTCCCTTTAAAAATTCAGTACTTTCATCTTGAATTGATCTCCCACCAACTCTTACGATGGCTCTTGCTGCTTTGCCATCATTTGTGAGTTCTTCATTTGTCGGATTCACAACAAAATCGGCTGTCTCTTTAGTAATATCTCCATGATATACAGAAATTTTTACGTTCTTGTATACAACCCAAGAAAGCTTTTCGTCAATGTCGTATTCTTCTACTGCACTTCTGGTGTTAAACGAACTTTCTTCCGTCGTATCTTCACCCAGAAATTGTTGCGTTGTTGTGCTGGACTGAAAATTTTCTTTTATCTCATTTTCAGCTTTACCTAAACGATATGAATGATTAAAATCCATCAAGGTGTCTTGGGTCAAATCTACAATTTTTTTGCTTCAATGGATGATATTTTACAAAGTTAAAGAGCGCGAGGAACAAGCTGACACTCCACCGGCGTTTTTACTCTTAACATGCATGTGAAGCCTGGTTTGAGTGTATCGTAATTAAATTTAATCTTTTTATGCATCAATGACAACAATGATAGCCATCGCCTACCTGATACCTGTCAGGATTCATGAATACCTGTGTCAACTCACTTACCTTTGTTACTATCATTGATTTCTCCCAGACTGTTCATCAGCTGTTCCCTGACCCCTTTGTTGAACGGGTTCTTGAAGTCACTGGTTGAGTAGTTAAATTTTACCACAGGTAACACTGCTCCGAAATTCGCTTTTTGTTGCTTTATGAGAAGACTATTTGCGCTATCCAAAATCATCTTTTGAGAAGAAATTATTTCTTCCTCTGTGCCTTGTTCGACCAGTTTCTTGCTGAGATAAACATAATTTTGCAAGTTTTCTCCATACTGCTTTCTTTCCAAGATTTGTTTATCCATTTTTTCTCGTGCTTTTGTGTGAATAACTTCTACTCTGTTCAGAAGTATTTCTGCTTTTTCATCCAACATTTGAGCGACATTTTTCAAGATAAACTCTTTTCGTTGTTTAATTTTAGTTTTGACATCCTCAGCATCACGATCAAGTTGTTGTGTTGCTTGCGATAATTCTTCAAGGCAGGAATTGTTCTCAGCTAAAACGCCATCCATTGTTTCATTTTTTGAAGCAAGTAGTTCCTTATATTTATTAGCGACATCTTTAACAAGAAAACGTGAATGATCTGGCTTCATGTGTTTAAAATCCATGCAGTCCCTGCAAATCAGCTGGTCGCAGGTTTCACAATAAACCTTCAATATCTCGCCCGGATGTTCATTGCAATACATTTTGTCCTTGATTTTCTTACGATTCTCCGGCTTTGACAACTCTTCCATCGTCAGAACAGAATGACCCGTATTTGCTCGATAATTGTCGTGGGCTGTCAGACATTCTTGGCATAAGAATTTCTCACAGGTGACACAGCGAGCGACTGAGTAGCTTTGACTACAATTATGTGAACACGGAACGCCAATTTTACGATCTCGGTTGAGCACAGCTGTCGCTTTTACCATGTTGCAGATGAAATGATTTCTTCTCATGTCGGCGACATTTTTGTCAGGATCGAGTGTAAACATCTCTCGACAATTTGGACATGGAAACTCTCGAACTGGTCGACCACGAGGAGCTTCGTCACGACATGTTTTCACAACGTCTTCCAAACAATCTTTACAGAATGAGTGGAAGCAAGGAAGAGTTCTCGGGTCTTTTAGTGGCTCCAGACATACAGTACATTCCAGATTTTCTTCAAGTTCATTGATCGGATCATTTTCCAAAGCACGAGCCATTTAAAAAGATCGAAATTTCAAAATTTCTTGTACATTTTAATCGAAATACTCGCTGGTTCTCACATGAGTTTTAAATATTCATGACTTCTTAGAATAACAATTCCTGGTATAAAACGTTTGTCTCGGATTCAATTACAAAAAAAAACTCAGTCAAGGTGGGGTTTCTGTCATGTGACTACACGCATTACTTGAGAGTTTTTGTCAGCTGGGAACTACCAAATAAAACCTTTTCCCCATGTTCAAACCATGAAAGTTCTAATAGCCTAAAAGACAGCAGTCCAATCAGGCAATCACATCATGCTAGTCTAGTAATTCTTAGTCTATTATTGACGATATGTGTGTTTCTTTCGCAATACGTGTTGCTAAATTCCAATCACCATGAGCCGTTCACGCGATGACCTGATTTCTATCGGAACCAACCAGTCAAATTTTGTAGCTAATAAAATTTATAAAAGACGGTGAAGATTTTGATTTCCCGAGACCTGAATAAATAATATACCAAATCTATCAAATCAATGCGCATTTGCTACCAAGCGTTGCTTTCCAGACCCGTCACGGTCGCATGGGCAGATTTTCGTGTGGTACTCTCAGATCAGTGATGGTACTGAACAATATCATACACTCGCCATTTGATCTACCGATTAAGGTGGTACGTGTTATTAATATTATGATATTAAAATTTTTACTACCGGTATATACATAGAAAATTTGATATCATGTTTGAAATGGCGTGCAAAGATGGTCGCATTTAAGTTAAAAATCCTTCGCAAAAATAATTTTAGAAGTGTTTGAACTCGTTTATTTTATTTACTTCCTATTTATACTAAAGTCACACCTAGACAAGTGTTCGTTGACAGCCATTTAAACTATTCACGAACGTTGAAATTCAGGTCGATATTTTTGAAATGAGAAGTCCATCTAAGCTGTAAACTTATACTCAGAATTTCTTTTTCAAACTCCCATTTAACAAAGATATATTTCAAAAAGTGTTTTTCGATATCACGATATTATATATCATCCTGGAAGATATATTTTAAACGTTTATATTTTATTTGTTTCAACATATACAGTACGTTATGTAGTTGACATAAAATGAAAACCGCCTATATTTACTGACACGCCACGCTTAATACTTAAAATAAAATTTAGATTAATCGTGCTGGTATTTATCGTCAAACCGAAGAGATAACAAGAATTATCATTATTATATTATGATATGTCTAGTTAAGCTACGTCTGACCTCACATTAACCCTGGACACGAGGTTGCACATTAACTGCCGTGGAAAGACAGTTTTAACTAACATTGACGATGCGATACATGCAGGAACACAGTGACACCCCCCCCCCCTCATTTTCATCATGTTTAACTGTCTCACAAACGCCGTCACTCATCTTCAGAAACATCAGAATAAAGTTCCCATCAGACCAAAGGGAATTGCGGCACTTCATTTGGTTCATTGTGAGATTTCACAACTCATTTCATCAGACTAGTTTCTGTTTCATAAAGATCACTCAAGAACACTTGAATGTAATTAAGTACTCAGGATAGTGCTGATAGTCATAAAAAACAACGTAGATCAGTGGCTTTGCTGCATTGTCAACAACAGAGTCGTAACTAACATCTGGATTGCTAGCGTCAATTGGCGGCGGAACTATCAGACCTTCTTTTCCTTTTGTGTATTTACCAACCAAGACCTTGGCTATGTACATATACTGTAGACCTTTCTCATCAGGAGCAGCATATTGTCTTCTTGCTGAATACCAAGCTTCTCTGGCAAAGTACACACCATTGCCAAACTTCACAGCTGAAAATTAAAACATGATATTGGGTATTTTTCACACATATATCTTTAACAACAATTTAATTATTGGATGTCATTTTTATTTGGAAATTCATTAGTATTAGATAAAGAGGAATTAATTAGCAATGGGTATTATTTGCAACCAGATTTCAGTGGTAATTGACCATATTGGTAATTACATAACACTTGAGTGTGGTTAAGGGTCACATGCTTTACGTCTTCAGCCTCACTTCCATGCAGTCGTTACATAATTCCTGGAAAGTCGATCCTTAGTTGTAATTACATAAGGTGAGATAAATACCAAAGCAGTAAAAAGGGCAAATATCAGGGAAGTTGCTAATTAGAGGGAAAGTTAATTTAGAAAGTTTCTATGAATTTGCAGTTGAATATTGTGGTTACCATTTTTTCCACAATAAGATCTGTTAAAACCATTGCAGTTGATTTTTTCCACAGCATCTTTTGTTGTTCCATGATACAGATCCAGTTCATTTCCACCATTGCTCATTTTCTTCTTCTTTCCCTGGTACAATTGATACAATCCTGGATTTTGAATTCTCTCAATCTTTACAACCTCCGCATTGGAAACGTTTGCCGCTAATGAGAGCGACGCTAGAAACTTGTCGTGAATTTCGTCATATTCTGTGTCTTGTTTCTCGATATTGAAGCGAAACACTTGAAGCTCCTGCCCAGTGGAACCGTCTATTGGCTGATATTCCCAATTTGAAGGAAATGGAAATGCTGAAATGTATGACATGAATTTACTGTATATAATTGTACTGGTTATAATGTTTAGTATTTACACGACTGATGTAAAGTTTTTCAAAAGAATACTTTCGGCATTTTTATTTCATGATTAACCAGAATGATTACCAATACCTTCACACGGGCGTCTGTAGACTTTCATCAGGCCTTCGTTTGAAGTCAAACATGTCTCTGTCTTGGTTTTGAAATCTATTTTATATTTCTCATCGTCACCAACTTCGACAGTCCCAGAAGGATTTCTCTTGTACTCCGTCTCTATCTTGGCGCTCATTTCTTTTGCGTACTTTTCAGGAATAACAACACCTTTATCACCCTCGTAATAGAACCATTCAACCTAAAACAAGGTGCGTGAGGAGTTGATGTTGTGTTAAGACCCTGAGTAACCTCTGCCCTCGAGAGGAACAATACACTAACCTCAATGGGTCATTAAAGGGTCAGCCGTGTTTGTAACTGAATATCAAACTATAATGAAACCTCTATCAAACCTCTCGGACGGTCGCATCCGTGTTATTTTTCTTTTGTTCCCAGTCGTGGATAATACAGTGAATCTTTCCCACAGCAATCGATACATTCCTCGCCAGCCCGCTAATTCTGATGTATCCAATAGTGGGTTCACACTCAATACGAACATCGTGGAGGTCTTGTATTTCCATGATTTTTTCCAGTTGTCTCCTATCAATCACCTGTTGTGTCTCGATGGTCTCAGTATGACATTGTTCTGCCTCGACCCGTTTCAGTTCTTCCTTGATCGCTGCGATGTCGTTCGAACTTTCCGCTGCAATTTCCAGAGTAATCTGTTGCCTCGTCTTACGTGTGCTTCCTATTGGAAAAAACATTGGTTCGGTGACTGTTTAAGCTAGTTTAGTTTAGGTTTCCTCCGGTAGTAACACTGGATCAATAAGAGATAATCCTTACTGGACCTCTAGGAAGGACAGTTTCGAACTGATAAAGCTATCTATCCAGTATAAATCAAGTTAGTTGAGTTTAGGTTTCCTCCTGTATAAACACTGGATCATTACCACTGGTGTGGTAATTTTTAAGCAGTTTCTGTGAAAGGTGATTATTCAGTATCCGCACACGTACCTTGTGTAATATCCTCGCAAACCAGAAATCCGATTGCATCAGTGGATTCTTCGACTATATTTCCTTGAACAATTTCCACCTCAACTCCGCCTGTTTCATCTTTTTCTTTGCCCAAACTCCTGTCAAAGAAACTCCAAAACGTTTTACGTATTGTTTTCAAAACATCTGCACCACTTTCCGAACCTTGTTTTGTTTTTCGTGCATTCACGTCAGCATTTGGTGAGAAGACTTGAAATTGCTCTTTGAATGCATCGACGGCTGTCTTATTCCCATTGCAAACGACAACGTTAACCGTTTTGATTTTTGAGGAAGGCTTGTGATCTGAACTGAATTGCGTCGCCTCTTCAAACAAGATCTTCGCGACCAATTTTTCCGGGAATCCCAGAGTCCCAGAACCGAGAGCGGGGATTGAGATCGAGGTGAGCGAGAGAGCTTCGGTTTTGGATAACAGTTTTTGCACAACCTCACGGAGTTTCTACAGAAGAGTAATGCGAAATGTTTGCCGAGCTTCACCCCGCCAACATGGCTCTCAACAATGTTGTTTACTTGATACAAACCTGTCCATTTACCTTTTCTCCCTGATCAAGTGTCCATCTCGGAAATACAACATGAAAGACTTTCTTGCATTTCAACTTGGCTCCATCTGTGATTGCTCCATCTTTAACCACACCCTTTTCTTTTATCCATTTCTCGCATAAAGTTTTCAGTTCGCTTCCAGCTTCGTCAAAAATTGCTTTTGAGCAAGGATTCTTCGTGAGGTTCAGATCACTTCCAACCGTATTCACGATAACATCGGTCTAGTTGAGGATAATAGAAAATTTGCATTAGCTTGATTTCATTTATTTACTTGTTTGGGGGTTTGCGTAGGACACTTGCAAAAATAACGTTGTTGAAATAACTCACTCACCGTGGATTTTGCAATGTTTCCAATCGTCAGTCGCACTTCCATTCCCTCGGGAGTTTTAAATGTAAAATGATCACTTGCTTTGGTTGTATCCGCTGGCGAAACTCCACCAGATGCGCCTAGCAACGGTCTCCATCTATCACGAACCCGCTCGTTGATATGTAAGTTTGAATCAGAACTAAACCTTCTCACTATTTCTTTCATTAATGCCTCGATGGCCGAGGGTTCAATATCGACAAAATGAACTTGTTGTAAACTGTGGGAAGGTTTTTCTTGTAAGAATTCACAAGTCGCTGCTACTAAACTTTTTGCACTGATGTCGTAGGGAATCCTGTAGACTCCTGTGCCCAGCGCTGGGATTGCAATAGTTTGACCCTTGGTTGCCCTCTCCAAGACATTAGTACAACAGTGCCTAGGAATGAAGCATTGGTAAAGTTAGCTGTCACCATCATTAACAAGCATAGTCATCGAACTTTTACCATAATTAATTATCATAGTCACCATGACTATTTGTAACAACTCCATCTTCACCACCATTAACCACCATAGCTCATTACCATCCCCATCCATCCATTCATCATTTACCATCACAATCCTTCTCATTCAGCTACATTATAAAATAACATTGACCCACCTTAAATACTTCTCTTCCCTTGTTTCGCCTTCACCATAACCATCAGACGGATGATACATTGGCACAACTACATGAAGTATTTCCTTACACATCAATTTCCCTCCGTCAGTAGTGACAACATCTCCAAGTAAAAGTTTTGCCTTTCCCCGTTCATTTAAGGCACGGAAACAGTCCTCCTGGATTTTACGCCCTCCTTTTTCAACTATCGCCCTGGCAAGTCCGCCAACATGCTTTAGCTCGTCGCTCGCAGAATTCACTAAGTAATCTACGGGATGTTCCAGGATATCTCCTTGATGTACCTCAATGATCTTACCATTCGGGAAGGTGTATCGACATTGCATTGTACGTTTCCTGTCTTTCTTGCTACTAACAGTGCTTGCATTTTGTGATCGGAATGAATCCTGTCTTTCTGGCTGGTCGTTGACTGTGACTACAATTCCACATCGATGTTTTCTTTCGATGTTCTCAATTGCCATGTACGCCATTCCTTTTATACTCGACGCTGTTTCCGGTGTTCCGTAATCCATCTTCTCTACCCTTAGATCTGAAACACAAGTTGTTGTAGTATAATATATCTCAATATAACTCATTTTGGCTAACGCTAAATATGCCCGTAGAGACAGAAAAAGTAACTGGTCGTCATGGTCACTCCCGAAGAAATGGACAGTCGCTAACAAACTATCAAACACGTTCCAAAAAAAATACATTACAAACCTTTTGTAAGAACTTGTATGCTCACACAACAATTCTCGACTACTGGCTTCTCACCAGATAGAATCAAGGCTTCGCCTCCAATCTCTATCTTCAAGCCAGGTAATGAAAGCCGCAAGCCTTCCAAGGTAGTTTGCCCGTAATTCGAGAGATAGCGTAGGACTGCCTTTTGAAGTGGTACTCTTTGTTCTACTGTTTTCTTTCGTTCTTTAAAATCGTCGATTTTCCCGTTTAGGTTTCGCGAATGCTTCTTGAAACAGATGATTCGTGGAACGCCATCTTCTCTTTGTAATGAAAGCGGAGTCGATATTCCCAACTCGTTGAGCAATGCATCCTGGGATGATTTCGTTCGCAAACCTGAAAGAAAACGTTTAGAACTGAGAAGGAGTGAACTGTGATGTTTTTTTCGACTGGGTAGTCTCCGTTGAAAGATTTATAAGCGAAGATGTATTATAAACATTTACAGAACTTACCTTCAGGGAGTTTTATTTCAACCATAGCATTCACAATAATATCAAAAGCTCTGTCTACGTGTGTCTTTTGCATACCATACAGTGTTACCATTCCTTTATCATCGCCTAAAACTTCCACCAAAGAATTCTCTGCGGTCAACAGCGACTTTACGTGTGAAATAGCTTTGTTTGCCTTCAACAAGGAAAATCTGTCTCCATTTAAGGAACGCTCTTCAAAAAGGCAAACAATTTCTTGCGTTTCACTTTTGAGTTGTTGTATTTGTGTTGGTGAGCCTTTCACGGTTATTCTTCCGCTTGTTTCGTCTTGTATTATTTCTAAACCATCTCGCTTCAGTGAAGTTTCTAAGCTGTTCAAATAACGGCGATAATAATGTTCTCAGTTAGTTGCATGATTACTGCATACATATAGTCGTTATTTATATTGTTAAATACTGTAAATACTTGCCTCTGAAATTTTGTTGATTGTTGAAGCAACCTCAGATGAACGGGTAATAATTGTATAGAATCGTCGCATCGATTTGCTTGCTCTTCGACTTTGGCAACACACTTTTTCACCTCCTCGTGGGCCATATCCAACATACCCACTGCTCTTCCGACAAGCTTTAGAAAGCCTTCATCATATCTCTCGATAAAAGAAACTGATTTACCAGCGCTAAACACTGAGAATACTTCTTGCAACTTCTGCTTCAATCCGTGCTTGAGCAAAGTAGGTTTTACCAGCACGATTTCGTATTTGAATGCTTTCATATCAATAAGGAAGTGTTCTTTTGTTTCCTCACTGGAAAATGAAAAGTGTACCCAATCTCCTCTTGTCTCGATGTTCGGCTGTGGTTCTTTCAAAGCAAGGGAAAGCTGGGCAGGATGATTTTGTTTCAGGTAGTGATATAAATCACTGTCAATCGCTGTAACGAAGACTGTCGCTTTGGGACGTTCTTGTTTTGGTGTAGTTTCTACAAGGCTGGTCGAGTTTCTTATTCCATTCCATGCCACGCCCTTTATATTCGAAGCGATTTCTTGCGTTCCGTAATTCATCTTGTCTGCCTTCAGATCTAAAACACGAGCTATTATTGCTCAGTCCTTTGCTCGACATTCAAGGCATACCTTTATATATCCCCAAAGACACTGTCAATATGTGGTTGGCAAATTGTACGACACCCAAATGAATTTTTATCGTATGTTTTGGCTTTCTGATCTTCCGTGTGGTACATAATAATATTTTCAAGCGCAGAAAGGTGCAATGAATGCTTACGTTGTCTTGCCCTCCCCATGGTCCAGGGGCCCGCTGTATAAAACTCTTTAACTACATTTTGCATAGTTAAATCTAGTCAACTCAGAAATACACGACTCTGATTGGCCAATTCTGTTCTTAACTACAGTCAAAACTTAACTAGCCTTTTTTACAACTGGGGCCGGTTGTTCTAAAGGCTTTTAGCTTAAACGGTGGATAAGTTCAAAATGGAAAACAAAATTATCTACTTATTGAACAACTGAGCTGAACTATTTCGATGTAAATAGTTTAATTGTCAATGGAAGAATGGAAGTACATATTTAATGCATAAGATGTAGGTTCAGTCATTCACAAGATCTATGAGAGTATTTTTAAAATTTGCCTTATCCACTTTTTAAGCTAAACGCCTTTCGAACAACCGGCCACTGACCCCTGTAAGGTATCATGCCCTTCCCATAGTTTATTTTAGGTGTATTGCCCTCCCCACAGTTTCTCCAGGGTGTTTTGCCCTCCCCACAGTTTCTCCAGGGTGTTTTGCCCTCCCCACAGTTTCTCTAGGGTGTCTTGCCCTCCCCACAGTTTCTCCAGGGTGTCTTGCCCTCCCCACAATTTCTGTAGGATGTCTGGCCAGCCCTCCCCTCCCCACATTTTCTGTAAGATGTCTTACCACCATTCTTAATTCCTAAACATCTCGCCAACATTTTTGAAATCTCTTCTTTTGATGGCTCTTCGCTTGTAGTGTGTGAGTAGGTTAACTTTTCAACGGTTACAGGCGGTTTAAAATATTCCTGGCGTTTTTTTAGAAGATTCTTTGTGCTCCCCAGCATAATTTTTTGAGATGAAATAATTTCTTCTTGAGTGCCTTGCTCGACCAATTTTTTTGAAAGATGAACAGATTTTTGTAAATTTTCTAGGTAAGATTTTGTTTCTTTGGTTTGTTCGTTTAACTTTGCCCGCTCTCCTTTGTGATGTTGATTAGCTTCGTTCAAAAGCGTTTCAGTGTGTTCATTTAAAATAGCAACAACATTCTTGATCATGAATTCCTTATTCTGTACAATTTTACTTTTGACATTCTCAGCATCTCGATCAAGTTCTTCCACCGTATTTGTCAACTGTTTCACAATGGCATTGCCTTCTGTTAAAACTTCATCAATTTTCTTATTATTCGAAGCAAGTAGCTCCTTATATTTGTTGGCGACATCTTTAACAAGAAAACATGAATGATCTGGCTTCGTGTGTTTAAAATCCATGCAGTCCTTGCAAATCAGCTGGTCGCAGGTTTCACAATAAACTTTCAATATCTCGCCCGGATGTTCATTGCAATACATTTTGTCCTTGATTTTCCTACGATTCTCCGGCTTCGACAACTCTTCCATCGTCAGAACAGAATGATCGGCATTTGCTCTGTAGTTGTTGTGGGCTGTCAGACATTCTTGGCATAAAAAATTCTCACAAGTGACGCAGCGAGCGACTGAGTAGCTTTGACTACAATTATGTGAACACGGAACGCCAATTTTACGATCTCGGTTGAGTACGGCTGTCGCTCTCACAATGTTGCAGATGAAATGATTTCTTCTCATGTCGGCGACATTTTTGTCAGGATCGAGTGTAAATATCTCTCGACAATATGGACATGGAAACTCTCGAACTGGTCGACCGCGAGGTGCTTTATCACGACATGTTTTCACAACGTCTTCCAAACAATCTTTACAGAATGAGTGGAAGCAAGGAAGAGTTCTCGGGTCTTTTAGCGGCTCCAGACATACAGTACATTCCAGGTTCTCTTCAAGTTCATTGATCGGATCAGTTTCCAAAGCATGAGCCATTTGCAAACGATGAGAATTCTGAAACTAAGCGAGTCCTCACAGCAGACTTTGAATATTCATTTCTTTAAGAAAAGCAAAATACCTCAAATACTTGTTCCATTCAAATTATAATAAAGATTAAATTGAGCGTGTACGTGGTAAGTCAAAAATGGCTGAAGCCTTTCATATTCAAATTGGCTGCTGGCGTGATTCGACCAACAAAAAACAGTTAAATACACTTTCATTATTTCTTATATTGTTTGAATTTTATTCTAACTCCTGAAGGGAATATTTTATAATATATCAATGATTCGCTTTAGGCAAATTGAATCTGAAAGACATATGTTTTTATTAACTCCCTGCTACCGTGCATGGTATTTCGCTTGTGTGTTGTAGATGAATATTTTGGGTTTCAACAATCTAGGAAATTTTCTTGGTACAAAGCCATCACTTAGGAGGGAGGGGTCGTCATGCAATAGTCTATCCGTCAGAGATTCTTGAATTAGTACTTATTTTTTGCACCTTAAAGAGCCAGTTAAGAAGAATGGCGAATTTTAGACAGTTACCCGCTGTCGTCATATCGACTGCAGCAACTGACTTAAGTGCATTCCTGTTCCATCCTTGTTCGCTTTAGTTTAGTTCAGGCATGTAAGTGTGACTAATGTCGTATTTCATAGATGATGTTAGAATAATTCTAGCTAGTTCGTCCAACGCGAATCTGACGATGTCATCCCTATAGAAACTGACTCGACTGCCTGTTTCAACTGGCTGCCCAAAAGTGGATATTATATATTGACTCTGAAAACACTGTTTTCTACGATCCAAAGGTTTGCGAAGCGCCTCGCCTCGCGAGGTCCGCGAACTTGCCCCCCAACCTACTCGGTCTATACTTTCTATCTAGACATGTTTTCACAACGTCTTCCAAACAATCTTTACAGAATGAGTGGAAGCAAGGAAGAGTTCTCGGGTCTTTTAAGGGCTTCAGACTTACATTGCATTGAATATTTTCTTTAAGTTCATTGATCGGGTCAGTTTCCAAAGCACCAGCCATTTAAAACGATGAAAATTTCGAGGCTTTGTCTGCTTACACAATCGACCTTAAATTTTGGTCGGTGCTCTTGGAGAGATGTTTTTTATTATGAGTATTGATTACTTCTTAGAAATACCAATTTAATTCCTGGTATAAAACACTTGTCCCGATCAAATTACACACATTGGAAAATACCAATCAACTCGGGATTGCCTTCATGGCCCCGTGCCCTTGTGGTACCCTGTCAAGTGTAATTGTATACCTGACGTTTTTAATCAATGAAGCGTATTCAAAAATATGTAGCCGTTCTATATATTTAAACATTTGATGAATATTATTTACCATAATTAAAGAGGAAAGTTAAAAGAAGAATGGCGAATTTTAAACAGTTACCCGCTGTCGTCATATCGACTGCAGCAACTGACTTTAGTGCATTCCTGTTCCATCCTTGTTCGCTTTAGTTTAGTTCAGGCATGTAAGTGTGACTAATGTCGTATTTCATAGATGATGTTAGAATAATTCTAGCTAGTTCGTTCAACATGCATCTGACGATGTCATCCGTAAGAACTGACTCGGCTTCCCGTTTCAACTAGCTGCTCAAAAGTGGATATTATATATATTTACTCTGAAAACACCGTTTCCTACGATCCAAAGGTTTGCGAAGCGCCTCGGCTCGCGTAGTCCGCGAATTTGCTCCCAACCTACTCGGTCTACACTTCTATCCCTTAGTGGTATCTCGTGAAGGGTAGTGTAGCTGTATATTTTTTGTGTGATGTAAAATTACATCACCTAAAAGTCCGACCAACACGCATGCGCTTGCCAAAGGAAAGACATACTTTAGTACCGTTTCTGAGAATTTTTTTATTAATAAAGGGTATTCAAGAATATAAAACTATATCTATGCATATTAACTTTTTTAATATTTTTTAACATCAATTGGCAAGTAAAAGCAATAGCGAATTTGCGCTATCTTTGTCTTGACGCCGTGTCTGTTCATGATATTGGAAGCTCGTTTTGACGTGCAGTACTTTCCAGAAATAACCTAACACTGCGGTTGCGGTTAGGTAAACGTTTCTTTGATTCCATTGTGGTTGAATAATTTCCACCTTTATTGCTTTACTGCATGGCGGTCATGGTTTGATTATATCAGTTACAGACTTACTACTTCATCAGTTGCAATCAGTAATTATATACAATATAGATTATTTATTAAAACCACAAGTTAAAATCCTGATTTGCTGCGGTCATCAGAAAAATATAACTTGCTCGTGTTGTCACGTTTCCTGCTTCTACACCTGCTTCCGCTTCCGCTTTCAATTACCTCCTGTGTGTTTGAGTCACACCTGGGCTCAGATTGTAGGGGATTTGTGGTTTGGTTAATCCAGCTTTCATTTTCTCGTCTCGTTCGATAATTGGATTTTCCGTCCATGTTCCGAGAATATGGTGGTAAACTAAACTGCTCAAGGTCAGTTAGATGTCGAGGGCTCTGGCGTGGTCTGCCTAGTGGCTGATGAGAATCTAGCTTTTCAATCTTAAGAACATGGCGATCAGCTGTAGCACGCCTGAGTGCACTTCTATTCCTTTTGTCTGTGTTGTACACCTCTTCCTTATCCACCTCTCCTAGAGTCTTTTCCAGCTCTGTCAGGACGTCGGACAATGTGTACTGATTATTTCCATTGTCACAAATGCTGTAGTTGATTTTTACAACAGGCATTGTTTCGCGTTTTCTTAGATTATTTGCTCTGTTAAGCATCGCTCTTTGGTAAGAAAGTATTTCTTCTTCCGTGCCTTTTTCAACCAATTTTGCTGAACGCTGAACAGATCTTTGTATGTCTTTTACATACTCGGTCTGTTCATCTAATTTTGCTCGTGCTTCTGCGCAAATATCTTCTACTTTTTCCAAAAGTTCTTCTTCTTTTTGATTCAACATTTTAATGACTTTCTTTGCAACGAATTTTTTTCGTTTCTCGATTTTATTCTTCACATCGTCTGCAACACGTTCAAGTTCTTCTGTTGTGCTTGACAATTCGTCGCAAAATGAAATATTTTTTGCTAAAATTTCGTCCATTTTTTTTATATTAGAAACAAGAAGTTTCTTATATTTATTGGCCGCATCTTTAACAAGAAAACATGAATGATCTGGCTTCGCGTGTTTAAAATCCATGCAGTCCTTACAAATCAGCTGGTCGCAGGTTTCACAATAAACTTTCAATATCTCGCCCGGATGTTCATTGCAATACATTTTGTCCTTGATTTTCTTACGATTCTCCGGCTTTGACAACTCTTCCATCGTCAGAACAGAATGACTGGTATTTCCTCGATATTTGTTGTGGTCTGTCAGACATTTTCTGCATAAGAATTTCTCACAAGTAACACAGCGAGCGACAGAGTAACTTTGACTACAATTGTGTGAACACCGAACGCCAATTCCACGATCCAGTACGGCTGTCGCTTTTATCATGTTGCAGATGAAATGATTTCTTCTCATGTCGGCGACATTTTTATCAGGATCGAGTGTAAACATCTCTCGACAATATGGACACGGAAACTCTCGAACTGGTCGACAGCGAGGTGCTTCGTCACGACATGTTTTCACAACGTTTTCCAAACAATCTTTACAGAATGAGTGGAAGCAAGGAAGAGTTCTCGGGTCTTTTAAGGGCTTCAGACATACATTGCATTGAATATTTTCTTTAAGTTGATTGATCGGGTCAGTTTCCAAAGCACCAGCCATTTAAAACGATGAAGATTTCGAAGCTTTGTCTGCTTACACAATCGACCTTAAATTTTGGTCGGGGCTCTTGGAGAGATGTTTTTTATTATGAGTATTGATTACTTCTTAGAAATACCAATTTAATTCCTGGTATAAAACACTTGTCCCGATCAAATTACACACATTGGAAAATACCAATCAACTCGGGATTGCCTTTATGGCCCCGTGCCCTTTTGGTACCCTGTCAAGTGTAATTGTATACCTGTTTCTGGACGTTTTTAATCAATGAAGCGTATTCAAAAATATGTAGCCGTATCTATATATTTAAACATTTGATGAATATTATTTACCATAATTAACGAGCAAAAACACAAGAGCAATTGTTATATATTTGTCTGCACATCGTGCCTTTAGATCGACCAGTTCGAGAGCTCAAACACTTTTTATGTTTGTAAAACAAGGTTTAGATAATTAATAATTTTCTTGTATGATTGCATGGCGACTTTAGTAATTATAATAACTTGTAGGTACACCACGTAAGTATTAAATACTGCAAAGCTTTCGGTCCGTTAACCCGGACCTTCATCAGTGCAATTACTTGAATACACGTTTGCGCGTCACTTAAATAAGGTTTAGATAATTAAAGGAACTTCGTTTATTTTCCAAGCATGATGCGAGGTTGGCAACATTTTACAATGACAGCAGATCCTACAAAGAAACGTAAAAGTATTTTTTTATAATCTGTTAATTATAGCTATTTTTCAAAGACTGTTTTTTGCGAGTTAATTTTCATCGTCTACTACTGGCTGGTAAAATAGTCGTTTTAGAGTTTTTGAAAAAACAATTTACAAAACCTACAAATGACATTTGGAAATGAGTTGTTTGTTTGTTTTTTCATATTACGATTCTTCGACACTTTCTCGCTGTGATGAAATTTCACCAAATCGTCTCTTCATTTCTTGTACAAAAACGTGCGACGTTTGTGAAAGGATATCGACGAACCGGATATCTTTTAAACAATTTGATCCTTTGGCTTTCTCTGCAAACTCTGTCGCTGCCGAAAACATGATTTCTGCACAGATTTGGACGGGAAAGTTGAATCTTATACCTGAAGTCAGTGAAGGCATGGTTATGCTTGTAACACCTTTTTGACGTGCAAGTGTTAAACTGCTCATAACTGCTTTAAATAAGCCTTTCTTTGCCGTTTCTTTCTGCCCAGTCGTGTACTGATGCCATCTTGGGACTATCACATGAACGATGAACTTGCAAGGAAGATTTCCAGCAGTTGTAACTACGACGTCTCCAATATTAAGAATTTTGTTTCGCCGTTTCTTCATGATGTCGTTGCATTCATCCTGAATCGATGGTCCACCTTCCCTCACAATGGCTTCCGGCACCCCACCGCATTCTTGGTTTAGCGTTTCGTTCGTAGGATTAACGATAGCATCGACTGTTTCTTTTGTGATATCTCCCTGATACACAGAAACCATCACATCATTTGATAACAGATGACAAAGTTTTTTCACATGGTTTTCTACTTTTGACTCACTTTCATCTTCACCTAAACGAGATATTAAACAGACGTTGGCTGTTTCAGTATTTGACATTCTATAACGATTACTGGGGGATAGACACGCCCCGGAACAAACTCCCCCCTCACACCTTCTTCCCAAACACCTAGCTACCGTTACATGTTTTACTGTTTTTCATACCTGGATTTTTTATAACTTCTCCTAAACTTTTTGCCAGCTCTTTCGCAATTTCTTCGCTCAAAGGTTCCTCCTCTCTTGTGCAGTGGGTGTAGTAGAAATTCTCCACACGTGTCACTGGTGCTTCGAGATACTCGTTTCTTTTCGTAAGAAGATTATTCGCGCTATCCAACATCATTTTCTGAGAAGAAAGTATTTCTTCTTCAGTTCCTTCCTCAACCAATTTCTTAGAAAGATGAACGGATCTTTGCACGTTCTCCGCATACTGCTTGACTCCTGTAGTCTCTTTGTCTAGTTTTGCTTCTTCATTTTTGTGATATGCCTTAACTTCATCTAAAAGCGCTTTAGCTTTTTGATCCAACATCTCGTCAATTATCTTCGCCACGAACTCCTTCCGTTGTGCTATTTTACTCTCGTAATACTCAACATCACGAACAAGTCCTTCTTTCGTGAGTGATAGATTTTCGAGAAACAAATTGTTTTGATCCAAAACATAATCCATTGTCGTATTGCTTGAAGCTAGTAGCTCCTTATATTTACTGGCCACATCTTTTATCAGAAAACATGAATGATCTGGCTTCACGTGTTTAAAATCCATACAGTCCCTGCAAATCAGCTGGTCGCAGGTTTCACAATAAACTTTCAATATCTCGCCCGGATGTTCATTGCAATACATTTTGTTCTTGATTTTCTTACGATTCTCCGGCTTCGATAACTCTTCCATCGTCAAAACAGAATGACTGGTATTCCCTCGATAATTGTCGTGGGCTGTCAGACATTCTTGGCATAAGAATTTCTCACAAGTAACACAGCGAGCGACTGAGTAGCCTTGACTACAATTATGTGAACACGGAACGCCAGTTCCTCGATCTCGGTTGAGTACGGCTGTTGCTTTTACCATGTTGCAGATGAAATGACTTTTTTTCATGTCGGCGACATTTTTGTCAGGATCGAGTGTAAACATCTCTCGACAATTTGGACATGGAAACTCTCGAACTGGTCGACCGCGAGGAGCTTCGTCACGACATGTTTTCACAACGCCTTCCAAACAATCTTTACAGAATGAGTGGAAGCAAGGAAGAGTTCTCGGGTCTTTTAGCGGCTCCAGACATACAGTACATCGTAGATTTTCTTCTAGTTCTTGGATCGGATCAGTTTCGAAAGCATTAGCCATTTGGTACGAGAGTAACTCCAAAGCTGAATCAACTTCCCTAATAGACTTTGCATTTCTAATTTTTTATAAAGGAGTTTTGTTAATGTATATAATATCACGTGATCATCGACATTATTTTCTCTCGGATGAACGATTTCCTGGTATTAATCTTGACGATTTTAATAACTTGTACGACAGTCTTTAAACCCAAGTTTTCAAAATATTGCGTTCTTCGACGTTCGACTCTGTTCTTCCTCTATGAGACTTCTCGCGAATTCTCTCGGTACACTTTGAATATTCATTTTTTAAGAAGAACGAAATACCTTAGACACTTCTTCTTTTCAAATCACAATATAAGTATTGGGTTTCATGATGCGAGGTGGAAGCGTCGAACAGACCCGTTAAAGAAACAATCATTTACCTTCCGTGAAATAAATGTCATTAAAAGAATCTGGAAAGCGATTGTGAATTGGCGAAGTGTCTAATTTCAGAATGGTGACTGGCATCGTCATATCGACGGCAACAACTGATTTTATTGTCTATTTTGAAATACAAATATTGACAAGATTTTTACGTACCACAAGACTATAATTACTCAGAATAACTAATAAGCCAATCTACGGGAATACAAATATACCAAAACATTTTCAGTTGCCAGTCGAGCTAGCATGCGTGGATGAAGAAAAAAAAAGAAAAGGTTACAAAAATCCTAATTTCTTCATATGTTAGCGGATTAAGACAAATAGTTAATATCTCAGTAAGACATTTCCTTGGGTTGCTGTGTTGAACTAATTCTTTTCGATTTTTATTCATTTGTTAGCTTCGTTTTTGATATGTATACTTGCTACATCTAGGGTAGTGTTAGATCAGTTTTAGAGTTGCATTGACGTTGGGGTACAAATTATGACTACTTTGACATTTCCCGTCTGAAAGAAGAACCAAATCCTTTCTTCATTTCTTGCGCCAACGCTTCTGAAGTTTGTATGTTGATGTCCACGAAGCGAATGTCTTTCAGATTGTTCGACTCGGGGGCATTCTTTGCAAAATTTGTCGCCGCCTCACACAACACTTCTGCGCCAATTGGAGCAGGAACACCTACTTCCCCACAACCTATAGCAGGCATGGAGATGCTTGTAGCGCCATTTTGACCAGCAAGCTTTAAACAGCTGAGAACTGCGTCAAATAACACTTTTTTGGCAGCGTCTCCCTGGTTGTGGTAATCATACCAACTTGGACCCACAGCATGAATGATAAAATTGCATGGAAGATTTCCTGCTTTTGTCACTATTGCATCTCCTGGATTTAGAGGTTTGTACTGTCGTGTCTTCATAAATTCAATACTTTCATCTTGAATTGATCTCCCACCAACTCTTACGATGGCTTTTGCTGTTTTGCCACTTCCATGGTCGAGATTTTCATTCACCGGATTCACAATAAAATCGGCTGCCTCTTTAGTAATATCTCCTTGATATACAGAAATTTTTACACTGTTGTATACAACCCAAGAAAACTTTTCGTCAATGTCGTATTCTTCTACTGCATTTCTGTTGTTTGACGAACTTTCTTCCGTCGTCTCTTCACCCAGAAATTGTTGCGTTGTTGTGCTGGACTGAAGATTTTCTTTCATCTCATTTTCAGCTTTACCTAAACGATATGAATGATTAAAATCCACCAAGGTGTCTTGGGTCAAATCTACAATTTTTTTTGCTTCATTGGATGGTATTTTACAAAGTTAAAGAGCACGAGGAACAAGTTGACACTCCACCGGCGTTTTTACTCTTAACATGTGTTTGAAACCTAGTTTGAGTGTATTAAATTTATGCATGATTAAATTTATGCATTTTAATCATCAATGACAACAATGATAGCCATAGCCTACCTGATACCTGTCAGGATTCATGAATACCTGTGTCAACTCACTTACCTTTGTTACTATCGTTGATTTCTCCCAGACTGTTCATCAGCTGTTCCCTGACTCCTGTGTTGAACGGGTTCTTGAAGTCACTGGTTGAGTAGTTAAATTTTACCACAGGTAACATTGCTCCGAAATTCGCTTTTTGTTGCTTCATGAGAAGAGTATTTGCGCTATCCAAAATCATCTTTTGAGAAGAAATGATTTCTTCCTCTGTGCCTTGTTCGACCAGCTTCTTACTAAGATAAACATAATTTTGCAAGTTTTCTCCATGCTGCTTTTTTTCCAAGATTTGTTTATCCATTTTTTCTCGTGCTTCTGTGTGAATAACTTCTACTCTGTTGAAAAGTATTTCTGCTTTTTCATCCAACATTTCAGCGACATTCTTCAAGATAAACTGTTTTCGTTGTTTAATTTTAGTTTTGACATCCTCAGCATCACGATCAAGTTGTTGTGTTGCGTGCGATAATTCTTCAAGGCAGGAATTGTTCTCAGCTAAAACGCCATCCATTGTTTCATTTTTTGAAGCAAGCAGTTCCTTATATTTGTTGGCGACATCTTTAACAAGAAAACGTGAATGATCTGGCTTCATGTGTTTAAAATCCATGCAGTCCCTGCAAATCAGCTGGTCGCAGGTTTCACAATAAACTTTCAATATCTCGCCCGGATGTTCATTGCAATACATTTTGTCCTTGATTTTCCTACGATTCTCCGGCTTTGACAACGCTTCCATCGTCAGAACAGAATGACCAGCATTTGCTCGATAATTGTCGTGGGCTGTCACACATTCTTGGCATAAGAATTTCTCACAAGTGACACAGCGAGCGACTGAGTAGCTTTGACTACAATCATGTGAACACGGAACGCCAATTTTACGATCTCGGTTGAGCACAGCTGTCGCTTTTACCATGTTGCAGATGAAATGATTTCGTCTCATGTCGGCGACATTTTTGTCAGGATCGAGTGTAAACATCTCTCGACAATTTGGACATGGAAACTCTCGAACTGGTCGACCGCGAGGTGCTTTATCACGACATGTTTTCACAACATCTTCCAAACAATCTTTACAGAATGAGTGGAAGCAAGGAAGAGTTCTCGGGTCTTTTAGTGGCTCCAGACATACGGTACATTCCAGATTTTCTTCAAGTTCATTGATCGGATCATTTTCCAAAGCATGAGCCATTTAAAAAGATAGAAATTTCAAAGTTCCTTCAACATTCTACTCGGAATACTCGCTTGTACTCACATGACTTTTAAATATTCATGACTTCTTAGAATTACAATTCCTGGTATAAAACGTTTGTCTCGGATTCAATTACACAAAAAAACTCGGTCAAGGTGGGGTTTCTGTCATGTGACTACGCGCATTACTTGAGAGTTTTTGTCAACTGGGAACTACCAAATAAAACCTTTTCCCCATGTTCAAAACATGAAAAGCTTTTACAGCCTAAAAGTCAGCAGTCCAATCACATCATGCTAGTTTAGTAATTCTTAGTCTATTATCAACGATATGTGTGTTTCTTTCGCAGTGCGTATTGCCAAATTCCAATCACCACGAGCCGTTCAAATGAGCCGTTCACACGATGACCTGATTTCTATCGGAACCGGTCAAATTTTGTAGCTAATAAAATTTATAAAAGACGGTGAAGATTTTGATTTCCCGAGACCTATATAAATAATATACCAAATCTATCAAATCAATGCGCATTTGCCACCAAGCGTTGCTCCATAACTGCAAACGACGATGTCGTGACAAGCGAATCCGATACCGTCCAATTCTTCTGTGCAACTGTACCCGAGTAACCCGACTGATCGCGTTTAGAAAACTTGCAGTGAAATATGAGTAGGCCTTCGACTTGCCACAAAGTGGAAGAAGCAGGGTTTTGAATCGGCCACTGAACGCATGTTTAGTTATGTGACTACAAATCTTGCGATTGGATCTAATCGCTTTAGCCTGTGTAATATATTCTTTGTTTCGAATTGACAACGTAATCCATAAGTACGCGGTTTACGAACTAATCAATAAATTTATTAAGTGTGCAATAGTTGATAAAGAGATGACATTGTAAAGTTTAAACTAGTGTAACAGTTATGTATATTTATGGACATACGCTATTCATATAAATTATTCTAACCTGTGGGCAATTAGATAGGTAAATATACATCGATTTAAGGTTTTGGAAATATGGAAAAATCATTATTTAGACTTTTAGCAGGAGATTTCTTGCTAAAAAAGAATAAACGTGCCACATATATTAACTAACAATTTCCAATAAATATGTTATTATCTCTGAACGATGCAATATGGCTGATATTTCACACATTTTACTCGAAGACAAGTCCGGTTAGCCCAATTGTTTTACATACTTTCAAAATAGTGGGAAGCTACGCACGACAGACTTTAAAAGCCGAAGTTACGTGCTATGCCTATACCATAAGAACTAATCTAATGCTTAACATAAGAACTAATTTAATGCTTACCATAAGAACCAGGTTTCCTCTACAACTTATAAGAACGTTATTTCCTTTATTTAAGCTACGTATATACTAGGCGCGCAACGATGCGAGTTGTTTTTAAAACACTTCAAGTTTGAAAGAGCTGTATATTTGATTCGATATATTTTCAATAAGCTCTGATGTTAGGAACTCCTATTATTCCCGGCTATTAGCACAATCGTTAAAACACGCTGCTTCTAAAAGCTCAAGTTTCCTCAATGCAGTGTATAATGGCAAACAGATATATGATAACCCATTTCTCTCCTCTTGGAACACAATTCCTCCGTCATCGCTGTCTTCACTCCAAGGGCTACTGCTACCGCTATCACAATCATTGGAACCAGTTGCTTGTCCTTGGGAGGTATGATCGGGCGCGGTAGAAATCTTTGTTCCGTTATGCCTTGGCGAGGCTTGTTCCAGTGATGTCGAGGGTACATCATGTTCCTGTTGTTGGCTCAAACGTGTTCCTTCCATCTGATTTGTTGGAGCAAGTTCTTGCGATGGGAAGGCAAAACCTTTCTTTGGTAATAAGTCATCACTCACTTCGCAAACACCATAAGAAAATGCCTGCTTCACATTTTTTTCATCACGAAAGAACACAAGAGAACCTGAATCACCGTCTTCAAGGAAAGGAGTACCACCATATCCTTCGACAACAAATGCATCCTTAAAAAGCAGTTTCGGTCCTTCGCTGTAACTAAAATCACAGGGAACGATATATCCTTTCGTTAAGCCTGACGAAAAACCGTTTTTTTCTACATGAACTGGACTCGTATTATTTTCAATAACTCGCTTATTCAGTTCGCCATTTATCTTATTCCAATCCGGTGAGGTTACACCCGAAATTTTACAAGAAAGTTGAACGTCTTTCGGAATCTTTAGAGACAATATATCACATTTTGTATTAAAATGAGCATTTTCAAATTCACCAAGTTGCAAGTGGTTGCTTTCATCATCTCCAAACGAAATGGCCTCGTTGTTGGTTACTCTTCTGTTTTCTTTAAATAAGTATTCTTTTTCTCTGGCACGAGTTTGCAAATCTGCAAATTCGTCGCGCATCTGTTGGATATTTTCTCGTTTATTGATCGCAGCATTCAAACGAGCTTCATCAGATGCACAAGCAACGTGAAAGCAAGTAAGTGCGTAATGCTGTCCGTTTTTGCAACAAAACATAGTTAGCGTTCCTGTTCCTTCCACATCAGGTAAGTCTCTCTCGCCTTCAGGTACATGACATGGGTTATGATTACTTTGTCCACTGCAAGCTAATACACCACCACCTGGTGCTGGAAGGACTGGTGTAGCGGACGATGAAGTTTCGACTCCAACACTCGAAGTATTTTGATCCCGAACCAAGAATTTGATATTCGGATTTTCTTTTGGCTCTTGCAGAAGTTCAAAATATTGCTTTGTGTCAACATTGAATTTTTCTTGAAGGTCGCGTCGTACATCGGATTTTTTCATTCCTCTTTTAATTGTGAGGTAAATATGTGGACGACAAATCTTCTTGTTTGGACCAGAAAGGCCGTACGCTCCACACAACCACGGGAAACTATATATATAATATATCAAATATACATTTTTGGGAAGTAACCTTTAAGCTTTAGGACATCCTAGTAAGTAGTTTTTTATAACATTATTTTGAAATACAAAAAAGTGATCAGAATCATGACCCCAAACTATAGCAAAGTTAGTTGTAAGGAATATGAAATACCTTCTTAAAGCTTCATGAATTTCTTTTTTTAGCTTGCATCTTGAATTAAGGAAAGTGTCTTTAAACCACGTGTTGCTTTCCTTTGTGCCAGGAGGGCTATAATATATAAAGAATAGTTTATGTGCAAGTAAACACCATGCACTTTAAAAAATGCGTGTAGAGAAATCTATAGAAATCTCGTCCATTCTTGTTAAAAGCGCTAGGCGCGGAAAAAACAAACTCGTACCTAGCATCTTTAGCTACGTTGCATGGCCCAGGTTGCGAAGGGGATTCAAGAGGAATGCTATAATTTGTATAATATATATAATATTGAAATACAATCTTGAAAAATGAAATGCTATTTTGTGCATGTACAAAAACAAAATCATGACAAAAACTATAGGCATAGCATCTCCTTAAAGCTTCGTAAATTTCTTTTTTCAGCTTGCGTTTTACATTAACGTAAAGTTTTTCAAACCTGGCGGTTTTATTTTTTTCAGAGATTTCTTCATGCGCTGGCTGGATATCTGTTTTTGTACAACATAAATGGTACAATTAAAACATAATTTAACAAATCATACATGTCAAATCTTAGTTATATCCCCATCCCTATTAGAATTTTGATTTACTATCTCTCATCAAACAGTCCCAATTTTTGTGTCCTAATTATTTTATACCATACGAGGTTTTCTTGACTTACCTGAGAGGCGGTATTGCGGCAATTCATTGCTTGGTTTTTCCTTAAATGTAATTAAGTACTCCGGATAGTGCTGATAGTCATAAAAAACAACGTAGATCAGCGGCTTTGCTACATTGTCAACAAGAGAGTCGTAACTAACATTTGGATTGCTAGTGTCAATTGGCGGTGGGACGATCAGACCTTCGTTTCCTTTTGTGTATTTCCCAACCAAGACCTTGGCTATGTACATATACTGTAGACCTTTCTCATCAGGAGCAGCATATTGTCTTCTTGATGAATACCAAGCTTCTCTGGCAAAATATACACCGTTGCCAAACTTGAAAGCTGTAATATAAATAAGAAATAGAACATCCAATTATTGGTTGATAGAGAGCAATCATTAGGTATAATTGTTTACAAAGTTGCCATTATAGTTGTTAACTTAATTTTAACAAAAGGGCGTTTACGGCCAAATAAAACTTATCGAGAATTTGATCAAGTTACCGTTCAGTTTTCCAGAATAAGATCTATTAAAACCAGCGCGGTTGATTTTTTCCACAGCATCTTTTGTTGTTCCATGATATAGCAACATTTCATTTCCACCATCGCTCATTTCCCGCTTTTTCGCTTGGTACAATTGATACAATCCTGGATTTTGAATTCTCTCAATCTTTACAACCTCCGTCTTGGAAACGTTTGTTGCTAATGAGAGCGATGCTTGAAATTTGTTGTGAATTTGGTGATATTCTGTGTCTTGTTTCTCAATATTGAAGGAAAATACTTGCAGCTCCTGCCCAGTGGAACCGTCTATTGGCTGATATTCCCAATTTCCAGGAAATGGAAATGCTGAAAAGTAACACAAATATACATAATTTTATAACACCTAAGAGAGACCAATCTTAAAGAATCTTGAAGATGTAAAATTAAAAGGGTATTTGTAAGACATGGTACATGTACATGGTACATGGTATTATTCCCAAGGATTTGCTTCTTTTTCATTTATTGAATTCTACTTTGATGGGAGTTTCACGTATACAAACAGAGTGAAATTGTAAAAAGACACGTTCTATCGATTTTTTCTTTCGTCAAAGATCTCACAATTCATAATAATCGGTGATACCTTGACACGGGCGTCTGTAGACTTTCATCAGGTCTTCGTTTGAAGTCAAACATGTCTCTGTCATGGTTTTGAAATCTATTTTATATTTCTCATCGTCACCAACTTCGACAGTCCCAGAAGGATTTCTCTTGTACTCCGTCTCTATCTTGGCGCTCATTTCTTTTGCGTACCTTTCGGGAATAACCACGCCTCTATCACCCTCGTAATACAACCATTCAACCTAAGAGAAAGGACGTTAAAAATATCGGTACATTTGATGTTTCAATTCATAAAGATTTGCTCTTTGGGAATTACTGCATAGTAATACGAGGAAAATGCTACTAAATTAGATGCTACTAAAGTAAAGGTTGTTTTCTGCTCTTTTGCGGTTTGCACCTAAACTCAATAAAAAGCAAAGCAACTTAAACTCAATAAAAAGCATTTTAGTCAATAAAAAGCATTTTAATTGTATAAAAGTGCACTCGTAGCAAGCTTGCGAGTTGATCCGGGGTTTCGATATGTAAGTAATAGCATAAGCATGGCAACTCCATGCATAAAGAAAATTTTCAACCCAAAATTTTCTCGCATCTTTCTCTTTTCGTGGGGTTGACCTTCGAAACCCGCTCCCCAAGTGTTTAGACCAGCAGTATCTCGGACACCTGGAGTAAAAAGCCTTAATCTATAGCAGGAGAGAATAACAAACAAAGATCTCATCGTTTGAATTTGAGTCAGTCCTTCGCACTTTTATTGTCCTATCAGTAATTAGTCCGCACTTAGCCCGTGCTCAGAGAGTGAAACAAGGCATTAACCTCATTGGCCAGTTATATGTATAATAAGTAAATAAAAAAGCAAGTCCAACCTCTCGGACAGTCACATCTGCGTGATGTCTCTCTCGTTCCCATTCGTGAATAATATTGTGAATCTTTCCCACAGCAATCGCCACATTCCTTGCCAGCCCGCTGATTCTGATGTATCCAATAGTGGGTTCACACTCAATACGAACATCGTGGAGGTCCTGTATTTCCATGATTTTCGCTAGTTGTTTCACATCAATCACCTGTTGTGTTTCGATGGTCTCAGTATGACATTGTTCTGCCTCGACCCGTTTCAGTTCTTCCTTGATCGCTGCGATGTCGCTCGAACTTTCTGCCGCAATTTCAAGAGTAATCTGTTGCCTCGTCTTACGTGTGCTTCCTGTTGGAGAAAACATTGGTTTTGTGACTATTAAGTTAGTTTAGCTTAGATTTTCTCCTGTAGTAACACTGAATCAATATGAGATGATCCTTACTGGACCTCTAGGAAGAACAGTTTAGAAATGATAGAGCTATCCAGTATAAATAAAGTTAGTCTAGTTTAGATTTCCTCCTGTAACATTGAATCAATAAGAGATGATCTTTACTGGACCTCTAAGAAGAGCAGATTAAAACTGATAGAGCTATCTATCCAGTATAAATCAAGGTTTCCTCCTGTAGTAACACTGGATCAATAGGAGATAATTCTCTATATGATAGTTTAGTTTAGAAGTCTTTTGTAACCAATTTCAAGCTATCTGCGAGAAGACAGAATCAACATATTTTTGTTACCTTTCGATGACTCTGCGCCCGGATCTTTGCGTGCGAAAGCTCCACGGAATTCCTCGAAAACATTTTCTTGTAAAATAACAATACGAATGAGCTTCAAGGACTTGTCGTTTCTTTTACGATATTCTTTGATGCAGTGGTATAAAATCTCAGCGGATTGTTTGCCATCTTTCTGCAAGTGACCGGTTCCGACCGCAGGTAGCGACAACGAGGCGAAGCCGTACATGTCAGCGTCGTTTAAACACCTTGTAACTGCATTTTGAATCGTCGATTTGTCGGTGGGCGCCTTTATAACCATGTGCAGCAATTTGCAAACTTTCAAATTCCCTGCCGTTGTCATGACTACCGTTCCAGGGTCAATCCTGTTCAATCCAATATTAATGTATTCTTTTCTTAAATCTTCACCGGCTCCTCTATAAAGTGCTCTTCCAATTTGCCCTCCTTGGTAATAAAAAATTCACATTTTTATTAGGGTCTTATCGTCAAAGGAACTCGGTGTTTGCATACATGCACTTTTTTTGAAACAATAGATAAGTCAAAATTAACCCTGTATTTAAAAAGCTCGTTCGTTGAGTGTGACATACTCAGTGGAAAGATTTAAGATAAAACACTAAAAATCAAACTCTTATTCCAGTGTATCTCCCACTCGATGAGTTTGAGTTCGAGTAAGCTTTTAAAATACAGACGTAAATGACAGTTTTATCTACCTCCTAAGATGTCAAAACCGAATCTTATCGTTGGTCGGCTCAAATAACCCTGTTGCTTTTTATTTTTAGTTGACCATGTCATGCAACTTAAACGGATTTTGGGCAACATGATCCTGTAAAGCCTAGTGTATCTGGGAAAGTCCTACGATCGCATCGCATTTTGACCATGCACAAAGATCGGTAAGTCTTGTTATTGTAGTTTCTAGGACAGTTTCCGTGAAATTTGATCATTATCCGCACACGTACCTTGTGTAATATCCTCGGCAACCAGGAACCCGATTGCATCAGTGGATTCCTCGACTATATTTCCTTGAACAATTTCCACCTCAACTCCGTGTGTTTTATCTTTTTCTTTGCCCGAACTTCTGTCGAAGGCTCCCGAAATCTTTTTACGTGTTGTCTTCAGAATACCTGCACCACTTTCCGAACCTCGTTTTGCTTTTCGTGCATTCACGTCAGCAGTTGGTGAGAAGACTTGAAATTGTTCTTTGAATGCATCGACGGCTGTCTTATTCCCCTTGTAAACGACAACGTTAAACAGTTTGATTTTTGAGGAAGGCTTGTGATCTGAACTGAATTTAATGGCCTCTTCAAACAAGATTTTGGCGACCAATTTTTCCGGGAATCTCAGTTTCCCAGTTCCAAGAGCAGGCATTGAGATCGATGTGAGCGAGAGAGCTGCGGTTTTAGATAACAGTTTTTGCACAACCTCACGGAGTTTCTACAGAAAAGTAATGCAAAATGTTCCAATTTGTAAAGGATAAACAAATACCAAATTACCGGATTAATAAAGGCTGTGCTTCACCCCGCTAAAATGGCTCTCATTAATGTTGTTCATTTGATAGAAGCCTGTCCAGTTACCTTCTCTCCCTGATCAGCTGTCCATCTGGGGCATTTAACATGAAAGACTTTCTTGCATTTCAACTTGGCGCCATCTGTGATTGCAAAGTCTCCTTCGTTAACTAGACCGTTATCTTCTATCCATTTCACGCAGAACGTTTTCAGGGCGCTCCCAGCTTCGTCAAGAATTGCTTTTGATGAAGGATTCCTCGTAAGGTTCAGATCATTTGTAGCTGTGTTTACGATAATATCGCTCTAGTAGAGAATGATAGAAAATTCATGTTATCTAGATCTTATTTATTTGCTAACTTCGCGTAGGACATTTGCTAAATTAAAACGTTGTGGAAATAAATACCGTAGATTTTGCAATGTTTCCAATGGTCAGTCGCACTTCCATTCCCTCGGGAGTTTTAAATGTAAAATGATCACATGCTTTGGTGGTAACCAGTGGCGAAACTCCACCAGATGCGCCTAGCAGCGGTCTCCATCTATCTCGAACCGGTTCGTTGATATGTAAGTTTAAATCACAACTAAACCTTGTCAATATTTCTTTCATCAATGCCTCGATGGCCGAGGGATCATAATCAACAAAATGAACTTCTTGTAAACTGTGGGAAGGTTTTTTTTGTAAAAAATCACAAGTCGCTGCTACCAAACTTTTTGCACTAATACTGTATCCCCTTGTGCCCAGCGCTGGGATTGCAATAGTTTGACCCTTGGTTGCACTTTCCAAGACATTAGTACAACAGTGCCTAGGAATGAAGCATTGGTAAAGTTAGCTGTCACCATCATTAACAAGCATAGTCATCAACCCCGCTCAAAACACCCTCATATTTACCATCAATACCCATCATAATCACAATTACCTCCTGAGCACTCATTTTTACCATCATTAATTAACCATCAAAAGAGTACATCATAGTCACCATGTCTATTAGTAACACCTCCATCTTCACTGTCACACTTAAGACGCTTGCTAAGCGTTTACACGAACTAAAGGTGTTTGTGTTTTTGCTTGTGCTTTTAGCCGGAAATATTTATGAATAAAAACAGAAGATTAGCGGGCACTGCAAAAACATCGCGTTACTTTAAACGAGGGCTATCTTTGAGAGGGGAATGGTGGTGAGTCTGCATGTGAATATTCGATTGCCCATACCCATATATTAACTAGATCGAGTACACAAAATATGCCCACAGTCGTTTAGTTTTGATCGAGTACACATAATATGCGTAGAAATGCGCAGAATATGCCTGCAGTTGTTTAGCTTCGAATTTAAGACTCTTGCCTTAGCTAGAGTAACAAGCACAGCCCATCATTCATCCCATACATGATAAAAAATAATATTGACCCACCTTAAATATATCTCGTTTTCATCTTCGACGTCTTCGTCAGACGGACGGTACGCTGGCACCACTACATGAAGTATTTCCTTACACATCAATTTCCCTCCGTCAGTAGTGACAACATTTCCAGGTAAAAGTTTTGCCGTTCCCAGTTGATTTAAAGCACGGAAACAGTCCTCCTGGATTTTACGCCCTCCTTTCCTAACTATCGCCCCGGCAAGTCCCCAAGAATGCTGGAGCTCGTTGTTCGCAGAGTTCACTAAGTAATGTACGGGATGTTCCAGGATATTGCCTTGATGTACCTCAATGATTTTACCGTTTGGGAAGGTGTATCGACATTGCATTGTACGCTTCATGTCTTCCTTGCTACTAACAGTGCTTGCATTTTGTGATCGGAATGAACCCTGTCTTTCTGGCTGGTCGTTGACTGTGATTTCAATTCCACATCGATGTTTCCTTTCGATGCTCTCAATTGCCATGTATGCCATTCCTTTTATACTTGACGCTGTTTCCGGTGTTCCGTAATCCATCTTCTCCACCTTTAGATCTGAAACACAAGTCGTACAGTATAGGGCAGGGGCCACATTTTGGGTTTTCGAAATAACAAACACTGATGTGGAAATCCTACAAAATCCAAAATGATTAAACAAATTTTCAAACACGATAGTACATCCTGTGCCAAAGAAAATACATTACAAACCTTTTGTTTGATCTTGTATGCTCACACAACAATTCTCGACGACTGGCTTCTCACCAGACAGAACCAAGGCTTCATCTCCAATCTCTATCTTCAAGCCAGGTGATGAAAGTCGCAAGCCTTCCAAGGTAGTTTCTCCGTAGGTTGAGAGATAGCGTAGGACTGCTTTTGGAAGTCGTACTCTTTGTTCTACCGTTTTCTTTTGTTCTTTAAAATCGTCTATTTTTGCGTGTAGGTTTTGCGAATGCTTCTTGAAACAGACGATTCGTGGAACGCCATCTTCTCTTTGTATTAAAAGCGGAGTTGATGTTCCCAACTCGTTGAGCAATGCATCTTGGGATGATTTCGTTCGCAAACCTGAAACAAAACGTTTTGAACTGAAAAGGAGTGAACTGTGATGTGTGTTTCGACTTGGTAGTCTCTGTTGAAAGATTTATAAGTGAAGATGTATTATAAACATTACAGAACTTACCATCCGGGAGTTTTATTTCGACCATAGCATTCACAATAATATCAAAAGCTCTGTCTACGTCTGTCTTTTTCATACCATACAGTGTTACCATTTCTTTATCATCGACTACAACTTCCACAGTGGAATTCTCTGCAGTCAACAACGACTTTACGTGTGAAATAGCTTTGTTTGCCTTCAACAAGGAAAACCTGTTTCCATTCAAGGAACGCTCTTCAAAAAAGCCAACGATTTCTTGCGTTTCAATTTTAAACTTTTCTATTTGTGTTGGTGAGCCTTTAACGGTTATTCTTTCCGTTTTTTCGTCTTTTATCATTTCTAAACCATCTCGCTTCAATGAGGTTTCCAACCTATTCAAATAATGCTCTCAGTTAATTGTTACTGAATGCATGCTAGTCAGTTATTTGTAATGGTAATTACTATATATTGTAAATACTTGCTTTTGAAATTTTGTTGAGTGTTGAAGCAACTTCAGATGAACAGCTAATAATTCTATCGTATCTTCGTGTCGATTAGTTTGCTCTTCAGCTTTGGCAACACACTTTTTCACCTCCTCATGAGCCGTATTAAATGTAGTCACTGCTCTTCCGACAAGCTTTAGAAAGCCTTCGCCATATCTCTCGATGAAGGAAACTGATTTAGCAACGCTAGCGTTGAACACTGAGAATATTTCTTGCAACTCTTTCTTTAATCCTTGTTCGAGCAGAGCAGGCTTAATCGATACGATTTCGCATTTGAATGCTTTCATATCAGTAAGGAAGTGTTCTTTTGTTTCTTCGCTGGAAAATGAAAAATGTACCAAATCTCCTTTCGCCTCGATGCTCGGCTGCGGCTCTCTCAAGGCATGGGAGAGCTGGGCAGGATGACTTTGTTTCAGGTAGTGATATAAGTCACTGTCAATCGTTGTAACGAAGCCTGCAGCTTTGGGACGTTGTTCTTCAGCTAGGAAAATGTTTAGAATAGATAGCACTATATGATACTGTACGCTTATTTAAGTTTTTAAAATGACCCCATCAGCTAATGTATATATATGCACAGTTATCCTGAGTCCCAACTGCTTGTACCCTCTGAATTTACCACTAAAAGACGTTTTTTGAACCCGCGAAATGGGAATTGTATGATTATCCAGCTGATCTGGGTACAATGATCAACAAATCAGAAGCCAGATCTTCGACAAAACTAAATTATCATTTCCTTCATTGCATATGACTTCGACACTCGAAAATATCAAGTAATTTTGTTATATTTAAGCGAAAACAGGTTTATTTCTTCTCAACTGTAAATTAGAATTCAAATTTTTCACCCTTTATACTATTATTTAGAAGAATAAGGACAAATAAGACCGGATACATGACAACTCAGTTTTGTCGAGACGCTTTATGACGTCATGATCTCAGATCAGCTGGATCCATATTCTAACTGCGTAATTCAACATTCCTATCGCAAAGGACCTTAATTAATATTTGTGTAGATTATTCACTCTACCTAGTTGAACAGATCTATATTTGGCATCAAATGGGGTATAACAACTGCCTAAAATAGACAAAACAGTTCTCGTTGCTTCGTCAGGAGAGTTAGTAGGAAATAAGACTATATAAAGACTAACTCTCCTGACGAAGGCCCTCAGGTCGAAACGTCGAGAAGTGTATTGTCTATTTGAGACAGTTGTTATACCACATTTGATGCTAAGTTGTTTGAAGACGCTGCCACGCTGCTAGCTTCCTGGTTTTATTGGAACAGATCTATATATGTATATTTTTTTACATACTGCTTTTGTTCTGACCCCCGTTCGTCTAACTTTGCCAACTCACCTTTTTGAACCTGATCTACTTCGTTTAGATTCGTTTCAGCCTGTTTCAACGTTTCAACGGTTTCCCTGTCCATTAATCCGTCACCTTGTACAACTTTACTCTTGCCAATTTGTAAGTCCCGATCAAGTTCTTCCGTCGTACTTGTTAATCGTTCAACAATGACATGGCCTTCAGTTAAAATACCGTCCATTGCCTCGTTATTTGAAGTGAATTGTTCTTTATAATCTTTTAGTTCGGCTGTCGCTTTTACAATGTTGCAGATGAAATGATTTCTTCTCATGTCGGCGACATTTTTGTCAGGATCGAGTGTAAACATCTCTCGACAATTTGGACATGGAAACTTTCGAACTGGTCGACCGGGAAGTGCTTCGTCACGAATTGTTTTCACAACGTCTTCCAAACAATCTTTACAGAATGAGTGGAAGCAAGGAAGAGTTCTCGGGTCTTTTAACCGGTACCGACATACAGTACATTGCAGATTTTCTTCTAGTTCATTGATTGGGTCAGTCTCCAAAGCACGAGCCATTTTCTGTGACGAAAATTCAGAAATAAACCATGTTATACAGCAAAATGCCACCTGGAGATTGTTTAATACTGCTATAATTATAATAAAACAACCGAACCTTTCATGTCTCTGCATGTATTCCTTATTCCAGGTAAACTATGTTGCTATGAAACCTGTGCAGTCTTATAGTAAAAATAGTAAAATCCTTACCTTGTATTAATGGGTAAAGTAGGCAAAAACCCTACGTGAAGGCCAGATTTAAGCAACCCTGTTTATAACCGCATGACTAAACTTTCGTTTTTACTTTATGGAAGCAGATGACCAATGTCAAACTGGCTTATGAAATTACAATTACAAATTAAATCCACAAAATAACTCATTCGTCCCCTGCTGGTTTTCGATGAACACACGACAATTTAGTTTGCAAGAGAGCAACATTTTAAATAATGAACTTGCCACTTTCTGGCAGCGATTCCAACAAACTGTTTGGTTACATACATTTGATATGTTTTTCTTAATCACAAGTTTCAGAGGATTTCCTGTATCTTTTATTTTTTGCCATAATTGCATCTTTCATCCCTAAATATTGTTTGTCAAACGTTATATAATTATGACAAATAAATGGAACAATGCCAGCAACAGCAGCAGCCAACCAAGGCCCCGATTAAGCTATACCGGATCATTGCTATCAAAACTTTAAACCAGAGCCCTCAGTTCTATATAAGCGCCCTGCTACAAACTATCAAATGTACATCTTTTGCCTTTCCCTCATTCATGGAAGTACATGGAGGTTACTATTATTTTTCAAGAAGTCGGCATTCTAATAATTATTGTCGACGAATACCATATATTTCTTTCACGCGGTGCTTATTACACCAATGTACCCTTTATCCCGGGCACCTGAGTCCAATTTTTCTATGCAGCTTACCTGACTCTCTGGTTGTAATTTAATCTCATCTTTAGGTGAAGCTATACTAAAAAAGGTTGCGTCAAATTTACAATGCGAATTGGTCAAGCACAGGAGTGTGAAAACAAAAAGCAAACTATAATAAAGTAAATCCTGCAACGCGGGTGGATGGCTCCTTCGACCAGCTTAGTTTACGAGTTAGATCTAAAAACGAAAACAAGTTAAATTCTCAGCAACCTCTTGTACATGCGAGATTCTCCTGCATATGACCGTGAAATATGACAATACTTATGACAAGTTCTGGACATTTTTAATAATGGACAATAAAGCGTATTTCCAAATATGTAGCTATATTTCCGTATTTCAACTTCTCAATATCATTAAACATAATTTATTCCCCCAGGCAAAATGCGAGATCGAAGCGTCGAACTGACGCCTTAAAGAAACAATCATCTATCTTCCGTAAAAATAATGTTAAATACATGCACATGTTATCTGGAAGCGACAAAAAGATATTGAGACGAGAATCCTTAATTTCAGTATAGCTGTTTTTCAAATCATGCATGCTGCATGCACTGCGAAAAAATGTGATAGACGATATTAGCTGAGAGGCATTTTAACAATGTTCACGTTTACAGAAATAACGTTTTCAAAATACTGAGTTCTTTGTTCTTAAAATTATTTTTTATTTTAGTCCACTTCGTCCTCCATGTTATCTTCATCAGCCAACTTGTTTGTTTTCTCCGTTGTTTCATTATTGTCATCACCATTACTTGCTCGGCTGGTAGAGGTTTGTTCATCAGTTGTCGAGTCATTGCTTGCTTCATTTAGCAACGGACTGTCTTGTCTGGGTTGCTCAGGCTTCGACGAAAAATTCGCAGCGTTTTGACGACTTTGTTTGGGCTTTACTCTAGGCGCAGGAACAGGGGTCCGTTTTTTGCCGGAATTTTTATCTGTTTCTGTCGAGGATCGAGGTTCAGAGGTTGACGTATCACAGGAAGGTTTGTTGTTGAGATTTTCCGTGGCTTGTTGTTGGTTGTGCTGTGGCTGGTTGTTTGAAATTTGTTCGGCTGGGTTAGATGGTTTCACAGTAATTGAGCCAGGTGTCTCACCAGAAACTTCTTCTGTCTTGGAGTTCGTTGAGTTGTAACCAGAGGAAGAGTCACTCTGGTCACCACTATCTGGTGGCAGAAATTTTTTAGTGACATCTGAAGTGCTTGCTGGTTTTTCATCATGATCCACTGGTTTCGCGTTTAGAGATGTTTCATCTTCTTTGTCGGTGGTGGTGTGTTTCGTGTCATTTTTTGATCATCATCTGGTAGCTTCGGGATTGTGGTATCCGAGTTTTGGGGCCGCTCATTTAACAGTGATTCAGCTTTGTTACTGGAATTGTTTGAGATTACTTCATCGCTGGGAGGTTCTGGCGTTTCCGGTTGTTGGTCGTTGTTCGTTTGCTGTGGGTTTGCGCCGATATCAGGGGAAACCAGTGGGTTTGACACGGCAGGATTGCTGTTGCTTAAAGGTGATGGATGCTGGTGACTTTCTGTTATAGCTTCAGGGTCTGATTCATCCTGGTTCTTCGTGGTGGAACTTACTATAACTTTTTGGTCATTAGTTGGTGACTTAGGAGTTATGTCACCAGCTGACGATACATTTTCGAAGTGGGTGTCTGGCTGTTCGTCTGAAGGCGAGCCAGCATTGTCACTGGGATTGATTGAGGTAGGAGGATGAACGTTTGGATTTGTAAACGGGCGGCTGTGCTTGTTATTTGAAGATGAGAGATGTTGGTTATTAGGTTTGGTTGAGCCTTCAGGTGCAGTTTTAGGGTTTAGAGGTTGTTGGGCTCTTCCAGGTGGTTGGTAGTTTGTCGTACCATCGCTCGTACCATTTGGCAAAACTGGTTTCTCGTTAGCGGAAGATGTTGCTAATATTTGTTCGGCAAAGTGGTTTGGAGTTGTGTTGAATTGATTGTAGCCATGTTGATGAAAGTTTCTAGCACTGTTTGGTGACATTACTTGGTTGCTAAAGACGGTACTGCTTAGAGATGTACCTTCAACTTCCGGCGGTGTGTTTCCGTGCTGGTGATTTGTGGTTTGGTGTTCAGCCCTTTCTCGATTGGTAACGTCTGAAGGTGTATCACCTGCACTGGGGGATCGGGCTGTGTACTGAGGAGGTGTGTTGGGTGGGGGTCCAAACCCAAATTGGGACTGAAAATAGGCGTGCTGTGGAAATCCAGGTGGTGGGCGGTGAAAGTATTTCATTTCGTTCATTGGGTATGGATATTGGTTAAGATGTCCACCTCTGAATCTACTGTTGTCGCTGCTGTAATGCGTGTCATTCTGAACCTTTTTCATCCACTCTGGTTGCCGAAGATTTGAGGGCTGATTTATAGTGTTGCCCTGATAAAACTGGTCTTGAGGTTGCCAATGTAAAGAATTGCCACTGCTCTCAAAATATCCTCGTTGATACGAGTTGTCAATAATATTGGCAGTGTCATATGGTTTGAATGTCTGGTTGGAAGGAGTTAAACTCGAGTATGGGTCATGATCAGGAGTTGGATCACCTGGACTAAGAGTCCTTCCCATTTGGTTTGATTTTGTCGCCTCAGGCTGGTTGAAATTCGCGTCGCTTTGGTTCAAATTCGAGCCATTTTGACGGTGCCTTTTCAACTGAAGATTTAGTATTTCTCCAGCTCTTGTTACTTGACTGAGACTGCCTGTTACAAGAACTCCGAAAGATGCAACGTGGCATTGTACCCCGCAAGACTTTTGAATTATATTAAAAACGTTGCTCCAAAACTGCTCCAACCCAGTCGACATAATCACAGGATTGACGGAAGCAGTCACCTTGCCATACACTTGATCGATCTAAAAAATCAAAGAGAAAAACCCACACAAGGTTCGTTAATATTCTTTACAACTTAAATGCTGGTACAGAAAGGATACTGATACAATATAATCCTACACCGTCTTCCTGTAAATCAAGCTTATGTCAAGATGCATATGAAACGTTAAATAAACTCGTTTACTAGAGACCAACGTGGGGCTTCTTCAGTCAACTTGTCATTAATGGTGGTTCGGCAACTAGGGTTTGCAACTGAATTATTTAATAGCTAGCTATCTTTATGTCTACAGATAAGTTTTCAAGCAGTTCAATGTTCAACGAACACACTCCCTTATTAGCTGCTGGTTTTTTTCAGGCTGGGTAAAACCTAAACAAACTCTTTAAAAGAACTATAATTAAACTTGTTTGCAAAAGTTAATCACTGACGTCATTCAAGTTAGTCACTCCAGATGCTGCATCGTCCATTTTGCCTCTGCTAATCTCTGGCGTACCAACAGATTCTGAAGTTGTTGATTCCAATTCTGTTTCCGTCTCCGGTTTTTCTTTGGTTTCATCTTCCTGTCTTCTCTTCGTTTCCGTTGAACTTTCTTTATTCAAAAGAATCACGGTTAAACATTTTCCTTTCATTTGCTGCGGAGTTTCGACCACGCTTCTTGCCACTAGATGAGAAGTTAATATTTAATAAAATATTTTACAACGTACAGTCATTATCCTGCAAAGCAAAATGAGATAACACCAAAATTATTACCTCTTCATCACCCCCTTTCACAAAGATGATACCTTTGTACCCTGGGTTACCCTTTAAGCTATCTTCTAGAAACGACTTTTTTTAATAATATTCACCTTCAGAATCCTCAAACACAACCACAGCTCTATTTCCTGGCAAAATTACGGTCTTTTCAATTTCTCCTCCCATGTTTTTTTTCTTCTGAAAGTGGATATGAACGCCATTTTCTGTAGTACCGTCAGGAAGGTCGAACACTAGAACTGTTCTTTCTTTATCGGACTTTCTTTCTTCTTCATCGCTCCCCAGCCTTTCGCTCCTCGATCCTGTGTCTGTCGTTTGAAGTTTCACAACCAATTTCTTCCCATGAAGCACTTGCTCTTTTTCGATGACTTTCTTCGCCACTGAAACCAGAAAAGGTTTAAAAATTCAAGTCTTCGTTTCGGCGACGGGCCATCAGATTTCCCGATCAATACTTTGACCAACCTTGGATATCTTCAAAGACAATTACTGCTTCATTCTTCTCAGGAAAATATTTAACTTCTTTAACTTCTCCTCCATTATTTTTCTTCTTTTGAAAGTGGATATGAATATTGTTTCCTGTCGTTCCTTCTGGGAGACCCGAAATATGAATTGTTCCAGGTTCTTTCTCTGGCATTTCTTCATCCTCACTTTCCTCCATCTCAGCTAGTTTAACATCGAGAACTTTTTCCTTAGTCATTTGAGTCGTATTGACAACGTTCATAGCAACTGAAAGAACATAAAATAAGTTCAGTTGTTCTTCACTTACCTCTGATTATCTGTTATATGTGTAAAAGTATGTGGATGCATGCAGACATATTTTACAGAGGTTGGTATACGTACGTAAGCAAACGAACATTTGTATTCATGTAAGAGAATTATTTTACAGGAATTTTTAGAAATAATTACACCCACCTCGAGGCTCTTCGAAGGTGACGATTGCTTTCCCATTTCCCAAAATTTCAACTTTCTCAACTTCCCCACCAGAATTCCTCTTCTTTTGAAAATGAATGTAAACGCTGTTTTCCGTGGCGTCTTCGGGAAGTCCAGAAACCGAGATTGTTCGCGCTGTCTTTCCTCCTAAACTTTTATCTTTGTTTGACTTTCTCACCTTTTTTAATGATTCCCTTTCCATAAGTTCTATCTCTAACACTTTTCCTTTTAATATTTGCTCTCTGTTTACAACTGCTCTGGCGACTAGGAAAGAAACAAAATTGAAGGCAGACATAATTTAGTTTTGTGCTTATATTGGGTATATCTAAATACCTCAATTGCCCAATTAAAAAGTGCTGTCTTATGATATAATATTGTCACTATAGGTGCATGAGCATGGTTATAATTATATATGCGTACAACTCCACTCTATGTTTATTTGACCTACAGGCTCATTTCATGCATGAAGCAATCATTCCGTATCAATAGATATAAACCCGTAAAACGCGGGGTTTAGGGGAAATGCAGTGATAACTTAAAGCAGGTCGATTATACTAACCTTCGGGATCCTCAAAGACCACAAATGCTTTTCCTTCTGGTAATAATGTGATCTTTTTCACATCACCTCCTCCATTTCTCTTCTTTTGAAAATGAATTTCAAGGCCTTTTTCTGTAACTCCATCCGTTGGTAGTCCAGTAACCAAAATTGTCCTAGCTCTCGTTTCAATTGAACTTGCTTCGTTTTGAAACGTTTCCACTTTGGATTTTGCTTCTCCCCCTAAGAATTTTACCTCCACTACCTTTCCTTTCAATATTTGCTGTCTTTTTACAACTTCCCTAGCGACTAAACAGAAAAAATGTTAGTTAACAGAATTTCTTTAAACAGAGTTTTTCCACCCTGGCGATTTGTCTTTTCCGCCATGCAAATTCAGAATTCACAGTTAGGGCTGCTTTCTATGCACAGTGGAAAATAGCCATTAGTGCGTACTTCGTAATTTATGAAACACGATTGAGCTGTTGCTTTAAATTATTTGAAACCCGGACGAACCTTTTGGATCTGTGAAAACAACCGTAGCTTTTCCTCCGCTGAGCAATGTAACTCTTTCAATTTCCCCCCCACCGTTCTTAGTCTGTTGAAAGTGGATATGCACTTGCTTTTCAGTTACTTCTTCAGGAATTCCAGTCACAAAAACTCTTCCAAACTATACAAAGCAACACTACATGTTAAACTGTATTGTTTGTTAGTAATATGTAGTCGCATGCATCGTTTCAGTCACGATTCGAAACTTAGCATATTGTTATTGGTACACGAATCTACTGAGTACTGATAGAGACATATTTCTATTATACCTTGCTGTATACACCGTGATTCAGAGACGAATAAACTATTTGAATTCATTGTTTTGACTTGTTATATTGTAGGGTGATGAGATCGTTAGCTAAGCTGTTGGCTGAACCATGGCTGGGTGAAGACCGTGAAGTATAACCACAATGGTTTAAACTGAACAGGACACTGGGTTTGAATTTAGACGCGCTAGGCAACCATGTGGACTGTGGAGTTAGAGGTAATTATTTCAATTTGTAGTGTTTACAAACAAGTTACAAAATGCATACTAAATCTTACGATATGCTAAATCCAACCCCTTTTTAAATTTTTATACTTGGTTATTTCGTAATCTGAAACGGATTTGAGGTTTCTCGTGTCATGGGTCCGTGTTGGTAATATGTCAAGCGGGTATACAGGTAGCGGAAGGGAGAAATTTATTAGGCTACCATACAATGAAATCATCAATCAGTTCGATGAACATTTCTGGTGGTGAGTTTACGATTTACAAGATGCAAACTTCGCATTTTATTCGTTACAAGATACAAGCTGCGTCATTGTTTCATTCAAAGTCGATTTCATAATCATTTCGAAATGACAAATATACGTGATACCTCAACGTTATGCAGGCACATGTAAAATTATCCTGAAAATTCTCTGTGATCTAATGCTGAATGTAACCTGAATAAAACTCTTTTTCTAACTACCGGTTTTAAAACACGAGGAAAAGCCTAAATCACAACATATTCACATCACATATTCTTACATGTATTGAGTATAGTACTGTGTGCGAAGATATATATTAGATATAATATGCTTTTGAAATATAATCTTTCACTTTGTCGTTACTATACCTAAATACCTCAATTACCCAAGTTAAATAGAGTGCTGTTTTGTGATATAATATTGCCACTATAGGTGAGCATGATTATATTTATAATACACAACACCAGTCGACTTCCTAAAAGCGAAAATCTATATTCATAGGACAACTAAGTCTAAGAATGTCTACGTACCTCGTTATTTGACGAAACACTCATTTTGTATGACAGTATCTTCTTGGCGCATGCTACAACTTATAGAATGATACATTTACCATCCGAATCTTCATAATCTGAACGTGAAGTCAACGTAACGTTTCGCCAACGATTGGGTTTAAAGAGCTCAAAATCGAAAGTGATAATATGCGAGTTTTATTTATGTTATTGTAATTTGCAATATGATATGCATGAATGCTATATTACTTCATTGTTCTTCCGGGAATAAAGTTTTCTCGGAATTAAATAAGAAAAAACCTGGCGACTTTTCAAAGAAAAGACACGTTTTACATCGTGATAGATTATATCATTAACAAACCGTGTACGGTATGCATTTATGTTTGGTTTCGTTTACAAAGAATATCACAACGTTGAATATTCATTTTACCAGGAAAACACCCGCTGTGTTTTTCCAGGAATCGCATAAATTACGTGTCTATAGTTTCATTTCTCAAGTCGCACATCGTGCGGATATGTGTGCATGGCCTAATTGGAATATATCGAGAATTTCTTGCCTAAAATCGTGGTTTAGCATGGCTGAGAAGGGCGAGGATGAACACTTTGATGAAAAGAAGACGGTCAAAGTCTCCGGAGTTTCGCAGCTGTTACGAGATCTGATTGAAAAGGAATTTCAAACGGAGGGAAATACCGCCAAGTTCAGTGACGACGTCTCAAAGTTGTATGTCTGTCCGGGTGGACAAGACCATGCTCTCGTTGAATTTAGTAAAGATATACCCTCAAGTAAGATTGTAAACTGTCGCATTATGCAATATGATTACACATACCGGAGCAGAATGCTTTGATGTCTCGCAACATAGTTTCGAAACCGAATGCATAAATTCAATATTATTCGAGGTCTCAGTCTTCAGTGTATGCATAAATATCAGCGTTGACGTTTGTTCCTAAGGTAATAGTCAAAATTAAGACGTCCAGGACGTATTGCATGACGATACAGTAATTTTTATCTTTATTCACACCGCTCGGATTCGCTAAATTCGCTTCGTACTTTTACTTCGAAGAACTGCTGAACAGCGGAAGTGAGACTATTAAATCGACTCTTTCCCAGTCTTGCACCGTGCTTCGATGAGTATGGGTGAGATACCATGTTAATACTGCATATAATGCACCATATATGCGAGAGGAACCTGGACAGGGATTCTGTGACTTTCGTCAGTACACTCTCATGATAAAATCCAATACTTTTCTTACCAAATTAACCCGTAAGCCAAGGCAAACCTAAAATATATCGCGCAAAAGGCTGCGACTAGTCTAATAACCATTTTTTGTTTCACTCTCGATCCCAAATGTTTCTCTTCCGTTATCTCATGCACGCGCGTACTCTAAATAAAAAGAAATTTCAAGGCACTTCTTCACTCACCGCAATGGCGAATTCGCAAGCTAGCTGCGAGGCTTTTCATGCTTTCGTGCTGATGAATTAGATGCAAGCACTCGCAGCAGTAGACTTAGGAGTTGTTTTTTGCAATGAGTGAAAAAGAGGCTTTGGCTATAGACTTTTTTGTTGGCCCAAATGCCCAATCTCAAATTTAAAAGAAGCGTCTTGTCCACGTTTAATAGGATCAAAAATGGGTAAAAAGCTCAAGATTGGCGGGACAGAACTGAAGGTGGAGCGATGTAAGCCTCAGGCTGTAAGTGTACTGGATAACAATATTAGAATAGTCTTATGAAAGAAAACTAAACTTGAACCAAATCTCAATTGAATATTCAAGTTGAGTTTGCAAGAAACTGATTTAGTAAACTTGATGAACACAAAAATGACAGGCCTCTGACTGACAGAGCTTTTGAAACCATCAAAATTCCATAAAACGATGTAGTATAAATGAAGTGAATAAAATTCCCTTATCCTCCATAGACGCCAACCGAGAATGTTGGACATGAAGGTGTTTCAAAAATCTGGTTACCAGATGGGTCATGGATACCTGGTAGCCAAGTCATCACACATAATGACGACAGTACGGATAAAAAAGATGACGCTGGTGGTACTGGGAAGAAGTTATTTGGGAAAGATGCCCGCCATGAGCAGTTCAATAACAATCGTCAAGGGTTAAATTTTATAGCACCGTTCAGTGAAACAAAAGTGAAGCTTAATGCTGGTTTTCAAGAAAAGGTTGAGAAACAAAATTTTAAAGCAATTTTGAAAGAAGAGAAAGTTAAGATCGAAAGTGGGTATTTAACTGGCCCCTGGAATGCAGTGTATGCCGCGGGGAGCAAGCTTGTTTCTTTGGTTTCAGGTTCTGGAGAAAATATTGATCAAGGCGGCAATGGAAGTTCTGATCAATCACCAAGGGAAATGAATTCCTCTCCCACATCATCCAACGATACAGTGCAAAGTAAAGCACCGGACGAATCATTCTCTATCAGTCGATTGTCCCTTCGTCATATCATGGAGTATAATTATGAAAAGTTTCAAGAGCTTGAAAATGTTAGTAAAGAAATCAGTATTGAAGTTAAGTCGAAGATTGATTGTAATTTGAAGTTTTTCATTGGCAAAGATGTGAATAAGGAGCTTTTTACGAAAACAGTGAATAAATTCATTGACTTTTATCAATCACAACACCAAAAGATGCACCAAGACGATTTACAAATACAAGGAAAGGACAAAAAAGACATTATTTCTGAGGCTCGCACCAAATTTTCAGTTGTAATCGACTGTCTTCAACCGAATAAAATGGTAATCTACGGTGAGAAAGATAAAGTCGAGGAAGCCAAACGTTTTTTGAAAAGTAAAATTAGTGGTACCAATCCTGATAGTGACCGTTCAAGGAAGGAAACGCCGGTTTCTTTAACCGAAATGCTCTCCTGTAATTTACCCGGAAATATTAAATTGTCAGTCTACCAAGGTGACTTGACGAAGGAAAACGTGGACGCAATCGTGAATCCAGCAAATGATCGCCTTCAGCACGGCGGTGGGGCGGCTGGAGCGATAGTGGAGGCCGGAGGAAGATCAATTCAAGACGAAAGTGATGCGATAATGAAGGAAAGAGGTAAACGACCTTTTTTCCCTGGGGAAGTAGCAATCACATTCGCTGGACGGCTTTCTTGTAAGTTTGTTGTTCACGCGGTTGGGCCAATATGGAGTCAACATTCATCAAATACAGCTGTGCATTATTTATACAATGCTATGTACAACAGTTTGTGTATAGCAAACCAAAACGGTGCAAGAAGTATTTCAATCCCAGCAATCGGTTCTGGTTTATACAAGGTGCCTGTTGATACCTGTGCCCGAGTTCTTTTTGATGCAGTTTGGAATTTTGCAAACGCTGCAGAGAAGTCGATGTCTCCATGTCCTCTACAGGAAATTCATTTTGTCAACATCGAATCTAAAACAAATCGCACGTTTACACAAGAAATAGAGAAACGATTTCCCGGTTCCATCAAACGTGAAAAGATCGAAGTGACCCGCAAGAAAAGTGCCAATGATGATGAAAGACAGCGAATAAATTTTACAGGCACTGCTAGCTGGCCTGGACCCAGTACCCCAGTACCGCGTGATCAGGGCAAGAAGACCATTTATCAGGGCGGTAGTTATACCCATCAAAGTGGTGACAGTAGAAGTACAGGTATAGTGGTTGCAAATTTCGTTTTCAATCATATTGGTAGATTTTTATATTTAATACTCTTTAAAAAAAACAGTAAAAATGTTTCTTCAGTACATTGCTGTTATTGTTAAAACGCATTTGAGAAAATATATATTTCTGTTTTGTGCTTACCTAGGAGGACGTAGCTCTGCCGGAAGCGAACCACGAAAACTTCTCTCCTATGCCGGGGCAGCTGCAGGTGGAACCCCCCCGAAAGATGGTAAGTTATTCACTCATGATCAATGAATGATTTTCCCAGTTAGGCGAGCAAAAAACATAATCAAGATGCTAGCTGTCCTAACAATTGTCATGTATGACTCGCGTTGCGTTAACACTTTTGTCTAATCCTTCAGATTAGGTTTAGTTTAAGTTAGATTAACCCTATAATCAACTATAAACCTAATCTAAGACCTAATCAAATCTGAAGGATGAGACTTGTATGTAGGTTTTACTGAATTATTGACTTCAACTTAATGCGCTGTTTTCAGATTCAAATCCAGGCGATGCTGATAATAAAACATCAAAAGATAACGAATGTCCTATTTGTTTATCCGATTTCATAAAGAAGAAAACCCTGCATAAATGCGGTCATTCGTTCTGTACCGAATGCATTGACAAGGCATTTGATGATAAGAAGAGATGTCCAGTTTGTGGCGAGGTTTACGGTCTTCTCACAGGCAACCAACCTCCAGGAAAGATGTTTGTAAGTAATACCTCGATGAAGTTACCTGGATATGAATCGTGTGGTGGTACCATTACGATCACTTACAAATTTGAAAATGGTGTTCAAGGATCAGAACATCCTACTCCTGGCAAGAGATACTTTGGGATAACTCGGACTGCATATCTGCCCGACAACAAAACTGGTAGAAAAGTTCTCGGGCTCCTGAAAAGAGCGTTTGACCAGAGATTAACGTTCACAATCGGTCGTTCGACGACAAGTGGAATGGAAGGTGTCATCACTTGGAATGATATTCATCACAAAACAAGCCTATCAGGAGGACCAGCAAAGTATGTCAGTTAAAATGTTTTCAGTCCCAGCTAAATATAAATAAAATTGTAAGTCGATGAAGAACATACAACTCCATTTTAAATTTTAAAGACCACGTATAATGGCGACTATTTTATAAAGTTTTTAGGGTAAATTTTTTAGAGCTCATTTCGTCTCCTATGCTGTGATTTTCTCTATTAAGAGGCTGTTTATATGTATACTTATTAACGCAAAGCCAATTAAAGGCGTTGTAAAAAATCTTTATCCCTGCAAGCGAAATGAAATGCTCCCATAAACACAGGCCCCATTTTATCCAAATATCGCCGATCGAGCCAGCTCCGACCAGTATCAGTGCAAATCAACTTTTCACAATGTTCTTTTGGGCAAACATACGTGCAAAATTACCATTATCGCGATTCAAAATTTCAAAGAACTTATTGAATGATTATTTTAGGTTTGGTTACCCCGATAAAGATTACCTCAAGAGAGTTCTAGATGAACTGGCAGCCAAGGGAATTAAAGAATGAACAACATAAAGGAAGAAATTAAATTGATAGCGTAGCATGTAAAAGCATAATAACATCTTCTGTTTGGTTAAAAGTATATAACGGTTAAAAAATGTAACTTTGCTTGAGTTAAATGGTCCGTAAAATACTTTGAAACTTTGAACTGTAACGAAGTCGGAGTTCTCTTTATTCCATTATGTATTTTCATTTGTTTCATTAATCTCTCTCCCAATATTTAGACGTCAATACGCGTCAGAAAGCGTTAAGATGAATGGTTACTAAATAACCTGATTAAAATAAGAGTATGGTTTGTTATAAAGTTACGTGGAAATACTGACACGGTTACAACTAAGATATGGTTCGAAAGAACTTGTTCGATAATCATACAAAACTATACTGTCAGTATTATTCCTTTTGGTTTACATCTGCATGTGTACACAACGTCACCAGGGGCGGGTTGTTCGAAAGGCGTTTAGCTTAAACGTTTAGCTTAAGCCAAAGTTTAAACATACTCTAATAAATCTTGTGAAATACTGAACCTTATGCATTTAATATGTACTTCTAATGACACTTAAACTATTTACATCGAAATATTTAAGCTCAGTCGTTCAGTAAATAGATAATTTGGTTTTCCATTTTGAACTTATATATCCACCGTTTAGCTAAACGCCTTTCGAACAACCGGCCCCAGAAGAGTTTTTTTTGTTCCGATTTTAAACTCTTCTGTTTTTTATATTTAAACAATACCCCTGTTATCACCTGGTATTTTTATTGAAAGATTGATCTTCTAAATGTTTTATTGTCATATCAAATACTAACGGTCACGCAAAGGTGATCAAATAGTGTGCCAAGCTAAGCCATTTTTGGTTTCGTATTTTTTCATGCCGGTTTCGTGTGAACGCAACCCCTAAACAAAACAGTTTTGTACAGTATTGCCTGGCATCAGGTAAACATTAGCTTGACGTTTTTGTGAGGAGTTATACAGGGTGTCCCAAAAAAAACGAAAACTATTGAAATCACTCATTGTTAAAATTTGAATGCCGTGTTCACGAATTTCGCCCAGTGGGGATTTAATGCAACTTATAAAATTCTAAATGCTTTGTGTCGTTAAAGAAAGGGGACATGTCGAAGGTAATGGTCCTTGAGATGCACATTTAAATAATGTTATCCATATTATAAAATTGTAAATATTGTTAATAAACTATCATTTTTGCGAACAAGCAAATTTGACTGCATCATATGTATGCATAAAAATGCTTATGGCAACCCAATTTATACACTTGTGGGCCCAACAGAGTGCTTAGGCATTCAAACTCTAACAATGGCATTGTTATGGGTGATTTCAATAGTTTTCGTTTTTTTTGGGACACCCTGTATACAGGGTGTCCCCAAAAAAGTGCTCCCTATTGAAATGAAGCTTTTGTTGGCATTTGAATGCATGATCAACACAGTAGTATTTAAATAACATAGTTATTAGGTTGAGGCATTCAAATAAAGCGTCTTGCTTTCAATTGGGTTTATCATAATATTAGGGCAATCAGATTCTAAAAAAGCCTTGCTTTGAATAGAGGGGATTATAGAGGGGGACACCCTGTATTGTGTTGCAAAAACTAAAATTAATTTAAAACTATGCTCTACTTTGGCATTTTTGAGTCACTTGTGAACAATACCTAAATCCAATTAACAATTGTAATTTCATAAGAGGAATAATTACCGATGTATCTATTACCCTGAACACATTTTCTATGAAACAATAACGAAAGTTCAGTCATGCCATTGTAAACTGACGAAAGCCAGTTCACCAGCTCGTCTTCACGTCTTACCATCAGGTAAAGACTTTACCATTTTCTACAGTTGATGGCAACATATTTTATCTGGAATCTAGTATCTAAGAAGGAATACAGAGACATGAAAGGTTCGGTTATGTTGTTATATTATAGCAATATAAAAAACACTCTTCCGGTATTAAGTAGCTAGTTTGTATGACATTGCTTATTTCTGAATTTTCTTTGCAGAAAATGGCTTGTGCTTTGGAAACTCACCCGATCAATGAACTTGAAGAAAATCTGCAATGTACTGTATGTCTGGAGCCGCTAAAAGACCCGAGAACTCTTCCTTGCTTCCACTCATTCTGTAAAGATTGTTTGGAAGACGTTGTGAAAACATGTCGTGATAAAGCACCTCGCGGTCGACCAGTTCGAGACATTCCGTGTCCATATTGTCGAGAGATGTTTACACTCGATCCTGACAAAAATGTCGCCGACATGAGAAGAAATCATTTCATCTGCAACATGGTAAAAGCGACAGCCGTACTCAACCGAGAACGTAAATTTGGCGTTCCGTGTTCACATAATTGTAGTCAAAGCTACTCAGTCGCTCGCTGTGTCACTTGTGAGAAATTCTTATGCCAAGAATGTCTAACTACTCACAACAGTTATCGAGGACACGCTGGTCATTCTGTTCTGACGATGGAAGAGTTGTCAAAGCCGGAGAATCGTAAGAAAATCAAGGACAAAATGTATTGCAATGAACATCCGGGCGAGATATTGAAAGTTTATTGTGAAACCTGCGACCAGCTGATTTGTAAGGACTGCATGGATTTTAGACATATAAAACAAAACCATTCGTGTTTTCTGGTAAAAGATGTAGTTAGCAACTATACGAAACTATTGACTTCAAATAACGAGGCAATGGATAGAGTTTTAAATGAAGGTAATGTCATCGTTGAACAGTTGGCAAATACGGCGGAGGAACTTGATCGAGATGCTAAGCTTACTAAAGCTAAAATCGTAAAAAGAAAAGAATCAGTAATCAGCAAAGTCGTGAAAATGTTGAATAAACATACTGAAACGCTCTTGAACGAAGTCGATCAACTTCACAAAGAAAAGAGGGAAGTGTTGGACGGACAGACCAGAGAAACAAAACAGTATGTTGACAACGTACAAAGATCTGCTCAACTTTCAAAGAAATTAGTCGAGGAAGGCACAGAAGAAGAAATAATTTCCTCTCAGAAAATTATGCTGAAGAGCGCAGATAATCTTCTAAAGAAACGTCAGGAATACTTTGAACCCGTGACCCGTGAAAAATTGAAATACACGCTTTCTATCAAAGATGAGCCATCAAACGAAGAGATTTCAGGAATGTTGGCGAGATGTTTAGGGATTAAAGATGAAGGTAAGCAGATCAAGGTTTGGGTTCTATTCATGACACAGTTCTTAGCTCATAACGGAGAACAGAGAAACTTTAGTTCAGCTAAGACAACATAATATTTTTGCAGTGCAGGTTCAATACTTCAACCACTATTTAGGGTCTATTAGTATTTTTTGGGTAATTTATAGAAGCGAAAAATCAGTCAACAAATATGTGCAATAAATTTTCATTTCATTTCATCATTGAACCAATCTCGGGTAACCCAGCTCATGTAAACAGCCTCTAAACCAGGTCATTTAAATATAGCCATATACCTTTTTTGCTAACACATTGTCTGGGGCTTTCTCTTCAGATTGACAGTCTGCAATAAATTGTAGCAACCACTTTTGGGTACAGATGGCCTAGGCTCACATCAGTGTGACGGCTCTGCCGTTCATCTTTTAATTTTTGTCTTTCCGTAGGTGTTTCAAAAGGTATTGGTAAAAGTCTTACGATTGATAGAACAGGACTGACTGGGAAGCCCTTGAAACGCCAGGCAGTAAGTTTGAATAGAATTTGAAATTTTTGCTCGTTTGCTCGTTTAATGCTTCATCAACTCAGCTACTTCTTTTTTAAAGAAATTAAGTAATTGTTGAAGCACTGTTGCAACATTCGTCTAGTTCATTCCAATGAAATGAAGTTTCCGGCAAATTGTCTCATATACTCGAGTCATGACTCGCATGTCAACATGACCATTGTTAAAGTCCATTAGTTTTCGTTTATACAATCAGTCCATCATTTGTGGACAATAAATCAGAAAACGTTTACATGCACTGGCATTTTTTTCTGAATTTTTTTTCTGGATGCTTTTAACCTCCTCCTTTGATAGATGTGAATGTGCATGTGGATAGTTATGAGTGCTATGACGTGCAATGAATTGAATCTGAATTGCAATATTTTATTGAAAATCCAAAACTCACCGAAGGAAAGGATTGATTAGGTTGCGAAAACAAAAAAGTTTTTTATATCAACAGGAGGAAAACGAAGCTGTTGAATCTCAAATTGTGTCGAAAATTTGGTCAGGATTATTTTGCGAGACAAGGGTGAAGCTGAGTGATGATTTTACTTACAAAATACGGAAGGAAAAAGCATTGAAAGAAATTATAAAGAGCGAAAAAGTTAATATTGAAGATGGGAGATATCTATCTGGCACCTGGAACGCAATCTTTGCTGTCGGACACAAGATTTCTCTTTGTTGTTCAGATAAAACTGAAAATTATGCTTCAAGCAACTTCTCTTTCACCTTATCCACCTTATACAACCAGTCGAGTGTCCATCCGACAACAACGCCATCCAACCAAACATCGCAAGGCCAACAAGCGGACGAGTCGTTAACTCTAAACACATTTTTTCTCCGTCATATTATGGCCTACCACTACGAAGAATTTCAAAATTTTGAGAAGGTCTCCAAAGAAATCTGTATTAAAGTTAAGTCGAAGACCGAGAGAAATTTGAAGCTTATTATGCGGGACAATGTAGATCAAGCGAAGTTTTTAAAAACAGTGAACAAGTTCATCGACTTCTACCAAGCTCAAAACCAAAAAATGCATCAAGAGCAGTTTCAAATGCAGCCAAAAGATAAAAAAGAAGTAATTTCACAAGCTCGTTCCAAATTTTCTGTTGTGATCGATTCAAGTCAAGAGGAAGATAAAATAACAATCTATGGTGAGAAAGATAAAGTTAAGGAAGCTTTAAATTTTTTGAAAGAAAAAGTTGGTGGTTTTGAAACTTTATTTGAAAAAGGAGAACAATCTTCTAAACGAACAACAGGAACTAATTCACCCGATGCAACACTGAAGGAAAGTGGTTTTATTGAAAAGCTTTCGTGCGTTATATTAAAAAATATAAAACTCACAGTTTATAAGGGAGACATTACGAAAGAAGATTCTGACGTTATTGTCAATCCAGCTAACGGAGAACTCAAGCATGACGGGGGAGAAGCGGGAGCCATCGTAAAAGCCGGAGGGCGATCAATTCAAGACGAATGTGACAAGCTCATCAGAGAACGACGTTCTAAAAGTCTCAATGCTGGTATGGTGGTAGCGACGAAGGCAGGAAATCTTCCTTGCAACTTAATCATCCATGCTGTGGGTCCAAGGTGGTATGATTTCCGGAATAATGAGAAAGACGTAGCAAAAAAAGTTTTTCTCACCACAGTTCTTAACTGTTTAACGGTTGCTTGTAAAAATGGTGCTACAAGCATCTCCATACCTGCCATTAGCTCCGGGATATTTGGTGTTCCTGTCCCAGTCTGTGCTGAGGTTTTATTTCAGGCCGCAACAGATTTTGCTAGGGATGCACCAAACTCCAACTCCTTGGTAGATATTCGCTTCGTCAACCCCGACAGACCGACTGTTCAAGTATTTGAGAAAGAAATGAAGAAACGATTTGCTGCTTCAGTTAGACAGGGAAGTATTGAAATGGTCCATACCGATCGTGTGGGAACAAACGCCAACCAGTATCGACAGAATCAATTCAACGCAGGAGGAGGAATTTTTACAGGTAACTTGAGAACAACTCGTGATTTTCCATCAAAACTGATCACTAACTTGCTAGCAAACGTATAATTGTAAATGTCTCAGTGCGTTTTGGTCATCATTCATCTATTAGAAAGCAGTAATTTGTGTTTCTAGATCCATAGATTTTTCATGGGAAACATTTAATTGAATTAGTTTCATTTTGCATCGCCATATTATACACAATATTTCCATGCAAATTTATTATTGCCAGGCGAAAGTCCGTAAATTATAAACCTGATCTTCATTTGTGAATCTAATTTGAATTATTTTCACTTTCGTGGTTTTCCCAATTTACCAAAAAAAGATTCCGCGACCGATCTCAAAAATTAGGTTTATAAAAAATCTTTACACTTCACGAAAGTATTTAATAGAATCTCTCTAGATATTTTTTAAAAGTAATGCTGTATTATGCATTAGGAAGTCCAATGTATATTTTAAAGCACATTCTCCTCTTCAGGTGGTCATTTGTCATCAACAACTGTCCCTGGGAGTCATTCGTCACCAACATCTGTCCCTTGGAGTCATTCGTCATCAACATCTGTCACTGGGAGTCATTCGTCATCAACATCCGTCCCTTGGAGTCATTCGTCATCAACATCTGTCACTGGGAGTCATTCGTCATCAACATCCGTCCCTTGGAGTCATTCGTCATCAACATCTGTCACTGGGAGTCATTCGTCACCAACATCTGTCACTGGGAGTCATTCGTCACAAACATCTTTCCCTTGGAGTCATTCGGCATCAACAACTGTCCCTGGGAGTCACTCATCGTCAACATCTATCCCTGGGAGTCATTCGTCATCAACATCTGTCCCTCGGAGTCATTCGTCATCAACACCTTTCAGTTACTCAAATGCAATGAAAGGAAACACGACAAGGGGAAAAGGTAAAGTTAGTCCGAGTGAAGAAAATCGTGCAGTATGTTCATTTCGACAAGTTATCTAAATCTTTGTTACAGATACCAAGCCAGGAGAAGATTCAAAAGACAGTGATAAAGAAAAATGTCAAATCTGTCTAAGTGACTATACAGATAAGAAAACCTTACCAAAGTGTGGTCATTCATTCTGTGCCTCCTGTATTGACAAAGCCTTCAAATATCAAAAGAAATGTCCAATTTGTGGCGAGGTTTATGGTGCACTCACAGGCAACCAACCACCAGGGCAGATGTTTGATAGTTTCCAGTCAGCAACTCTTCCTGGTTTTACAAACTGTGGTTCTATTGTTATATCTTATCGGTTCCCCAGTGGTACCCAAGGCCCAGAACATCCTCATCCTGGTAAACCATATCAGGGAACAAACCGAACGGCTTTCCTGCCTGACAATGAAGAAGGGCGGAAAGTTCGATATCTATTAAGAAAAGCGTTTAATCAGAAACTAACGTTCACAGTTGGACGATCAACAACAACAGGACGAGATGATTGTGTTATCTGGAACGATATTCCTCATAAAACCAACATGACTGGAGGAGCAACCAAGTACGTTAAACCTTCTTTGTTGTCCTGACCCTGGGTACGGTTGTGATTAATTTAATATTGTCGTACATTAAATATTAATGTTTAATGAATTTTTCCACAAAACGAAACACGGAATCATAGTGTTCTGCGTATTCGATGAGTATGAATTTATCACACTATACAATTGTTTCTTTATTCGTATTTCAGTTACGGTTATCCTGATCCAGATTACCTGAGAAGAGTCCAGGAAGAACTGGCGGTAAAAGGAATCACAGAATAGAAAAGCGAATTGAAACAACTTATAGTTATAGTTCACATATCTTACCTGGGTAGAAGATGAACCAACCAAAAAAGTTGAAAATAAATTTAGTTTTATAGGACAACGCATGTCTTAGGCCATGACACCGTATTTGCAAGATTTCCTTTTCTGTTAAAAAGCATGCAACGCTTACAGTAGTAGTTTTCAATTTGACCAATTTGATATATTCATCCGGGCATCTGATATTCTAAATGTTCACAGCCTTTCGATGCCTACAAAATTTAACTATCACCTATAGTAATGATTTAGTGCGATCAGTGCTTGAAATGGCTAATAAGGATTGATTTCCATGTTTTACAGACAGTGTGTTGCCCCATAGATTTAGTTGTCGTTGTCGTATAATAGCCTTAATGAAAATGTACTATAGCATGCATGAATAAACAAGATTCACGGATGAAAAGTGTACCCATGAGACAAAATATAAGATTCAGAAAGCACTTTGAGTTACGAACTCAATATTGTTTGCCTTCCGTGATTATGTCAGTTATCATCAGATATCCCACATTCCCCTTATTGTGTTTGTTTCAACAGAGAGAGAAAACCACATGTAACCACAAAACTTGTTGCTGGGAAACCCCAAGTTAACTTGCAAACTAATTTGTATTGCGTCGATAGCAAACAGTGGATGACTATAAAGAATTGAAAATTCATTCATTCGATTATAAACGAAAATCGTTCAAATCTCGCGTTCACGTCTTACCATCAGTATTCAGGTATAATAGCGACATTATTTAACTAGAACCTATAGTTGTATCCAGCGAAAAAAGAACACAGCGTAGAAATGAAGGGTATAAAAACATTCCTTCGGTGTTAGTTTGCCATAAAACTTTGTTATTAAACAATTTTCGCTACCGAAAATGGCTCGTGCTTTGGAAACTGACCCGATCAATAAACTTCAAGAAAATCTACAATGTACTGTATGTCGGGAGCCGCTAAAAGACCCGAGAACTCTTCCTTGCTTCCACTCATTCTGTAAAGATTGTTTGGAAGGCGTTGTGAAAACTCGTCGTAATAAAGCACCTCGCGGTCGACCAGTTCGAGACATTCCATGTCCAAATTGTCGAGAGATGTTTACACTCGATCCTGACAAAAATGTCGCCGACATGAAACGAAATCATTTCATCTGCAACATGGTAAAAGCGACAGCCGTACTCAACCGAGATCGAGGAACTGGCGTTCCGTGTTCACATGAGTGTAGTCAAAGCTACTCAGTCGCTCGCTGTGTCACTTGTGAGAAGTTTTTATGCCAAGAATGTCTGACAGCCCACGACAGTTATCGAGGACACACTGGTCATTCTGTTCTAACGATGGAAGAGTTGTCGAAGCCGGAGAATCGTAAGAAAATCAATGACAAAATGTATTGCAATGAACATTCAGGCGAGATATTGAAAGTTTATTGTGAAACCTGCGACCAGCTGATTTGTAAGGACTGCATGGATTTTAGACACACGAAGCCAGATCATTCATGTTTTCTTGCTAAAGATGTCGGTGATAAATATAAGGAACTACTAGCTTCAAATAATGAAACAATGGATGATGTCCTAACTGAAGGCAATGCCCTTCTTCAGAAATTAACACGTATGACAGAGGAATTTGGTAAGGAAGTTGAGGATGTCAACCGTAAAATAATACAACGAAAGAAGTCTGTGGCGAAAATGGTTTGTAAAGTGTTGGATGAAAACGGTGAAGAGCTTCTGAAAGAAGTAAACGAAATTTATAACGATGAACAAGCAAAATTAGACAAACAGACCAAAAAAATAAAGCAGTATGTAGAGAACGTACAAAAATCTGTTCAGCTTTCAAAGAAATTGGTCGAGGAAGGCACTGAAGAAGAAATACTTTCCTCTCAGAAAATCATGTTGAAGAGCGCAGATAATCTTCTAAAGAAACGTCAAGAGCACTTCAAAGTACCTGCCGCCGTTGAAAAATTAAACTACACTCCTTGTACTAGCAAGGAACCATCAAAAAAAGAAATTTCAAGAGTGTTAGGAAACAGTTTAGGAGAAGTAAATAGAGGTAAAGGTAAATAACTATAGTATATATATATATATATATATATATATATATATATATATATATATATATATATAAGATTTCGGACAAGAATCTATAGGAATCGATCTAAGTAGCTCAGATCGTGAGAAATGCGTTGTCTGTTTGGCTTTATAGATTAAAGAAAACCCCATATAGACGTGTTTGTTCATTTTTTCCAGGCTCTATGGATGAGACATTCAGATATCAAACGATGGATAGACACTTCGATGAAAAGAAAACGGTCAAAATCTCCGGCGTTTCGCAGCTGTTACAAGATCTGATTGAAAAGGAATTTCAGGCGAGGGGAAATACGGCTAAGTACAATGACGACGTAATGAAGACGCATGTCTGCCCCGACGGAGAAGACTGTGTTCTCGTTGAGTTCTGTAATAACTTACCAGGTAATTTCTAGCTTGTTTCTGGGTTGATTTACAGTTTCACTTCAAACATTATCTGATCCTCACTATATAGGCTGCAAAAGAGAAATGATGTCCCTATTTAGGCTCAAAAATGGAGCGACTAACCTGTCAACATTTTTTTCTACTTGGCCAGGATGCCGTTTGTGCATCGATCATGCCGAAATGCTGCACCAATATTTTTATATTAGCTAGCGAAATATGCTGCTACTTTGATATGCAGCGACATTCATGGCTTGCGTTAACGCGTTTGTATTTTCACACGATCTAATTTTTTCGGATCCAATTCATTTCCGATGGATGTTTTGTAGTCTATTGACTTACAATGTTTGTGGGCAGCAAATTAACTGGAGCCAATGCAAGTCAATGCAGTACTGCTTTATCATGCAATAGCATGCAGGCAACATTTCATACGTCAGAAGTGAATTGATGCAACAAAATTGGATTGTGTGAACAGACCTTTAGACGCTCGACATTATCAGCTCTCGCATGCAGGGATTTCAGAAAAAGCTTCACTGAATCTTTTTTCTGTATTGCAGTAGCTGCCTCAACAAGAAGCATCGGTAATACGCTTAGCATTAGCGGTATACACTTGGCTGTTGAACGTTGGAAACCAAAGGCAGTAAGTTTGGAGAAAACGTAAATACATTTGTATACATTAACTGATATTTTGCTTGGATATGTTTGACTGATATTATTCAGTATATAAATATAAATTTTCTAATATTGATTTTGGAATGTGCCCATCCCACACACAGCCCCTGTAGCAACCGTCTCGACTCTCGACAACTAGATAGCTCGGTTGATTTTTTTCCATTGGACCGATAGGAGAAAAGTGAAGCTGTTGGATCTCAAAGTGTTTCGAGAATCTGGGGCAACGAATATACCCTCGCAGAAATGGATGAAGAATGATTAAAAAACAAAAGTTTTAGGGTAATATTCATTGTAATCAACATCACAGATTAACTGCATTGCATCAGATTTATGTCACATAACATGTGATATTCGGGTATTTTAGACATTTACAACGTATGTGACATAACTTAGATTATAGGTTGGAAGAATTTATGTTTATTGATTTGAACCTGGGGGAGAACATTAACTTATTAATTGCGAGAACAGTTTAAAGTGTTTATTGGGTATAATTACTTTGATTTAATATGACTTGAGCGATTTATTTCATTGGCAATTTATATAATCGTAAAAATATGATTGCAAATGTGATATACATGTAATCTTTGTATTCACATTATATTCTAAGGAAATCTCCCGGTGTGAAGCAAAGAATAAAAAATACGTTAGTTTAGGAGGCTCATACTAAAATTTTAGTTTTAATCGCCTGTCTTTGGTGCAGGGTAAAAGGATAATAGAAGGTGAAAAAAATAAAGTCGAGGAAGCCAAACGTTTTTTGAAGAGAATGGTTGATACCAATCGGGATAGCAGTATCTCAAAAAACACAACGACAGAAGTTTCTTCAACTGAATATGAAATTGTCAATAAACCAAGCAATTCATATATCGATTATCCAGACGTCCTCTCTCATTATTCCTCTTCAACAAAATTTACAATTGCATTCAATTTCACAATTGCATCCAATTTCACAATTGCATTCAATCATTCAATTTCCAATTGTAATTTGATAACACTAGTCTAGTTTACTGACGTATCCATTACCCGGAATACATTTTCTATGAAGCAATAACGAAAGTTCGAGCAGTCATGCGATTGTAAACGAAAGTCGTTCAATTCACGTTTGTTACCAGAGGTTTTCAGGTAAAGATTTTACTATTTTACTTAAGGACTGGACGGATTTGATGGCAACATGATTTATCTGGAATCTAGCAACTAATAAGAAATACAGAGACATGAATGGTTCGGTTATTTTATTATATTATAGCAGTATAAAAACACTCTTCCGGTGTTAGTTTGTATGACATTGCTTATTATTTCTGAATATTCTCTGCAGAAAATGGCTGGTGCTTTGGAGACTGATCCGATCAATCAACTTCATGAAAATCTACAATGTACTGTATGTCTGGAGCCGCTAAAAGACCCGAAAACTCTTCCTTGCTTCCACTCATTCTGTAAAGATTGTTTGGAAGACGTTGTGAAAACATGTCGTGATAAAGCACCTCGCGGTCGACCAGCTCGAGACATTCCGTGTCCATATTGTCGAGAGATATTTACACTCGATCCTGACAAAAATGTCGCCGACATGAGAAGAAATCATTTCATCTGCAACATTGTAAAAGCGACAGCCGTACTCAACCGAGATCGAGGAACTGGCGTTCCGTGTTCACATAATTGTAGTCAAAGCTACTCAGTCGCTCGCTGTGTCACTTGTGAGAAATTCTTATGTCGAGAATGTCTGACAGACCATAACAAATATCGAGGGAATGCCAGTCATTCTGTTCTGACGATGGAAGAGTTGTCGAAGCCGGAGAATCGTAAGAAAATTAAGGACAAAATATATTGTAATGAACATCCGGGCGAGATATTGAAAGTTTATTGTGAAACCTGCGACCAGCTGATTTGCAAGGACTGCATGGATTTTAAACACGCGAAGGAAAATCATTCATGTTTTCTCGTTAACGATGTAGTTAGCAACTATAAGAAACTGTTGACTTTAAATAACAAGGCAATGGATGGTGTTTTAAATGAAGGTAATGCCATTGTTCAACAGTTGACAAATACGGCTGAAATACTTGATCGAGATTCTAAGCTTACTAAAACTAAAATTGTAAACAGAAAAGAATCGATTGTTAACAAAGTCGTTGAAATGTTGAATAAACACACTGAAACGCTCTTGAAAGAAGTCGATCAACTTCACAAAGAAAAGAGGGAAGTGTTGGACGGACAGACCAAAAAAACAAAGCAGTATGTGGAGAACGTGCAAAGATCTGTTCAACTTTCAAAGAAATTAGTCGAGGAAGGCACCGAAGAAGAAATAATTTCCTCTCAGAAAATGATGCTGAAGAGCGCAGATAATCTTCTAAAGAAACGTCAGGAATACTTTGAACACGTGACCGTTGAAAAATTGAAATACACGCTTTCTACCAAAGATGAACCATCAGACGAAGAGATTTCAAGAATGCTGGCGAGATGTTTAGGGATTAAAGATGGAGGTAAGCAGATCAAGGTTTGGGTTCTATTCATGACACAGTTCTTAGCTCTTATAGCAGATAAATTATAGTTTAAATTTTGAAATATTTTTGTATTGCGTGTACTAGCTGGTTCAAGAAACATGAATGATACTATACATCTATATAGATTAACTAAAGATATATTTTGCATGAAGTTGTCTGACTGATAATAGAGCTATATATTCAGTATAAGGGAACTACAACATGATTAACATACTAGAGCCACTTTAGTTCGTCGATATTAACTGTATCCCCAGTGATTCTCAGCTTTACTTTAATCCTATCCAGCGTATTACAGGGGTATCCTGGGAGCAAGAATATCCTAATTGTAATTTATATACTAACGTAAAAACGGAAATAAAGGCATTTCCTCAGGAAGCGATTTTAGCCTGCGCAAAAGCTCTCAAGCAAATGATGCAAAGCGATTAGCTAGGGAGGCCTCCACACCAAGTGATCGCCGCGTCATATTGTAGAAATGGCAGAATATGCTGCGCTGCCTGCGCACCGACTGGGCATAGGTGGTCTTTGTGGTTCAGTCGGAACTCGGAAGCATTAGAAAGATTTAGTTTGACGTTTTTCTTTCAACCGCAAACCGCGGCTTGACGTTGAAATTTTGCCGTTTGACGTTTGCGGTTCACGTTTTCAACCGCTGGAGGTGTATTTTCACGTAGCTCATTTACCTCATTGCAATAGCTTTGCAATCGTGTCTCGTTTCACGTATAAACACTCCTAGTAGAAATATTGGATGTCTAAATCATCTTTGTGGTAATTTTCTAGCCTGTTTTCAATGAGTTTACCGATTTTCTTTAAGAAAGCGGCTACCACTTTTCAATAACACGATTGCCAATATGGCGGTTTACCATGATATCGTAGGTCGATAGTCGGTTATTAAAATGGAGTTTCTTTTCAACTTTTCCAGGTGTAAACGACATTTGATTTTAAAAAAATTGAAGCATTAGAAATAGCTGGCAGTAATTTAACAGCGAAACTGTTTACTTGATGCCAATTTTGAATCGTTCTAACATAAATTATAGGTGAATGACTGCTAACTATAAATGTCTAATTTGCAACAGCGGCAACGTCAAACCACTAACGTGAAACCGCGCTTTGCCGCGCGCCGTAAACGTCAAACTAAATGTCTCTTTTGTTTCATCATCACGTCACGTCCGTGATTTTCAAGAGCCGCTTCATCCGCGCGGGTAAAGCGAATGTAATGGCAAATAACTTAAGAACGGAACTTTAATTATTTCCAGAGCCAAAGCTGTGGAATCCACAAAATGAAGTTGACATTCATGGGAACAAGTTGAAAGTGGAGCCTTTCGTGGAGTACGCAGTAAGTGCACTTGTAAATTTAGATAAATTCAAGCAAATTTTCATGCGACACGAAAATCCAAATTTAATTGCATTCCCAAATCGGACGAGAAAGATTTCATAAAGAGATTTCATGAAGAAGTAGTACTTAACAATCTTTATCATAATAATAGCCTGTAATAGAAAACTATAAAAGTTTTTTGAGGCCATCTCTGTTTTATGATCCTCTAAACTGCATGAAACACATACACATTACACGTGCAATTACTACAAACATCTAAGATAATAATGATTCCTGCAACTGCATAATTCCAGGCTTCAGAAAACGTTACTTCTGTGAGTCAGACGTGGTCGATGGAGGACGATCAACCACAAGCCACTGAAAATTCTCTCGCCTCAATTTCTATGAATTTTGACAAATATGCAACGATTAAAATATCTGGTGTATCCAGATTCTTGAAGGATCAGATTACAAAAAAATTTCTAAGTAAAAAGAATTCGACTGGTATTAGTGGCGATGTGAAAAGACTGTATGTTTGTCCAGGCGGTCGAGACTATGTTCTTTTGGAATTTAGAAAAGGTAACATATGCATAGGTAAACAATATGATTCAGTTAACATACTATAGCCGCTTTAGTTCATCAATATTAACTGTATCCCCATTCTCAGCTTTACTTTAATCTTATCCAGCGTATTACAGGGGTATCCTGGGAGCAAGATTATCCTAATTTGTAATTTATATATACTAACGTGAAAAACGAAAGTAAAGGCATTTCCTCAGCAAGCGATTTAGCCCGCACGGAAGCTCTCAAACAAATGACGCAGAGCGATTAGCTAACGATTCATGATAAAAGGGTATTGTAGAAATGGCAGAATATGCTGCGCACCGACTGGGCATAGGTGGTCACTGTGGCTCAGTCGGAACCATTGAACTGTAAACAAACTGGAACGATAACTCTGGGTGGGAAATTGAGGCCAGTGCTTTTTACTTTTTCTGAGTTTTGAGCTGAAACACTTGACGCCAAATGTATATGAAATTAAAGCTATTAAAAAGTTATATTTCGTGTAGAAATTTCGAGACTTTAGTTTAAAGGGAATTACCGGTTTGCCGGTTGGTAATTGTTTTTGTTTTTTTAAATATTTCCTTTGTAGTTTAAGTCTTTAAATTTCTACACCAAAAATAACTTTTCAATAGCTTTAATTTGATACACAGCCCAACGTCGTTCCAGTTGTATAGGGTTCACTGATCGGAACTCAGAAGATTTGTTTCATCATCACGTTACGTCCGTGATCTTCAAGAGCCGCTTCATCCGCGCGGGTAAAGCGAATGTAATGGCAAATAACTTAAGAACGGAACTTTAATTATTTCCAGAGCCAAAGCTGCGGAATCCGCAAAATGAAGTTGACATTCATGGGAGCAAGTTGAAAGTGGATCCTTTCGTGGAGTACGCAGTAAGTGCACTTGGTATGAGTCCGACTAACTCTCCTGACGAAGGCCCTCAGGTCGAAACATCGAGAAGTGTTTTGTCTATTTAGGCAGTTGTTATACCACATTTGATGCTAAGTTGTTTGAAGACGCTACCACGCTGCTCCCTGGTTATATAATAGAAAACTATAAAAGTTTCTTTAGGCCATCGCTGTCAGTTTATGATCCTCTAAACTGCATGAAACACACATACACATTACACATGCAATTAGCACAAACATGTATGATAATAACGATTCGTGCAACTGCATGATTCCAGGCTTCAGAAAACGTTACTTCTGTGAGTCAGACGTGGTCGATGGAGGACGATCAACCACACGCCACTGAAAATTCTCTCGCCCCATTTTCTAAGGCGAGAGTGAAAGTGACCGATGAATATTTAGAAAAACTGGAGCAATGTGGAATAAAAGAGACGGAGGTTGAATTAGACGATGAAGGGTACCTCATTGGTCCATGGAACGCCATTTTCAGATTTGGACAATCACTTCGTTCGTCAATTTTTGGTTTCTCGCAAAGTGACGATCTGGAAAGCCGTGGTAGTCGTGGAGAACTTGATACAGCATCTTCGGTAAGGCAAAAGCGGGCTGCTGATGATGATGGAGATCAGCCTGTTGCTGAAAACGGTCCTCAAACAATCCTTGTACAGTCCCTGTTTTATCACTATATAATGAAATACCACTATAAAGAATTTCAAGCACTTGAGAATGTATGTGGAGAAATAAGCATCAAAATACGTAACAAAACAGACAAAACTCTGATACTTCATCGCAGTGTTAATGTTTCCAAAGCTGACTTTACTGCAGCGTTAAGTGATTTCGTTGAATTCTACCAAAAGCAAAGTTTTAAAATGTTCCAAGATATTAAATCTGTGCGATCGAAAAAAGAGGCAGACGTTATCTCAGAAGTGAGTTCAAAATTTCCTGTCATCGTTGATGTAACGGAGGAGTCAAGAACAAAGTATCGTGTAATCATCTATGGCGAGAAGACGAACGTTTATGACATGCTTGCCCATTTGACGACAAGAGAAGTTGACCAACTCAACGATGTTCCTGCTCGTCCTTCGACGTCAACTACCAGAAAGCCTGGTGAACAGTTCGTTGTTTTTTTCCGTAATACAATGAAACTGATTGTTTATAAAGGTGATTTGACCGAGGAGAAAGTGGACGCGATTGTGAATCCTGCAAATGAGCGTCTAGATCATTGTGATGGAGCTGCAGAAGCGATATCAAAAGCTGGCGGAAGATCGATTCAAGCACAGAGCGATGACATAATGATTAAACGGCGCGGAAAAGATCTAGTTGCTGGAGATGTCGAAACCACCAGTGCTGGATTTCTTCCTTGTAAATTCATCGTGCATGCTGTTGGTCCAAGACGAAGCCAACAAAATAGAGAAAGTGCGAGGAAACATTTACATGAAGCTGTGATGAACAGTTTGAAGACTGCAAATAAGAGTAAGGCTAAAAGCATTTCAATTCCTGCCATCAGCTCCGGTGTTTTTGACATCCCTGTTGACCTTTGTGCTGGTGTTCTCTTCGATGCGGCCGAAGAATTTATCAAGGATAGAAGCTTTATTAAAGAGCTGCAAGAGATACGATTTGTAAATATTGATCAAGATACCACCGACGTGTTCGTGGCTGAAATGAAGAGACGTTACACGCAGAATGTCAAAGAAGAGCCGCGAGTTGAGAGTTCATCATCAACAACGCAAAGTAGAACCACTCGCAATGACGCTGAAAGACAAGCTGCTGTTACGAATCCTTTGAAGACCCCTTCGCGTGGTAAGTTTTGAGCGATCCCTAGCCTGTTGTCTTGTGTACACACTCTGATTATTGTTCATTCTCAATTGACACGTACACCTTAATCTTTTTGACGTTTCGTGGAACAATAATGCTCGCAGTTGCATAGTGGTAGACTTACATATAGGGCATCAAAATACCCCATATAGATCTTTTCCTCTCCGTGGCGCTATTTCGTACATGTAACAATACCACTCGTTTGTATGTAAATTGCTTTAAATTGAAATCTGAAATAGTTTTTCTTAACTTATATTTGCTATATTTAGACCGAAGTGAGCGTGCCGATGCGAAAGCCAATTCTAGTGATGAAAAATGCGGAATTTGTCTGTGTGATTTCACAGACAAGAAGACACTAAGTAAATGTGGTCATTCTTTCTGTGCTGCCTGTATTGATCGAGCATTCCAGTATTCGAAAAAGTGCCCAACTTGTGGACTGGCGTACGGAACCCTTGTTGGAAATCAACCTCCAGGAAAAATGACTGATTACTCTAATAGCGCACGATTGCCTGGGTATGATTCTTGCGGAACTATCGTGATAAACTACGCATTTTATGGCGGTGTTCAAGGACCAGAACATCCAAATCCTGGTCAGCGTTATCAAGGAACGCAACGCCGTGCATATTTACCTGACAACGAAGAAGGACGAAAAGTTCTTAGACTCCTGAGAAAAGCGTTTGACCAGAAACTGACGTTCACAATCGGACGATCGTCGACGTCAGGAGCGGATAACGTCATCACCTGGAATGATATTGATCATAAAACAAACATAAGTGGAGGAGCAACCAAGTATGTGAGACAAGATTGGAAGGATGCTTATATAACTTGTTTAGCGATTGTAGACCTGAGATTAACCTCATTGCAGTAATTACAAGATCATTTTAAACGAGATTTTAGAGCTATTTCGGCGTGAAGTTATAATTGTAGCCGGTTTGAGTTACTCAGTAGAACATTTGGTTATGTTTACCAACCATGTTTACTTTTACTTTATTTTAGCTCTGGTTATCCCGACCCAAATTACCTGAAGAGAGTTCAGGAAGAACTGGCTGCGAAAGGAATTACAGAATAAACTGGAGAAACTTTGAACGAAATGAGTCATATCACTTTTTTCGATACATTTTATCTGCACTAATAAAATTGCGCACGGGTACCAATCTTAGCCGTGCCGTGCCGATAAATTGACTGTAGTGTAAACGGGGCTTTATCTCCAGTGTTGGAGTACCGACGACAAACAATGTTTACGTGTGAAAGATGTAAGGCTATGACTAAAACTGACAACAATCTGGGGAGTATTCTAGCACTTTAAGCGAAGAGATTTAGTTTGAAAGTGAACGTTAGAAATCCTGAACTGAACCTTTACCAACCTGGATTGCGTTCACAGTCGGATATGTGGTATAATGTAGACAAATTGTAGTATAATGTAGACAAATTGTATAATCTGGATGTCTCATTCTAAGATCATCATAGTGTAAGTCAATTTTAAACAAACGTCTTCGTTCCAAACAAAAAAATTCTTAGAAAACTTTCAACTTGTGTGGTCTTTGTATATCAATCTCGTAAATAGCACTCCCGTGTGATATACTGACTATCACTATGTGTGAGCACTTCAATAAAATTCTAATGAATTGTAATATGATAGCACGAGTTCACGGACCTACGTATTGATTACCAGGAATAGATTTTCCAAGAAGCAATAACGAAAGTTAAATGATGCATGGATTACAAACAAAACCTGCTGTCTTATCTCATTTGCATCACTCAAGTAGAATTCAAATAAGGAGTTTTTACACATACCGGTGTTGTGTAGAGACGATAGCAATATTCGTTAAGTTCAATTTATATTTTCCAAAAGGAATCCAAAACGCTGAGAGGTGGTCGTAATGTAATCGTAAAAGAGTACAACTACACTAATCTTCCAGTGCTTCTTTAGTGTAGTTGCCCGGACTACGTAATGGAATTATCGGTTTAAGAAGGTTCATTTTTTCTCGTTTCAAATGGCTACTGCTTTAGAAACTGACCCGATCAATGAACTTGAAGAAAATCTACAATGTACTGTATGTCTGGAGCCGCTAAAAGACCCGAGAACTCTTCCTTGCTTCCACTCATTCTGTAAAGATTGTTTGGAAGACGTTGTGAAAACACGTCGTGACGAAGCACCTCACGGTCGACTAGTTCGAGAGTTTCCATGTCCAAATTGTCGAGAGATGTTTACACTCGATCCTGATAAAAATGTCGCCGACATGAGAAGAAATCATTTCATCTGCAACATTGTAAGAGTAACAGCCGTACTCAACCGAGATCGAGGAACTGGCGTTCCGTGTTCCCATAATTGTAGTCAAAGCTACTCAGTCGCTCGCTGTGTCACTTGTGAGAATTTTTTATGCCAAGAATGTCTGGCTATTCACGACAGTTATCGAGGACACACTGGTCATTCTGTTCTGACGATGGAAGAGTTGTCAAAGCCGGAGAATCGTAAGAAAATCAATGACAAAATGTATTGCAATGAACATCAGGGGAAGAAACTTAAAGTTTATTGTGAAACCTGCGACCAGCTGATTTGTAAGGACTGCATGGATTTTAAACACACGAAGCCAGATCATTCATGTTTTCTTGTTAAGGATGTGGCCGACAAATATAAGGAGCTACTTGCTTCGAATAATAAGAAAATGGATGAAGTTTTAACAGAAGGAAATGCCATTCTTGAACGATTAACGAGTTCGACAGAACGACTTGGTCACGATGCTGAGCATGTCAAACGCGAGATTACTAAAAAGAAAGAGCTAATAGCGATGGCATTCGGTGAAATGTTGGATCAAAAAGCAGACTCACTTAAAAACGATGTTGATCGAAGAATTTACTTTGAACGATTGAAGTTGAACATTCAGAAGAGGGAAACAAAGCCGTATGTTGATAATATACAAAGATCTGTTCTTCTTTCAAAGAAATTAGTCGACCAAGGCACTGAAGAAGAAATACTTTCCTCCCAGAAAAGCATGCTGAAGAGCGCAGATAATCTCCTGAAGAAACGTCGGGAATATCTAAAAGAACCTGAATCTGTAAAGTTGTGCTATACTCCGACTCCCTGCGCTGACAAGGAACCATTAAACCAAGAGATTTTGAGTGGATTGGAGAAGAGTTTAGGAAAGGTGATTGAAGGAAAAGATAGCAAAGGTAATAAACTAACCATGTGGTTTGGAGGAAAGACAGGGAATATACTGTATAAGCTAGTGCAAATAATTACAATATAAGAGTTGGTTTTGAATGATATAGATTTTTGTTGATATTCAAGGGAGGAAGGGGGGAGGAAGGAGGAGGAACTTTTAGCAAGAAACAAGATGGGATGGTTACTGCATGAAAAATATATACTGCAGAAGATCGTATATCACAATTGATTTAGAATAAATATTAGTTGATTTTTCATCTTGATTCTATAATAATTCGATTTTACCTGCAATAACGAAAATTGTTCGCTCAATCTAATTATATCAATCAATTTATTATTTTCTATTTTCTGCAATAGGGATTGTAGGTCATCAATCCAAGTTAAACCCAAAGGCACCCGTGTTTGCTTTATCTCGGAGTTTTTCGTCACCTGCTCCCAGTTATTCCAATGCCATGACGCGGAACTCGAGTGAAGGTATGTTACCCTGTATCTTCAGTCGTAGTTGCTGTGTGTAGCTGCATGGCAAGAAGCCTGTAAATAAAAAGGACAAAGCACTTATGTACATTTCTCGTTTCTTCACTTACATCTACGTTTGATTTCCATTTTCAGGTAACCTTTCAGGATCACCTAAAAAACGTGATAATGAAAGATGCCCAATGTGCCAGTCTGACTTCACAGATAAGAAAACATTATCTGAATGTGGTCATTCATTCTGTGCTGCATGTATTGATAAAGTATTTGAATATCAAAACAAATGTCCAGTTTGTGGCCAGGTTGATGGCGCTCGTCCAGGGAACCAGCCTCCTGGTGTGATGTCAGATAAAACCCGTTCAACACAACTCCCTGGTTTTACTGAGTGTGGGACTCTTGTTATAACTTATCATTTTCCAAGTGGTATCCAAGAATTGGACCACCCTAATCCTGGGAAACCATATGAGGAAGCAATGCATATCGCTTATTTACCAGACAACAAAGAAGGACGGAAAGTTCTAATATTGTTGAAAAGAGCGTTTGAACAAAAGTTAACGTTCACAATCGGACGGTCAGAAACAACAGGATTAAATGACTGTGTTGTATGCAAAATTGAGCACAAGAAATCCGTTTCAGGCGGGCCAAGCAAGTATGTTTACTAATCCATTTTTTTGTTGATCAACTCTTCTATAGTCAAACTGTCAAACCAGTTGAAGAAGGCCCTGTCGCGAAATCAGAGAGTTCATGCGTTTCAATGGTGTAATAAATTTGTTCATTATATTTCAGCTTTGGTTATCCTGATCCAAATTATCTGGCGAGAGTTGAACAGGAACTTGCTGAAAAAGGAATTACAGAATACTGAAACGAAGCTGTAACAAGATCATTCAAATAACTTGAACAACTTGTGTATTAGCCTTTCTCACGATGACGAATATCTACCATTTTTGGGGTACTTTCAATTTTCTTAAATAGGTTTAAAAAGTTATAGCAATATGAAAAGCGTTTTTTTGGAATCAACAGACCATTTGAAGAATAAATTCAGCCTAAAATTGAAGATAGTTGGCGTTAAGACCTTCACGATTTCGAAAAAAAGTACCCCAAAAATGGCGGCATATTCGTCATCGTGAGAAAGGCTAATTGGACGAGTCTTCCTTTGAGAGTAAACTCGAAGTCTAACAGACTGTAACAGTAAATGAACAACAAAATCCCCTTTGATGAGAAAATTATTAATGTGAGAAACACAAAGGAATTATGATGTCAAATCTTTCAAACCAATAAACATTTGCTACTAAACATGCAATGCTTACTAATGGCAATCAGACGAAGATGCAGCAGTGACCAGCGAATCGAGTATTGTAGAGTAATCGAGGACCTACTTCCTAAACTAGTCTATGTTACTTATAACTGTAGTTTCCATTGATTTCGTGTGAATTATATAAGAGAAAACTGCGCCTTTATGCTATTTTATTTAATGTAGTAGCTACAGCACTTATTTCCTAGGAACCTAAAGTCGATAGAAGAGCTAAAAAATGTTTTACATTCTTTGCAATTGGACAATGAACATACCCATACAAAGTTTCAAAGTGTAAAAATGGTAGCTTTGCTTTGACTAGATGACATTGATAATTATTCACATAAATAATTTTGAAGCAATTGCGAATACCGTAAATTAATTCTTTGAAAAACAATACCAAACGAGTTGTCATGCGAAGCCGACACAAAGCAGGAATAATGCAAAACGCTTTCGTTTTGTAGTTTCGTTTTAAATGGCTCGCATTTCAGAATCAGATGGAAATGATCGATTTGTAAAAAGCCCACAATGTACTGCTTGTCGAAATCCCGCGTCAAACGACCCGAGAACCCTTCCTTGTTTCCACTCAATCTGTAATAATTGTTTGCAAGACGTCGTGACAACATGTCGTGACACTGAAGCACCTCGCGGTCGACCAGTTCGAGATTTCCTATGTCCATGTTGTTTAAACGAGACGCTTAAACCCAAACCTGACAAACAGGATCGTGGCGTTCCGTGTTCACATAATTGTAGTCAAAGCTACTCAGTCGCTCGCTGTGTCACTTGTGAGAAATTCTTATGCCAAGAATGTCTGACAGACCACAACAAATATCGAGGAAATACGGGTCATTCTGTTTTGATGATGAAAGAGTTGCCAAAACAGACGGACGAAATGTATTGCAATGAGCATCCGGGCGAGATATTAAAAGTTTACTGTAAAACCTGCGACCAACTCATCTGTTGGGATTGTATGCGTTTCATACACGTGAAGCAAAATCATACATGTTTTCTTGTCGAAAATGCAACGAGCAAATATAAAGAAATACTTGCTCTAAAAAGTAGAGCAATGGAGAAGGTGGTAAGTGAAGGCAATACCTTTGTCAAAAGGTTAACAAGAACGACGGAAAGACTTGATCAAGATGCTAAAGATGCCAAGAGTAAAATTCTACAAAGAAACGCATTTATGGCGAAGAAAGTGGTTGATGTTTTAAATCAAAGAACCGAAAGGCTTTTGAATGAAGTCGATGAAATTCATAAAGGTGCTCGAGCAAAATTGGACAGACAAACTAAAGCGACAAGGCAGTATGTGCAAGACGTACAAAGTTCTGTTGATCGTTCAAAGGAGCTGGTCAAGCAAGGCACTGAAGAAGAAATAATTTCCTCCCAGAAACTGATGCTGGATACGGCTGATAATCTCCTGAAGAAACGCCATGAGCATCTCAGAGCATGTATACCACTTGCGAAGCTGTGCTACACATCCTACAGTGAAGAGGAACCATTGAACGTGAATATTTTGAATGGACTGGAAGGGAGTTTGGGAGTGGTTGATATAAAGAGCGAAGACAAAGGTAACTGAAACTTATTATGTTGATCTCAGAGGTCGTAATCGCAGGTGAATGAGTGCGACATAGTTCTATAGTATAAAGATCATGTTGATCAAGGGTTTTTAGTTCTTTTAGATTCATCAGAAAGTCCGAGTGTCCAGTCGGTTCAGTATTCCCAGGCAACTGCATTTTCCATATCTTCATATCAAAGTCCGAGTGGAGGTAAATATCCTTTGGAATTTGTTGTGTATTTTGAATTAAGATGACGAAGCATTGAAGAAAGGTAAATTAACATACGTGATTTCTGATTCTGAATTTGTCTAAATTTGCACGTGTTTTGATATGCAGTTCCAGGTATAAAATTTGTCGAAGTAGATGGAAATCACGATGATAAACAATGCACAATTTGTCTCAGCGACTATACAAATAAGAAAACGTTATCGAAATGTGGCCATTCATTTTGTGCCTCCTGTATTGACCAAGCATTCAAATATCAAAAGAGATGCCCAATATGTGGCGAGGTCTATGGTCCTCTCGAAGGGAACCAGCCTCCGGGAGAGATGATAGAAAAGTTTGAGTCAACGTGTCTTCCTGGTTTTCCAATGTGTGGTACCATTGTTATAACCTACAGGTTTCCATCTGGTATCCAGAGTCCCGGACATCCTAGGCCTGGCAGGCCTTATACCGGAACGAACATAACTGCTTATTTACCTGAAAATTACAAAGGGAGAGAAATTTTCGGACTTTTAAAGAAAGCATTTTGCCAAAAGCTAACGTTTACAATTGGAAATGATGATTGTGTTGTATTCAATAGTATTCATCACAAAACCAAAAGAGATGGAGGACCAGACAAGTAAGTTTTACGTACTGTTATAAAGTAGATTTTAATATCATGCTGGAAGTAATGCCTTTATAAACACATTATCGTTTATTCCGGTTTCATCCAATGGCTTTCTTACTGTTGGGTGCAAACGAGAACCAAATTGGTGCAAAACGATGAGATGTTGGCTTGGCATGCCAAATTGGCATGATGCAATGAATCAAAAGGGTTGAATCTAAAATTAATCGTTAAAAATATCTTCATTTTTTAGCAATGGTTACCCAGATCAAGACTACCTGAGGAGAGTTCAATATGATCTGGCTGTAACAGGGGTTAACTGAAGAATAAAGCATTGGAGTAAATGGAGTTTCATCAGAATGGCATTTGATCTTCCTTGTACAAGTATAATGATATGACTACCTGTCGTGTTCATGACTTCATGTTGTGGACGAACAGTAGCCTTAATTGAACAGCAAAGTTCAAACACGACAAAAGATTGTTATAGATAATAATTCTTGTCTTAATTACAGTGTATATTGTAATATATGTCTTCAATTTTGAAAAATACTGAGTTTTTGTCAACGAAACGAGTCATTTTCATGCAGGTTTGGATTTAGATCATCCTTGAGTCGTTCATGTTGCTCTTTGATGGTCTTCAGTTCTGATTTAAAGACCGCTTCCATCTCGTCCATTTTCGCATCAAAACATTGTTTCTGAAAAAAACAAAATGAGAATTACGTTGATGTTAAAGATACGCGGACACACATAAACTTCTGTTTATTTATAGCTCACAATTTCCTGCCATTTCTGCTAAACAAATATAGCACGTACTTCCTCAAAAGAGCCAAACACCACGCCAGATCTTGAGATGAAATATCTGGGACACAGACACGGGCTTTTGCATTCTTCTTCGTCGCCTATTATTTCATTCAACGTTCTCTTATTTTCAAATGCATTATTCCTAAATTCCTTGCATGTACACCGTTGTAAATTCCACAAAGGATCATCCGTCTCTTGTAGTTGACTTTTCAACTCCCAGAGCACTTTCAACAGAATCGTGCTATTTCGTTCTTGATTTTGTCCTACAGGTTCCTCGAAGTTTGTTCCAAATTTGTGTGGCTTTATTGTTTGAAAAAATACAACTGTTTATTCCACGTAAACAATAACTTGCTACAGAAGACACCGATTAAAAGGCGATTATGATTTACATAAATCATTTGTAGATTTTGCGAATACCGCAAAACTATTTTCTAAGAAGTAATCAGTGTCGTAACTAGAGCGATAATTGGGGGGGGGGTGAATATTAATCAGTTCTGCCTGACGGATTTCTATTGCAAGCCATTGCACTTACATAAGAAATCCGTAGGAGAGAACTGGATATATGAATATTCACCCCCCCCCCAATTATCGTTCTACAGGGTGTCTCAAAAAAAACGCAACCACTTAAATATGCAGAACATTAATACAGCTCTAAAGCGCAATAGATACGCACCTCTGGGAATTGAAAATGGCTCTTAATCCTTCATTTACAATGCTAAAAGTCATTTTAGCTGAACTATGGTGCAAACCCGAACAATATTAATATTCTTGCATATTTAAGTGGTTGCGTTTTTTTTGAGACACCCTGTAGTTACGCCACTGGAAGTAATGCCAAGTGATATGTCATGCGAATTCAACACAAAGCAGGAATTATCGGTAGGCTAGCTGCTTTTAATTCATATGGTTTACTGTGTTTTTAATGGCTCGTGCCTTAGAATCAGATGTGGTCAATATACTGGAAGAAAATCTGGAATGTGCTGTTTGTCGGAACCCGTTAAAAGACCCGAGAACTCTTCCTTGTTTCCACTCATTCTGTAAAGATTGCTTAGAAGGCGTTGTGAAAACATGTCGTGACGAAGCACCTCGCGGTCGACCAGTTCGAGAGTTTCCTTGTCCAAATTGTCGAGAGATGTTTACACTCGATCCTGACAAAAATGTCGCCAACATGAGAAGAAATCATTTCATCTGCAACATGGTAAAAGCGACAGCCATACTGGATCGTGGAACTGGCGTTCCGTGTTCACATGATTGTATTAAAGGTTACTCAATCTCTCGCTGTGTCACTTGTGAGAAATTCTTGTGCCGAAAATGTCTGACAGACCACAACAGTTATCGAGGACACGCTGGCCATTCTGTTCTGACGATGGAAGAGTTGTCAAAGCCGGAGAATCGTAAGAAAATCAAGGACAAAATGTATTGCAATGAACATCCGGGCGAGATATTAAAAGTTTATTGTGAAACCTGCGACCAACTGATTTGTAAGGACTGCATGGATTTTAAACACACGAAGCCAGATCATTCATGTTTTCTTGTTAAAGATGTCGCTAATAAATATAAGGAACTACTAGCTTCAAAAAATGAAACAATGGATGGTGTTTTAGCTCAAGGCAATGCTTTTGTCGAAGGATTAACACATACAAAAGAAATACTTGATCTAAATTCTCGCGCAGTTAAAAGTACAATTCGTGAAAGAAAAGAATCTATATTAAAAACATTTATCGACATGTTGAATCGAAAAACTGAAACACTTCTGAACGAAGAGGATCGAATCCACCAAGACGAACGGAAAAAGTTAGACAAACAGACTCGAGAAACAAATCAGTATTTGGAAAATTTAAAAAGATCTGTTCAACTTTCAAAAAGTTTAGTCGACCAAGGCACTGAAGAAGAAATAATATCATCTCAAAAAATGATGTTGAATAGCTCGAGCAGTCTCCTGAGGAAAAGACAGGATTATTCTGTGCGAAATATACAGTATGCTGTGCCGAGCTACACTCGGCCCTGTGCTGACAAAAATCTATTAAGTGAAGATACTTTTAGCGATATGGAAAAGAGCTTGGGGAAAGTGAATACAAAGTTAAGAGGTAAATAAAAAAGCTATGATTATATATAGTATAGTTCCTGTACGAGGGGGAAATAGTGATAATAGGTGTGAATTTTGACAGGTGAGTGAAAGGAGGACGTCGCTTGAAGATTAATTGGAGGCCTGTGCATGTATATTTATATATTAATGTTGATATTACCGGCGTAAAACCATCGCAGTATCGCTATTAAATCAGTCGGTTTTCGTTCACGTAGAAAAGTGAATATAATCCTACAGCTCGTATTCATCAGTTTATCTCCCAAAAATAATATATAGTTACGAATTTAGCGCAGAAAAACAAAAATATATGTATAAAATACACGCTGCAATAATATAAACATGTGATATGTGATATGATATTCATTTTATTTAACCTAATTTTCTTTTTATATGAATGGACATAAAGTTTACAAATCCAGTCTTAATCTAAAATCATCAGGATTTTCTGCGTCCCAGAATTATTCCAGTCCTTTAGATCAAAGACCTATTCGTCTGGATCTATATTCCAGTTATTCGGAGGGAGAAAAAGATGACTGGGCACTCAATGTGAAGCAAAATCGACATGCTAATGTACCGCAGAAAGGGAAGAAGAAACCTCACAGTCCACCGCGGAAAACGCTTACTCAGAAATTAAGTCAAATAACCGAACGGGCAAGCCTGTGGGCAGATGATCTCTCTCTCGGTAGATCCAATCGGGAGTCAAAGCCAAGTGACACTAAATTGCAAACTAACAACGTAAAGAAATTCTTCAATTTGTCGTCGAGAAGGTCTCGAATGAAATCAGCTTCTACACCTGATTTGTCAAGAATGAGTGAGGATGATCATTGCACTGGGTTTGGATGGGGTTCAGAAGCCAAGTGTGTATGACGTGTGATTCATAGACAAGCAAATTTTCAAGTTTCACCGCATGTGTTAACAATTATCTAAATTATTTTTTTAGATTCCTCGGCTTGCAGAAATCACGAAAAACGAGTTACATATGATGACTGAATCTCAACAATAATGAAACACGAAAACCAATTCTTCTGAGTGCAACTTTATGTAGTGCATTAAAACGTCCAGACACATGCATGTCTAATGTTTATATAAACTTCTTTAATTAACTTTTTAACTTGTTAGGTGAGCCGCGATGAGCGTATCAAGACTAAGGTAGAATAAGGTATAAGAGTATACAGTGAGCGTAAAAATGGTAGGAATGCATGCTTATGGATGACATTGATTATTATTCACATAAAATAATTGTACAGCGACTGAGATTACCGTAAATTGATATTCTTTCAAACAATACCAAATGAGTTGTCATGCGAAGCGAACACAAAGCAGGAATTTCTTTCGCTTTCGTTTTGTAGTGTCGTTTTAAATAGCTCACGCTTAAGAAACAGATGCGATTAATCGATTTGTAAAAAGCCAGCAATGTACTTCTTGTCGAGATCCCGCGTCAAACGATCCGAGAACTCTTCACTGTTTCCATTCATTCTGCAAAGATTGTTTGCAAAAAGTCGTGACAACATGTCGTGACCTAAATCACCTTCAGTCGTTCATGTTGCTCTTTAATGGTCTTTAGTTCTGATTTAAAAACCGCTTCCATCTTGTCCATTTTCGCATCAAAACATTGTTTCTAAAAAAAGCAAAACGAGAATCACGCTAATATTAAAGCTACGCTGAGTCGCTGACACACATAAACGTCTGTTGATTTATAGTTGTTCAAGCATAGCACGTACTTCCTCAAACGAGCCAAACACCACGCCAGATCTTGAGATGAAATATCTGGGGCACAGACAAGGACTATTACATTCTTCTTCGTCGCCTATTATTTCATTCAACGCTCTCTTATTTTCAAATGCATTATTCCTAAATTCTTTGCAAGTACACCGTTGTAAATTCCACAAAGGATCATCTTTAACAACATGACCATCTCTTGTGGTTGACTTTTCAACTCCCAGAGCTCGAAAGAAGAAATCACTTTCAACAGAATCGTGCCATTTTGTTCTTGATTTTATCCTACAGCTTCCTCGAAGATTGTCCCAAATTTGCGTGGCTTTCTTGTTTGAGGTAATACAACTGTTTATTCCACGTAAACAAGAACTTTCTGTTGTATCACCATTTGTATAATAACTGTCGCACAGGCTCTCAGGAAGGCTGAGGTTAAGTGTTACGAGTAAGTGTTTTTTGAAAACGGACACAGTTTCGTTCAGAGGCGATACACAGGAATGGTTTCTGGATAGGATTGTATCTTTGAGCTTTATTGGAAGAGAGAAGAATTGTTCTTTCGCTGGGAATGCCACGTAAGGTGTCCATTCGTCCTACACAAAGTCAGACAATAAAAAAATCAATGAATCAGATGAAAAGTTTACAGCTTGTATCTGACTGCGACGCAAAGCGGTGGTGATAATCCGCGGTTCTTCCTCCCGTACGCGGGTACGTCGTAACATAATCGCCGATTACCGGATCAGTGAAGAAGACCACAAACAAACGAACTTAAGACGATATAAAACAGCTCGATAAAAACACTCAGCTTCGCTCAAGCGTGCGGTCGATTGACAAAGAACTCAGTTGCTGAGGAAACGCGAGTATTTATTAAAATATTCCGTTGAATCATTTCATTATGTGTCTGTCATTCGTATCCGTCAATTTTTCTCCTAAAAAGTATCAGTTATTGTCCTCAGAAGTATATTTCTATACATATTATGCTTTTTTTTGTACCATAACATTAGATAAGTATCCTCTTCATATGGGCAGATACTTGGTTTAGCCATTGCTTGTTTTTTACTAATGAAACGGCGGAAGTCTTTCATTTGATGGAGAGAGGAAAATTCCTGACACAGGATTTTACCGCCAACATAGCATTAAAAAATCGTGCAAAAATCAAATGTAAAGTTTCATTCTTTCGCAGAAAACTTTATAGGCCTGATAGTAGCCTTACAGGCGCAGGTTCCTGTGTGTAGAATGTGTAGCAGGACAGTAACGGAAGTGAGCACAAAGATATACAAAATACTTTTATTCTCAAGAAGTTTACACTACACTATCTCATGGCAAAATGGTAAGTGGTTACAAACCTGGTCGCCATAATCAATTGCTGTGTTACAGGTCATTTTTAAAAGGTATTGTTACGTACTTTGATGAAAACCGTTCATCCTGTGTTTTGTAAGGCCACAAACAATGTACACAAAGAGTTGTGAAATCACGGATAAGATTATGTATGCACTAATTAATTTATGGTAAACTAAACTAAACTGAATTAATCACGTTCAAAAGGTGAAAGGTCAACTAGTGATCTCAATGATAACTGGATAACAATCAAAGAATCATCTCTTTAATAAAGTGAATGTGAAATTTTTGTACATCTTGTACAAAATAGGATGTTTAATGATGACTGAATTTTAACTATTTACTGGTCATATTTCAGTTTTGCTAAATTAGGTATACTTCTCTCCGGTTGGTTAAACCATACAACTCCAGTTATTTAGAAAAAATAGATCAGTTGTTAGTTGTACTTTGTACCTCAAGGGCCTCACATGTCCCCCATCTTGCTTGACGCCATATTGGAATTTTTGTCCCAAAAAGTGGTTTTATTTTGAGTCGTGTTTATAGTCATGCTTCGTTCAACGCTCAGTCGTTTAGCTCCTGCAGTGCGCCAGATAAGGCCTGTTTTATGTAAGTTCTTGTAGTTTGTCATAATGGGTGTTTAAATAATGTTTTTACAGTTGTACAATAGTTTTTGGGAAGACGAAAAACACTTGAAGATTTGATATTTAAAATAACTTGATATTGCAGTTTGTTAAAATGACAGTTATGCATGAAATAGATCGTAGTTGATCTTCAATAATAATTGATTCTTTTTCAAAGGCTCCTCTGCAAGGTTTATGTCTGACAAACCAGTAGAATCTGCAGAGGCATTTGATGCCAGATGGGAGGCTTATTTTAACAGGTATGTCTTCTTATTTATACCATCCATGCTTCTTAACCAAACAAATTGCCTTATTTGTGGTCCATTTTTCCCTCAGCTGGACCTTGCACCCAGCAGATGACATATATATGTTTTATTTCAAACTTTCAAGGGAAGATATTGATGACTGGGAACTCCGCAAAGGTGTGAATGAGTTATACGGCCATGATCTTGTGCCGGAACCAAGAATTGTAAATGCAATGTTAAGGGCGTGCCGACGCCAAGATGATTTTGGTATGGCAATCAGAGTGTTGGAAATGGTCAAGCTGAAGTCTCGAGATAGTGGTGATAATGAAATATATAACTATATCATTCAAAACTGTAAGCCAGTTATGGAGGAACTGGGTATTGAAACTGTTGAGGATCTTGGGCTTGCTTAGAGTTAGACAAACTTTTCTATCAGGTATGTGATGATATATTGTTGTTGTTAGAAATGTGCCAAATTTCATGGTTTCAAAATGCTGTTAAACTGAATGAATTTTTTCTTATTTTTTAGATTTTGCATTTAATGTCAAGTCAAGAATTGCAGATGGATGGTTAATTTGTTCTTTCTTTTAATTTCTGTCAGTTTTGACTGTTGTATTACTTTGTCAGAATTATATTGTACAAAACCAAATGGTTGTACTAGTTTAATATTCTGGTTTGAATGGTCAGTATATGGTGATCAGGGGGGTGAAAAACAGGAAAGTATTTATACCAATCAGGATTTTACAGCTACATAATTATTTCCCCCTTCCCTTGAAAAAGCCCTTCCCACGATGCATCAAAAACCGACCTGAAAAATCTGAAGGCAGTTGTAGCCTGCAGAATATTTGGGCACAACCTGGATATTCAAGATGGCGGCCTCCATGTTCAATTTGACAACAAGGTAGGATTCGATTTGCAAGTCGTACATCTCTTGTATTTTGCTTTATTTTTCATATTTCCTCAAATACAAGGTGAAACAATGCTAGATGTCTGTATCCGATGATTTTTTCAGTACAATGTCAACGTTATTGTACATTAAAGTACAACTGATTTTGATAGCATTATTCATCAATTCGTTGTAGATTAAAAAATGGAGTGACTTTGATAAATGACCTGGATTCATCGCGATTTCCATTGCTTCTCTCCAGAATCATTGGCAAACTAACTGTTAAGGTAAAATGCATAATGTATATCCTGTTCAAACGTGTGAATCGCTCCTAGCCTTTGATGTAGGTATAGTCAGTAACTCAGTATAGATTGCACTTTTTTTCCTTTATTTTCAGGGCGAGAAGATATTTTCTGAAGATGAGCAAGCGAAGTTGTGCAGTGCTTTTAAGGTTGACAACAACAACCTGCAAAGCATATTGGATACTTCAGTATTTATCCTTGAACAGGCTGCATATCATTCTGCAAAACCTGCTGTACTTACCCAACAGTTAAAAAACATTCAACTTTTAGATGACAAGGCAAGTAGGATGGGGAATTGTACTCTTGCAGGGGTTATTTTGGTGTCTTGATCTGTAATTGTGAACAAGTGTCTGTGCTTTAGAGTTTAGATAGTCATGAATGTTTTCTTCTCACATTTAGGTAGAGATGTTTGTTACTGTGTGGACAACGCATGGAAAATCTGTCACTGAGGAGCTAAAACAAAGAAGTCTCACACCAAAACAAGTAAAAATTTGTAGTTTTAGTTTCTGCCGGAATGGGTTGTTGGAAATAAGGTTCCTTCATTATGATAATTGCTGATTCTGATGGTTTTTAGCTAGAGAGTGTGAAATGGAAACTCAATCTACAAATGGCAGAGTCATCGAAGAGTAAGTTGAAGACACCAAGTGCAGTGGTAGAACTGGGTCTCAAAGGAGGCAAGGTGAGTGTGTATTCAATGTATCATGTCAACAGTTCTCACAAGAGTGGACTTGCTTTTGTATTTGAACTTGTTTTAAAAGAAATTATCTGTTATAGGAACCAGAGAACATTTGTTTAGAGTTTACCCATGAGGAATTGTATTCATTTTATGATCAGGTTTGGTTATTTAATTGCTCTATATAGAAGAACTCCTTTAGTAATTATTACCATGAAATAGTCTGATGTTGACTTGTTTTATGTTGTGTTTCAGCTTGAAAGAATCAAAAGTCAGTTGGATGCCTTGCGATAGCAGATTTCATTGGAAACTGACAATGACATTTGAATTGGACAGTTAGATAACATCGCTTTATATATTTTTATACGTAATTGTATTTAAACTCTTGATAATAAGTAAATCAATATAAGCATGACCTTGTGAGACTGGTATGTAATCAGCTACAAATAAGAAATATACTAACAATTTTGTTTAAACCAGGAATTGATTGTTATATCTTTGTATGTGGGGTAGTCAGATACCCCTGGGGTGTGTTCAGGCTGGGTATGGACCTACCCCTCTCTACCACCCATAGTTGGTATTTGTTGTGGGATATGCGTGGATAATGCGTGGTAGAATGAGATTATTAAGTACAAATTTGCTAATGTGTTGTTGCCATTATTGGTTGCTATGGTGATTGGTGATTTAAATATGGCGGACGAGATTATCGAAGAATTGTGACCAAAAGTCATGTTTTCGTTGACGGAACTACCAAATAACCAAGAAGAAGTCGGGAAACTTCTTGTAAAAGTAATCCAGATACCTTTCGATATATTTTGACAGTTTTCTCATCAAGATTTTTCGAAACAGCCGGGAAATTCGCATCGAAGGATCAGTTGATCTTTTGTTTGCATTCAGTCTTTCTTTGTGTATCGTAGGTTCAAGACGATCTACGGCATCTCAGGGAGCAAATCAGCAATGCAGTGGAAGGAAGAAGTGCAGAAAACTTGGATTTCAAGGACATTGAGAAGGCTATCGCGAAAACAGAGCTGGGTGTCAAGGTAGGTTGACATATGACAGGCTCGATCGATCAGGCTGGACAGCTTCAAGGTCAAGGATCTGCATGAAATATCTCTGCCTAAATAAACATCATTTTATCGCATTAGAATACGACCTTAATTGCTTGATAAATGTGATTCTGTCTTGCCTGCAGTCGATATAACAAAGTGATGCACTCATGTTTGTTGTTTCTGATGGCACCTTATCATTCGGCTCCGTTTTGTTGTTTAGAGCAAAACCTCACATTACGTGCAGACGTTAAACAACCAGGTCCTTACATTGCCATCTCTTGAACAAAGTGCTTCAAAGAAGAAGGTTGAAGAGCGCAGCAGTAGCAGGTGCATATAAACAATTAATAGTCAAGATACCTTTACAATGCTAGCTTGTGCACGCTGATGAATATTAATTACACAAACATGCAATACCATTAAACCATTTATTGCTACTTTGTAGTCTTGATGAAAAACCAAGTGCCTACCTAAAAAAGCCACATGGCATTCGACCCAAGCAAAGGTACCAGATGGGAGAAAGCGATTTTCTTCAGTTTAGCCAGAGTTATCCTTAGATTGATTTGTTCATTTCATATTCCAGCTCAAACAAAGGTCTTCTTCAGCCAATTATTGTTGCAAAGAGTGGTGGAAAGCCTGCACCAAATGTTCCCTCACCTGGCCAACAGGTTGGTTTGCAGTATTAGATTGAGTTTTAAACCATGCAGCGTCACCTCTTCTTCAGCCTCAATCTTCGCAATTTCCTTCGAACTAGAGTAAAGATCTTCGTGCACTTCAATTACTAACCAAGCCAGAACATCCAGCCTCAAGGGTGATCCTGAGGGACAAATATGGAGTTGCTTTACCACATATCCAAGAGAAAACTGAAGCTGGAGCTGTCAAGCAAAAGATAGTCACAGGTTGCACAGTTGAACACCTGGCGACATTGCCTCGTTCAAACAGAGTTGACCCTTCAGTAAGTTTGAGGACATTTGTTATGAATACAGTTGATGTATATATAGAGATCAGTTATCAGATCCTCCCCTGATTATTTTAGAGAACGCCCCCTCCTGTCTCAGAAAATGATGCGAGGAAAGGAATCCTCAGTCTTTTGGAAAGAGGTCTTATTCCGGTAAGCCTTGTACCATTCTAATCAATTCATATGAGAGAATAAGATTGACGAATATGATCCTTTTTTAGCCGGCTGCTGAACTATCGCTCGAACCATCACCTGTTCGTCATCAGCAAGCAATGGTAAGTTTTAATATTTCGCTTCTTTGCAATGACGATAATTTTCCCGAAAGGATGCGTCAAGAATCGATCACGCCTGTGTCTTCCTGTTGACCAGAGACAGGAAAGAAAGGATTAGGGCCACCAACCAAACAATACCTAATGATAGTTTCCTTCTGTTACAGCTACATGATGCAAGAGAACAATTCATAAGGATGAACATGGAACCACCGGAAGAGTTCTGTGGAGGTATAACTGCGCTTTTTCACGAAATGACGCAAATGACGCATAGGTTATGTAATTTTTTACTTGTACCCGTTTGGAATTAAAGAGATTTCCTGCTTTCTTTTTATTCAGTTGGTGGTTACAATATTGCTGCGGTGAAGGTGAGACAGTGTTTGAAATTCATAAGAATCATGAGATGTGATGGACTACATGGAAAAAATTGAAAAATCTGTGTCAGATGGTTAGCGCTGTCGAGCCCCCAGAAGCGTTGTAATTAGTAATCTCGATCTTTGTGCCTGTAGACAGACAACACAAATGCTCAAAACGCTAAGGAGACCTCGCTTGCTGAGCGTAAGAGAAAGAAAATTGATCATTTACGGGACGCGAATCAGGTTAGAATCAGACAGGAATCTAACGGTCCACCTGTGTAATAATGCAAGCTTGTGCTGATCCCACAAACTGTCGATTGCATTAACTGGATAGATATTTCTTCACTCTAGGGCTGGACAGACAATTCAGTATTGCGAACTCCTCCGCGTGATATTAACGCTATCTTACCGGTAAATCGTTGAAGATGTTTCTATAGTTTTTGGTGGGGAAATATTCATTAAGAGTTTCTATGATGATGTCATGACTGTAATATTAAATGACGTCATTTTAGCTTCCAGCTCCTGTTCCTACGCCATCCAGCGACGTCAAATCTTCGCATAAATTTGTCATTCAAAATGGCCGAACTCGTTCAACATCCCAGGTTCGTATTTAGCCTCTCTGAAACTAAAGCCGTTTGACTATCATTGTTATTTTGTCTGTAAACTCTTATTTGCATCGTTTATGTGTTCGTAGGATTTCGCAGACTTCAAACGGCATTACTGTTTATCATGGGGAAGGTCAGTTAATGATTAACTAACTCTCTGTCATCATATCTTATCCAACTTGAATGTAGGTGACTATATATTGGGTGATATATACTGAATAGCTATAGGATAAATATGGGTAGTTAGGATATCTGAGTAGCTATGAGTTAATCATGGGTATCTAGGGTAACTATAGGTATTGGGTAGTTAAGGATAAAAGTGGTGGTAGATACCCCTACAGAGACATTTCTCTCTAATGGAGCGTTTTTCTTGTAGCATTTTGACGCTCATTCTAAAATTGGAAGAAATTATGCGAGATTACTCCGTGCCGCTTGCAATTATCGACGGTGACAGGTAATGCAATAAAATCCCATTTCGTGTGCTCAAGGGTGATCTGTGAACGAATATAGTACGAATGTTTTTATGACTTCCAGACTGGCAGATCTGGCCCTAGTATTTGAACTGGAGGAGAGACCTAAACTGGAGGTTAGTTGACACACAATAATCGCCATTCAATCGAATTTATTGTTCGCTAGTTTCAAGAGGCTATTTTTAAGTTTCCTATTAAAGAATCGGCTTGACTTTCTTTTGCAGCATTTCCTAACGTGTGTTCTGAACTCCGAAGATGTCGAGAAGACAATCAGAATGCCTGTGAGTATATTTCATATCAACGTTTGTTTTCTTTTCAATGTCGGTGCATAACTATAGTGCAGTACCTTATTGAGCTTTAAAAATATTTAGGGTCGCCGCTACCTTGGTCCAGATGGCGAGAAAATGGCCGCTATAAAAATACAAGTAAAGAAAATCTCTTTTCATCGTGTTCTTTACTGACAAACCTAACAATCGAGCGATTAAATGTTAAAAAACTCTTTTTTATTTTGTCGCCCAGTCTTCGTGGCGACGTTACCGGGACAGGGCGGCGTATTTAATCTATCGTCAGCGTCAGTGGGCGGCCGGGGTAATTGCAATATCATGGATCATGAACTGTAAACTCTCGATGATTAGAAAACAACTGAAACATCTCAGGCAGACACAGGCCGAGAAGTTTAAACTCCGTTCACGAGTAAGTGTCTAAGTGAAGCCTCGAAACAGTGATTTTTGATTGTCGAGGCTGCTGTTGTAGTCTCAAGTAAAATATGATGTACAAACTGATGTACAAAGAGTTTTATTCTGTTATTCTTTCTATTTTTTTTCCAGATTTTTCGTTCAAGATGGACCAAAATCAAGGAGTCAAGGAGAGTGGCTGTCCATATTCCTTCACTAGGTAGAGAACAGCCCCAGGGGCGTGGTGGAGCCGTGCTGAAGTTAGGTTTACCAACAGTGTGTAGAGTGTACAAAAATTTGAATTTTTTTAGGTTACCCGCAGTTTATTCGTGATAATCTCAGTGATCTGCCGATGCTTCAGAACCTACAGATGGCAAGACTTTGCGACATTGCAGGTAATTTAGCATCACCATGTCTACTGTTGTCCAGCTCCAGTAAGGGGGGGGGGGAAGAGGTTCCACAAGCCGCGCTGTGGAATATTTTGTTCGCCTCTTTCAACCTGTGTTTCAACTGACCGTCGCTGTTCTTGTGTAGATTCTAAAGTCGATGTAATTTACGTGTGTCCTGTTGAACTTACGGACGATGTCGATCAATATTATTCAAAATTGCTTGCAATGAGAGCTGCCTCTGATTCTAAGCACGAAGCGATTGAGAATCGTTATAAGATTGTAGTTCCTGATGCTGTTCATAGATTTCCTGTGAGTATCAGATATTGAGAAATGAGAAACATCAGGCACTCGCATTGAAGACATGTTATAACATTTCTCAACATGTATTCTATTTTTTTTAATTCACAGCACCACAACATGTGCCTAGCCTCAATCCTTAAGTACAGCCCGAAGACCATCCAGAGGTGATTATGATGTTATAAACAATGATGCAGTATAACCTACGTATGATACTTACTGCCATCAGTTTGTTTTCTTTATTGCTTCAAAAAGTGAGTCTGGTAAAACATCTTGAAATAATCCGGTTGTATTTTGCAGGATCAAAGCTCTGATTAAGGGTCGTGACGCATACATTGTTCCTGGTGTCCTTCATCAAGACGACCTTTATTTATCTGATCTCCTGGGTAAGATCCATAGCTCTGCAGTCTTTTACAACAGCATTGCCCCAAATGATTCACAGTACAGTATAGCACTCCTCCTCTCAAACCTTGCAATTTCTTAAAGGATCGAGTGCCTTGTCATTGGACCTTATCTTACTGCTGAACTTAATGTGCATGTGTTAGTGAGCTTAGAGACTCCCAGCGATTACCTTCCTAGTTTATACTCGCTTTAAAAGAAGTTTTTCTACGCTTGTTCAGATTTACCAATTCTGAGCCCAGACCCGGACGTGGCTAATTTGTACGCATCCAAGTCGGGAACGAAGAGGATTTTCCTCGCGGCCAAAGTTGAAATACCGCCCAGTGAATTCGATATTTATAGCTTACCTCAGGTGAGTTCAGGTCTGGAATCGTAAATAGTGAACCTCGACGCTTTTATAAATTCAACATCGTTCATTTCCTAGCTTCACGAATGCTTAGCTCAGGTTGTAACCGAAAATCTTCACATAAAACGATGGCTGTTCAAGATGGACAACGAATTCGGCGGTCGTGGCACAGGTACTTCTACTACTATTACTGAAGATCTTGAATTATATTTAACCAACCTTTAACATTAACATTTAACCAACATTTCACTGACGACATATACATGTTGCTATTTTAGCGTACTGTGATGTGACCCGGTATCTTAGTTGTTTTGCGCCTGCGTGGAAGGAATGCCGGAGATACGGAGAGAAGTGGTCCAAGAAATGGGCTCATGAACCGACGTTGATTAAAATTGCGGCCGAAATACCAGCGATACTCGCCCAACATGGCTGTCCTGCGTCCAAAGAAGGTTATGCAACTTGGGAGAAGTTTCTCGAAGTCTTTCTTCAACGAGGTACAGCCCATATCATATTGAAATTAGAACTGTAGCTTGTGAAATCCAATGTGTAGAACCTTGTTTTCAAATAAGAATCTCTTTTCCTATTTCATTATGATGTTCTTCCGGGTTGCTTCCAACTTTCTCTTCCTCGTTTGAGACCTTTAAACCAACACAACAAAAATTGAATCCATCCTGATTTCGTTCAAGGTGGAACAAACCTTATACGATATATTGCCTTGTTTCTTCCCAGGTGGTATTATCGAGGCGTGTCCTCCTAGTGAAAGTATTACAGCTGTAACCGTTGACATCATGATTGAGCCTGATGGAAATATATCTGTTTTAAGTACGAGTGACCAGGTTAGTAGGAAACCGATGTGACTATTTGAGCCTAGACTAATTGTTTAGTTTCTCTTCTGTGATTAATTGATGATCCACTCCACTGGCCCTAACACAGAAAGCCATTTTCATTCTCGTCCATATTTTGTTTTTCAGATTCATGCGACGTCTGTGTATCAATGTTGGGGCAACTCGGTTCCTCAGGCGTCAGTAGATCCCAGCCTCCTGGTCGAAAAGGCCACGGCTATAGCCAGTGCGTGTCGACAACGGGACATCATTGGATATATCTCTATAGATTTTGTCACTTTCATCGACCCAGAGACGGTGAGTAAAATCTACCCCCCAAGAAACCTACAATAGATTTCTTGTTGAAATATAGTATACACATTCTGTCCCAATATATCCACCTTTGTTTACCCATACTCACCCATAGCAATACTTGACCCATATTTAAGTGCATTTCAACTCCTCTTAGATGGAACAGGTGTTATGGGCTGTGGACCTGAAGCTCACGCATAGCGATAGTTTGGCTCAAATGAAGCTGATGAAATATGTTACAAATGGGACATTTGATGCGGAACGAAGTGTATTTCAAGTTCCTGTCGTTGTCAAAAAACCCGAACCAACATTAGGCCTGTCAAGACGACGTAAAACCATCGTTCACGAAGAGGTTGGAAGAGTTTCCATTTCACCTTTTCATTTTTTATCACTCATTTTGCGTTGCATTTTAAAAAACTTACTTTCCTGTATTTTCTGAGTTAGTTTTCAATAAGTTTGGCTTCCTTTTGGCGACATTTTCACGGCCTTTTGTCGATATTTTTTTCCAGCCTCCGCCAAGTCCATATCGTTATGCGATATTCAGTTCCAGGCTCCAACACAGCAACTTGAGTGTGATTCACTACAGCGTCTTCTTTCAAATGTGTCGAGCACATGGTATCGGATTTGACATGAAGGTAGGGCCTGGATCCAACCACGGTTGCCCCTTTTATTGTGTCAGTCAAAAATACAATAGATATCTAAAATTGTTTATTTTTTTCTTTAGGAGAAAGCGGGCACAATATTTTGTTTGGTAGATAGTTATAAAAAGGAATTCCTTACGATGATGTAAGTGTTGAGTAGTTGTCATAAGTTCATGTTTTCCAAATACCAGCACTACCTAAAAAATCACCAAGCCTCTAAGTAAACCAATACCAAGGGCTGTATAGATAGCGTGTTTAGAGAATTGATAAGATTGTGGCCTTCGTTTACTTGCCAGGGTAATGAGTGATGATCTTCAAGGTTCGCTGTCGACTTTTGCACGCAATTTGTCTGTAATACATCAAGAAATATCAGCTCCAAATATGCAAGGAAGAAGCAACTTTCAAGTAAGTTTTTTATGGACTCAATTATTTGATCTAAAATTACGTTGGGTGCGCCTCTAGCTCTAGAACACTCGCTTTAGTTCCTACTGCCAAGGAAACTTATGATTATCAGGGGAATCTAGGCTGTTCTTTTTGTTCCCACACAGACCTACTCATTCTTTCTTCATGTTTCCCCAGGAAGCCATAGACGACATTGATGAAATATTGGGAACGACAGAAGAGAATCTCAAGCAACATCGTGATGGAAAAACTGCTCAGCTTCAGGCGCCGAGGCCAAAGGAACTTCAGCGCATTCTGCAGGAGCATCAGAGAAGCGTCTCGAAAGGTGTGGGGGACAAGCAAACAGAGGAGAGGGGGGCGACTCCAAGAGATGATGCTGAGGGTGGAATAGCAAGAGATACAGAGGAAAGGGCGAGCGAAAGGGGAACAGTTTCGGCGATGCAAGAAACACATCACGTTTCAGAACCTCACCCTTTGCATCAACTATCGTCTGCGTCTGTGAACATAAACCCACCTCCCCCCTCCCCTCGGGATGCAGCTAACAGTCACGTGAACGAGAAGAACGTTCAGCCTAAATATAAAAGATGACATCGTCAAATATGACGCTATATTTGGTATAACTATTAGCGACTGATATTTTGTGTGGAATTTATATAATAAAATATTTCTGTAAATTGTGTCCCGGTTTCGTTTTTATATTGGTCGAGTTCAAAACCATGCCTTTATGCTGAGTGCATTATTTACGGCGAATGGTTATAAAACATATTGCATATTATAGGTTGATACTGTATTTTATTCCAAAATCTCCATCAATATGCTTCGTATATGCAAGCATTAGGTAATTTGAGAAAGTTTCGTTTTTGAAAATCAGCGCCCAATAATGTGGCAACGTTGAATCAAAGCTTATTTAAAGCGCGAAGTTGGGCTGGTGATTCCCGCTACGTTCACAGCATATACGGCGAATCGACGACATGCCCAAGTGTTAGACACGGAGTTAATTAGGAAGAAGGAAAATTTTAAACTATCAGAACTGTCATACGAGCTCGGTTTTAAGAGATATTCGACAATTAAACTTTAAAGCTTCAATACTGGCCGTCGTTCTCAATAGTTTAAATGTTAGGATTAACGCGTTTAAATAAAGAATCGTTTATTTCTACATTTTTTAGCGTTGATTTATATCTTCCTAAATAGGCGCCGCGGCGCTTATTCAACAACGGCGCTTATTAAATTTTTTTATTGAGGCGCGGCGCTTATTCGAGAGCGGCGCTTATTCGAGTAGCGGCGCTTAATCGATCATTTATGGTAATTCTCTCCTTTCATTTCTGATGTCCAGGCTCAGGAGAAGAGAATTAATCATATTATTTAAATTACTATGAACGTCCAATCAGAAGCGTTGTTGAGCTGTCAGGCCGGGAGTTTTCATCCAATAGGATGAGTTTATTTCGCAGACACGAGGAGCGGGTGAAATGAATATGTGCTTTTGATTCCAGTTTGAGACATCACTTCAACGCTGGTCTTCGAAGAGTAAAGATGAGTCTACTCCATGCCAAGAAAATTTCAACAGAAATTTCTATCAGATTGCTATCAGTCTTCAGCAGAAGAGAAGTTTAATAGAAGTTTACTATCTCTGACAGACTGTCGTTGGTGTTATACCAGGTAATATGCCTTTCCCTTGCGTGTTTTATCAGCTTGTTTCATCGTGAGCTTTTGGGCTGAGGTTCCACGTGTCTTTAGTTCACGTCTTGTAATGCCTCTCTCGTAGAGTTCTTGTTGTGTTCAGCTACAAATACAAACTTGAATAACACTAACGTTGCTTTATATTCTTTTCATGCAGAATTTTGAAGAATTAAACGACGAAATTTGTGAACAAGAGATTGACGACCGATGAATGGTGGCTGAACTGGCTCAAGATAACTCGCCTTTGAAGAGAAAGCAAGTCTAGGCTTTTTCTGGGGACTTTATTGGTGATATGAGAAAGGTAATATACGCTAAATCTTACCGTTAAGCCGCTAACCTTCCCTCTAACCTCACGCAAATTACGTTTGAATTGAGTTCTAAAGACCTCAGCAGTGAACTAATGGTGCCTTTTATTCTTCCAGGTGGAGTTTGAGAGCTTAAAACCAAACTGAATGAAGTGAAGTGGGCAAGAAGTCCGTTACCATAGCTGAAATTGCCCGAGACGACTCGCATTTGACTCAAGATAACTCGCCTTTGAAGAGAAAGCACGTCTACGCCTTTTCTTGGGACTTGTTGATGATATGAGAAAGGTAATATACGCTAAATCTTCCGTGAGCCGCTAACCTTTGCTCCAATCGCAAGCAATTACCTTTGAATTGAGTTCTAAAGACTAAACCAACTAACATTGCCTTTTGTTCTTCCAGGTGGAGTTTAAAGCTAAAACCAAACCGAATATAGAAATGAGCTGGGAAAGAAAACCCATTGGTGAAATTCCCCGAGATGACTCGCATTGAAAGAGACGGCAAGTCCAAAGCTGCTCTTCAACACTTGTTGCTGAAATGAACAGGTAATTTTGGGTCTGTTTTATTTACAATAGGATGGGAAAACTTGAAACGCTTGATCAGGCATCATGCGTTCTCTCAACTGAATAATCACCGCAAGTTTTCTCCCGATATTTGAGCTCCTTTCATCGAAGGTAAATCCTTGAAATCGCTGTCTATAACAAGCATTCCTTTGGTTTTATTGCAGGTAGCGATTGAGCGGGTCAAGCCATTTGAAACGACGACAAAACCTGTTCATAGTAAAACGTGAGTATTAAGCAATTGAACATTTTTAGATAAACCGAACAATGGGGAGTTTATGCATGATTCAGGTCAACGGCCGCATGATAATTGAATATGAATAATGGCAAGGAAATACTTGATATCCCAGAGGGGTTTTATAGATGTTGTTTTGGGTCTGTTTGCAATCCCGATTTTACGCGTGTTTCTTCTCAATAAAAAATGTTGTTTGCTTATTTCTTTCAATCTTATTTCAGGTTGATGGGCTCTGTTGAGCTATTACCGACAAACCAAATCGACGGCGATCTACGCCTAAAGTAGGCAATCTCGACGGCAAATCTACGCCTAATGTAGGCAACCTCGACGGCACTCTACGCCTAATGTAGGCAACCTCGACGACACTCTACGCCTAATGTAGGCAACCTCGACGACACTCTACGCCTAATGTAGGCAACCTCGACGGCACTCTACGCCTAATGTAGGCAACCTCGACGACACTCTTCGCCTAATGTAGGCAACCTCGACGGCACTCTACGCCTAATGTAGGCAACCTCGACGGCAAATCTACGCCTAATGTAGGCAACCTCGACGGCACTCTACGCCTAATGTAGGCAACCTCGACGGCACTCTACGTCTAATGTAGGCAACCTCGACGGCAAATCTACGCCTAATGTAGGCAACCTCGACGGCACTCTACGCCTAATGTAGGCAACCTCGACGGCAAATCTACGCCTAATGTAGGCAACCTCGACGGCAAATCTACGCCTAATGTAGGCAACCTCGACGGCAAATCTACGCCTAATGTAGGCAACCTCGACGGCACTCTACGCCTAATGTAGGCAACCTCGACGGCACTCTACGCCTAATGTAGGCAACCTCGACGGCACTCTACGCCTAATGTAGGCAACCTCGACGGCAAATCTACGCCTAATGTAGGCAACTTCGACGGCAAATCTACGCCTAATGTAGGCAACCTCGACGGCAAATCTACGCCTAATGTAGGCAACCTCGACGCCATAACTACGCCAAATCGACGCCAAACAGCAATGCATCAGCGATGCCCGAGCATCGTACAGGTTAGAGTAGCCTGGTGGTCAAAAAATGTGCATGCAGGGGTTAGTCTGTGCATGATTAACTTAACGAAGTTAACTAATTTAGTTAACGAACTTAAGTTAAATTAGCGGTTTTACGTTCAGTTAACTAAGTTCTGGCCACCAGGAACATAGCTAATGCATGATGCATGTGAGAAAACGTTTCTTAAATTCGGTTAAATATTTGAATCGGTTTTGCGCTTAGGACTGCTTGCTTGTGCTTAGGGCTGCGCTAAGGTTTAGGTTGATAATTTGCCTGTTAAAACTAATAACATATATATCGCAATTGTTATACCCATATTTCACATAAGAAATGGCTAAAAAGCCATGCACACATGCTAACACAAATCACAGCCACAAATGGCAGACATAATCCCATAGGTTCTTTCCTCTTTCTCTCTCTTGTCCTGATTGAAATCATCTTCGGCTCTTGAAATCCGGTCAATTGCGGCTTTCGGAATTAACATTGTAAAATAATAACTATAGGGTCACCATGCATTCGGTCTGGTTGTAAAATTATTTGTATGTAAATACGTTTTTGATTTCTCAGCAAACATTGTAAATATACGATTATATCTTGCCTTACTATATATATTGTAATTGAACATATAATATTGTGTATGTATTTATGAAAAAACATGATTTATATCACAAATATGAACAAATACAAAACATGCACAACCTCATGATCTTGTAGTTGCACATAAAATAGACACGCATACGAGTAAATACATTGATGCAAACCATGGCCGATAATGGCTTCTAGTTTATATCTCTTATCTTTTGCATTCACTTAAGGCTACAGTTAATATTCAAGCCAGAAACATTGATTTTACGGCATATCTTACACTGTCTGAATTGCTATTCTGAAATAGCCTACATCAATTTATGCAATCAAAGTTAACACACACATGCACTTTATAACAATGTGCATATATGAAAAAACATGCTAAAACATGCTCTCAATTAATGAATTTGAATTTACTTTAAGAAAATAAGGGGAGGAATGGGGGGAGGTGCATGCTGTTATAAACCTTAAAAAATATATGCCTTATCTCTACTATAGTTATAAACCAATTACGAGACAAACATTGGCAGTGGCATTGTAACTTTATTATTTTTCCAAGGCCTCTGTGAGATTTCTAATCATTTAGCTTCGTCGAGCAGTGCTTATGAAAAGTAAGGCGCCACTTTTTGTGTGTACTGTTTGACTTTGCTATGTGGTTCGAAGTGTTAGCAGGTATCTTGGGATATCTAATAACGTTGCAGTGTTATTTTCATTGCTGTTTCTATAAGAGCAGCTTGCTTTGGCTATATGCCTTAGCTCTAAAAGTTTTCAATCCTGTTTCTCAAAGAAAAAAATGTACTCCTGTGGCTGTTTCTATAAGGGCAGCTTGCTTTGGCTATATGCCTTGGCTTTGAAAGTATTAGTCTGAATTGTACTCCTGGTGCTGTTTCTATAAGGGCAGCTTGCTTTGGGACTATCCCTTGCATGGTTCAAAAAATGTCGACTGAATTTCTTAAAAAAAAATATTTACACTCGATGCTGCCCTTGGTTTCGACACTTTGTTGCTTTGGCTATATGCCTCAGCCTAAAAAAAATATAAAGTCAATTTCTTGTGGTATTTTTTTCTAAACCTTGTTTCTACAAGGGCAGCATGCTCTGGCTATATGCCTCAGCTCTAAAATGTGCAATGAAGTTTTCAAGGACAATTGTGTATACATTCATGCTGTTTCTATAAGGGCTCATGAAATATCTTCAATTTGACTCTATCCTTGAAATATATATGCACAGTTTGACATCTTAAAAC